TTTTTTTTTTTTTTTTTTTTTTCAAAAAAATTATATTCTCAATACGAGTTACGGGGCAAACAGAGCAGTATTAGTGGTCGTGGCATAACGTAAAACCTTTCGCCCTCCTTGCGAAATTGTGGCTGACTGTTCTAGATTGTGGCTGATGCTACCTTCCACCGAGTCATGATGGCGGAAGTGGTCGGCTGCGGCTGGAATTTGTCATTTCACGGCCTGGCGTGTCACTAGTTTTCAGCACTCACTCTAACAGTCAAACTCTACTATCTAGCCCCCGGGGTCGGCCCTGGTTCTGGGTTATGGCGGTGGGCACTCTGTACATGGCCATCTTTTTGTCCTGTCATCAAAGGACTAAAATTTACATTTCCACACCGTTGTATCATCCATCATGTCCGGCATTGAATTTTTTTTTGCCTCAACCTGAATTGTATCCACTGGTTTCTCCTTCTATTTAACGAGGACATAGTGTTCGTCTCAGATCGGTCACCTCTACCGAGGTTAAACCAATTTTTTCCAGTGTCGGAGATTTCGAAACCTTTTTTGAAAGACTGACATCATCCAGGTTCCAAACTGTCTCACACGATCCCACGAGTCCGTATCGATTTGGAAATTTTCCGAAGTTTCCCCAATATCATTCGATAGTTTGAGACTCGATCGCATAGTCTCAAACCTAGCTCTCCAGCCCACGAACTTCCCCCCTCGCTTCGCAATGCTTTCTAGAATAGTGGGGTAGCCCCCTTGGTGCGACATTGCCAGTAGCGTTTACGAACAGTAGTTCATCGAACTCCGTATACAGGCGCGGATGATCGACGGGTAATCATTACCTTGCAGGAGCGTTGTCCATCTACCTTCCTAAATCAGTTATCGCCGCCTTTGTTCTGGGGGCTGCTTTGTTCTATTGTATAAGACTATTGACAATCTAGTGGTCTGAACGGCAAATTTGCCCGGTTGATTGCTTTTAAGTTCTAGGAGATCTGCCATGTGGTTTTTCCTTTTCTTTTTTTGAACCAAGAAACTCTGATGACCAATCAATACCGAGTGGACAACGATCAGAATTTTCACTTGTGCGACAGTCTCCGAATGGGCAGAACCAAATAAAAAATAAAGAAAAATAAACGATTAGATACTTTGGGTCAGGGGTAAAAATTGCCGCCCCTCGACCTTTTGATACATACCGTTTTTCTTGCTCCTCCACCTTTTAGCCTTTTCTCTCTCGTTAATAGCCCCTGTCTGACAGTCACGTTCCTATCTCACAAAGTTCATATCAAAATAGAATATTTTGTGGAGTATCCGACACACTACGCGCAAAGCCATGAGGTCCACGCAAACCTCGGTTCCAGACATCCCATATACAGTGCATGACTAGTTAATCTGTAAGGAGACACGATGGTGTATGGCTCCTTGTTAAGATAGGCAACAGTGGTCACTAGTATGATCGGAAGATGCACTCCTGCAGTTGCGAGGTTCGCTTTGCGAGTTACTTGCTGCCTAGCCTCATCCCGGAGCCGATGGCCAGAGCAGGGGGTGGCGATTTCATATCTCTATGGATCGCGATACCGTAGAAGCTCATATTACCCTAGTTCGGATCCCATCATCTGTATACAAAATATCCATAATCGGTTGTACATGATTTGCGCATTCAATGTCTGCTTGAGTCTATGCCATACTGTTCCGTGGACCTTTGAAAGATGATGCTCATTTCCAACTCAGGGCATCTTTTCCACGACAGATAGATTGGGCAGTAGTACGTAGTCATTCATGACTTTAAACAATGTTTCTTCATACAGTCAGATACTGCCTGAACGATCAAGTTTCCAAATAACGGTAACTTTATATATCACCTTGGTTAAACATATTTGTATAGAATTTATATACATACGCCTGGTTCTCTCTCTATAGGACATGTCCCAGGATCCTTATAGGAGTGTCCTTTGCTCTAATTCTCCATGCATGTTTTCCCCTCCCGCATTTCACTTTATCATGCCATATCTCGTTATAATGAATAGTCTACAAATTAGGCTCACCGAGAATCTTGTCGATTGCACGACACATACGATGCAACCGATTTACTCTAAGCGTTTAGAAACTATTCATACTTAATAGGTCTCTCTAGATGACATGATGAGTAGACAAACAATGAGTTTGAGGGGGTATTAGGAGGCTTACTGCTCAGTAAAAAGAAGGTTGGAGGTGCAATGGTTATATGTAGTCAGTGGCAATAACAGCAGGCGTTGAAAACCTGCGAGTAGTCGCGACACACCATCCACAGGGACATCTAATTAGGGACTTTAGATACGATAGAGAGCTCGAGCTCTAAAGACGACACTCAAGGAAAGACATTTCGATCACCAACACCTTGGGCTCTTGAGGGTGCCTTGCCTTCTTCGCACTTAACATATAGCTTCAACGCTGATGACCGAGTCCTTTGATAAGATATTACTCCCAGCCTGACCTGTTAATGCGGATATAAATGGTTTTGTGCAGTCTGATGAAGAGTAGAGTGTGCTCCACCTTAAAATAATGGCTTATACCCAGGGTAAAATGCCCTAATGCAGTAGATATATATCTACGAAGTGCGATGGTGCTTCACGAGAGGATAAAAATGTTGACATAGAAAAAATGGATCATGTTTCGCGAGTGATACACACAGCTCCAGTAAAGATTTCTCGTGGCTTGGTAGAATTATCTAAGAATGGCGCTCAGCATGTATATGATTTGATGACATACTAAATATCGTGTAGTCCATTTATACAGTTTGGCACTTTATACCACAGTCACGGCCAAGATTCAGGGACAATACCTGTCACCGGTCGACGTGCGCGAATCCAGCTTGATTCTCAAAGCAGACATACTAGCAATCGGTGCTCAGCCGCTACATGAAATTAGTTCAGTCACCTTGGTAAACCTCTTGAGATGCCGGCATATGGACCTTGTCCCATCGTAGGCTGTTGTACAGTGTAGGAACATAGGGTATCAGTAATCATATAGCACTGAAAACATCCATTGCCTCATTCCTTATCTTCTACGGTGACAGCTTGTTAGCCTGTCTACCCACAGAGAGCTACTGATCACAATCGCTGAGCATGATAACATGGGTTTGGATTTGTCGAGTTTCTGCGTATTTCATCACAAGCAATTCTAGGCATTATTCTCTGGTTTTGGTGCAATCATAGAAGGCTGAGTTCGAGTCAATCTTGTCAATTTTGTCGTATGTATGTACTATAGTCTGATATAAAACAACTGCTCAAGCCGAAGGGGCACCATGAAGCATCAATCCATGTAGATGGCTTTATGAACTTCCGCTAATCTCCCATCAACGATCCCACACTCCGGAAACAAAGACAGCCGATAAGTTCGGGTCATCGTATCTAGATATCACTGCTTCACTACCGATAGTTTTCTCATAATGTACCAACCTCTGGCCATTGTCTGTTATTGAGGGAACGAGCCCGGAGACCCTATAAAAATAGTATAGAAGAGAGCAGAGGGCAGAGTCTCGGTTTCTTCGCTTCCTCGCTGGCTTTTCTTGTCCTGTCCTACTGTTGTTGTCATTGCCTGTGAAACCTTAAAAGAGCAAAAACCACCTACTAATCAGGGGTGAGTTGAATGCCCTAAGATAGAGTAGGCCATTCACACCGTTTGAACCCTCCAAAGGGAATTATCGAAGCATAAAGGAGACTCTGACGCTGGTATGCCTTGAGGTATGTCGGTGTACATCATATATTGCAAGATCGAACCACCTGCGAAATGGTGCCTTTTGCTGAAACTAAAAAGGCACCCAGAGTTTTCACTATTGCCTGATAGTTGTCGAGCTCACCAGTGCAGTGAGATATGTGAACATACTCATTTAGAAGAGCAATAATATCTGGTCCTTCTAGAAAATTAGAGCTTCGTATACATGTATATATTGAGTACAACAAAATCTGACACTCCAGCCTATTGCATAAATGGCTCGGTCAATTTTCAATAACATGAACCCGTTGTTGACGCTTTAAGCTGTCATCCACGGTCAAGGGTCTAGCAATTATATGAATGCACATCGAGCTATGCTATGCGTTCTCATGCATAGAGAATAGGACCCAGCTATACTCCCAAGTTGACTCTTGTTGATGGGTAAACCTAGCAGGATTGAGGGGTTAGGGCATATGAGGATTCAGTGAAACAAAATATGCTGTCTATGGGAAACTTAATCGGGTATCGGTTAGCTCTTACTCTAGAATCAATGCAGGGAAATAGACTAGAGGATTGCTGTAGAGATTGTGGTATTAATTTTTAGCGTACCCTATTCCTATACTGATATGTACTCACAAAACACCAAGCCCTAAAAGCAGGGTTTAGCCATAACGCGAGCAGATTGTTGATAATATTATCGATTGACAGAGATCGATACATCACCTTGAGTGTCAGGGCAGGCATCTAGAACAGTCACACTACCGCTATCAGCTGTATGTGGGTAGAACCTATTGAGTAACACATCGTTAGGAGATTTGTAACAACTATCTGCGATAAAAGCTCTTGTTCGTGTTGCCATATGTCACTTATGCGTTGTCTTGCTGAGTATGTGGTCACCTCCCCCCCTATTGCCTTTGATTGATGAAAGTTTAGAGAGGGATAAAGAGGGGACAATGCCATTACTCCAAAGAAAGGCAGGGATGAATTTAAGGGTCCTCATTTAATATGGACCTTCTGCCAGCCAGGCCGCGTGTCCTGAGGGGCTTCACCTGCAGACTTCCTCTGACTCAACAGCATATGAACCCTTGTCACAGAAGCGTGGCATATCTGTTATGTAAAAAGAAAGTCAGCTTACAAAGGCCACCCTTAGCCACTCATTTTATTAGCTTTCAATCGACCTGTAAGAAGCTCAAAGGACATCCAAGATGATCTAGCATGTTCGATCTATCTATTGAATGAGATGATTATCAAATTTGAACAATCTAGGATGTCTTACGGCTGTCAAAGCTCCAAGTAGGCTGATCGACAATTTTAAAACACATGTCACAACGTAGATTGGTCCTTCTCTTCCTATCCAGCAGATAGAGGTGTAATGGTGTCAGGTGAGGGAAAAGCATGGTTGCTTCCCCGCTATGGATATGTGAAAAGATTATCTTCATAATCCTTGACCCGAGGACGTTTCGACTAATGTCTCAAAAATATAAATGCCATGGCTTGTAGTCACATAAAAGGTCGATTTCATTAGTCAAGCAAAAACGTACTGTACATTTTACTCCGCAATATGCCGTAGATGAGGATGAACATGGAGCCGCAGGGCTGAAACACCCTAGCAATCTAGAAGGAGTTAGCTCTCTATACTCAATATTCTCGTGTCATGGGATGGAATGTTACCCTGAGAGCGCTTGGCACTTTGTGATGGCTTTGGCATATTCTGGGAATAATCTCCCAGCCGTGCGGTTGAGACAGAAGATCGCAAGAGGATCGTGATGGAAGTTTCTGCCTGAGGAAGAAGTGCATGTGCAGTATCATGTGCTCCTTTAGTAGCTGGGCTGTCTCTTCATGCACGCCACACAACACTTCATCACTTTCCATTACCTTATACCCCGCATACACTATCACATTACCACTTCACTTGCATTACAGGATGAGCAACCTTGGGTATACTTTCTGGTCGCTTACTTCTTGGGGGCTGGCTGGATGAGGCTCCAGCGTACTCTAATGCGCTCGGTTCCTTCGGATATACCCCATCTCGATTTCCATTAAAGGAAATAAAACGGTCATATCTAGCGATATGCCTGAATCCGAGCGCTCATGCAGGACAGGTAAGGCCAACAAAAGACCTCTGCGGCGTTAAGCCCGAATAGTGCTCGATTTCGTGATATACCAGACATGGGTGCTAACGCACTAGTCATTAGCGCAGGATTTACTTAGAGTGTCTTCATTTTCTTCCATTTTGTGGGAGGCTCCGAAAGCAGGAAAGGCCAACGAGACTAGCAAAGATTGACACATAATTTTCCTTCATCAAACAAATCGGTTAATATCGATAGATGCAGGTACGATACCGCGATTTTTGATAAGAATGGCGATACTGCTGCATATTTCGGACCACTCTGGATTTCGGGGATATCCGAACAAGCCGAATACGTGTCTTAAATGATATGATAAACTCAGTCGCCAAGAATGCAGAGCTCTGATTCGGCCCCCTGACAATGCTATTACTGATGATTGAATATCTCGCCCAATGATAACATGTGAGACACGTTATATCCGATGCAACCATTCTATCAACTCGGTGGAGTAACAGATTGCTTCAATCGCCAATTGTGCAGATCAGGTCCTCGTACTGAACCGCTCCTAAAATAAAAACGGGTATGGACCGAGCAGGGATTTGCTTGGCATAAACATTACACAGCCGAAGATTGGCTGAGAATCGATCACCCGCGAAGAAAGGGCCCCAGTTCGTCCCTTTCATGTTACACCCTTGGCGCACGCTATCCATATTCCCTTCATGGGGGTTGAACTCGAAATGGTTGGCGACAGCGAAAACTTCGGAAGCATGTGAAGAAACTAAGGCATGATAGATGAATTTGCGCCTTTTTCCTTCGATACCCCTCAGGCCTACAGATGCGCTTCGTACCACAAACGGTCTAATGCCGGAGAAATTGAGGTTTGGCGTGGCACTAAGAATTGCTTAACAAACTAATCTTCTTGAGCATAGATTAGGAGGGGAAAGAAAGCCAACTCTGTCAGCGATGGTCAGATCACCGAATGTTGCCGGAGATTGAAGGGCTTTGAAAGGTTGCATCTCTCCGCTCATCGATACAGTAAATGAGGGTTAGCTCAAAGTTTGATTCCTACATTGCGGGTTCTAGATGGACGGGGAAAGAGCACCTTTTGAGAATATGTGCCCCAAGTCAAAAAGCTCCATAAGGGGAAAGTGGGCTCCCTGCACAGGTGTTGATTCCTCGTGGCCTAGACAAGAGGGTGTACTATCTGCGAAATACAGGTTCTTGTTAACAGTGATGGTTATTAATCCGCGGGTTCCGCTTTTGTGCAAGGATGCGGATCCCTACTACCAAGCCAACGACTCAGAAGAATTGTAGCGAGACATTTCCTCCACGGACGTGTCTGACGAGCATCAGACCAGCGGTCAAGGGTATGGCGAACAGGACCGCGAAATTACCATAACTCTGTTAGCTAAGAGCCTAAGTGCGGGTGGCAGAAACGCTATCATGCCACTATGCAATAACCAGGAACAAGCCCGTTGCTAACCGTTTGGCCAGGGGCTCAAGGTTGCATTGCAGGATTCGCTGTTTGAAGTAGAGAAAAAAAATCTTCAACCAAAAGCCTGTCTATACGGGTTTATAAGGCAATCGCGCGTATCCTATTGCCTATGCTTCGAAGGATCTGATATCTTATGATCTGCGTGATCGGCTTGCCCCCTATCTTAGATCACCAGGCTCCTTCAAATCAGCAACGACGCTCAGGCATGTCACCAAGTCATCAGTACGAGAGGGCACGGAAAGAGAAAATTAAGGATGAGCGAGAAAAAACGGCCGTTCCTGAGTCATGACGAATGGGCAAAAGTCAGACATTTTTCCTGCTTTGGGGGGTACACCCGATCGCAATCTTCAACCCGCCATGATAAGGGACACGCTATCGACAAATCAACGGAAGTCACGATTAGTGGCAGTCCTTAACTAATTTCAGGTCGGCGTCAACCTTACCCAACCCCCTCATGGGAAGCGGGACTCCCTATGGGACCGGTTTACATCGGAGGCGCAGCTACAATAGCGCACGTCAATCAACCCCTCTCTTGTTGCAGTGCCTAGTATGGCAAACCACCTTTCTATTCTTCTAGAAACCACACCCTAGGGACACGGATCTGCACGGATTGGTTGGAATGCTCCGATTAGTTCGCATTTACCCCAGGTCAAAAAAGGATAATCAATCTAATGGAGCCTATTTCGTCAACTGCCAGCGAGCTAGCACAATCTCCTCTTCACGCCCGGCCGTGGGCTGTTAAAAGGGTCAATTCCCTCCCCACTCGTGTGGATTCTGAGTGATTTGCACGGGATCTTATTTGGTTTCCACAATTGTTTCTTGCTTTCAGCCTGTCTGCTTGTTGATTATTCACTTGATCTACGCGACAGACTCATATGCCATGACTAGAACTACTGTTGAGCCCATCAAATACGAGGCCCCTTCATGGGAGCACAAGAGCGTGCATATGTCCGACGACAGCAGGAGAATTGTCTCTAATGTCGGCGACGACGTAACACGCCCAAAGGGCCGCATTCGTCGTTCGATGACGGCTTGTAATACCTGCCGCAAGCTTAAAACGCGCTGCGATCTTGATCCCCGAGGGCATGCATGCCGTCGTTGTCTTTCTTTAAGGTCGGGCGCCACCATTACCCACTTCACCCAATCTTTTACGTCAAACCTGGAGAATTCCATGCCTTGCCAAGACCAAACAAGCCTTTGTGGGTATTAATATTTTTATAGAATCGACTGCCAGCTCCCTGAAACGAGCGAGCGCTTTCAGGATAATACGCCGATGTGGTCCGACGCTACGACAGCTATCCCTTCTATCGAGGAGCGGCTCACTTCCTTGGAGAGGAGTATGAGAGAAATGACCGGCATGCTCCGGCAAATCTTGAATCAATCGCCAACCGTTTCTAATATATCCGTACCTCCATTAGCTAGGAGCGTTCATACGGAGGAAACTGCCTCCATTGAAGGAAGCTCATTCGGCCCTTTCTTGCCTAAGCCCGTGCGACTAATCCAGGACCTCCAATCCGAGTTTTTCGGGGAGACAAATCGTATTCCTGTGGAGTCCCCTTTCCTGGGGAATAGCTTTGAGAAGGGTATCTTAGATTCTAAGCTGTCTCTCAAGCTAGTACAACTGTATGGTCACTTATCGCATCAACCTGCTTCTATAGCCGCTAATGCTTAGGCTAGATTTGTGGATAATTTCGGTCCCTTGATCTCAATAAATAACCAGTCCGACTTCCATAATGAGATGAGGAAAACCGATTCTCTACTATATAGTACCGCTTGCCTGCTGGCTTCTCGTTATGTGCCCGGCATTCCACCACCGATTCTACATGCCATGAACCTCCAAGTCCGACATAAGGCCGTTAATCTGCTGTGGGAGAAACCGCCCTTGAAGTACGAATCACTCCAAGCGCTTGCTCTCCTTTGTCTATGGCCCGCAGCGAGTCAGAAAGAATTCCCCGTCGACAGCTGGTTACTCAGCGGGACTGCGATCAACCATGCCCTTATCTCATTCGAATTTCTTAATCATGCACCTTCGGAACTTATCATTGACAACGACATGGCCGCTCAGCTGCGACTGTGGAACGCGTTCTGCTTGACACAGTTACAGTAAGTGCTACTTATCGTGTTCCACTCAAAGTTACTAACCCCATAATTAGTTTTGCTGTTGGCAACGCACGCCCATTCCATTTACCACAAAGGTATCTCGATTACTGCCCACGGCTTCTTGAGCACCCCGCCGCCACTGTCGAAGATGGGAAGGTTGTAGCGGAGATTCAGTTGTACTTGATCACCTTGAGACTTCAAAGCAACGAACAACGCATGCGATTCGCGGATGTTGAATATGAAGAAATTGAACGGTGGAAGGTTGAATGGGCCCATCTCCTTGGTAAGGCTCAGTCATTATTACAAATTCCGCTAAGATACTAATTTTCCAACAGCTGGTGATGAAAATTCGACGTTTGAGCTTAGTCTCTGGTTCTGTCAAATCCTTCTGCACCGGACGGCGATGAGATTCCAGGCAGAGTCCGAGAGACTCACGGCGGAGATTCTCCAGGGATCACGCCTAATCATATCGAAATTCCTGCAACTCCGCTTTGTAACCGCTTTGAGAGTGGTCGACCAGGCATACTTCATTGTCGGTTATGCCGCTCTGAATCTCTGCGATTTCAATTTCCTCGACCCACTCATTGACCAGATTCAAATGTTCCTGCTGCATCTGTCGCCAAATGAAGACCACATCGCATACCGGTTTTCGTGTATGATTGCGGAATTCAAGCGTCGCTGTTCCGAATGCAACGATCCATGCAGCGCAGTCGATGGTTCTCAAGGCTCGTTCGGAGACGCCCGGAAGATGAGCATGGAACACGTACAGTTCGTGCCACCCTTGGTCGATAGTATGATTGAGGGATATAGCGCTCTGGAGCAGCTGATCCCTGAGGTCATGCCACAGTCATTTCCGGAAAGTGTCATTAGTGGCATGGCCGTGGCTGAAGCCATCCCTGTAGGGTCGGCGACCTACTAAAAATCCCTTCACTACTGTAATTAGAGTCTAACGAAAATGGTGTCGGGGGTGGTCTTGGGCCGGGTTGGTTTACTTACAGGGCACGGCGCTTTTTTTAACAGTGGATATACGAAAGTTCTCCCATATCTTAATGAAACTACCCTTCTTGGATTCTTGCATAACTAGTCTTTGACTACCCTAGTCAGACGTTGCGTATTCCCCTTCATTATTTCTCTCTCTATGCGACTTTTTCTTATCCAATTCCCCACCGACCCCCCACCCTTTTATTCAGATAGCGGTTCCTGTATTAACAAGACTCTAAGGCGTCGATATCTCATCGGATCCCCATATTGATATATCATTAAGGAAAATCTTAATATGACACCCTTTCTTCCTATCTTTCTAAGGCAGCCTTTCAAAGTGGATTATAGATAATCTACCGGACGACATCAATCCTGATTAAGACCCAGAGGACTTTCATTTACACCTGACTAAATATATATATATGTAAATAGAGTTTATAACATAATATAAGCTGAAAAGAAGAATATATACAAGATTCTATATACCGCGCCAAATAAATTATTTATTTATCCAACAAGATAGAAATATCTGGACTAGAACTCTAAGCATAACATAGGGAGGATGTCAAACTAAGGTTTTCCTTTAAGTAAAGCCTGAAACACATTCTGATTCCCAACTATAGGAGAAGAGACTTTACCGTAGCGTTTCCCATAATCCCACAAGACCAGAAGCTAAGTCTCGACACCATCACTATCCCTCCATTCTAAATACAGACTAAACTACTTACTACAAATCTTGCTATCCCCCAACTTCTCAGACGGATACAACACCCTCGGCAACCCCTTCTCCATCGGAACAGGCACCTTTCCATCCGACCCCACCGTCACTATCGAGCAGGTAACAACCTCCGTCAGTTTCTGTCCAGCCGTATATCCTGTATTCTCCAAAGAGAGGGTGTACGAGTCACCGTTCGCGCCCTTGTTAGACAAGACAGTAATGACCTGCGAACCATCGCTACCTTTGCGCATCGCAATCGTCGTATCATCCTTGTAGATGGGCCAGTTCTTTTTTACCATTAGTTATTTCCTTACTGCCTCTAGAGCAATGAACATAACACACCTTGTAGGTCAGATAGCTTTTATCGGTGCTGATTGCGTGGCTCCGGATCGCGTTCACAGATGCAAGTAACTTGTATATCTCGCTGGTCGTCGAGTATCCCGATAACCAGGTTGCTTCACGGTTGGCGGGGTCATTGCCGCCTGCGTATTGCTGTTCCTGGCCGGCATAGATGATGGGGATTCCGTCTGCGAGGATGGTGAATGCGGCGACGTTCTTGGCGAGGGAGATGTCCCTGGTGTATCTGTTTCTCTCGTTAAACTGGTGGGATTTGAAAGAAGCAAGGGAAGTAAAAAGGAAGTCTTACGAAGCAAATCGCGGGTTATCATGGTTCTCAATGAATGTTCCCATAAGTGTTGAGTCCGGACAATCAGACTTGACCGTGTTGATCATATTGTACAGGTCGTTCATGTTGCCGGAGGTTGACTTAAAGGCGTTGAGTAGTGGGTAGTACCTGGTTGTTTCTCATCATTAAAGAAATACAAGGAGGAAGACTAACTCATAGCTGAAAGGACAAACATACATCGGATAGTTGAGCACTCCGTCCAGCACCTTCTGGTAGGGGCATGTATACGCCGGATTACCGTCGAGGACTTCGCCGATGCAGTACACCCCCGCAGCCTTGTTGTAACCGGGCCAGAAGTCCTTCTGCACATGCTTTACCGTGTCGATGCGGAGTCCGTCGACTTGTACCATGAGTATCCGTCCATAAATCTAGACTGGGAATGAAAAGGGTGGAAGATCTTACTGGAGTAATTCGACACCAATGCCCCAACCCACTCGTACCATTCATTCTTGACGTCTTGGCGTGTCGTGTCGAGATCGGGCAGAGAGACGGTGTTGTCGCCCAGCCAGCAGTTCTCGGCCTGGGTTTGGTCGTTGTAGTTCTGGATAAGGCAGAACGGGTGGAAGTAGTCTTCGGAATTGAATGGTTTGAATACGCTGTAATCGACTGAGTTTCCGGCTCCGTCGTAGCCCTATTCCGGATCATCAATATACCCTGCGAAGTCAGTATAGGTAAAGGACCCCGTACCATGTGGTTGGCAACTACGTCGACCATAAGATACATCCCTCTCTTGTGAAGAGCCGAAGAAAGAGCCTTTAGGTCATCTGCAGTGCCGTAGTGCGAGTTCAGGGCATATCTAGGCTTGGTCATCAACATTGTCCAACTGTCTTCGTAAGACATAGAGCATAGTTAGAGAGACTTACATATCCTGTTGCCAGTAGCCATGGTAGGCTTCTCCGTAGGCGGTGTTCTGGGGGAGTTGGCCGGTGACGGGGGTAATCCAGATGGCTGTAAACCCCATCCCCTGGATGTAGTCCAGCTATGTGGTAATTAGCCAAAGGGGTCTGGGCTGGTCTGTTGGATGAGGGCGGTTTACCTTGTCGATGATGCCCTTCCATGTACCACCACAGTATCTCTACATAATGTCAGTTTTCGATACTTTCCTTTGATGTAAAGGATAAGCGGGGGACGAAACCAACCCGGTCCTCGGTATTACAAGTCGCAGACGTCGATCCGTCTGTCCTCGCGAAGCGATCCGTGAGAAGGAAGTAAATAGATTGCGATCGCCAGTCCTCAGGCGTTGCAGCGAACGCCGGTGCCGCGGCCTGAAGGCCGTAAAGAAGGAAAGACCACCAAGAGACCATCTTGTATTTCCCTCTGGGATAACCCTGGCTCAGAAGATTGTTAGAGTCAAACTTATTCTCTATAATTGACTTTGAAGCATCATCTCTGACTATTTATAAGTTGTGGTACATCGCACGTACAAGTGGCATGGCTCAAGGGATGAAAGAAACGCGGATGACATGCAGGACGGTGAAATTGGCATCTTGCAGCCCAATGCCTGTGCCGAATGTGATTTGTGGTTTCCCTCGTGTTTAATTTCTTTAAATTTCCGCCCCTGGTCAGTCAGGAGGGAACTGGTTGGATCTTCGCCGTTGATCAGCGTTGCAGGAAAGTCCGACGGGGAGCGGACGGCTCCGGCTTTTCTTGCAATGTCTCGGTTGACTGGCTTTGCTTGGATGGTGACCCCGATGTATGGGGTTGGCATTCGGGAATTGAACGTGGATAAATGAAGTGGCTCCGTGATAGATTGGGCGATACGAACGAGTGATCTCTGAATTGCTCGGAGATTTTGCTCTTTGCACACTGGTGCCTACTCGTGGTGTTCCGAATTTTACATTTGAGCTTTATGGCTCTGATTCCTGATTCGTTGCAATTCTATATTGGTAGCTTAATACTCGGGGAATATATACATATAGTAAGGGTGCCTAATTTTCCCAGCTGGCTTGGTTCACCATTCCAGCATCCAATCCTTCGCCCACGCACCATCGGCCGTTTGCTCCTGCAAGCCACCTATGTGAAGAACCTGCGAAGTAGCATTGTACTTGACCGAGTCGGAGGAGAGCTTCTTGCCATTCAACGTGACCGATGATGGCTCCTTGGCAACACCAAGGACGGTCACATTGGCCAGTGGGTTTGCCTCTTTCCAGGTACCCCGAGCAGAGGCTTGGAGAGTCGAATTAGACGCCAGGAAGTCAACATAAAGCGTGTCCTCTGGGTAGACACTCTCTCCGTCATCGAGATAGAGCTCTCCCGAGGCAGTTCCATTTCTGCTCAACGAGGTGAGCAGAGACCAGGGGGTCTTACGAGCGTCCCGCGTGGTTAGTGCAACTTCCTGCATGGGCAGAATGCTACCACCACGCACAAAGACCGGGATGTGACCGAGTGGCGCCGAAATGGTGGTGTTGGCACCAGGCTGTGCGTCCACGGCTGTCTGTGAGTACCAATCATACCAGACTTCCCCATGTCCAACACCTGGGAAGACACCCTTGACGGTGTTTACCTGCGGCTCGAGGACAGGAATCACCATGACTGAAGGCCCGACAAGAAATTGGGTTCCGATAGCAGCTAATGAGGGATCATTTGGGAACTCCCACGCGAGTGCGCGCATGACGGTAGATCCTGTGGTGTGAGCCAAATGGAACAGGGTGTAAAAGTATGGCAGGATGGCGTAGCGAATAGTCATTGCCGCCTTGGTAGCGTCGATAACGGATGCCCATCGGTAAGGCTCCTGCGGGATAGCAGAAAGAACATTATGATTGCGATAAAACGGGAAAAAGGCTGAGAGCTGCATCCATCGGTTGCACAGCTCCTCGTCAGTGTTTCCATTGAAACCGCAGGTATCAACGCCAAACATTGGAATGCCAAAGAGCGAGAACTGAAGAGCCTGCGAAATCGAAAAGTACATTGATCCCCACCTGGAGAAGTTATCACCACCCCAGTGCCCCGCCCATTTACCGGAGCCGGCAAATGTGGAGCGTGCGATGATGAAGGGGCGCTTGTTCTGCCACACCTTGCGCAATCCATGGTAGGTCGCATTGATCCCTTGATGCCCGTAAAGACTGTGAACATCATACTCCTGAGTGCCGTCTACATGAGTAGAGTTCGGCGAGATGGCATGGACGCTCAGGTCATGACCGGATTGGACATGATTTATCACATAGGGGGGGTGTTCAACATTACGAATTCCAGGGGTAGGTGTCGTACGCAGATATGAGTCTGGTGTCGTTGCGGATGGTGCCGCTGCAGACTGCTTTGCAGCTCCAGCAGCTGCCGAGGCTGCTTCCGTAGCATTGGTAATATTGAAAGCCTCTGGGTAGTCATAGACGACGTTCCCAGGTTCACCGGGCAGGGCGAACGGTGGGTGAGCTGGGTTCATTGACAGATTGCCGGATCCACAGCTTCCTACACAGAAAGAGGAAACTTCAGCCATGTCGTACCAAACCCCATCGTAATGCAACTTATTCCACCAGGTGACAAGTTCATTAGCCCAAAATTCGGCGGCCTTCGGGTGAAGCCAATCGGGATAGACGGTATAGCCAGGCCAGACTGCCCCAATATAGAGACTGCCATCGGGGTTCTTGATGAAAACATCATCTTTGGCGCCTCTGTCATAAGTTTCGTACCTATAACGGTCGTAAGCGAATTTACCCACAGGAGAAAGCGAGCTAAAGACGGTCACTTACGCATCAGAAGCGTTCTCAGGATTGGGGATATAGAGTGCTCCATCAACGATCGGGACCCAGCGACGTCCACCTTCGTGAAGTTTGTTGAGGAACTCTTCACCTTCTTCATAGGAAAATCGATGCTGGTCATTATCGAAATTGCGATACCCATGCATGTAGTCTATATCGGCCCTAAAATTATCCGTTAGCAGACGCCCAGATGAGCAATCAGCAAGTTTGTTCCTTACCAAAGGTACTCTAGAGGAATTTCAAACCTCTCGAAATTTGCAAGAACATCTTCAAACTCAGACCAGTTGTTATAGCCCCAGCGACACTGGTGAAACCCAAGTGTATTGTATTGTTGCATAGCAGGCAGCCCAATGGTGCTGAGCTGATACTGCTTGGTGACTTCTACTTGCGTGGGACCAGCATAGAAGGTCAGATCAATACTCCCTCCGAGAGTGCGCCAAGTCAATCTCTGATCCCGCAGGAGAACTTCCTGTCCATGAGAGTTTCTGAGAAAGGCTCCATGGGAATATGAGACATAATCCTCAGAAGGGTCGGCTTCGCTGCTCTTGACAATGGTATGAGTCTTATTGGGACCGTCTACCTTGTAATATCTTGTATCCAAGTAGAATGGATGCTGTCCATAAATGTTACTAGAGGTGCTAGTATTAGTCTAAGCCCAATGGATCTTATCAAATGCCGGGCACATACTCATCAATTGGGTCTGCAATATCTGCTGCATACATGGTCAAATTGGCATTTTCCAGGAGTCGCAGCTGATTCATTCGCTCTCCTAAACCATAGAGATTATAGTCCTCTGGCAATGAAGTAACGAATTCTATGAATTGGTTTTCATAGACAAGGATAGAGCCCTCTGTATCAAAAAGCACGTCACCCGTGGCTTTCCGAATCACCTTGAAGTTGAAGGAAGGCTCATTGGACCAAGAGACGAAGAGATCACTCTGGGGAACGGAAGCATTGGAGGAAGCCTTGGGTCTAGGTACTAGTTCCTCCGGAAGAATGTACCAGGATGCATTAGAAGCGTCAACATACGTTGGGACAATCTGGATGTTTAAACGATCCTTTGCCTGATATTCCACAGTCAGGGTCAACGAATCAACGTCCGTTCCGTAAACATTACAAGGGTCGCCAGCCAACCCTAGGTTGGCAGTGAAGCCCTGAGAGGTATGCTTCACGTCGGTGGCCTTATAGCCGGGACAGGCAGATTGTACGTTGACCGCTTGGGGATCATCGATATTGGCGATCAAGTTGGCACCAACATCGGCAGAGGCAGGGATGGTGAACTGCGAGTACGGCGCAGTGGCAGGTGTGCTGGGGACCAGGGATTGGCTCGCCCCAAGGGCCATTGGTATCAGCCAGGAATTGGCAAGGACGCTTTTCAGACCAGCCATGGGAAGGTCTCAGAAGCTGATGGCTGACAGTGACGTAGATTTTTTATTTTATGTTATTTAATTTATCTTAAAAGAAACGGACGCCTGCACCGTCTCCGAACTGGAATGTACGGGGATATATAAGTACTTTATCAGCGGGTCTCTACGTTGAGTCCCTCACGTCGTTAGTCCACTCCATCCCCATTCATTCGTGTAACCTACTGTGAAACCAGCCATTCCCCCGTCAAACTCCCGATGCATGAGGCCTGCAATCCACAGACTTATGCGGGGAAGAGATGCACTAGTTGCAGGGTACAGGTCGTAAGCAGCAATAAGGTGACCTCACCGGCACCTAGTGGAGACAACCATGGTCAAGACTTTGGGTAGTGACGGAAGAATCACGACAAAGCTGACGATTAGAAATGAGACTTTGCTAAGCAGAGTACGAGACCGGCAGAGCAGTATGTTGGTGTTGGGTAATACTCCGTACTACTAGGCTGCCGAGTCCGGAGATTGAAAGGTTCGTTCCCGGTGATCATCTGATTGCCTCCCCTTGATTGGTCCATCCCCCGATAAATGACCGACAACAACGCTTAACCACTTCTCATACAGAAGACCTTTACATGGTAGATATCTACTACTCCATTCCCCCCACCTCGCTTTTCACAGCACCTAAACCCCCTCCGGTGCTCCGGTGAGATCTTTTCAGGTTTCCTTTCGGTGGTGCCATGACCCGAGCAGCCGACAAGCTTGCGATATTAGCTGATTAACAAGCTTGGAAACCGGGGCATTGCCTTAACTCAGAAAATTAAAGTCCCCGTGGGGACTTAGACTAAGAGCGTTACCGTAGGCATTCGGCTTTGTTTTTTCCTTTTTCCCTCTTTTCTTTTTACCCCATCAGTTCCGGCTCTGGTGTAATCTCAATGCCATTCATCCTCCTTGTCTTTGACCTCGGCTTCCCGAGAGCTGCCTCTGGACCGTGAGTCCCACATGTTACTCTTTAGTTACTGCATGTACATATATATATATATATATATATATATATATATATAAACCTACCGGCCACGTCGTGTTTTTAGAACTACTAGTATATCATGAGCAAAGAAACTTCCACAACCTATAGTCCAATTGCCTTTACGTGAAACCTTGGGTGTACTCCCTGAGCTAACACTTGACTAGTATTCCCAGAGTAAATCCCGTAGTCGTATGTACGGGTACCGATGGCTGGTGCACAGTCACTAAGTAGTATTCTAGTCTAGGAATGCTCTAAGATGCTGTAAGGTTCCATGCATCCACCACGTTCCTTCACAACGTGATCTGCTCATTCTCTGGCAGTCATTAACCCTTGTCTTCTTTAGCGTATAACGTTGTTAAATATAAAGCCAGCCTTTCTACGAATCCTGATGAGACTTTAGATTGATCTTTGTAGCGAACAAATCCTATTTGTTAGGGACCAGCGCTAGGGGGCCCTTAGGGCAGGACTTAAACCAACGCTAGGCTAAGATTCTACTTGTATGTAACGCGGGGTTTTTCTGCACCTGCAGCCCTGAGTTTTTTGTTTCAATCTTCCCCGGATTTCTTTTCTTTTCCTTCAATCCTCATAGTGATGGCGAGACAATCAGCATCGCCATCCTCATCCTCTACCCCCGGTCATTCTTCTAGTAGCCCTCACAACATACAATGAATCGGAACGGCTCCACATAGTACTTCCGAACAGATATCCACTTCGACGTCGGGAATATGGACTCTCAACCATCTCCCAGCCAAGAAAAACCGCCTAAACAGGCTTGTGATAACTGTCGCCGGCGCAAGATCAAATGTTCCAGAGAGCTTCCGTGCGACAAATGCCAACGTCTTCTTCTGTCCTGTTCCTACAGTGACGTGCTCCGACGCAAGGGCCCTAAGTTCCGCACTCTCTACCCTCTCGCCCCTATACATCCACTCGCATCCCGTCCGCGTCCCCTCAGCAAAGAATGGCTTCCTTCTGACACAGGGCCTTGCCAATTAGCGCCCCCATCTTCTCCGCCATTTACGGTAGCGGATGCCCAGTATCCACATCCCGACTTCTCGGAGTCGTTCGCTCGACTTCCACCGCCAGAGCTAGTCTCCTCTCCCGACTCAACCAACTCACTATTCGACTCATCCACCTTTAGCGCACTTCCGTTTGTGCGCCGTCTCTCGGCGCCTATCCTTCTAGCGCATATCAATGTATTCTTCAAGTACCTGTTCCCCATCATGCCTGTCGTGAGACAGGATCAGTTGCAGCAGGACTGCCACCAGCCGGAACGACTGTCCCCCCAGCGCTACGCTTTCCTTGCATCTCTATGCGCCGCCACGCACATTCAACTGAAACTGGATGGCGCAACGCCTGCCCCGGACTCAGCTTACGCGCAAGCCAGCATCGATGGCCATCCAATGATGTCCGGAGAGGAACTATTGGCCGAAGCCGTGCGCGCAAGGAAAGAATGCGACGTAGTCGATGAAATCGGCATGGAAAGTCTCCTCACGTCCTTCTTCCTCTTCGCTGCCTACGGAAACCTCGACAGACAAGACCAAGCATGGTTCTATCTCTGCCAAGCCACGTCCATGGTCTTCACCCTCGGCCTGCAACGCGAATCAACATACGCCAAACTAAACGCAGAGGAGGCCGAAGAAAAAAGAAGAGTATTCTGGCTCCTATTCGTTACAGAAAGGTAAGCAAAGCAAATCCACCAAACCAGAACCACCAACCCCCTCTAACTAAGCACACACAACGCAGAGGCTACTCCCTCCAACAAGCAAAGCCCGTCATGCTCCGCAACTCCATCCACAAACCACAAGTCCTCTGCTCAGACGACCCAATCCTAGCCTACGGCTTCATCAACCTTATCAACGTCTTCGAAAAGCTCAGCCCAACCCTCTACGACTGGGTCTCAGCCGGCGGCGGCACCGGTGGCGACGGCGACGCCTCCTCCATCCAATCCAGCCTCTCCAAGCAAATCTCCCTGGAAGGCGTCTCCGAAATCCAAAAAGTAGACATCCTCATCACCCAACAATGGCTCCAGGCTATGATGTGGAAGCTCTCCATGACCCACGCAACCCAGCCGGGCGCCCGCGACGACGCCGTCCTCCCCTTCCACCTCCCGGTCCTAGTCGGCAAGGCCGTAATGGGCGTGATAGGCGCCGCATCCCAAGGCGCCGTCGACGCCCACGGCATCGGAATGGTAAGTCCCCACCCATCTAACAGCCATCTACCCCAAAATCATTTGTCAACTAACGCACGATGCATCAAGGAACAAAAACTCTACGACCTCGGCACCTCCGTCGCAGACGTCTCCCGCTCCCTAAGCACCAAAGCCGCGCACCGGCTCGCCGAGTCAGCCGCCGACCCGCGCCAGCTCCTCTGGGGTATCCTGAGCACGCTCAGTCGTATCCGCGGCTCGCAATCGTATCTCTTCCCCGCGCTCGTAGAACAATGTCGCGGCATCCTCAGCTTCGATTGCTCGCTCTCTATCAGTGACTTTTTGCCCCCGCTTACGGCGGCGGTGCCTGCGGCGTCTATTACGTGGCGGACGGATGAGCAGGGGTTCGACCTGCTGGCGCTCTCTAATGAGATCCAGGCACAAGAGAATGAGGCGGCGGAGGCGGTGGCGCAGATTGTACCCGCGGGAAGGATTCAATCGGAGATCTCGTTTTGAGAGGTTGGACGTGGGTTGGCTGCTTTTGGTATTAGCGTATATATGTTTGAGGTGCTTTTTGGGCGGCACCCGTCCTGGTATATAAGCGTGTCCTGAGCATTTGTATATAGCCGGACGGAAAGGCGCAGGGGGGTGGGGAGGGGAGCATCGAGTCTTGGGGCTTTGGGGTCCGGGTCTTGGGTTACGATCGATATGAGATGTATAGAATCAGTTAATGGCCATTAATGTATATAGTTTCCGAACATGGAGAGAAGCTTCATATGAAAATAAGAAAGAGTGATAGATAACTGTGGATCTTCATTCTATAGTGAACAAGTCAGGTTAGCTTCAAAAGTCTAGATCCTCCCATTTCCAATATATACTCCAGCAATGGTTGGGCTATGAACGAGACAAAAGCAAACAGTGAGAGTCCAAACCATGCGTCACTCATATTGCACAAATTGATATCATCAAAAATAAACAAACTCATAATCTATCCGCCGCGGAAATTAAACTATATATACACTTCTGCTGGAGTGCGTTCTTTTATCTATAAACAAAAGGAGGTAAATGTAGTGGTTGCCAGGGCTGTCGGGCATACCCTGGCCCACATTGAATGGTAGAAATGGACATAAGGAGCGCCTATTGGAGGTAGGAGGAGAGGCACACCCTAGACGTCATACCAGAAACCCAGATAGCCTTCTATTGAGTTCGCCAAATCAATTCTAAGATTTGGTCTCCCTTCTCGGGATCGCGATGGACGTACCATTGCCGTACTTTGTTGCCGTCGAGAACAGAGTCTTCGAGCAGGTAGCTGAACTTGTCCCAGTCTTTCCCGCGCAAAGGACCGAACTCGTGCAGGTATGACTCGTGTACTGCACCATTTTGACCCTCCCATGTAAGCTCCATGGTCTTGTCGCTCGGGTCGATCTCCTGGCTGTACTTCATTATCGAGAAGCCGTTCGTCAAAATCCAGCCGTCTGCGAACTTCCACTGCCGTAGAAGACAGCTATCGCCACAGAGCTCGCTAACAACACTCAGTTTAGCCATATCCATATGGAACCACGATTTCCAATGATGTACAGAAAGCGGTGGTTGCCGTCCTGACTCAAAGAATCCTGAAACGTCGCCCTGAACGTCAAGTTGCCGCAGCCGGTGATTGACGGTCAAGCGCGTAAACGTATGCTGGTAAATGCACAGAGATATCCTCCGGTCGCCGGTGTGGTCTGTATCCAGACAGGCATCGAAGATCTCGGGCTTGCTGATTTCCTCCACGAGAGGTCGAGATAGAAAGACGCCTGCGCCTCCAAATCCCATCAATCCGAACACGCCGATCTGCGGAATTGACTCCGAAAGACCACCGACATACATAGGTTGAGTATCATCATATTCCCCAAGAGCCTTCACTAGTTCCGACATAGACAAGAAAAATGTATCATCGTCAATGATGCAGGACCACCGTGTCTGCGGCCGCATATGCTTGCCTAAATGCGAGACCAAAGTGAAGTAGCGGCGCTGGTACTCTTCGTCATTTTCCGTAATATACAGATTGATCCCGAGCGAATCAGCCTTAGCCTGAACCTCATATGTTCTCTTCTCCTCATCCGGTTCGATGAGAGCAAAGATGCGAGTTTTGGTGTAGCCAGCCCAATGAGCGAATGCATCCAACGAGTCATTCAACCGTGCCAGGGTTGTCGCAACGCCAAAGTCAATGTGCGATGCATCCGCGTGTCTTGGGGGCTGAAGAACCTGTACAGTCACAGGCTCTGGAATCATACAATCGTCCTGCACTTGCTGTACGGGGAGGTTATCGGGGCTATTCGGTAGTTTCGGAGACTTCGGCTCGAATAAGGGCGTCTGGAAATTTTGCCTCATGGGTAGGACGTTGTTGGAGGATGGAACAGCGATCACTTCTCGGCGCGTATACTGTGATAATTTATGGACATCGAGACGCCGAAGGACATCAAAGTCCGGCTCGCATTGAACACTTGAGGTTATTGTAATGTTGGAGACGGTATCGGCAGCAGGCTGCTCGTAGTTGATCTGAGGCCAGAGGAAGAACGCAAAAGCGCTCACCAAACAGAGAGTGACTGTAAATCGCATTATCTTCTTCTTCCATATCCGTGAGGCCCCCATTGCGGGGGGCTTCTCCCCAATCTTCGCCAGCATTGGGAATTGTAGATGTGAATTGCTAAACCGGAGAATAAAATAAAAGTTGGGTGCTGCACTAGCCAAGCATGAGCATCTCGATCATCCAACACCGCACCGGAGATAGGATGAATGAGACGAGCGGTAACGAGCGAAGGTGAAGGGAAGGGGGAAAGAAAGTAGTATACAATAGGAAGAACAAAACCAGGAACAAAGAGAAAACGCTCGAAACAGGTTATTAAGGTGAGTACGGGGTCGGGATGACGGCAACGGGAGCAATGATGGTCATATCAAGACTAACCGAGCCGATAGTTAGAATATTAAAAAGGAAGCAGATTGGGCGTTTAAGAGGCGAACGCGGTAAAGATCCAGCTGATCAACGGAGCCCTGGACCTTGGATTTTAACAGCCAGCGCGTCCCTCGCCCTGGTTTTCGGCTTTGGGGGGAGGGAGGGGGGAAAAGCAAAAAGAAGGACTGGCGACGAAAGCAATCATTGTAGGCGGAGAAGGCCCAGACGATCGACCATGGGACTGGCCACTCTGGGTCCTCTGGAGAGGAAAAATGGAGATCGAGCTCCATCGCCATCGAATGAGATGGCGTCCCTGGGTCAGGACAGCACCTGCCTCATGGAGCCGTGAGCCAGCAACAGTTTTTTCACAGGGGGAAGATCGGCCGTGGATCCCAAATAGGAGATTTTTGTTGGTTTAGGACTTCGGTCAGTGGCGCTGAAGCACCTCGTAGTTAGAGAATCACAGGACCTTTTTTGATATTATTACTCTTGCGCAATGGACAACGCCTTAACCGCGCAAATTTGATCGGATGCCGAGACAACATCTGTTCGGGGGCTTGCACTCCGCGCTGAATCTGGTCCCTCGCCAAGAGCCAACAGCGTAGATAGGATGGGAAGTAAACCCAACTCGTCGCAAACGGAGACGCGCGGGAGACATTCCTGATCCCCTGGGAAGGGCCCACGGGACGATGACGACGGCTGCAGGCCAATCGCTTGGCATCATTTCCTTTTCTGCCACTTTGGGAATTATCATACTATACGGATGGGTCATTGACTTTTTTTTTTCGTCTTTTTGATCTTTCCTTCTTATAAAGTTGCATATAATGACATGGATTTCCTCACTAAACGTGTATATGCGTAGGTTATAAATAGATCATCATCTAAGTCCCATATGCTTCATCCGAATTAGGAACCACCTGGTTTTTGCGGATTATATAATCTTGGCGCCGTTTCATGTGGCTCAATTGAGGAGCTACTAACGTGATTTGTGGCTCAAGAAAAGATGGTCAAGGGGGAAAGGATTTGGAACTTCTCAGTAACTCAATTCGAAAAATATCATTGTTTGGGTTACCTGCATTGCAAAGGACCCGCGAACATACCACATTATTGACTTGAATGTTCACAAAATTGGGGAGTCGAACGTCTAGACTCAGACCTGTCTAAGGGTCTGGCATGTTCTAGCCAGTGCCTCAAATTGACGGCAGTAAGGTTCCATGCAAAGCCACTCAAACCTTGCAGGGTGTGACACATGATGATTAACTTTCTGCACAAAAGGGGAGAGATGAGATTCTATACATAGAATACACTATCAAGCCACGGTGTGGTCTCTGGAGGAAGCAGATGGTCTGTGGTCGATCAAATGCAATTGAACGAGAGGGAGAGCCCTGGGATATCTATGCCATATTACAGAACACTATGCTTTCGTAGTTTAAAATGATCCAGACCCTAAGTGCCAATTATGTGGTGTTAGCTATAGAGTGCACCCTAAGGATCATGAGCAATAGCCAGGACTACGGCGAGCCAAACATCACTTGGTGCAGAATTCCCCAATGGGGTAATCTCTCACTTCCGCACAGATATTCCACATCGGAGCATTTGGAGAACAAGCACAGTCAACCCGCACCCCATACAAGCCCCAGCTCAATTTATGGGACCGCCTGTCAATCAAGTCTTTAGCCCCAACTGAATCCGTGCCCGTCCCGGGCTTCTTCCCGTTCGACAGATATCAATAACCATCTCTCTCGCCATGGCTACCCAATCGCTAAGTTCCTTGTTGCAGCGCACATCGATCGACGATCACGAGGAAGTCCTCCGCTCGTCCAACGCAGCTTTGGCTAAGTCGAAATCGGACATCCAGGCGCAGCATGTGAAGGTAGTGGCATTGCTGAAGCTTGACCGCTATGAGGACGCCCTGCGTGTATTCGAAGAAGGAGGTGATACTCTGAAGCAGAGGGCTGCTTTGGAATACGCATATACTCTATACAAGACCGGGAACCTGGACGAGGCGATCGATGTGGCTTCGCAGATCGCTAATGATAGAGGTGCTCGCCATTTGGAGGCTCAAGCCGTACGTCGTTGCCATTTTATCTTTGACCGCACGTCGCCGCAGAAGACCGCTTCTAACCACCTGGCCTTCTAGAGCTACCGCGCTGAGCAATTCCGCCGCACAGCTGACCTTTATGAAGATCTGACTAAAGACGAGATCACTCTTGCAAATGAAGGGAACGATCTGCGGATTAACGCCTGGGCTGTAGATGCACAGCTACAGTGGAAAGGATACCCCGACTATGTCCGCCATAACAGACCCACGAGAGATGACTTGGAGGCGTTTGAGACCGTCTATAATGCTGCCTGTCTAAGCATCGCGAAGGGAGAGTTCGGTCAAGGAGAAATGTTGCTTAAGCGGGCGAAAGGTTTGAATGGGTTAAATTCGCTATGAAGACGTGCACTAACCTCAGTTGCGCAGAGCTATGTCGGACGTCGGAGGACCTTACACCTGAAGATAAGGCCGCGGAGCTGCTCCCAATTGCTGTGCAGCAGCTCTATGTTTTGATCCGCCTAGGAAAATCGGAGGAAGCAGAGTCGATACTCGAGGAGATTTCCGTCAACGAGTATGCTCATCGCATTGAGTCACCTATTGCCATTAAAGCTAACGGTTGCGCAGTATCCCCGAGCTCTCTACAAAGAGAGTCGCCGTGAACAATATCACACTTGTCCGCGATACTACGACCAATCCCTTCGCTCTCTACAAATCCTTACATGCGACCCCCGTCTCTACCAACAATGATCGGCTTTTCAACCACCAGGATAACATCGTGACCGGTAATGTCCACTCGGCAGACCTTCTCGTCCAGAAGTATGACGGTATCATCCGATCAACATCGAAGGCACTCTCACAGGCACCTTGTCCCTCCGCTAAACCCAGTGTAAACCTCTTATCTGTCTACAATGCTGCTGCCCATGCACGTGGCCAAACTGGCACACCAGCACTGAAGGCGATACTACCCGCAATCGAAAGACGGCCAAAGGACATCGGACTAGTCCTCACAGCCGTGCAGCTCTACGTGGCCGAAGGCAATACTACTTCCGCAATCACCACACTTGAAAAATCCCTCCAGCTCCTCGAAGAATCCATCTCCGAACAAGACAAGGAGGTCCGCTTCAACCCCGGACTGCTAGGTATCCTTGTTGCGCTCTACAAACTCGAAGGCCGAAGAGTCCAGATCCGATCGGAGCTTGCCAAAGCCGCAGACTACTGGCGGGGACACGCCGAGGCGCCTTCTTCACTTCTTCGCGCGGCCGCCGAGTCTTTACTGCACTCATCAGATCGCTCGAACCTTACGGCTGCCGGTGATTTGTTCAAGGCTCTTTACCAAGAGGACAGAAATGATCGTTTCGCTATAGCCGGCTACGTCGCTTCTCAGGCAACCCTAGACTATACGAAGATTGAGTCCCAGGTGGACAGTCTCCCTTCAATCGATGAGTTGATCTCGGGTGTCGACGTAGACGCCCTTGAGTCGGCCGGTGTATCCCCTCCTTCATCTGCAGCTGCTGCCGCCGCTGCCGCTATCGCTGGAGCAAGAAAGAGAACATCTAGCGATAGGCATGGCCACGCAACGAAGCGACTGAGAAAGTCTCGCCTTCCCAAGGATTATGACCCTAACAAGACGCCTGACCCAGAGCGCTGGTTGCCTCTACGTGACCGTTCCAGCTACAAGCCCAAGGGCCGGAAAGGCAAGCAGCGGGCCGCCGAACGGACGCAGGGAGGTGTCGTTAATGAAAAAGCGGAAGAGTCACCTGCACCTGCAGCTCAACGGCAGAAGTCTCAAGGCGGAGGAGGCACCAACAAGAAAAAGAAGAAGGGAAAGCGGTGAATTCATTATGAACACTTGTGCAAAACAGGCCGTGGCTTGCATTCTAAATCAAATGCCAGGAAGTGGTCTTGTTCAACATTAGAGTTGATCTCCCCTATGAAATACAGAATCAATCTCGATATATCCAACCAATTTGCCTGTATACCTCCATAACACCCACCCTTCGGCTATTATAATAGTCATAAGTAGGAATACATAGACGATAACAAATAAGGGTTTCACCAGATGAATTCACCAGCAGACTCATCCAAATCACCCAAGACAACTTAGCCAAGAGGAGTTCTAATCGTGCCGCACTGCCGGTCATACTGCTCGAAAATCGTCTGAAACAGTTTGACATCTTGTAAAGAATCTTTAGCGGTTGTCTGGGCAGGCTGCCCGTTAGTCAAGTACGCATGCAGCGCCTTGAGCTCGGCGGCGTATGCGTCCTCCCAGCTACTAACGCTCTCTGTCTTTTTCAGCTCACCCTTGTCATCGGCTGTTTCTACAACCACACGCAATGGCTCCCCCAGGGCATATGGCAAATCATAATGCATGCTAACGGTCTTGGTGTTTCCATAGAGCGCTAGGTGTGCGTCACATCGAGGTACGGAATCGGTTCCTGTCTCGTATATCAGAGTAAACGGATGATGGCCCCGGCTAACACTGCCATTGTAATGAAATACAGCCGAATAGAAGGGCTCGTTCACTGTGATGTTAGAAATGGCGTCAGGGTAACCTAGCGTATCGCGCATCAAGCCTAAGTCATGGCACCCCAGAGATGCCAGGAATCGACACAAGGAGAGGCGCTCTGCAGTCAATTCTTCGCCCTGGAAAATTTCCCGGAGAAGGCAATGACGCAGTCGCTCACCATGCTGCTCGTTGAGGGACAACCCGTTTGATATACTGCCGCTCTTAGCCAGGTGTTTGTTTTTCGGCGTAGTAGCTGTGTGCGCCGAGTGTGGCCCTGCAATATTCCGACATCGAGCATAATAAATCCGATCCAGACTAGCGGCTTCCTTCTTGAAGTTCTCGAAACAGGGAGCATGCCGACGTGCAGAGGCCACAAAGACTTTCGCCTGGTTCGGAGCCCGTTTCTCGGCCTCAATTATACGCCTTGCGCTCGGGATACTCAGGCTGACAGGCGTTTCCACCATCACATGCTTACCCGCTTCCAGAGCTGCAATGGTATAAATTTCATGGTATTCATTTGGCATGAAGTTCACGACAAGGTCGACGGCAGGGTCATGTAAAACATCATCTGGATTGGAGACAATTTTAGGCAAGTAGTCGTCGATGCCGTCTTGCGGGCATAGCTGGGAGGAGTCGTAAAGAACAGCGACGTAATAGGATTCATGAAGAGCTCGGAGGGCAGGGAGATAGAGGTTTCTGATGGCTTGGCCACCGTCTGTGAGGATTCCAACTCGCAGGATTGTTTGTGTCATCCCGACTCGGTCAACTAAAACAGTGCTGTGTTAGAGGCAAGTAACGAAGGGGCGGAGTCTAGGTTAGAGAAGGAGCACAAAGCATAATACTCACACCACACACCGCGTAGGAAACATACGATTGAGAGCGTGCGACTCAAGTAATCAAAAGAGCAGAAATGCCCGTGAGAAAAGAACCGGAGGTATTCATTCTTCGATAAGACAACTCCTCAAATGGTGTTTGCCAAGTATGTCTGGTGCAAGGGATATTGAGACCTAGGAATGGGACGCGAGCGGAAGTACAAAGAGGTCACAGGCGAACAGGGCACATCGCTCTTTCCTTTCTTCATTCTTATGAATTCAGATCTCGCCGTCTTCGATTATGCCGATGTAATTTAATTTCTTAGAAAGTGACATCAGTGGCTACATAGGTTGGTTTGGAAAAGGCGATGGGAGGTTCCAAGCTTGGGGCTTTTCTGCTCTAGTTTCGTTGGTACAGTTCATCTGATGCAGAACATGTTTTGTTTTTCCTCCCCTAGGGATGAATTTCACTGGGCTTCTGGTCATCGGTCATACCCCCGTTTCTGTGAACATTCAAATAGGCATATCACGAGATAAGTCTATTGTAACTGTCCCCATAAGCGATCATAACGAACCCATGTTTATTGGATACGAGGTGAAGGACCCCATCAACCAATGGAACGCTTCGTTCGCAATGTGGTCAAAGCTGAATGAGGTAAGAAACCAATAGACACGAGGTTACACATGAAGTCAAGGTATGTGACATGTTGATCCTCAGGAGATGCGGGACCGGATGATTTGACCAGGGATGCTCCAAGGGTGGTACTTGTATTGATTTGATCTCCAATCCATGGACTAGGAAGTGACTAATTAGGTATAGCTCCATCACTTGATCATCACTTGACCTGACCTCAACTGTGATGTCACAATGGTCCAAGAAGGATATACAGGTTTACTGATCATTCCAATTTCAAGCCATCATTTCTCAATTGGATCGGATAGGCTTCCATTAGGCGGAACCCAGCTCAGCCTTATAGATGGATCCATAGCCTTCCTTGACTGCATAGTATTCATAGGTGGGGTATATAGTGGAATTAATTAATTAATCAAATGTTGGATACACGTTCGTTCCATGGAAACTCTTTCTGAAGCTGAGTGTCTAAAGTTAGCTACTGAAGAACATTTTTGTAGCTCATTATATATACATTTCTCTTTATTTAAACGAAGAGCTTGGTGGATTGATGAAAATATAGACATGTATGTACAGTAAGTATATCGATCATAACCCCTAGGAACTGTGTAGTAACTCCTCATGGGCGTTAGTGGCAAGCGCCTAGGGCTTACCTTGCCTTTAGGTACGTACCTTAGTAGTAGTCTTGAGGAAGCCTTTCCATTATTCAGGGACTGAAAATAACCGATCTTCGTATTTTCCATAAAACGACCACAGCTGAAAAATAAAAAGCGGGTCTCATGACGCCGAACCCAATCGTCATCATGGGTCCCTCATTTATTATTATTTACCACTTTCTCCTCAGTTACGCAATCTGTCACCCTCACGATTGTTTCTTGACTTTCCTATCTGTACTTTGGTTTTAGATTATTATTTCATTTCTCCGACAGTCAGCCTTAAGACAGTTCTCAGTCACCATGGGCGTAAGTCATTGTTCTTTCCAAATTTCTAAGCCCCGCGGTTCCTGCCCCGCGGGGTGAAAAAACCAAGCCACGAAAACCGCATTCTTCATACCCAATAAGCTAATATGCGCATATTGCTTGCTTCTAGTTTGCTTCTAAGATTGCCGGCAGTCAAAACCCGCAGAATATGAGTAGCAACAATCCGGGCGCATATGGAGGAGCACCTCCCACAGGCTACACGGGCGGTCCTCCTGCAGCGCTGCAGCCTGGTGCTGGTGCTCCTAGTGGATACAATGTGAGTGCGCCCGCTAATAATAGCTAAAGTAGCAGCCAAGCTACGCTATTTCCAGTTTACTGCTGCCCTATGCCCATACCTTAAACCTATGCTGCCCCTCATTACCACCAGAAATGATCCCCTTGACCACATTTTCTCGAGTCACTGCTGATGGTCGTTGCGCACCGTAACAGCCGCCGCAACAGCAACAGAACCAATATCAGGCTTACCCAGGTTCTCCTGCTCCATCCGGCAACTCGGTAAGCTAATTTTGTTTGCTTCTGGTTTGCTTTTGATTTTCAATTTCTGCCTTACTTGTTCGTGTCGCCACCTCCACACTCTATCTTTCGTTGAGTGAAGGAGATTTCTTCCCGTTCCTCTCGACTTATATCGGCTGTGCACGCCTTGGAGCTTTCCTTGAATTATTTTTCCTTCTGTTCTTCTGTCCACTTGGACGCTCCCATACAACAATGTCGGGACCATATTATAACCAACAAGGATATCCTCCACAGCTGCGCCCTGGTTCGGCCTCTCCCTATCCAGGTTCCCCGCCGCCGCTCCAACAGTACCAGGCGTACGCTCCTTCAGTCCCTCCAAACAAGCCAGCTCCCTCACCGTCTCCGGTGTCTCCAACTTATTCTGGCTTTCCTCATCCCTCTCAATCCCCTGCGCCCCACAGCTATTCTCCAGCGCCCTACAGTTCCGCTCCACCGCCGCCACAGGGATACCCTCAGGCTCCTCCTTATGGATCAGATCCCTATGGGCCACCTCAAGGCTATGGACAACCCCAAGGCTACGGACAACCTCAGGGATATGGACAACCTCAGGGATATGGAAGGCCTCCTCCGCCCTCCCCACATGGCCCGTCGTATAGGTCGGCGCCCGGACCACAGTATCCTCAGCCATCATCTCATGTACATAGTCATCCCACATACCTCCCCTTGCTGCATCCTTCTATGATTCTACTTTTAAAAATATGTCAACTAAGTATGTTCTTTGGTCAAGAAAGTGAACTAACTGAATGAACTACTAGGGGCCAGGGTATCCTCAGCAAAATGCACCCTATCCCGGTGCCCCCCCGCGCCCTCCACAGCAAGGAACACCTGGACCATCCGGACCCCAAGGTGTTCCCTATGGTCCCCCGGGAGGCGCTCCTGCTCCTCGAGCAACCGAACAGCAGGTAGCTGCCTATCGCCAGCTTTTGATTGGAACCATCCAGGAGAAAAACCTCCAAAACTTCTATCCCCCAGAGAAGTTGAACGCAGTCGTCCAAAGTCTGGCTAACGATGCACCAGCTAAAATTAACAAAATAGTCCATGAATGGGCCGTGCCATCGGAGGTGGCCACAGATATCATCAAACTGTCCTTGTTCGATGTTATTCTTTACGTGGATGACAGCGGGTCCATCGAGTTTGAGGAGAGGGGAGTGAGAAAGGAACAACTGAGGCAGATCATTGGCATTGTTGCGACCGCTGCGTCCACCTTCGATCAAGACGGGATCTCAGTCCGATTTATGAACTCTATGGAAGTAGGCGATGGCATCCGCAATGTGGACGATGTCAACATGTTGGTCTCACGCGTCCGCTTCCAGGGTCTGACGCCACTGGGAACGGGTTTGAAGAATAAGGTTCTAGACCCAATGGTCGTGGGACCCGCCAGAGCAGGCCGCTTACAGAAGCCCGTATTGGTCATCACCATTACAGATGGGCAGCCAGCCGGAGAGCCTCTCGACTCTGTAGCTAATTCGATTCGCTATGCTGTTGAAGAGGTATCGCGGACTCCTTTCGGACGAGGCGCTGTTTCTTTCCAATTCTCGCAAGTGGGCAATGATTCCAAGGCACGTGATTTCCTTTCTAGTCTGGATGAAGATCCGAACATTGGAGGGTTGATCGACTGCACTTCTAGTAAGTTTATAATATTTATACTAGCCTACTGAACTGTATGCTAACACTGCTGGTAGATTTCGAGGTTGAACAAGACGAGATGTCCCGTGCCGTCCCACCTGTGTATTTGACTCGAGAACTCTGGGTACGTAGGCACTACACCATTCAAAACCGAAAGGCGTTGTATACTAATAACTTTTAGTGCGCCAAATTAATGCTTGGTGCTATCGATTCCTCATACGATACCAAGGACGAGAAGGCCGCTGGCCGTCCTGGTGGTGCTGCTGGTCCTCCTCCTGGGCCTCCCGGACCTCCCCCACCTGGCCAGTACGGTGGCTACAACCAGACGCCCGGCTATGGCCAGCCAGGAAACCCTAACCAACCTGCGTCAGCCAGCCCATATGGACCTGGGCCAGGATATGGCCAAGCACCTTATCCGCCTAGCCAAGGACAGCCCCCAGCACCTGGCTATGGACAGCCTCCGTCATACGGCGGGCATGGATCTCCTGCTCCTGGAGGATATGGACAACCCCCGGCCGGTGCTACGAGAGGCTTTCCTCCACCCCAGAGTCCTTACGGATATGCTCCCCCTCCGCCCCGACGGTACTAGATGAAGGAACGGGAGTAACGCACGACGGAAAGGAGGGTTCTCCGAAATGCAGAACACCTGGTTGTATCCATTATGATCATGACTTTCTTGTTTGATTCCTCGACGCTTAAACCAAATTGGCTTAAAAGCTACTGGAGTGGTGGAATTGGTCAATGGTCAAGAATAGAGCATGCGTTGATATTGTCTTTCTGCTGCGCGCGCAATGCCTGTATTTGAATTAGGACTTATGCCATCCGGTTATCCCGATTACGAATAGTTGATGAGACACATTACTGGGCAAGAATGGAGATTCATCTCTCTTTTTTCCCTTTCTTTCTTTTTTCTTTAAAAAAAAAATTGTTGAGGTCGAGATATGTTTGTTGAGGGTCGATATTTGTTCCTGCCCGTTGAAATGACGTCAATAGAGATCGACTAGTACATAGGCCCATCCGTACACGTGACCTCGTGTTGTTCCCATAATGTATGTATGTACGGAATACATACTCTGTAGTGCAAGGTAGACTATTCCTTCTTGGATCTATTTTTCCAGGCGTTAACAACCTAAGGAAAATAGGGGAAGTTTGATTGTCAGCCTGATGTGGTCCCAGAGAACCTTCAGTCGCCCTGATACAGTGACAAGGTTCTATTACTTCAGGTTGCGCCCCGCTTGGTTGGTTCCTGGTTCCTTGGAATCCTTGCCACCACCCACGTCTTATCCACAGGGCTGCGTAAATTCCACACCTGTGGATGGCCAACCTGTTAGGCATGAACTCTCGAACCGTAGGATTCAACTTCCGGGGACCTGACCCCGTGGGTTTGATTGAATTTGTGGGAGGTTATCTGGAAATGGATGGAAGATATCCCGCCACTGAACCCTGGGATGTATGACAGGACAACCAAGTAACATGTACACTAATTACTATACTTAGGAGAGGCTGTGCATTGTACCATCGTGAGACATTTATTTTTCCTTTCTTTGGGCCAAAAGAAAAGAAAATGAGAAAAGTTTGCAATCTCTTTCAGTAAGTGGTGGCTGCAAATGTTTATTAATTCCGTCAAAGTGAAGAAATATGCAAGTTGGAAAGGGTGATGCATCCTAACTTCAGAGGAAGCGTTTTCCGTCTTACAAGAAATGATTGTTTTCCGGAGGGAACCCCGATCTCTTGACGTCGCACGGGGATTTGATTGACGGCAGAATTGTCATTCACCGTATTAAGTTTGCCATGCTTGCGTTGACTTGCGTGGCCCCTTCTCCAAGCCACCGTGACTGGACGGCGGGTAATTTAAGGTCATCCTGTTCAGTTTCCCCACTGAACCCCATCGAATATTTGTGGAAGGCCATCTAGGTAACATCGCTTAGTTGACTAGTGGGAGGGTCGCCTTTGACCGTTGCAGGGACTAAATTATGGGGGGAAGGAAAGTTTTTTTTTTCTTTTTTCTTCTTCATTCTTCTTCTTCTTCGGTTCATTTCGTTCTCATATTGCGGGCATGAACGAGTGTTCAAAATTTAGTCATACATTCAGCAGATGCAAAAATTAGAGTACATACATACAATAAATACAATAAGGAAAATCTGGCTAGTTCGATTCAAGTGGCGGTTGCTCTATTTTCGGGCATCTTACCGCATTCGGAACCGCCCACTTAGGTCTCCAAACTCAACCAGACTCACTATTGCAGAAGGCCTCGACCAGGTCGCCGCCTGCGGACGGCGGTAGGTGTCAACTTTCGCTCGTTCGCGGCGTTCTATGCGCCATCTCATTACGGTCTCTTCAAGTTCTGGTTTACTTGTTCGTGCCCATGTCTCTTATTTTGGTTAATTGTTGATTGTTGACCACACAGTCTCCCCCACAGTCGTTTTCTCTCCAACGAGCGGGTTTCGTGTCTTTTGTTGCAGTAACGGACTGTCGCTATCGCTTCAATAAACTGCATTACTCATTTTTCCCGCCTCGGTGCAGATTAAAGCTTGCGTCTATCTATCGTTGGAAGTACAAAGTGCTATCGCTTACAACCGTCTCCGGACGCTGTGCTTAGATCTTTTCTCCTCGCCCGCTCGAGTGAAGAATGAACCAGGACTATTCGTTTAGTCCCCGCCGATACGCCGCTTGATTGCCATTACTTTCTTTCACATTGGGAATATATAAGGAGGCGGAGGCGCTATACACAGCCATCGCAGTCACTGGACGGACCAAATTTATACACAATCTAGCCGTAAGGCTCTTGAGGGAGGATCGTTCTCGCTATGCCCAACCAGGATGCGAGGGCCGACACAAATCAGGACGCGCCAATGGCGACGTCTGGTGAACCTAGTATAACGGTGGAGGAAGTACCTGAACAGTATTCTAACTCGGGAGCACCGCTTCCGAGAAGCCATTCCGTCAATGTTCCATCGCGGCATAGTATCAGTCAAGAACGGCCGTCCATGACCCCTGCACGAACTCTTTCGGATTCTGGACGGAGGAATTCCCATCAGCCCCGTGTTGTTCGCTTCTCAGCCGACCTCGAGCGACCCGTTGTGGAAGAACCCCAAGATTGTAATCATAGTAGGAGGCCAAACTCTAGGGGTTTGACCATCGATACTAGCATTACTCGTCAGGGTCGTCTGTCTATTAGTTCCCCAGATCATAGACCAATTTCCCCTCTTTCCCCACACTCCGCACACTCCGCGCTGTCACCCTCGCCGCCGCAGAGCCCAGACTTAGGTCGCTCGCGATCGCGCAATCGCGGGTATTCCCTTCGACGGACTATTTTTGCGAAGAACATTGTCACTGCGACCTCCCCGGGGGCTGTCTCGCCCAATGACATTGAATTGGGTCAGCCTGTGAACCTCCAACGAGAGACTCTCACGGGAAATGAACGGAGTCAGCAGAAATCGAGCGACGACGAAGGGCAAGGTGCTCCTAAGATGGATGGTCAATCTCAGCGCAATTCGACAGAAGATGAAAAACAAGAGGTAATTGTAACTCAGACCTCGGCACCTGAACATAGTCCTGTTCATAGAGACGATACTTCGACAGCATATTTTTCCTCCGACCTTTCGGAAGGCCTCAAGGAAAGTAGGCACATGTCTACTACGATCTCATACGAGAAATGGCTAAAGAGACGGGCCACCATTGCGACATTCAAAGCCCGGTATGATGAAATTATGGAATCACTTCGCAAGACAATCCTTCGAATCAAAGATATTCCTCCAAGCAAGGATGGCCGTCACATCGATCTTGATCCCACTAGGACAGAGGATTTGGTCGATGAGAGGACCGGAAAACCCTACTGTGGAAATTGGATCCGATCTAGTCGTTACAGTCTTTGGAGCTTTTTCCCTCGACAACTTTTCGCGCAATTTACCAAACTGGCGAACTTTTACTTCCTTGTGGTAGCGATCTTGCAGATGATACCTGGTTTGAGTACGACAGGTTCCTTCACCACTTTGGTCCCGCTGTTGATATTTGTGGGGATCTCTATGGGAAAAGAAGGGTTCGACGATTGGCGTCGCTATCGCTTGGATAAAGAAGAGAACAATCGCCATGTGTCCGTTTTACGTCCAGGTGCTGGGATAATGGCGCAAAATTCCTCCAGTGACAGCATCTCCATAGCCAGTGATGCTCAAGATTGGACGTTAGTGAAGTGGAAAGACATCAAAGTTGGAAATATTGTCAAACTAGAGCGTGATCAGCCTGTACCAGCAGATATGGTTTTGCTCCACGCAGACGGACCTAACGGCGTCGCTTACATCGAGACCATGGCCTTGGATGGTGAGACAAATCTCAAAAACAAGCAGCCCTGTCAGCCGGTCGCGAAGGTGTGTGCGACAGTCGATGGTATTTGCAGCAATTCTATGCACTTTGCTGTCGAGGATCCCAATATTGACCTCTATAAGTTCGATGGTAATGTGACGGTTGCCGCTGGTGAAAAAATGCCCCTGACCAATAACGAGGTTGTCTACCGTGGTAGCATCATGCGTAACACCGAGCGGGCCATCGGTATGGTCATATACACCGGTGAAGAGTGCAAAATTCGAATGAACGCGAACAAAAACCCTCGAATCAAGTCTCCTGCACTCCAGGCCCGTGTCAACCGGGTAGTGATGCTGATTGTTCTCTTGGTGGTTGTGCTGGCAGTGGCCTGTACTGTTGCGTATATGTATTGGTCAGATGATGTTGAGCAGAACTCTTGGTACCTTCAGAAGGCAAATGTGTCCTACGGTCCAATTTTCACCTCTTTCTTGATTATGTTCAATACCATGATTCCTATTTCACTCTATGTGAGCATGGAAATTGTCAAAGTCGCCCAAATGCTGATGTTGAACGCTGATATCGACATGTACGACCCGGAGACTGACACTCCAATTGAGGCACGGACTTCCACTATCAACGAGGAACTAGGACAGGTCAGCTACATTTTCTCCGACAAAACCGGCACTTTAACGAACAACTCAATGCGCTTCCGCAAGATGAGTGTCGCTGGTACTGCGTGGTATCATGACTCCGACCTGCGTGAAGAGGCCGCTAAAGAGGGAGGCCGAGAAAAGCTCATCCACAAAAAGCGGAGTTTTAAAGGCAAAAAGGCCATGGTTCGCAAGTCCAACGTGTCAGAGGCCAGATCTTTTCTCGCTAGGCCTAGCCTGGCTGCTGACGGGACACGGAAAACCGGCCGACCGGCGCTCGACTATCGTACTGCTGATATGCTCAAGTATATCCAACGCAAGCCTTACACCGTGTTTGCGCGCAAAGCCAAATTGTTCATCTTGGCCATGGCCTTGTGTCACACGTGCATCCCGGAAAGCGATGAGCTTGGGAATATCTCCTTCCAGGCGGCATCACCCGATGAATTGGCGTTAGTCATGGCTGCCCAAGAACTCGGATATCTCGTCACAGACCGACAGGCAAATACTTTAACGGTCCGGACATACCCTAATGGGTCTAGTGAGCCGGCCACTGAAGAGGTCTACGAAGTTCTAGATGTGATAGAATTCTCAAGCAGTCGTAAGCGGATGTCGGTTGTGGTGCGAATGCCTGATCAGCGAATCTGCTTGTTTTGTAAAGGTGCGGACAGCATCGTGATGCAGCTGCTCAAGCGAGCAGCCCTTGCGCAAGAGAAGGCGGTCGAGATTGAAAGGCGTGCTAGCAAACGCAAGGCGGCCGAAGCAAGTGAATACATCAGGCGAAACAGCGAGTATCAGACTCGCAATAGTGGGGTGCGGACAAGCTTAGGTCGGCCTAGCATGACGCACAGACGCTCTAGCGTTTCCGGGCAGCATATTTCAACACTGCGGGCAAGTATCGATGTATGGCTTCGTGACAGAGAGACAGATGGCGGTATCTTAAATCGAGCGAACGATGCCGAGTATTACAGCCCGCGCCCTTCGGCTCAGATAGGACGGCCGTCTACTACCCTGTCGGACTCGGGAAGCTCAGTCAATGAGGATGAGGAGGAAGACTTGGTAGAGGAAGCTCTGGTGGTCAACGAGGCAAGTGTTTTCGAGAGGTGTTTCCAGCACTTGAATGACTTCGCCACTGAAGGGTTACGAACTCTGTTATACGGTCACCGTTTCCTTGACGAAGCTTCGTACAACAGTTGGAAGGCAGCCTATCGTGAAGCATGCACAAGTCTTGTGGATAGACAGGAGAAGATCGAGAAAGTCGGTGAGCAGCTTGAACAGCAGCTTGAGTTAACGGGTGCAACGGCCATCGAGGACAAGTTGCAGAAGGGCGTGCCTGAAGCTATTGACAAGCTCCGACGAGCTAACATCAAGTTATGGATGTTAACGGGTGACAAACGCGAGACAGCAATCAACGTGGGCCATTCATGTCGTTTAGTGAAGGATTACTCGACCCTTGTTATCCTCGACCAAGAGACTGGCGAGGTTGAACGATCTATTGTGAAATTAACCTTGGACCTCACTCAAGGCACAGTAGCACACTCGGTAGTTGTGGTTGACGGGCAAACGCTGGCGATGATTGAAGCAGACGAGACTCTGAGAGTACGATTCTTCAAGCTTGCCATCCTTGCCGATTCGGTGATTTGCTGTCGTGCCAGTCCCAAGCAGAAAGCCTTCCTTGTGAAGTCAATCCGGAAGCAGGTGAAGGATTCTATCACTCTTGCGATTGGTGATGGTGCCAACGACATTGCTATGATCCAGGAAGCTCATGTTGGCATCGGTATTACGGGCAAGGAAGGTCTGCAGGCGGCACGCATTTCGGACTACTCGATTGCTCAATTCCGGTTCTTGTTAAAATTGCTCCTTGTCCACGGGCGGTGGAACTACATGCGAGCCTGCAAGTATACTTTGGGTACGTTCTGGAAAGAAATGTTATTCTACCTGACTCAGGCGCTTTATCAGCGCTGGAATGGCTATACTGGCACCAGCTTGTACGAACCGTGGAGTTTGAGTATGTTCAACACTCTTTTCACATCCTTGGCTGTCATCTTCTTGGGTATTTTCACAAAGGATTTAGCAGCATCTACTCTCCTGGCTGTGCCGGAACTGTACACCAAAGGCCAGCAACATGGCGGCTTCAACATCAAGCTATATCTGGGCTGGACATTTATGGCCACGTGCGAGGCGATGATAGTCTACTTTACTATGTTTGGTCTTTGGGCCAATGTGCTGTTCACCCACACCGGAAGCGATATCTTCTCATCTGGGCTTCTCACATACACGGCATGCGTAATCATCATCAACACCAAGTTGCAGGCGCTGGAGGTTCACAACAAGACATATCTATCGCTCGCGGTGTTCATTATTTCGGTGGGTGGCTGGTTCGTGTGGGACATGATTCTGTCCCGTCAATACAACATCAGTGCGGGAGATGGTATTTACCATGTGCCCGGCAATTTCATTTTCCAGTCAGGCCATGATCTGGCTTTCTGGGCGGTCTTGCTCCTCACGGTTGTGGCCGTCATCATATTTGAGATCACGGTTAGTGCGGTGCGGGCCATCCTTTTTCCCACAGATGTGGATATTTTCCAGGAGTATGAGCAGGATCTGGAGATCCGGAAGAGATTCGAGGAAGCCGCGGCATCGGAGCTGCAGCAGGGTTGGGATCACGGCTCCAAAAAATCCAGCCTTGAGTTGGCCCGCGAAGTGGAAATGGAAGCCCGAGAGAAACAGGTACAGGAGCTGCTCTCCCGGCCGAGAGTGATGACCAAGACAGGATCTGGTCAGAGGGACACGGAGACAGAAGTAGAACTGGTCGCTTATAGCAGCAGCGCTAACCACGCTGTCGACCACCCGAATCACACGATAGATGATGACGTGATGAATCCCCGTCGACGGTCCCTTGAGATTCATGAATTATTTACGAAGGGCTTCGGAGCGATCCGGAAGGGACACTTGTAGTGATCCTCTTCAATTTACTTTGTTGCTGGGTGCAAAGTGTGTCCTGTTAAAAAAAAAAAATTTTCCTTCTCTTTCTTTTACAAAGCGTGATGGCGTTTGGAAGTGGATACCCCCTTTGGACAGTCACTCATTTCTTTTGACTTAAATGTTACATCGTGTTCATTATCGGCTGGTGAGGAAATATTTATATACGCATTACCCCGATGTATAATAGAACGAAAACCACCTCAGCGTGTCCATATCAAAATCCCCCTAGTAGGAGAATAGCGCAGAATAGTCCACCGAATAGCGTAGTGGATACTATAGAAGCTGGATAGGAGAAGACACCAGAGTAATCTTGTCCCTAGGCCCTCGACTACTAATTGATAAGTCGCCAGGGTTATAATTAGGAGCAAACAATAGGAAATGCACTGGTACAGCACAACCCATTATCTGAATCTAAGCGATAATTTTATTTTCCTTCTTTCCGTTACCAAAGAGGAAAAGAACATGGAGTAATACTCAATAAAAACAAAAACCCGTCAATGCTACAGCAACGAAAAAATATAAAAATAAAAATAAAAAACCTCTCCAAACCCCAGCCACTATTTGAACTAGATGGGGCCACGATCTTCCTCGGGGAAGGTGGGAAAAACGATCGTGTCGAATACGGAGTATGTTAACTCTCTTCTTTTTTTATTTGAAATTCGGCAGTCGGCAGCGGCGTGCAAGGTAAGGTAAATCCAGATATTGATTAGTTCCCTGTGCAGAAATATGTAGTATGTACGGGCGTGGAATGGATCTTGATTCGGACTAAGCCGATGCCGAATGATGCGTTGCGTTGCGTTGCCTTAGCTTAGGTTAGCATCCATAGGCTTCCCCCCTTCCCTTCCAAGAGTCCTTTGGTCAGTCACCCTCAAACGGGTACCTACAGTTTCTTTTTTCCCTGCAGACTTGAAACAATAGTTGGGTTGTTTAAATGATCGGAAGGATGATTGACTAGGGTATCTGTGGTGCGAGGATGCAAGGATGGTGTGGTTTTGGTTATTTCTTTTTTTTTTTTAATACAACCATATATTCATTCTTTGTTCTTTTAGCTGTTGCTTCTAACAGGTGGTGTGTGTGTGTGTGTGTGTGTGTGGACAGAGAGTAGTATGTACTACTTACTAGTTAGTCGGTAGTACTAGTGCTCCTCTACTACCACTTTACTTGGTCCTAATTGTCCAGTGTAACTAGTCGGAGGTTAAGTTTAACTAGTTTTCCTCTCTCCATTGATCGATAGACACCTCTCTTGTTCTTTAAGGGAAAAAAACCCCTTATTTTAGTTTAGAGGGACGACGGTAAGTCTTAGTCAGGGACTTTTGGGGGAGGATTTTCAGTGGCTGAGTGGGAGTGCAGCCAATGGAAGCGAAGGGATAGGGCGCACGGATCATGGGTTTTGGTGGGGGGTTGCTTTTGCTATCTTCTACTAGTACAGTACTTAGGAGGAGGCTTTGCTTGGAGGCTGCAGGATGGTGTTATTTGAGGATTATTGAGGAATTCCTTGCATATGTATGTATGAATATTTATACGTGGATAGACGTGTGTATGTATGGTAGTTGATGTGGGAAGGAAGGGTATAGGCCGTGGTTTATATAGTGTGTTAAAGTGGAAGTTGAATTCTTGGTTACACTCTCGGCTGGACTTTTTTAAGTACTACTGGTTGGTTGAGCATGGTTGGAATTCATTGGAGGCTTCTAGTCAGGTACACGAGTTGTTGTCCCCACCCCCTGGCGCTGTCATGTCAAATCATCCAATCAGTATTACGAGAAATGGCGGGTACCTGAATTGAATCATGGAACAGGCTGGTCAACCGGCATAGGCGGAACCTTTGGTTCAACTTGAAAAAAGAAGCATCAAGAGAAAGGAGAGATGGGAAAAAAAAGTAAAAAAATATTAGGAACCAGAAAAAATATCACAGGATAGATAAGAGAGAGAGAGAGAAAATGAAAACATATTAATAGTAAATCTCACCACCACTCTTAACCGAAACGGGTAGGTTAGTCTTTTGGCACTACACCAGTCAAGTCCGGTGGAACTCCTATTGAGGGGGTGGGAGGGGAAAGGATCGCACCTCTTTTCGCACCCTTTTGTATTTTTCCCCTCCCCCGAAGAACCTGTGAATCGATTTGAGGCTGGAATGGTTCGGCTCTATAGTGGTAGGGTCGTCTTGGCTTTTTGATCGTAGGGCAAAATCTTGTAAATCTGTAACAGTAGTATCGTCATAACTACCGTTCACTCGGCAGAAGTGTAGATTGGATTGGCGTTGGTGTAATTGCTCCACTATCGCGGTTTTCTGAAACCCTCTTTTGCTTCGTGGATCGCTTCAAGGATGGACCGGTCCAGGTCGTTTACCTTTCCGGTTTTATTTTCCGCTTTATATTTTCATTCCATACGTTTTTTTCTTTTTCTTTTTTCTTTTTTTTTGTTTGTTTGTTTGGTACTCTCGGTTCTGCACTTCTCTGGATTGGGTTCTGAGTTCAGGGAGTGGAATAGGGTTGTGGTATTGGTCCAGGGTCCTTCCTTCGAACGTGGTCGCCGTTATCCGTAACGGTCAACCTGTTTTGGGACTATGTTGATAGAGGTACGACTAAAGTACTACTAGTAGATACCTATTTGTCCGGCGTACGGAAGACGGAGTACATATGCAGCTGTACTATCTTTGGACACGAGTTCCATCTCCGAAAGGAAACAATACGATTTTGACAAAAAAAATCCTTGAGGCAAGTTTCGAATGGAAGAGGGGGGGGAGAAGGAAACATCTCTGACAGAGACCTTACAGAGAGGAGCAGGTACGTACATCCCAACCCACCATTGGATAGCTGAACTTGAGAAACAGCATTGGGCAGCAGAATCCGATGCAGGGGCCGAAAAAAAAATAACAGGGTGGTTTGTTATTTTCTTATTTCATTTTTCTTTTTCCCTTCCCTACTACAACGTTGTTTGTTTTCTTTTCTTGCCATATTCAATTTTCCGCACCTAGATAAATATCTAGAGGTGTTCGTAATCTATAATAAATGATGCTATACGGAATGATCTCAAGGTTTGAGCTCATCTAGCCCCAGGATACATTCAGAGACAGAAGGGAGGGAAAAAAAAAAAAAAGAAGAAACGAGGCCCCACGGAGAGACTTCAGGAACCGCCGATGCCAAAACAGCTAGCGCTAACTTGTCCACACTAGACCAGTTAGAGCATTCCCCATCTCCTGACCAAGACCTGACTCTCACCAACCAACATCCGTCCTCCACCCGTTTGTCTCTCTCTCTTCCTCTTCCTCTTCCTTTCCTTTCCTTCTCTTCTCTTCTCTCTTTTCTTCCCCATCGACCATCTTTCTATCGTTCATTTCCTTTCCTTTTCACTCTTTTGTTTCTTCACTTCTTACATTCTTTACTTTCATCCCCATTCGGTCCCTGTGGTCGATCGTTCCACTCTTTTAACGATCGACTTCACTCAGCTCTTCGCTTGCTTCCCTCCGGACGGTGAAATAGCCCCCCTCCGATTTATCATCGCGATATCGAGTCGAGACTCATGCGTTTTGATTAAACCGCCACGCTTGCGAAAGACCCTATACACGTTTTACCATATAAGCTGCCTAGGTCAGCTGTTTATCTTTTCACCCATTTGATTACGTTGACGCTTCTGCGACGCGCTCATATATTCCCTCGTGCCTGTGGCCTGGAATCCTACCCTATTCCAGCCCCAGCACTTCCATTCGTTTGAATCATATCTCTCTCTCGTGCTTGACGCAGCTTGAGAGAACTGGACATCCCCTTCGACTGTCGGCCGGATCGTCACATCGCCCTCTCATTTCTTTTCGCTCTCCCTTCTCTCAATTGGTCGATTCTCTTTTCTCACCTCCATTCTATCTTGTCTTCGGTCCATCTCTGCAAACCATGTCTTCGAGAGACACCCCTGACCCGTCGGCTATGTCGACTACCCCTACCACCACGGCACCAACCACCGCCTCACCTTCATCGGCCGCATCGACACCGTCTCCGTCTGCATCCAGCGCCACTACGGCACCGTCTTCCGCGGCCCGTCGGCCTCAACGGAAGAGTACTTTGACTCAGCAGCAGAAGAACAATAAGCGTCAACGGGCGACTCAGGATCAGCTGGTTACCCTGGAGTTGGAGTTCAACAAGAATCCCACCCCCACGGCAGCCACGCGCGAAAGAATCGCCCAGGAGATCAATATGACTGAACGATCTGTTCAGATTTGGTTCCAAAACAGGTACGTCGCGTAGTTCTTCCCTTTCACCAAATGGCCGTGTTGCTGACTATCACGTCCAGACGCGCAAAGATAAAGATGCTCGCGAAAAAGAGCATTGAAACCGGCGAGGGCTGTGATTCGATACCAGAGTCTATGCGTCAGTATCTCGCCATGCAATTCGACCCCAGCAAGCCTGGCGCAAGAGACCCATTTGGCCGCACTTGTGGCTATGGAACCAACGGCGCGTACCCGAGCGAGTCCACTCCTTCTGGAAAAGTCGTGATCCATCACTTTACCTGCCGATCATTGACCATCGGTAGCTGGCGACGCATTGGGCAGAATGCGATGGACTTGGTCGTCTTCTACTCCCCCGAAAAAGCCTGCATGACTTACTACATCAACAATGATTCTGCAGGTTACAAGATCGAATACCCTTTCTCTTACATCAAGAATATTACTTTAGAATCGGGTGACCAAGCACCACAGCCGAACGGCGCTCCCCCGAGGCCCGGTGGTCTAGTAGTGGAATTAAACCGGCCGCCGCTTTTCTACATGGATTCCTCCAACTCCGGAGGTTTCTACCAGTGCGGCGACTTTACGGAAGACCAGCAGGCTAGTCAGATTTTGGTGCATCATCTCGGGGGTCATCCAAAGGTTCTCAGCGTGCAGCTCGCCAAATTAGTATCGTTGGAGTCATTCCAGAACCGGTTAGCATACGGCAACTTCGCTGTGAACGCGCCCATGTCTCCCCCCTTTATCCAGCGCCCTGCTTCACAGCCAAACCAATTCGCCCCTGCATTCATGAATATGATCCCGGAAAGCCAGTCTCATTTGAACCTTCAGGTTCCTCGCGGACATAGGCGCCAGCGCAGCCGCTCTGTTCCAGTGGCTGTCGACTTTTCCGCTTTGCAGACGCCTATCGCCACGTACAACATGCCACAGACCCCCGTCCATTTCAACCACGCGGCCTCGAACATCTTTGCTCCAGTCCCTCAATCGACGCATCCATTGGCGGCAAACCTCCGGATCGACACCTCGGCCGCTTTCGGGTTCGATCCCCGAGCTCATCCCATGTCTGCGACGACGGCAACCGCCTCGCCGTCCGATTTCGCTAGCCCCGGGCTTTTCTCCACCGGCGGCCATGGAGATTCAACTCCTGTCGCCACCACGATGGGAACTCCCTTCAACTTGCCTTTCGTCTCCCCGCAAGTTGATTCGTCCAACCTCGGAGCACAGTCTGCTTCCCCTTACTCTACTGTTAGTCATCACGCGGATCCCATGATCGCGGACCATTCGCCTCCGCTATCGACCATGCACGCGACGCAGGAGATGTATAGTATGAACAATGAGCATCAGCCTAATTTCACGGAAGATGGCATGTCAATGAATGGCATGTATCCCAAGCCTAACATGAACTTTACTGTCCCCACTTCCATGGGCCTTGAGGGAAACACCTTTGATCTGCCCATGCAGACCTTGTCCGGTCACACCTCGCCGGGTGTTCAGGGCAACTACCAAATGACGTCTATGGAAAATGTCGATCCGAATGCATTCACCCCTGGATCTTGAATCTTGTACACTTATTCTTCTCCGTTCTATTCGAACGGCTCCTGCTGGTCTTCACTTCTATCTTATGCCACGTCCAAGTATCACTTGGCAGGATGGCAATTTTCTTTGATAGGCTTGGCTCTTTTGCCCAGCCTCTTCACATCGCTTTCCAAACGATTGGATGATGTTGTATCCATTGGAGATACCCAAGTTTGACCAGTTATTTTCACGTCCCTCTTCGAAGGGCTTGGCGAGACCGAAAAAGCATCAGTCTCCCCTATTTACATTGACGAGGATATATCTTTTCTTTTCTTCTGATATGCTCTCAGCGTTATGCTTCTCTTCTCCGGTTTTGTTTCTCTCCTTTTTTTTTTTTTGAGTGTGTGTTAATACACTTCTCTTGGGGCTGGACCTTTCCCATTTTACCAGGCATGTTGCACCAGCGATCCTCGCCGGGCGATCTTTTTTTTTTCTTTTTTTGCCTTTCACTTCTCGCAATTCTTCTTCAACTCCCCTCGACCTTTTTCTTTTCTTTTCTTTTTGACCTTATATACCTAGTCGGGGCCTTTTAACGTGGTTATGCCAGAAAGTCGCACAATTGGCGAGATTGTTTGAATTCTCATTTGATTGGTGCTTTTGGGTTGGTGGGATTAGGGTTGTTTGCATATTCCCTTTGTCATGGTCGTTTGCCTGTCATTGCTTCTGTCACTGATTTGGTCTTTTGTCAGTTTGTTGACATCTTCTTGGCAGTCATGCCGACTGTCCAAGTGATTTTTGTTCTTATATCAGCGAAGCTGTGAAATTCTTCGCCTGGATACTCCCAAGATCTTTAACAATGTGAACCAGCATCTAAGACAGACCATTTTTCCATCTCTAACATGTCGTAAGTACTAAGTGTAGTCATACGCGTATAAGACAAGCTATATCTATCGTACATGGGTATTTGGAAGTCTATAAAAAAATATACGGTGCAGAAAGCTATTGACTGTCCCAACCCCGGGGTGAAGGGGCCTTCAAGCCTTTGGACTCCCTCAAGTATCTCTCCACCCAAACCTCCATCTTTTCCAGAAGATTCATTCCGGGCCTTACGTCCTTGGGGTCAACTCCCTCCGTCACCCCATCCCGACACCAGACGCTCCACGACCCCATCCGCGCCGCCATCAACACATCCGTCCCAAGCCGGTCTCCAACGACAGCAATCTCATTCGCACCCTTTACCACCCCGCGCTCCCGAAACCACTCTAATACCTCATCCCCACAGAACGGCTTCTTCTCACTCCCCTCCGGCAACCGAAACACGGGAATCTGCAACCCAGACAGCCGCTCCTCCAGCTCCCGCACCTCGTCATCATAGCGCGGATGCGAACCAGCCCGATTGGACACAATCAGGATCGAATCCGGGTGCTGATCACGGTTGAAGGGAGAGGTGTGTGACGTGCGGAGAGCGTGCAGCTTATCGAGGATCTGTGGTGGGAATGTCGTGGTTTGGGGGTGACACAGGGTGTTGTCTTTGTCGAGGACAAGAGCGCGGATTGTGGGCGATTTAGATTTGGAGCCATCTGGGGATTGGAGATTGAGATTTGCGGCGAGTAAGGGACCGACTTGTTCGGGGAGGTGGGTTATCGTTGGGATTGTGAGATGGGGGAGGAATTGGGAGGGGTTTTTGAGGAGCGTTCGGACGGCTAGATTGAAGGCGCGGATGTTGCTGTTTGGTGGGGAGGGCATTTTTGTGGGTATTTTGTTCTTCTTTTTATTATTTTGTTCCCCTTCTATGTAGTTTTCTTATGAATTATATGGTTGATGTTGATGTTGGGGAAGAAGCTCCGTTAGCTTATTTGTTGGCTGGGCGGAGCAGAGCCGCAAAACTCTCCGCCGGCGACGTTCCAATTCTATCCTACCTTCAGGCCCGCTTCAGCTCTGTTTCTTCCACTGTTTGCGCTAGACGAGGGATAATTAATCTCGGGAATTTTCTATCGGTATTAAAGGATTGGAGTTTATCCGCACCTTTGTTTTATTCTCCCTCTCGCTGAGGATCCCCCGAATCCTACAAAATGGGCAAATTGACCAGCACGATCGGTATCCCGATCAAGCTTCTTAACGAAGCCCAGGTTAGTCTTTTGAGCTTCATTGACGCGCTATTGTTTCTCTTTTAGCTCGCCTTGGGCAGTTTAGCTAACGCGCGGTGTCCACAGGGCCACGTCGTCACCCTGGAAATCACCTCCGGCGTCGTGTATCGAGGCAAACTTCTCGAGGGTTTGTCGCTCTAGATAACCATCAAATTAGGCCAAGATTTACTGACTTCGCCAAACAGCCGAAGATAACATGAACGTTCAGCTGAAGGATATTACGGTCACTGCTCGGGATGGTCGCGTATCGCACTTGGATCAGGTTTACATTCGTGGAAGCCACGTGAGGTTCTTCATCGTTCCGGACATGCTGCGGTATGCTCTTTACACCTATCTCTTTCGCTCTTGTCCCCTTTTTTTCCTTATCGCCTTTTGACTTTTAACCTTGGATGCTGACCGAACGTGAAACAGAAACGCCCCCATGTTTCGCTCAAGAGGCCAGCGCGGCCGCGGTGTCGGTCTCGCACGTGGTAAGGCCACCGTGCAGCGTGCCCGGGGCCAAAGGAGGGGTTAAAAAAACGAAAAGCTCATATCTCACATTAATGGCGTTTCATATTTGCTTTTTCTCTCTCTCTCTCGTGTTCATGTCTACCTTTTACATTGGGGTTTCCTGAAAATCGATTCCTATCTTCTACCAGAGGATTCTTATACCCGCCCGTGTTGTGGGGGAACTTTCTATCTTTACTGTCTTTTTGAATCGTGGGTTGATTGAATGGGTCTGGAAGGAATGATGGATGGGTTTGTTTGTAGATTTAATTGAATTCATATGGGTGATAAAGATAAATTCATTGATATATGAATGTGACGCGAAGAACTAATAGTAGTAAAGCCAAAGCCATAAATTGTAAATTTATACCCAGATACATTAACTCCTCTCAAGGTCACTCACTTACCTTAATTCCTATGTAAAAACCAATCTATGATATATATAAGTAAATTAACGACCCCTAATATATATTACCCACTACCTCACTCACCATTTCAGTCAGCACAAGGTACAAAGTCTAGTTCAACTTCCGAACCCAATCTCCGCAGAACTCACTCCTCTCCCCGCAACACCCATAAAATTTATCTCCAACTTTACAACAACCACACAACCTACCTCACAAACATCTACACATACAGAAAAAAGATTACACACACACACACACATACATACATATATATATATATATATGAAAATGACACCTTCAAAACCAAAACCAATCCCCAACCCCCGCCGCCTCCTAATCCTCACCCCAACCTCCCACTCCACCACCACAATCCCCCCATTCCTCCTCTCCCTAACCGGATCCCCCGTCCTCGATCCCCAATCCGAATCCCCGTCTTTTGCCGGCTACACGACGCACCCGCCCCTCGTCCTCGAGAATAAGTACTATAAAGCCTCGGTTCCGATCTGGGTTGATGAGATTCCTCTTCCTATTCCGTCGAGTCCCCACTCTTCTTCCTCGCCTCTGGAGACTCTAGCAGAGGAAAAGAAACCGGGAGAAGAAAACGGTAAGGAAGAGAAAGAGATCGAAACCGAGACCCTCACGCCAGAAACATGGAAGAGCGAGTTCTCGGGCTCGGAAGCCAGGGTCGTTAGGGATGCGGTTGGAGGTGTTATCATATGTATACGGAACGAGGGGCTCGATCCTGGCGTAGGTTCGGATACTGGTACTGAAGATCTACCGGAGTGGAGGGGTTTACGGGCGTTTTTAGAGGCGGTGGGGGGTGTTAAGGGGGTGATGGATGAGGAGAGAGGGGGGCTTGGGGATGTGCTTGGGTTGGTTGTTTTGGTGGGGAGGGAGTCTGCTGGGTCTGCTGATGATGATGGTGGTGAGAAGACTTTTTCGGTGCCGTGGTGGGAGGACCGGTTGTTTGATCTTGGGTTGGTGGGGTTTGAGGTTGTGAGTTGGGACCCTAGGGAGAATAAGAAGGAGGTCCGGGATCATTTTGGGGGTATGTTTTTTTCTTTCTAATGTTCTTCTTTTTCCTTTTGCGGGTTTGAGCTGACGGTGATGTAGAGTATCAGGGGATGCGGCGGGTAAGGGAGATTTTAGAGACGCATGAGTGGGATTCGTCGTCTGGGGATTTGGCTGATGGGGGGGATCTTGAGGCGGATGAGCTTGAGAGGCATTTGCTGGAGGATGGGTTTAATTTGGAGGTCAATGAGTTGGAACGGGAGATGGTTGGGTTGCGGTTTGCGATGGAGAATGGAGAGGATATGGGTGATCTGGGTGGGGATGATGAGATGAGGGTTGAGTCGATGGAGGCGCTGATGTTGAGGATGAAGGCTATTAAAGGTATGTCAACTCTGTTTACTCCCTGTGATATTGATGAGTGCTCATGGGATGTTGTAGATATGAGTGATGAATTACCAGAGAACGAGCGGAAACGATTTGCGGCGAAAGCTGTCCGAGATATCATGAAGGAGTTATAGTTCTATTTTCTCGATACTAGTATTCACTTGTTACGCGTTATGAAATGACGAGTATATATCCAACAGTATATCATTATCAGTATATCCTTCGTAGGAGGATTAATCTATCTACACCACGTCATACTCTCTTGTCATCTCAAACATCAACAACTCTCGTAGTTCAGCTCATCCATAATGAATCTACTCCGCCCTCTTCTTGAGAGCCTTCTTTCTCTGGGCAATCATGTGCGTGTACAAGATATAGGAGCCTGGCAAATAATCAGTGTAAGGCACAAATCTTCGGAGAATAAAGCGCATAAACCTACCAGGCACATAGATCCCCAGGACAACGATCAAGAACCACCGGAACAGAGGGTTCAGCTCGGCAGCCGGCGTCAGCGCCTTAACAACCATCACGCACTCACTGGTGATTCCAAGAGGATAGAGCACATAGAAGGTATTGTACCTAGATGAGCCATTTAGCACATTTCCCAGCCACGATACTGGGTAGGAAGAAGGACGAAAGATCATACCTCAGCCAAGTCAACCATCTGGGCACACCGGCGCCCAAAACCTGCAACGCAAAGAACCCATACCGAATACATTCGGTAACGCCCCATGCGCTCAGACAGCCCAGGAATGCATAATCGCCCACCTTGGCCGCCTCCGCAGGAGCCCCAACAATGCCCGCACCGTCACCCTTCTCATGGAACAAATACATCACACCCCAGACGAGAAGCAATCGGCTGGCGACCTGCATCGCGGTCGTGAGGACTGGGGCACGCACAATACCCAACAGGCTGTGGAGGATTTCCAAAACGGCCAGGGTTTGGGTTGTCGTTAGGAGGGGCGAGAAGATGTCGTCGAAGATTGCGGGAATGTCCTGGGGTGAGTTGGTTGCAAGGAGGTAGAAGCCGCGGAGGGTGCAGGTTGCCCAGAGGGTGAAGCTGAGGGCATTGTAGCCTAGAAGATAGACTTTCGTGAGGCCTTTGGGGCCCCGGGAGGCGGTAGGTTTGGAAGGCATGGTTGACTTTTCGTCTTGCTGCTGTTTTTCGAGGTGTTGTTTGTGTTTGGATGGAGCTAGTGACGAGCGATTTCTTTTGGTATAGCTGCTGTGGAGGGAGAATTGCACGCGTGCGAGGCACGATAAAGCAATGAGGGTTTCAGTTAGCAGCTGTAACAGCGATAGAGCACCTCCAAGCAATAAGGTGCAGCAACTGAGGCCAAACTGGTCAACAAGTTGGACAAGGGGAAGAAAATGAGAGGTTGATGTGGCTTATGTAATACACGTTGAGATGCCGAGGCTCCAAGCAGTTATCAACATAATTGAAATATGTTGGGATTTTGCGAGACTTAATCATGTGTATGCTTAGGTAGAATAGTAATGGTCTCTAAAAAAAGTTCTAGTAAGCTGGACCCATTTAGGGATGTATTAGGAATTGGTGTATGATTTTATCGCAAGTCTTCAACCGTAGGGTACATCTCGGGTGGAAGTGCGAAAGCCATCCATCGTGATGAATCACTTATCTTATCTAGATAAATCTCTCGAGTTTGATAGCGTGAGTGGCTGCTTAAACGCCATCTAAGCTTGCGGATGGCGGATGTTTATCTCTTTGGGCATCGGGTTAATGGTAGCGAGAAATCGACGAAGTGGATGTCTCTGGACTTGGTTTTATGTTTTAAGGCTGCGTCAAATCAGATCACGTGTGGCGGCCAACTCTGTGCAGGCTAGTGTCTATCAGGTAGTAAGTTAGGCCGGAACATATAGTAAATTTTATCTTATTCGTTAGGACATGGTGTTTCTATCTTGTACATTCTGACAACATGATTCCATGTTAAAAGCAGAGGAGAGAGAGAAAAGTGAAAGAAAAGGGAAACGCCAAACAGGGTGTGTGTCGGTAGTCAAGTGAGAGGAGAGAGAAAACATGCAAGCTGATGTCATGGGCCGAGCTGCGGCATATTGATCACACGCAACCATCTCTCGAAGCGGAGAGAAAACAGAATATTCGCTCCACTCCCATCTCGTATGTACTCTGTTGGAGGCCTAAAACTAAGGGGAAATCAATGAACACGGTTCTCGCCTACCCCTGGCCATTTGACGACCCACCCTTTTGTTCGAGAAGCGTTATACGTGACCAGCGATAACTTCCGAATAGGGTTATGATAGACCGGAGTGTAGAGCGAGAATTGGCCGAGCGAACACCATCAATTTGTGATTGCTTCAACCCTGGTTATAGTCGCATCGTTATTGCTGTCTGGAATTGCTTTTGTTTTTTGTTACAATCTCCGCTTTTCTATTATGCATTGAGGAACCTATCAGTGAGGAGCAGGAAGACCAAGAACAGAAAGAATGAAAGAAAAGAAAATGAAACAAGAGTTAACTTCCCCTGTTAACTCAAGCGAAGATGTCTGGAAGGCGGTCCAAGCTTTCGACGTCTTGGCAGTGCCCCCGCCAACGTCAGCGGCGGCCACGGATTGGCGGCATGGTTGTCCCACCCTGATGTCATTTCGAATCCTATAGGCTGACGGCGGAACTAGACCCAATCGACCTCCTCGGGTTCATGGTTATGCGTTCATGGACCACACAGACTTCACTCAAAAGAATTTTAGTATAAAGACGCGAGGACAATCCAAGGCAACAAGAAACATTCGTCAAATAAATCAAGGAGAGGAGGAAACACTGATTCTCGTCACAAAATCGTCTAAAGGTCATCCATCCCTCTGCGTCATGCCATGCTAACTGGATGAGATCGGATTCTCCTTTATCGTTTTAGCTCGTTGCACCCCGCAGTATGACACATTGGAAATCTTACCTCATTCCTTTTTTATATTTTTTATTTTCTATTTTACCCCTCGAAGGAACCCTACCAAGAGCCCGGTAAATACAAAGTGTACAATCTCATGCTTTATTTTTTTTTTTTCCTTCCAGGCTAAAATTGGATGGTCCCTAAGGGCCCAGAACTTCCCATGCAGAAGGTTGGAACGTCAATTATTAGACTAGAAAGTTGTTTGACGCAACTCTCTGGTGGCTGGTCTGCACGATTTGGTTCCAAATTAGTTGATCGTGATATACTACTCTAATGTGGGTAAGATTTGGGAGAATTGACAGTACTTGCGGTGACCAGTCTTTTTTTCCCTCTTCTTTCTCTTCCTTCTCTTCCTTTTGATCACCCTCCGCTTCTCTTCTCGGGGACCGACAGATTAAAAAGATATCTAGGAAGAAAGTAATTCCCCCCGTGCACTCGTAACATCCTTAGGGGTTGGAAATGATGTAAAAGGGAAGGGCTATTAGTCAGATTAATTGACCATGGGATCGACAATTTACGGTTTACTGACCACTACGTCAGTTGGGGTACTATGATTTCAGCCTGCATTTGCGAGTGGAGATGCTGGTGTCCTTCCCAATCAGGATGTATAGCACAAATCATGAACATCTCTCTCCCAACCTCAGGTGGGAATTTTGGGCATGACGGTGATCAGACAGAAGACTTTTTTTTTTTCCTTTTTACAGATCACAACATCGTTCAGCGAGAGAGAAGTATATAGTAAGTAAATTGAGGCTGGAAAGGCTGGACTTCGCATGTCTGACTTTTCTGTGATTCCCCACATACTAAACCAATCAATTCGTTTGGCCCGAGTGGGATGTTTGACTTACAACTTGGATATTAAAATAGAAAGTCACAGAAGACATGGGAACTCGAAATCCAGATATAATATAATATAAAGGACGGCTCAACTGACAATGAATGGGATCATGGATGGGGAACTGAGATAGAAGAATCTGGAGTTAGAATTCATATCTCATGCCGCCTTCTAATCTGCCAGAAATTTAATAGACCGTAAGGTTAAAAAGAACAGAAAGAAAGAAAGAGAAAAGACCTCCTTCCCTCCCTCTCTTTTTCTTTCTCGCTTTCTCGTTCATCCTCCAGTCCCGCTCTGCTTTCCCTCTGTGATTGATCACCCAAATTTCTATCGATGCTCGTTCCCCACTAACCGCCGCCCTGCGCGCTTCCAAACCTATCTCTTTGCCTATAATTTCTCTACCTCCAACTACTGCAGTCCACTTGGCCGGTGTCCAATGAAGTTGACCGCCTCTTGTTAAAGACTAGTATCTGTCATTGAGGGCTTTGTATGAACCGATTCATTCACCCCTCTTCACGTCTCTGTCGGTTCATCCCATAAGGTTAGCCGATCTACTGAATCCCTTCTCGTTCTTCTCTACTTATCCCTTTAATCTTTTGCTTTTGGTCGGATAATATCTGAATATTCTCTTGTTCCCAATCTCCATTAAGTGTCGCCATTAGAGGGAAAAACCCCCACCCTTTTTTTTTTTTTTCTCAATCTCTCTAGAGAGAGATTGATTATTGATCTCTATCGGTCTTCCGGACGGTGACCTTCAAACCCACACCCACTTTTGGTTCCCCTCCTTACCTATTCCTTCCCCTCCACTTTTTTTTTGTTCCTTTTTTTTCCCTTTGGATTTTTTTTTTTCAACAGCACAACCAAACCGAGAAAACGAAGAAGAGAAGAAGAAAAAAAAGAAAACAGATCCCCCTGAGCCGGCAAACAGAGCGAGAGCCTCCTTCACACATACGACTTCCGTCATATATTCTCGTCTTTATTATTCTTCTTTACTCTCTTCCTCCACTCCATCTATCATCCTTCTTGGGCTAATTCAGCCACATCCTTTTTCCTCCCACAGTTTGATAATTAATACCCGTGTAATTTCCGGTGTCAGCTTCTTTTTATTTTTTACATTTATCTTATTTTCCCCATCCATTTGCTCGCATTATACCCAACGCCGTTTCCATTACAAGTGTACCAGGTAGGAAGAAGATCCCTCTACTTCTGCTACCCCTCCTTGTCCGTCCTGATCCAGACAACTGTTCCTCTGCTTTTCCAATGTGGACCCATCCTTCATCCACTTCCGCGCTATGGCAGATTGATATTGACTCCGTCTTCTCTCCCACATTACTGTTTCTTCTTTCCATCCGAACCTCTCTATCCCTTTGCTTGTTGCCAACCTGTTTTCCTTGCCTGCAAGGGCCTTGGTACCTACCTAGATCTTCCATCTTATCTCTTGCGTCTTTAGTACTTGATCCCACCCCCCTCCCCCCAAAAATACCCTTGCCCTTTTCCTTGAACCCCCATTCATATCAAGAGGTGAAGCATCTCAATCCTGTCGTTGTTGATTCGTTGCCCCTCCTCCTTGCTGCCTCTGTAAACCAGTGGTCCCTGTGACGTTCCTTCCCCCCATTGCTTCTCCCGCGTAATGTCCCTATTGCGTAGGGCACTATTCAGTCATGAAGTCCAGTTGCCATAACACTACCATTGGTTTCGTGGATTGTCAACTGACACCGATTTGGACAAACAGATCGCTCTGTGTAATTTCAGTACTCGTGTACCTGTTAAACTCTTGACCCGGACTTATTAACCGGGTAACGTGACGCTTCAACAACCGGGGTTTTTTTTTTCTTTTCTTTTTTTTAAAAAAAAAAAATAAAAAAAAAAATATCTCGCCCAGAAATTAGGGGCCAGGTTCAACGGAACGACAGGACTTAACATTATCATATACAAAAAGATGGCGCCCACTACCACCAAGACCGTGGAGTCCCCTGTACGTGCCATACCATCACCTGGTCCGTTTGACAATGGTGCTGACGTTCGACTAGCCCAAGACCGAGGCTCCCCCGAAGCTTTCGGATATGAAAGACAGCATCGATCAGACCACATTTGAACAAATCCTCGAGATGGATGATGAGGATGATCGGGATTTCAGTCACGGCATTGTTTTCGGCTTCTTCGACCAAGCCGAGAGCACCTTTGAAAAGATGGAAAAAGCTCTGTAAGTAATAACCCCCATCTCTGAGGCTGAGTTGAGGGGCCGGGGGCTAACACCGGGGTGTTAATAGGGAAAAGGAGCAGCTTGACGAGCTGTCTTCGCTAGGTCATTTCTTGAAAGGTTCATCAGCTACTCTGGGACTGAGCAAGGTCAAGGATGCGTGTGAGAAGATCCAGCATTACGGTGCCAAGAAGGATGAAACCGGTACCAACGACGAACCGGATGATAAAGTCTCGCTGAAGAAGATTGAGAAGACTCTGTCGGATTGCAAGAAGGACTACAAAGAAGTGGAGATCTTCCTCCGCAAATATTACGGCGAAACGCCGTCCTCGTAAGTGGAGGCGGGGAAGTGGTTTAGAGCGCGAGGATAAATGAATGGGTGTCTGGAATATGCCACGTGAGGTGACACGCTTTTTCGCATCAAAACTGCATATTCGACATCATAACGGAAAGAGAAAACAACGCAAATTTATTTCCAGAAGCGCATTACCTCGGGTTGTTTTCGTCCAATGCTTGCTCTCCTTAACTCCGTATGAACCAAGGATATATTATTATGATGATACATGAGGTAGACGATTCGTTTTCTTTTTCTGTTTCATTTTTCTATTGTTCCTTCCTTTTCTTATTTTGACTCGACTTTCTCCGAGTTCCTGTTATCCTTTCAAGCTCTTGTCTAGTCTAGAGGTTTGTTCATAAACTAGGGGGGCCCGTTTCTTACCCCTTTGTGCAACCTATCATCGAGTTTCGCAAGGGGCAGGGCGAGAACTTCGAGTCCCGTGGAGACCAACCCTTTCTTTTGACACCGCATATGGTAGTTTCTTCTGTGTAAGTGAGTGTGTATCCGTGTATCACCGATATTCAACACAAGACCGGCTGCAGATGTCATTGACGGGGGTTGTTTCTTAAAAAAAAAAACAAACTACAGGCATGCATACCTTATATCACACCTGTATGGAACGAGGTATGACGAGTCGGCATATTTATTTTCTTTTTTTGGCCTTCATTTCTTCATAGTTGTTTAGATGATGAAGGTCTGACTTTGACAGCATCAAACCGTGCATCAGCCAGCTCAAACCACGCAAACGAAATTATCCGCAAGGTGAAAACGCCCACTCTTATGTAGGAGGACTTGATACTTTCTCTGTTTGGCTTGCGGCGTTTCTTATAAATTGCGCTATTGCTACGAATGAATCTCCGGAATATGGGTGAGGACATGTTCTTGAACCTGATGCGTTCGAGCATCAACTAGGCCTGATCAAAATTGTGCCGAATATCAAATGCGTTGAGGTTGACCAAATCATAATCTGCTTCGTTTGTCTTGTACTTCCATCCACGAAGGTGTTCATCTAAACCTTCGGTCCCCAGATAAAACCCCGGGTAAACTCTTCGCGCTGTTTTGCGCCTGTCAGCATATCTCCCGGGAATGAGCCTGTAATTTCAAATGGTTCCCAAATCGAACCAGGACGTCTATCATATAGTTACACCACAGCTATACCAAACCCAAGCTGTCATTTCTTATATCCAACAACGGGGTATAGAGTAACCATCCCGCGGGATCGTGACATACTCCGGATAGATGCCTCCTAGCCAGTGAAATGACCTGGGGGCTGTCATTCTTCCCCTCAGTTTGTCGGTAGAAGGTAATTTTTCGACCTGACACACCTCTCGACAGACAAAGACTATCTTACAAGCAACTAAGCACGCACATCAACAGGCAATCCGGCCCATTACCTTTGTACATCTACGGAGTACCATCCAGCAGACAGGCACCGTTCTCCAAGTTAGTACCACATCAGAGTAACACAGCCCAAACAACAAGCCATCTTGCCCCGTCTTACAAATCTCTGTATAAACAGCAGTCCTCTCACCCCCAGTGATTGCTTTTATCCTTTCGCTCAACTTCCCCGAGGGAATTCTGATTCCCAGACGAGTCCTTCTGGTCCGGTGGGGATGTTGTTTGTTTGTTTGTACTACTTGTCGGTAGGTATGGGTTTGTCGTAGTTGGGGGGTTAGGTATACAGAAGTAACTTTCTTTGTACCGAAAGAGTCAAAGGGGTAGGTGCCTGTGCGGTATATGGCGGGTTGCACGACAGCGGGAGGTTAACGTTCCTTATGTCAAGGTTTTTTTTTTTACTTTTCTTTATTTTGGGCAGTTTTGCTGCGTTGAACGTGCGATGAGTGAGGGTGGTTGAGACTTGATATAGGTATTTATAGATACGGATATGGATATAGATATCGGCGGGAGTGAATATACTAATATACTATACAGCATGCATCACTTGGGATATCATCAACAAGATTAAAAAATAGCAAGGGCAAGATACACTAAACCCATACATGAAGCATACTTCAAACAGACCCCCGTTTGTTCCCCCTCCCTCTTCCTAAGCAGTGATCGGGTGTACTAAGACTAAGGCTCCCCCCATCGTTTGATGTCCTGACAAGGATTATCAAATGTCCAGGGGGTTTGGATCTCCTACTAATCCATTAGAGACGGACAATATAATATACTACATGTGAACCACGCTTGTACCTCGCTTTAACCCATCCCTCAAAAATAGTTCGAGGCTTGTTTGCAGTAAACAACTTGGTATACCTCTCGTCTCAGTATCATGCCATGCCATACCTGTCCAAACCTCCCGTCCATACCCCCAAAATATGTACATACATACCTCCCTTCAATTCACATTCCTAATCATAGAGAAACGAACAGACAAACCAAGCCCCTAACCAGCAACAATAAATCCCAGACTCAAAAAAAAAAAAAAATACCACGTACACACCTACAAATCAAACCCTAACACAACCCAACCATAATTGCCCCTGCACCCGATCCGTCCCGACCCAATAACGACTCCCCGCTAAACTCACGCTATAGATATCACAGGATCCAATCCTTCATACATATCCTGTACTTCGCACATACGTATGTACATACATGATAGATAGAAATCGGATTGGGATCGAGGGTAAGGGTGTAGTGTTTATGTGTATGTGTATTTGTGTGACGTGGACCAAGGATTTGACATGTCTGTTTTTAGGTAAATTATTATTTATTTTTTTTAACACACCACCCCCTCCTCGCTTCCCCTTCGGGTCACATCGAGGGGACGGGGTTAGTGGGTGGTAACGTACATATGTATGTACTTTGTGTGCTTTTTCTTGATTAGTTTAAGAAGAGGACGTGGGTCTGGGTTCTATCTATTCCTGATTTCGAGTGTTAGGTATTAATTGAGTTCATTGATTTAGGTTCTTTTTTTGGTGATTGGGAGTTTGCTCGTTGCTGAGGTTTTTATATCAACTTGTGACTTTTGTCGGGGATGGGTTCTGTTGGGCCGAGAGCCTCGAAGGAGGAGTTTATGCAGGCTTTGGGGTTGAATTCGCAAGATCCGCAACACGAGCAGATATACAGGGCTATGAGGGTGAGTTTTTCCTCTTCTTTTCTTTCTTTTTGTTGTCTCTTTTTTTTTCTGTTGTATTTTGTTGTTGGGTTGTCTACGGGTCGTGTGGTATCTACATCTGTTGTCTATGGATTGGATGGGTACTGTACAATGGGTGTGGGTGGATGATTGATGCGTGGAGCAGGATGAAGCGATTGCTGTTTATAATCGCCTTAACGAAGATACTTCGCATCTGCTTGAGAGTGTAGCGAATGACCCGTTAACACGGCCGCCTTTCTTCTGGCATCATATTCGTCCGGAGCGTCAACGGTGGGGGATTATCGAGATCTCGCAGAATGCTGGGCTTTTAACTCGTCCGTTTTTCGCTCGTGGTGCCATTACCGGAGAGTACGGTCCGAATTGGGTGGCTGGGTGGCTGCTGTATAGTGTGTTTCGGTCGAGGGATGTTCGGAATAATCGCAATCGGCGAAAGGGGGATGATCATGGTGGGTTGTGGTGGTGTTTGTATGCATATTTTTTGGGCTTGATATGTTAACCATAGTGCAGGACAAGGCTCGAAGACGAAGAAACAAGAAGAGGATGCGCCGCCGAAGAAGTATTATGATCCGGTGAGGAATGGGTAGACAGGGGAGGCTGCGGGGGATATGACGGCTTTATCACTCTCGAGTTCTAAAATGCGCATGTTACACCACTTTTAATCATCTTCCTCGTCTTCTTTCGATCGACTCGATCCGTTCTTTTGAGCTCGCTCCTTTCTTAAGGCTTCGGTCACGCGTTCGTCTCGTTCGTCTTTCTTTTCATCCCAGACCACATTGTATTCTGCTGCAATAGTTTTGATCTCCTTTCGCAATAAATTTCCTTCATCGATCAGCGACTCCCACTCCTGGAGGTCGACCCCCTTCGTCTGGTACAGCTTCTTCTGTCGGGCATTGATCGTAAAATCGAGCGCTGACTTATAGGAGATTTCCCGGTTGTGGTAGAGAAACCATAAGTAGCCCCCCATCAGAGTTGACAAACTGGCCAGGTACGTCACCGGCTCCATGGTATCCCATCCCAGGTCAGTCTCAAACGTCAGCTTGTACACGAGGTACCACCACATGGAGAGAATGCCGAACCCTCCTATAGCAACGCGCTGAGCTCCCCTGTGCGCTAAGGCGTCGCACTCATGCTTGATCTCCGCGATACTCTGGATCCTGCCGGAGATATTCCGCAATCGCATTCTTAAAAAGTGCGTTCGCTGGTTGAAAGAAGGAACAGAAACTTGGACCTGGCGCAGACCAGCCGAGCCCCCTTCGATACTGACGATAAATTCCCGGGCCCGAGAGGCATCACGGACGAAGTCACCAATCTCGGTGGACTGGGACCAGCGGATGAAGCGTTCCTCCATGTTGCCCTTGCCGGGTTCGCCCCGTCGGAGGTAGCTGTATGTATCATCCTCCTCGTCCCGTCGACGACGCCGTTGCCTGGCTTCAACTCCGGCCCCGATTTCGCCCAGTCGGTGTACCTCAGCATCGGTCGCCTCATACATCGATTTCTTGGGCTTGACAGGATCATCATCAACCTGAAGCGCAATAAAGGATACAGCAGGTGGCCTTGGCTTCGCATTATCGATCGACACGGTGGGAATCTCGTCCTGGATAAGACGTTCAAGATAGGATAGAGGCTGCTGCGGATGGACCAGAATAGCTATTGGCTCAATGTCTTCGACAGTTAATCTTCTGTGTCTCTTTCAAGTCACTGTTCGGAAGCGCCACATACCCTTGTGTTTACTATTATGGTTAGCCGTAGGTAACGGGATAAGGAGCTTGAAGAGCCTCGACGGCGTCGTCAACAGTTTTCCTGTATCCCGTGCTTATTAGCACCCCCGACGTGGAACCATCGTGAGGAAGCTCACCCACCCTTCTTCATTGCACTCGCAACCTTGGACTGCGATTCCTGATCCCCCTTCTCGCCCTCAGAGCCCTGCTGCTGGTCCTTCTCCTTAATCTCAAGCCTCTCCAATTCATCTCTCATTTCCCTCTTATCCTCCCGAATAGAGTCCCAATGCGCGAACCGCCGCCCCGGTACACCCCAAGCCCCTTGAGCTTGTCTCCCAACCAAACCACCACAAGTAACCCGCGCCATTGACGTGGGATTTGTATACACCCTCCCAATCCTCACCCGTCCAACCATGCCATAAATCCCAGTGATCCGACCCACAACTGCCCTCATATTAACCAGGCAGTTGTGTCCCTTAAACCAAAGAGAGAGAGATCTAAAAAAAGGGGGGAAATCAAAGAATCATGAATCTACTAACAAACTATAGAAATATAAGAGAAAGAAAGATAAGGAAAACAAAATCTATCTACCCACAGGAGCGTTGTTTATAACATTGAACAGCCTTCCTCCACACATTTTCTCCACAGTGACCGTACCATTAAACGAGTGAAACGTGCTGCTGGCATCATAGCATCATAGCATCTTTTTCTTGGGGGGAGAAGCTGGTATACGTCATGGTGAGTCAGCAGGTTAAGCATTGGGGCTTTAGCCGGTTTGGGGTTAGTGTGATCGTTTCAATCAATAAGATCATGTTTGCTACGGGTTGTGCCAGGGAAATTGCTGAGAGGTGTAGTATTTATGGTGATGGTGGTTTTAGAGACATTTTGTGTGTGTGTGTGTGTGTGTGAGGTGCGTTTGTTGTGTTGACTTGGAAGTTAGAAAGTGGGAAAGTAAGGGTGTTGAAAGGGTTGTTTTGGGGTATAAACTTTCTTTTAAAGTTGTATTTGAGAGGAGTATTCTTGGGCTTGTTATGAGGCATGTCTTTCTCTTTCTTTCTTTCTTTCTTTCTTTTTTTTTTTTTTTTTTTTTTTTTGTTTTTTTTTTTTTTTTTTTTTTTTTTTTTTTTTTTTTTTTTTTTTTTTTTGAGATGGCTATTGTGTAACCTTATTTTTGTCAGAAGTGAAAACGCCTCTTTTGTGAAACACTTACTCCGTAAACGCTGCTCATATATACTAGTGGAGAGTGAGTGGCTCAATAGACCACCCTTCGTATTCCCCTGGGGAATTGAAAATTCTTAGTGTAAATTAGCCTTTGAAAGAAATTTTTTTCTATGACTGGCTAGATGAGCCGATGAAGATTTCGCACATTGATGTTTGACGTCGCACGGTTTCCGTATTCTGCAGAGAAAGGATACTTTTTACCTTTATGTTACTCAGCTTGGGATATACATAATTTAGTTGCAAAGTGAAATCGAGGGAGGGGTGGAGAGAGATGACACCTGAAACCTGAGGGCTAGACTCCAGTTTCTGTCGTACGGGCACTTGATAAGAGTAGCTGTTGTTGTACTTGATATATGGTTGCACAGGTACCCATATTGTAAGAGGGATGGATGATTATACTCATACTCGTATAGAATTGACTATCAAAAAGTTTCATGCTATCGATTGGATATGCAGAGAGGACGCTGGATAGCTCAATGCAGATGCAATAATGAACACTTAATGTTAAATCCATACTCAGGAATATTGTGAACATGCGAGCAGACTGGGGTATATCCGTGGATGGCCCGATTATTGGGGTATGGTCACACACACACACACACACACACACGCTTCAATTGAGAACAAAGCACTTCGATCTATCTGGATATTCATGTCATAAGTCATAAAGTCATTAAGCGTCCGCCCATATCATTCTGCTTTCACATGCCAAGGTTCGGTTGACCAAAATTTTTGATGACAGTAGGGACTACATCCCACGACTGCCGAAGGCGAGGGCCCTCGAGGGAGCGGCGTGCCTTTCCTGACTAAATCTTCCTCCTTCGTAGCTTTCGGGGCTGCTTCCTCCGCTCCTGCTTCCTCCACTTGTCGAGGTATCGGTATCATCGGCGTAGCGAGCCTTTCGTCCGGTACCTATCGCCACTGGGATTCCTTGGACTACCCCTCCGTGGTCATGTCCAGCTGGATACATGCCATCGTTGACGGAGAAGTTACGGCAGATGAGATATGCCCGCATGGCGGCATTCTCCCGAGCCAGGGTGTCGGATTGAAAAACACCGTCTGTCTGGTATTCCCGGTTATTGACGCGGACAATGCAGGTATGCCCGGTAGGGCCTCCATAGGACTCGTACTGGGGCTCTGGCCAGCGGCGGCGTCGGCAGAGACCTGTACGTATGGTTATTGAACTTTGAACTTGGCTTTAGTCAAGACTGTAACATTCGGAAGCCACAATGGCATTTCTCCGGGATGTCAACAAATCAAGGAATGTGCAACTGAGGAGATCCATAACTGATGCATGAATACAGCCCGCTTTCCCCAAAGACTTGCCAGGGAGTCCAAAAAAAAAGAAAGAAAGAAAGAAAATGAAAAAAAAAATGAAAATGAAAATGAAAATAGATGAGAGAAAAAGGTTCACAAGGCGCGATTGCCGCCTTCGAGCCAATAGAGGTAAGAGATCTTTTGAACCAGAAGGTGTAGAGTTGGGCACATTTGAACAGAGACATACATACTCGCAAGGTATAGGATATAGTACATCGTGAGGACAGGCCGCTGTCCAATAGAACGTATGGTACAGGGGCGTATCGAATCAGTATTTGCTGTCCTAGATCTGTTGACACTGCACTCGACCCTGGCAATCACACCGAAAGTATATAGAAACAAGCCTATGCAAACGGCGCTTGTTGATGCCCAATGGCCACGTTCTTCATATGACGTTTAATAGGACTTGCTATTTTAGAATAGCCAAGATCCCGTCACGAACAACGGATCGGTGGAGAGAACTTAGTATAGATTTAACCAACTTTGGCAAAGGAACGAAAGACCGCAAGCAAATGGAACTAGCGGATCATGGAGGACAGCGACATCTCAGACAATGGCAGCAAGCAAGAAGAAAGGGGAAAAAGAAAGGAAAGAATGGAAAAGAAAGGGAGGCAAATATTATCATTCTAGCCAGGTATAATCGGTTCAAATAAACTGGCGGGGCCCATTAAGCAGAGTCAATGACTTAGGGTCAACAGAGAGGCAAAAACAGAAAAACAAAAAAAAAAGGGCCTAAGAGTAAAAAAATCAAAAATCAAAAAATCGAAGGGTCCTTTAATCGGGTCAATTGAGGCATTCTCCACTGAATTAGTGCAGGTAACAGGTGAATTCCATGAGCCATTGCGGATCTAAAATGTCCTAGCTTTGTTCGTCTCGAGTCGTTTCCTTCGGGATGTCGAAAGCGTGGATTGAAACGTTGATGTGCTGGCATGGCTTTTCACCAGTGATCCAGTACTAGAAGACCCAAGACAACTTTGCTCCATATGCCACGGTGTAATTCGCCGCCGATCCAGGCGGCTAAGATTGACATGTTGCTCAGGATAACATTTTCCGGTCAAATCGTCATGTCGGACTCTCATCATTCCTGCAGAACGAGTGCCGGTGCCTTGGGTAAGGGTTATAGTAAAAAAAAATTTAGATAAATAAAAATAAATCCCTTTTTCTTTTCTTTTTTTTTTTTAAGAAAAAAAACCCCCTCCTTCCCTTCTTCTCTAGTTCGAGTTAGAATTCTAGAACCCCGCATTATAGGACGAAATCTAAGGTTGATTGCCGTTGTTCCAGAATCAGGAAGCATGGGATAAAAAAATATATAAAAGAAAAGAGGCGGCGTTGTGGAAGGCCACTAATGCATACAATGATGAATCCCAACGAGAGAGGGGTTCATGTCGCGCAGACGAAACCCTGGCTGTATCCCTAAGGAGAGATACAGTATGTAAGATAATCCCCATTAACATAAAATGGATTTCCGTCTATAGCTTGTAGAAGAAGAAAACAAAGCCACTTTTCGAAAGAGGCAATTAGCCACGATGACCTAACCCGGCCATCTAATCCAACCAATGTTGAGGACGATCAACGATCACCATTGACTCGGTAATTGATCCGAAAACGTCTCCCTATGAGAGTTTTGGCCGCTTGGTCGGAATTTATTATCATACCCACCCTGTGATCCTTCCAGAGGGGTTTCCCAATTGGAAGGACGACGATAGATGGGCAGTTTCCATCAGGAGCGAGCGGCGGCTCCTAGAAATGGACGGATATCGTTACAAAACCCCGATATAGGCGATGATCAGCCGTGTGCAATAACGGAATTGGTTCTGGATTTGCGCCGGTGGATCTTTGATCATATCCATTGGATGAGCCACTTCCGTGGTTGGCAGACAGGCATCGGATGCACTGATGAGTTGGCAATTTCGTGGTTTGGCGCGGCGGGGAATCCATGTCACTTTACACGAGATGAGGAGGGAAGTATAACCATCATCCTGCAGAGTAGCAGTCAGTCAGTAATGGTTCATTTTCACTGAGGTCCCAGGCATTTCGATCGTTGTTTGCATCATCCCCATCTCCGTCTCCCTAACATTGCAGCAGATTGCAGTCTGTGCAGTGCATTGTGGAAGGCTGCCTTCTTTTGTTTTATCTCTCTTTTTTTCTTACCCACGCTTCCCAGGCTGAAAAAAGTTTGGATTTAGCCTTTCCTCAATTCTCTTTGTCTATGTGGAGGTTATCTTTTCTTTTTTCTGCTGTGAATATCAAAGGATACAAGAAGGCATGGTGGGATTTCTTCTAGACGGGAGGTAATTGTCACGATGGAGATCCTTGACTGTACCAGAGGAAGTAAAACCCTAAGAAGAAGAGAGTGCCAAGCACAAAAAGAAAAAATCAAAAGGACTGTTATTAAACAATTTACTTTGAGACCTGGTCGTCGAGTCCGCCAACTAAATGGGCAACCACCGAGTTAGTCACACACGGGGAATTCAAGTTCTGCACGAAATCAAAATCATCATGCAGTGTCCTACCACTGTTGTCCCGTGATGTCCTTCCCACTCACAGATTCAATCCCTTACGTCTTGTCCCTTCTACATACATTCCGTGTTTACTGGGAGACAAAGTGCGACATGGTGTCATTTTCAAGGGAAGATTTAGTCCTACATACATCTCTACTATACAAACTTATAACAATTTCGCATATAGATCTTATCTCGCCTGTAGTATACCCCACTCGCCTTGACTTGTCCTCTTCTCGTTTGTTCAGCATCAACTATAACTCAAGACGTGCATTTTCGCACCATATACGCATATTCTCGGCAGCCTGATGGGGAATAACATAGAGGGGGTGGAGCGCTGTGAGCCGGTCCTTCTCGTCGAATACGCTTATGTCTGATCCGTGATCCTCCGAGGTAGTGACAGGAAGGAACTTCCAGGAAAACGCCGAGGAGTAATCTCCCCTAGAACTTGCACTAGCATTAGTATGGTAGTGGTGATACTGAGCAGTGCTAAGTCCCGTGAGTGTATAGCATGTGTGATACGAATCTGGATGTCTGTGCTCTGACGATTAGCCTCGACGACTACAATGTAGATAGAAATCACAATGGGTTGAAGCATACTTTCCGGGCTTGTCACGAAGGCCTCCATTCTTCCCCTGACAGCAAGCAAGAATATATCTGGTCAAGCCTTCACGGCTATAAAGGTTGCCGGTTAAGGTCTGACTAGGAGCTGTAGCTGGCTGGGTGCCGTTAATTGCAGACTGGATCAGCGGCCAACAGCCTCCCACCCAAAAGCTGTAACACCCATCCACCAACTTATTGGTCCGTCCAGCGAATCCTCCTTCCGGGGCATACTGTCGAGCGGAAAGCCATGATAGGAGCATTGGAACATCCATGCATCTAATACCTCTCAGTAAAAAGTGGGGGAGTAGCAAGCTTATGCAGCACCTTACCTGGAAATAGTCTCTTCGGGTTTGCCTAGAATGCATAAGCATGCCAGAGCGCAAAAAGCGTAGGCGCCATGCGCCTCCGAGCCGGGACTACCGGAGATGCCACCTTCAAACGTCTGGCCTATGGCCTATGAGCACTCTCATCCAATGGTCAATGGTCCAAATTAGTATGCCACTTACATCTTGATAGATAATCTGACAGGCCACTCGTGAACGTTTCGAATCCATGTTTCCGAGCTTCGGCATCAGGTGGCAAAGTATTTGGCAAGTTAAGGAGCGATAGAATCACCATCGCGCAATAGGCGCCTCTGGCATGGCACTCCGTCAGATAGAGAGTAGTGATGACAGATAGGAGAGCTATTACCTCACATCTTCTTCCCCGCCCTCGGAGACTCTAAAACCACCGTCGGGCTGCTTCAGCCTTCCGAGCCATCTCCACCTAGTCTAGGTTAAAGGAGCACAGATTTTCAACGATGACAGCTATGCAACCTACATGGTCTTTCGATCAATCATTTGGAAAGCCTCTTCGCCACCAACCATGGCGAGGGATAGCACGGCAGCATAGGTGGGTGCGCAGTGGGACAGTTGGCCATGTCCTCCTCCAAACCCACCAGTGGGATTTTGCATAGGCCTAAACGACGTAATTATCCTGGGAAGGAATAAGTTTAGATAATTGAGTTACCAAAAACAGCAATGGACGATCATAAGCAGAAAAATGATCGGTGATACTACAACAATGCAGATAGTGGCAGCCCGGCACTTGCTTACCGTTCACGGAATTGACTGGTATCTTCATCTAGTAGAGTTAAGCCCGCTAAGGCCCAGTAGACCATCCAGGGACGGCTGGCATCGAGGGCCACGAAACTTGCCGGATAGTCCTCCAGCGAGTCATATAGATAGGCGATATGATCATCACGATTAAGTGCCGGTACGCCAAAGCGGTTGAGCTGGCCCTTCTGACAGCTATGGATACCTTTCAGATATGGTAAGCATTTGTTGACGGTTTCTTCTTGCAATTTAGTTGTTTCAGTGGTGAGAGGGTCTTGGATGATCGGCAGCTCCTTGAAAAGCGCCGGGATCGCAGGATGTACTTGAGTTTCGCTCATTTTGCTCTGCTGTTTTGGACGATCCTGTGAAACCGTTGTGGAAGGCAGGCGGCTGTCTGCCGGTTGGTTAAGCCCGATGCTCGACTTTGCCGCTGGTATTTGACTGGTCGAAGCGAAACGAACTTTTCGACGCTGCTTTCCTGTCGCTGAAGTGACGGGCATGAAATTCTCCCTAGAAGCTTTCGGATCCGTGTATATAACCCTATGGTCAAAGAAAGCTCCTATTGATACTGAAGTTGAAAACAATAGTAGGATCACGTTTGACGATCACACTCCTATTGTTCCGTTTATCGGCAATGGGGAAACGACATCTCATTGTTCTTTTTTTCCCACTGGCCGCTGGGTGGGTCACCCCTCACTAAGGTAGACAACTTTTGCCCTATGTGCAATTTTTTACAAATCCCACCAGATGAGAGATATGTGGGAAATGGATTGGGAATTACTATTAATTCTAAACCGACTGTCGTTGCACAGTAGTAGTAGCTTCCTGGATGCTAGATCTCAACCCACGTTCCTGTCCTTCTCCACGTTTGTGTCATCGAAAAGAACCCGTGGTCCCGTGACCCGTACGTAGTATGATTCCTTTTTCCTCAGGCTCCAAAAGCCAAAAGCAGAACCAACCCCAAACCAGAGGCGGAATGGATCGCCCTTGGTGGGCCGAGACAGCAACCCAATAATATCTTTGATCTAATCCGGTAATCGTACTACGAAGCCTTTGTTGGTCTAAAAGGTGATCCAATTCTTAATCCTGACTAGCTGTTGATCAACTAACCTAGGTGTCTGATGAAGGGCTTTCGGCTAGGGAGCTAGTCACCCTTCCGCGCAACGTTATGCAGTGTACAACACAACATACAGAGGGCATCGTAAGGCAATCTGATATCATGAATGAGATACTACCTCTGAACTAGTAGAATGGTAACCCTTGTACCGCAACCCCAATGACAGCTAACAAACGTAAGCGATGATGGTCTGCATATATCTTGATTTTGTCAGGATTCAAGGTTTAGTCAAGGAAACGCGACACTATTCCTGGGATAACTGATAATTCGCACACACAGACCACATCCGGCTGCATTCCCACAGAGCATGGGTGCTGATCAACCCAAATGGAAACACTACCCCTTAAGCGCTAACCTCGCCAACAATATATCCGCCATCTAGTTACTACTTATGGAGCTACGCTTTTCATGTGTTATTGCATGCGGTGGACGGCGTGGCAAGCTGCGAATCAGAACCCAAGCGAGCCGAGCTGTTTTTAGTGGTAGGCAAATGGAGTTTAGTTGATGGCCTTCTTTGAGGTGGAGACCACGGGGCCTTCGAAAAGGTTGAATTTCAGATGCAAAACGGTTTCCTTACACTACGTAGATGATCCCTGGCAAATGCACAACCTTGTCTCCTTTTTTGGGTTCTGGTGGACGTGACCACGATTGACTTTGTCAACGCCGACAACTCTCAGGCATTTGCTCCAAAGAGCCTTTTTGGATCTATCATCTTATAATCTTCATAACCCGTTCTTTGCTTAACCCTTGGTAGTCGTCAGATTAACACGGGTTAAGAGTCAAGAGAAAGCATACAGTCAAAATAAAATACAAAAAGCTCTCGGAAGTGAAACACAAGAGTGGTGTGTAGAGTAGAAATATATACATACAGTGACCATCTCTAATATATACTATCGAACAACTTACCTTTCATTTCTTTCCCTCACGAAAACTGTCGAGTAAAAAGAAAGAAAAGAGGACAAACAGGCGGGAAAAAGCGATGGCTTTAGTAGACCACCGATTATCATTATCAGCATCTCATCAATTATCTCATCTTCTCTGCCAAGGGAAGAACTAGACCAAATTGATCGTCTTTCTTGTGCCCAGAACGGCGCTGTACGGTATCGAGGGTAATAATGAGTTGGAGCTACTGCAAGAGTCAGCCGCCTTGTTGTTAACATGTGTGCTTCAGCGATTGAATGTTGATTAGGACAAAGCTATAATTGGTAGCCAATATTGTCTAATTCGTTCGTGCAAAGGATGCACCTCTGGGCATTCATCCATACACAGAAGCATAATAACCCATAAGAGACAAGCGGGAGGCCTTCCCGTACCAAACCGTGCGTACGAATATTGTCAGCGGGGTCTTTCCGAGCCCCAATACGTATTGCCACGACCGACTGGATCGGAGGCAACTGCCAATTAGCAGGGAGCATCATCGATCGTGAGGGTTTCCACTGATCTTCTTTCCCGAATGTGTACCCGTGTCTCCTAGACGGAGGAAACCGTGGCTGTACCGTGGTACTCGGGTAAACGGGACCAGCCTCTTTCTACAGTAAGACCATATTATCACGTTTGTTGTCAGCAGCAAAACATCATCATTGCTCGGATCTGTACAGGAAATGCAATTGAGAGGGGAGGAAGGGGGCGGGGAGGGGGGGATGACAGACATTTGTGTCAATGCCAATGGCTACTTACTAAGACATATGATGAAATAAGTGCAGACGACTGCATTCGAAGTATGTGCCTTCTTTTTATGTACATACATACATACTTTTGAAACATAATCTACTTTTCCTACTCTGTACACTGTACAGAGAGAGTACAACAAAAAACTTCCGCTGAAAGTGCGGCGCTAAGCACGGTAGGGTGATTAGTCGATAGAATGCATGTGTGTATTCCACTAGCGTATCGATAACCGTCGGAATTGGAGATCAGAATTAGTGATTATCATGAGACTAGTCAATCTAGGAATGCGAGATGTAAACTATGACCATAATGACACACACTTTCACACACACACACTCTCTCTCTTTCACTGGAGTCTGTTTTCCTAGGGACATACATGGATGAGGTAGTAGGGTGTACAGAACGACTATACATACAGTACAGAAGTAGTAGGTGGTACCATACACACACATCATTCGAGGCTCTAGGACTAAGCTGTTCTAGGATAAACACTAAGTTTTTTTTCTGGCCACGCACAGTCTTACCACACAAGAAGGAAAGTAAAAAAAATTAAGAAGGAAAAAAAGAAAATAACTAATACTAGCGGCGTGGCATTTGTATCTTGTCACGGTAAGCCAGTGGGAAAGCATGACGGGAAGGCGGATGACCCAACCTCCCCACTCAAGAAGAGTAAGAACTCCATCCCAGGATCCCCTAGCGTATCTCCGGCCGACGCAACTCCCGCCTCACCGCTGCTTTGCTCCCCACCGCTTCACGCCCGCCATGGCCTCATCCTATCATCCTCCCTCTTCTTCTCTCTTTCGTACCCCCGGATTCTGGGCTTTCTGCTCTCCCGAAGCCCTTTGTCCTCAGGCTTCGCTGCTGCCGATTTCACTTCCGATTCTACCTCTTATTTGTTTTTTGTACCACCCTCGTCTATCGTTTATTTTATTTTATTTTTGGATGAATTTTTCCCTTTCTTATTTCTTGTTTCCCCTCACCCGTGGTAAATAGTCAATTGTCACCATGTCCAATGTCGATATTTCCAGCGACGGCTTTATCGGCCTGGATTATGACTCGAGAAACTACCTCCAGCCTCAGTCATGGCCCGTGGCGGTGGACCACCAGGCCTCCCACCGAACAGATGGAGCGCGAGACATTTCTCCCTTGCAAACCAGCGGTCACGCATTTGAACAGTCCGTAGCTCAGGATACCAATCTGATGGTCGACTGGCAATTTCAGCACATGCACCCCCACCTTCATCAGTACTCCCATGAGGAGACCGTCTCCGCACCCCAGTTCACGGCCGCAAGCTATGGGATGCCTATCCAGTCCTCTCCCATTGATTTAATGTCCGCTGCACCTCAAGGGCAATTGAGCGGAAGTCTCCTAGACGGTCCATATCTGCCTCTATCAGCATCCGTTGACATGGTTCCGTTCCCTTATCAAGATCTCCAATCTGATCTGATGACATTTCCGTCCGATGGCCTGGCACATGGCCTACCAGAGATGACCTCCTATGCCGCGCCACACAACGTAATAGACAGCAACTCGCCCGCGGACACGTACTTGGAAGTCCGTTCGTTGACCAGTTCGAGCAGCGACAATGGCTGGAGCACCATTGAGCCGCGCCGCTCTCATGAGTACTTCCCAGACCAAGGTATCTTCATCAATCCCACGCAGACGTTGCATGACAGGAGTCTGTCGGAGTCATCCTACTCGACATCTTATGGCAGCTTCGTAGAGATATCGAATCCAGTCAACTCGCCCAGCTCGGACACCAATTTTGACACTGCTTTTAACAACACGATGACCCGTCGCGTGTCATTCGACCATACCTCGCATGGCTCACAGTCTCCGACTGCAGTGAGCCCCGTGGCGATTGTCCGACCGATTCCTGTCCCAATGAAGAAGCCTTCGTCGCCCACTCGGTCTACCGGGTCGCAGGCCTCGTCTACCTCTCCCCCGACAAGGAAGCCATCTCGCAAGAGCCCTATTGCCGCAAAGACTGCCGAGACGAAGGTTCGGAAGCAGTCGCAAACAGGAAAACCGGAAACCGAGAAACGTGTTGGAAAGCGGAAGGGACCGCTCAAGCCAGACCAGCGGAAACAGGCCAGTGAGATCCGTAAGCTGAGAGCGTGCCTCCGCTGCAAGTTCTTGAAGAAAACTGTAAGAATACTTAATTAGCTCATACAAGAAGTTGTTGGGAATATTGACTGACCATTAAAACAGTGCGACAAAGGCGAACCCTGTGCTGGCTGTCAACCATCACACGCTCGGTTATGGCAGGTGCCTTGCACCCGTATTGACATCAAGGAAATCGGCTACTTCATGAAGGACTGGAAAGCTGACTACGAACGTCATATCTCTCTTGGGTTCTCAGTAGGCAATATCAAAGGATTCTCAGAGCATGAAAGGACTCTTTTCATCACCCACGGCTATGGACAAATTCTCCCGATCAATGCTCGTGAGGTTTATGTGCGCGATGACCAATGCTTCAGTGTCGACTGGGTAGAGGCGTACAACCGAGGGCCCACGCAGTATGAGGTGGAGACAGCTAAGCTGTCTGCTGGAATGGAAGGCATTTCGCACGCTATGTTGTCCGATTACCTTGATCGCCACATCGATGGAAACGGCACCTTCGAGAAATTTGTTGATGATTACTTCGGAGGCACACCGTTCCTGACCCAGATGCTGAAGACCGCGTTCCGGTTCTATTTCCGCACGAAGATGCCCGTGATCCGCAAGGCTCTGAAGCTTATCATTGCCTACAATCTGACGCTCCATGTCACCATGGTCGAGGGCCTGGGCGAGGAAGAAGGGCTTCTCGGAAAGATTGAAGATGAGACATCTAAATGGAAAGGCAAGACATTAGCTCCAGTGATGATCAACTTCCAGATCAAGTGTGCGATGGCAAACATGTGGCGTGAGCTGCAGAAAGACGTCTTGGAGGAGCTTTCTAGCCTCTATTCCAGCGTCTACAGCGGAGAAAAGCTTAAGAACTGGCCAACCATCTTCATCCTGGCGTCAATCCTTTTGGCCGTCTGGGAAGAGATGCAGTTTGACTGCCACTACCGTACTCAGGTAAGTTACCCTTGGGATAGTATTGAATTCTGCACAGGTTCTAACGGCTGCAAGGATGCTGCTGCTGTCGATAAGTTCTGCACCGACATGGAGACTACTCCCGTCGGAGTTATTGTTGGCTTGTTCCAAGCGATTTCGCAGAAGCTTCCCGCATTCACCGAGTGGGAAACACAAAAGCACCACCACCTGCTGCTCTCGAATCCGGATGTTTGTAACACAATGACTGAGGTCCGCCAACATGTTACGCAATATGGTAAGGAAGTCGAACGCTACGCAGTGTATTAGTTTACCAGACTAACCTCCGTTCAGAGAGCTATCTCCGTAGCCGCTCCAGTTCGAAGTTTGACCGCAACGACTTTGACTGTTTATCGAATAAGTTTGTTTCAAGACTTGTTGTCCGCGCCAATTAAACGATAAGTTATGAGAATGATGGTACATTGCGCTTGCTTTTCTCACGGCTTTGGAAATGACGGCGTCTGCGCGGTATGAAACTATGAAGATATGCCGGCATTTACGATTATGACTCGCATTAAGCCATTAGCGACTACGATCGTTCTGTTCCTTCGTGTTTTTTTTCGTCTCGGTCTTCTACATATTTATTTTATTTTATTTTTTCCTTTTCTGCCAGTCTAGCCCACAGCTTACTTCATGTCTTGTTTGTTTTCTTTTCGTGCTTTCGACTTACACACACTCTCTTTTTGCTTCTAGTGGTATACCTTTCTCGCACAGTATTTAAACAGCGATGATGAGGATCACGAATGTCATGATATTATATGGTCACGAAATGTCTTCCAGCAGCTGCAAAGGATGAGCGCAACTGAGTTGCCGACGTATAGTGGAGGGGAGGTCCCGCTTCATGATGCTGCTTTTCTGCATTTGTGTGGCTGATTAGTGTATGCGTGTGCATGTGTGCATTTGTGTTCCCTTTTGGTCTTTTTTGCCATTATTTGTTACGGGTATTGTATTTCATCGGAGTGTGGGAAGGATTGTGTTGGCATGAAGTTCACCAATGTTCTTGTTTTTAATTCCAAAGCGTGCTAGCATGCTGCACTGCCCTTGTTTGTCATGAAGCGAGGGTAAAATTATGATTCACATACAGACAAACTTTCTCACTATGTCTTGTACAGATTGGACCTGGAGTCGGCCACTGTAGCATAATCTTGAGTAACGTCTGACAATGAGTTGGTGTGTTCACAGCTAATCTCCCTCGGACTCGGACGAATTCGGGTATCTCAGCATACCGCCATGTGTCGTGTACAAAGTTTCTACTGGATTGGGGAATGGTCCTAAAATTGGGTCCTGTGCTACTGCTCCATTGAGAAAGAGGGCTTGTCCCTCACCGTACCCTTCGCACCCTCTTTAGGAATCTGGTAGACTATCTATTAGGTAGCTCACAGACCTCTAATTATACACTATTTGTTAGTAGTATTTAATAGCTCCACAACAAAAAAGTACGTACGCGCCCATATACGTAATTTACTCTTCAAATATCCCATTTATCCAAGAAACTGCCAGTAGAACGAGCAACATTGGCACTCAATCGTAAGATGCCCATCGTCTAGACACGACGACCCGCCCTCAACCCCCAACTCCACCCCGACCTCCCAAAACGTCTCCCGCAATGACCGCTGTCCGTAATGACTACTCGCCTCCGGCGGGAACTTAGCCGACTCCACCGTGATACTCTTTAGATCCGGCAACTGACATCCACCACCCAGTCGAGGATCAGTGCCAACGTGCGCAGATCCGGCGCGCCCCATTCCCTGTACTCGTGGAACCGCAAGGGCCGGAGGCTTGGTGGCAGATGGCAATCTAGACGGTGGTGTTTCTCGGCGCTGTCGCAGCGTAGGACCTTCGGATCGATCGTGAGCTGCTGGAGGCGTTTGAAAGGGTGGAAGTCCACGGGTGGGCAGGTTGTGTGCAGGTAGAAGTCTGGGGTGAGGGTGAGGAGGGAGTGGGCATGGGGTCTTAGGGCGTTTAGGATTAGGCTTCGGTTTGTGGGGAAGTAATCTGGGTGAGTAGTCCATGGGGAGCCTTTTAGGGTGAAGTTCTGCAGAGCTTTGGGGAGCTTGGGGATCTCGTGGAGGGTTTGAGGGGAGACATCGCCGCAGAGGAAGGTTAATGTTTTTAGTGATGTGGGTTGGGGCTAGGGTTGCTGGGCCTGGATTAGTGTTTCTGGGTCCAGGCCGGGGATACTGGCTGCTACGAGGGCGAGGTTTTGTAGTTTTGGGTGGAGGAGGATGGTCTCGCGGGAGAAGTCTCAGAGGTCGCCTGTTTCGTGTTGGATGGGGGTTGGTGTGAGGCCGTTCATGATTAGTTCGCCTTGAGAGGTGTTATAGCGTTAGGTGGTGGGCTGACAGACATGTTGCTAACTTAGGAATGGAAGGACAGCTGACATTGGCCGAGCGGATTGCTCGAAGAGCCAGGACCAGATCGTAGATAAACTGTCGAGCCTTGCCCAAGGCTCGTAGTCCGGGTCATCACGCGCCCTGGGAATATCGTTTTCGAGGCCTTTGACGACAAGTCGCCTCAAGTTGACTAGGCGGTTGTTTGTCGGTAACATGCTCTCCACGAGGATTGAATAGTACTTCTCCTCAGAGGGGACACCGTCAACATAGTGTTAGTGGATCACAAGCTCCTGGACGTATTTAGCGCAGACGGCTTTACGGTTCACGGCGTAGATAAAGCTTTCCCCGTCATGATTGCCCAGATAGACGGACTGGTAGAGAAATGGCTCTACCAGTGGTTGGAGACGTTGACAAGAGCGCGCGAGACTTGTTAGAGGGACTCTTGATGGAACTTGGGCTAGAATGGCTCTCAACATCTCCGTTGGCAGATGGAGCAGTTGCGCGGATGATGCCATTGGCGGAGACTTTCTTTGAGAAACAAATCACCGTAGGTCATGGACGGTTAAAACACCTACAGCTGTGCAATTAGGTTCTATTATCTGGTATATTCAATTAAATATATCACACCAAAATAGATTACTGCTATCGCAGGGCTTGTTAGATTAGTAGTACCTAGTCGGTTTCAAAGCCTCGTTGTAGAGACGAAGTAGCCCATCGTAATTCATAGCACAATAGCCCCCAGTGGGCCTTATTGTACCTAGAAGTTCATTGTACCGCCTCATTTACCTCGGTAAATTTACGCATGCGTTCGAATATCTACGTACTGATGAAACCATCTCTATCAACTACTAAGTTCGAGTTTCGATTGTTGCATGGGCCTAAACATGGTGTCCTTGAAGACTTTCGAAGTAAGCAAACTCCCAAGAAAGGACGAAAGGAAGGGCTTCTCAAAACTGATCCAAAAAAAATGGCAGAAATCTCAGACTATCGACTTGAAAGATGATGTATATTGTATGTATGTAGTTAAAACACAAGGTGATTGTAACGAAGATAACTCCTATTTCGGTCACCTGACTTGGATTCGTTAAAGCGGCGATGTTTCGGTACAGCGTACAGCCCCGAGTCTAGAGCAGGCTGTCTTTACCTTCCTATTTAGGAGTGGGGAATTACCGGATGCGCAAGGTCGATCACCTGACCCTCCTGCCGTTAGCGCTGGCCGGGGCCGGCTCAGTGACCCAACTATTAGGCTACTAAGAGTGTCCACTCCACTGCCCCCCCTCCTCTCTGGGCGATAAGCCCAGATTCACACGTCATCGCTAACTTGCAGTTGCAATGAAGCTTTCATGGATCATGGGTTTTCTCTCTAATACATCAACGTGAAGGGAAGAATTTAGCAATTTCCACAAATATAAAATTTTTTAAAACCTCTGACATAGGGTTTGTTTCTATTATAGGAAATGGTGTAGAAAATATGGAAGATTTCCGTTCGACATGCCGACTGGTGGCGTCAGTGGCGGGTGCGGACGGAGTGGTCGTCCTAGTCCGTTGTTCTTCTCTTAAACTGACAGAAGACTCTTCCCCCAAGGTACGGATGACACAATTCCTTCGGTTTTCGATGGAATTTAGCCACCATTTTAGTGAAAACTCTGAAATCAGTATTCCCCCGAGTACTACTAGTATCACCGTACCATAATTACGCTGCCCATAGACAACAAGTAGGAGCCGAGAGACGGTCGACTGAGTCATCGCTCGGAACATTTCTAGTAGTTTCCCCCCCCAGTTCAACTGGGGAATCGCCGGGCGGAGGAACAAAGGATCGCCCTCTGACTGGACGGAAGAGGAGAGGAATGTGCCAGGATATGCCAGAATCCTAAGGTTCGACCTGCGCTTATCCATTTAAGAGTGGATTGACCGCCATCGTCCATCCTTACATCACGTTATCGACCTATCACTGACCGACCCTGACTGACTAAGGCGCTTCGCCTCCCCTCATCTCTCCTGACCACCTACTTAAACTGTTCTCCCTCCTTCTCCCCTTCTCCCTCCTTCATCCTTCTATCATCCTACCAGCCACTGAGACTGTTGTCCACCTATCTTCCTCTCTTCCACGTCTCCTAAAATACTATTTGATATCTCCTTCCTTCTTGATTACACTACAATACTTTCGTACACGTCACGATGCAGATCTTCGTCAAGACTCGTGAGTATACCTAACACTTATCTGCAGCCCAGCGCCACTTGGCATTTTCTGACATTCTTTTCTCATTCTAGTTACCGGCAAGACCATCACCTTGGAGGTCGAGTCGAGCGACACCATCGACAACGTCAAGAGCAAGATCCAGGATAAGGAAGGCATTCCTCCTGACCAGCAGCGCTTGATCTTCGCTGGCAAGCAGCTCGAGGATGGCCGCACCCTTTCCGACTACAATATCCAAAAGGAATCCACTCTTCACCTCGTGCTTCGTCTCCGTGGTGGAATGCAGATTTGTAAGTTCTCTGTCGCCACCGCCACCTTGCCCAGATCGTCTGTATCGAGAATATTGGCTAATTAACTAATTCTCTTATAGTCGTGAAGACCCTTACCGGAAAGACCATCACCCTTGAGGTTGAGTCTAGTGACACCATTGATAACGTTAAGAGCAAGATTCAGGACAAGGAGGGCATTCCTCCTGACCAGCAGCGTTTGATCTTCGCTGGTAAGCAGCTTGAAGATGGCCGTACCCTGTCCGACTACAATATTCAGAAAGAGTCCACTCTGCACCTGGTTCTGCGCTTGCGTGGTGGTATGCAAATCTTCGTCAAGACCCTCACTGGAAAGACAATCACGCTGGAGGTGGAATCATCCGATACAATCGATAATGTGAAGTCAAAAATTCAGGACAAGGAAGGAATTCCCCCTGACCAGCAGCGTCTCATTTTCGCTGGCAAACAACTTGAAGATGGTCGCACCCTGTCTGATTACAACATTCAGAAAGAGTCCACACTTCACTTGGTCCTTCGTCTCCGTGGTGGTATGCAGATCTTCGTTAAGACGCTCACCGGCAAGACTATCACATTGGAGGTTGAGAGCTCAGACACAATCGACAACGTGAAATCAAAGATTCAAGACAAGGAGGGCATTCCCCCAGACCAGCAACGTCTCATCTTCGCCGGTAAGCAGTTGGAAGATGGACGCACGCTCTCCGACTATAACATCCAGAAGGAGAGCACTTTACATCTGGTCTTGCGTCTCCGTGGTGGAAACTGATTTCTTGTTTGATTTCTGCTAGCGCACGGCTCAACTGGGTTGGGTTGCCTCGCATGGCGTTTGGTCGGTTTTAGGTCTTGATGAAATATGGTTTAAGAGCACACTGCTTTCCGTATCACCACTCGAGTTGTGGTGCATTACATAGTTTCAGTCCTTATTATTTACAATCTTTTACTAGAAATGAACAGTGACCGATTCGTTCGGTAGCTTTCTCGATGCTCTAGCCGTGTACTTGGATGATTGTAGACAGCGTAGTTTCTTCAAGGTTTTTGTTTGTCGGCAGGCCTTGTTTGGTTTTCTATGCTACATGCGATTAGAACAATGATAGTTGTATGAAAATGCGATAAAATATCGGTATAAGTCCCATAAAGTTGTCGACTTTATCCAAGCCGTTATCGCTCCGCAGCTTCATTGCCGCAGCCCCTCTCACACGTGACAGCGGCCGCCCGAAAAGGCGGGACTCACCCAAGCTATGTAGTAATTGAACAGTCTAGACGTTATATAGCGAGATCTTGAAAGTTGGCTGTCGCAGTAACTCGCAGAGTTCAGAAATGTGAGCATCTATCGGGATGCCCTCATACTTCTATCACCTCGCGATCGAATTATTTGCACGCCCTCCATCTGACCCCAGAGGCACCTCTCATAGTGCGGACGATCAACCTCCAACGTCGCTATCATTTGACTCCATATGTGAAGCTTTACAGCCCTTTCAAAAGCGATCGCGACGCTCAGCTCGCCATCATTCGAACGGAAAATCCACAAGCTCTTCAAGATTTCTTCCTAGTGACGCTTGCAGCTCAAATCCAGCCACTCCCACTGCACTTCACCCTCACCTCTATACGAGATCGCCGACCAGCGCCCCCGATTTCGAAAAGGACCTAAGATTAGACAAGCTTTCAGTCGAGTGCATTGATATGATACCTTCAGATCAGGAGACAATATCCCTGAAGCGGGCTGATAGACGGATTGATCACAGGGACAATCTTGTTGCAACGGGTATCGGTACTGATATTCTGGGTGGCCTACGTACAAAGGGTAGATATATACCGCTCGATCAACAGACGTCTGAGAGCTCCTGGGGAATTGTGCATCTATACCGAGATACGCAGGAGACGCCATATCTAACTGAGGAGGACTATCCCTTATACCTGAAAGGTTCCGCTGCTGCAAGACAACCATACGATGAACTGGGTGGGGGTAGCAAACCGCGGCAGAATGCATATGGTGAAGAACAGTCTTCCTCCTTGCATCCCGATGACGAATGCACGACCCTATGTATACTTGCCGTTCCGTCCTATATGTCACCATCGGACTTTCTAGGGTTTGTCGGGGAGGCGAGTATGGATAACGTTAGCCATTTTCGGATGATCCGGACTGCCAGAGCGAATCGGTATATGGTCTTGATGAAATTTCGCAGTGGGAAGAAGGCCAAAGAGTGGCAAAAGGAATGGAATGGGAAGGTCTTCAACAGCATGGAAGTGAGTGTCTACTTTCCCACTCCAATATTCTTGTTGAATTAATATACCGGGTGCTAATACCTTGTGGTTTCATTGAAAAGCCTGAAACATGCCATGTCGTGTTCGTGAAAACAGTAGAAATCCAAGCCGTAGATTCCCAAACGCAGCATGGGGGTACCGCCAATCATCAAAGCTCTCTCTTATCGCATTCCGCGACCAGTCCCCAGCGTGCAACCATATCCTCTACAGGACAGTCCGGCTCCATATCTTCGGCTACACTATCAACAAGACCTCTTGCGCCTCCCACACCGGCCCTCATCGAGCTACCAACATGCCCCGTTTGTCTAGAACGCATGGACGAGACCACTGGCCTGCTGACTATCATTTGTCAACATGTTTTCCATTGCACCTGCCTACAGAAGTGGAAAGGTAGTGGGTGTCCCGTCTGTCGCTACACGCAAGACGAGTTTCGCAGAAGCAGTCAGTGTGCGCTCTACGAAGACGAACAGGCCGAGTGCAGCGTGTGCCATTCCGATATCAACCTCTGGATATGCCTAATTTGCGGGAGTGTCGGTTGTGGTCGTTACGATGGCGCGCATGCCTTTGACCATTACAAAGAAACCTCCCACGCGTTTTCCATGGACCTAGGTACGCAGCGTGTCTGGGATTATGTGGGCGACGCATATGTTCATCGTATCATACAAAGCAAAACCGACGGCAAACTTGTGGAGCTCCCTGCTGCAGACAACAGTGCACTTGACCCTCCAGACTGGACTGATGCAGTGCCTCGGGAAAAGCTAGAGAACATGAGCGTAGAGTATACTCATCTTCTCACAAGCCAGCTTGAGAGCCAGCGAGCCTATTTTGAAGAGATTGTCGAGCGCGCCGTTGACAAGGCTTCGCAGGCCAGCGCGGCAGCAGCCTCGGCGCAAGAAGCAGCCGACAAAGCCACCGCAAGCTTACTCTCATTACACGCGCAACACGATAAGCTGAGCAATGAGACTCTGTCTACCCTCGAAAGGGACAAGACCCGTGCCGAGAAACGTGCAGAGAAATTCGAAGCCATGGCTCGCAAAATGGAAAAGGAGTGGCGAGAGGAGAAAACAATGAACGAAAGTTTGATGCAGCGCATTGAACACCTGACCTCGGAAGTTGAAAGTCTTAAAGCGACGAATGCAGACTTGACCGAGCAAAACAGGGACCTTACGTTTTTCATCAGCGGCTCTGAACGACTTAAGAATGAAGGCGAGGATATCGTTCAGGGTACTATCAGTGTTCCCGAACCCCAGACCAGCAAGAAGAAATGTAAAGGGAAGGGACGAAGATAATCGATAGAAGCGGATTATATTGGCTCATCGCATACCCGAGCAGCATTGGGTGTTGGTCGGAATCCATCAGCTCTACGTCGTAATCCAGAGTCCGTCGAGCACTCTATTCGGCATGTTAGATAACAAGCTCCTTTCACCGTTCAAACCACTCCCAGCTTGAAGCATGCAGATCCAATCTGGGCATAGGCAGTCGTGTGTGCATGCACAAGGTATGTACGAGAACACTTGTGGATGTTGAGCATACCTCAACATCCCACTCGAAGTTTGGTCGTTCTATCTCAGCTTTTGATTGCTGCTTAGACGGATGCCACACGAATCAGTTTTACCCTACCTCTTCTTGTTAACGAACGATCACGAATTATTTATAATGCTGTCAAACTCATATTGCTCGTTCATTTGCTTAGCCTTAGTCTATGTGTAATCTACAGCATTATATATACACGCTATGATACTGTTTTACAATTCTCATCGTACACCTCTCTGCCAAACCACAACCCTCAATTTAGCGACAAAGGGCCCAGGCCCAACCCAACACACAACTTCAAACCCCCTTCCTAATAGCCCAGAAATAGTTCCCCCACTCCTCCGACCCGGGAACCAACTTCCACCCAATACCAGGGAAATACATCACCCCAGAACATTTCCACCTCATCCCCTGTAACGCATCACTACCACCACGCACCGCGACCCCATCCTGACTCCGCATCAACCCCTCCTGAGCCCACCCATAAAGCTCATCCGGATTAACAAACTTGCTCCACTCGTGTGTCCCCTTCGGAACAACCCCAATCGGCCACGGCGCCTCGGCAATAACCTGGTTCACGAGGAACGACGGAAAAGTCCGCGCAATAGTCGACCCAACCAGCCACCCACCCGGCCGCAGAACCCGAAGACAGTTCGTCAGGAACGCGAGCGGCGAGGAGCCGGCGTTGGAGTCGACGTGCTCGAGCACCTCGAACAGCGTGACTACGTCGAACTTTTGCTTCCCGGGTGTTTCGTGCATGGTTGCGAGTAGGTCTTCCAGCGTGCAGTTCTTGTAGGTGAATTTGCCGGAGCGGAGGTGCGCCTCGACTTTTGGATCCGTGCGCGCGTGGCCGCGGGCAACTTTGATGAGGGCTGAGGTTGGGTCGATGGCAGTTATTGAGGCTGCTTGGGTGATGGTTTGGGAGGGGCTGTTGGCGTCCGTGGGGATCGTGCGTGCGAGCGATTCGGCGAAGATGCCGCCGCCGCAGCCGACGTCTAGGTAGCGGAGGTTGTTGGCTGGGGGTGGGGTGGGGTTTTCGGTGTTGGTGAGGGGGGGTGGGGGGCTGTCAGAGAGACAGGATGCGATGAAGTCATGGCGGAGGGGGTTCATGAGATGGAGGACCCGGAAGGGGCCCATGGGATCCCACCAACTGCTGGCGAGGGAGGAGAAGTGAGATAGTTCATCTGCAGAGACGGAGGTGGAATGTGCTCGCTGGGGGGCGTTGAGGTGGAGGAGGAGAGAGGTGACCTTGCGGAGAGTCGGACGGATGGTCAACATTGTGAATTATGTTGGTTGTTGTCCAAGAGAGAATTTGTCGCGAGGGTGTCAAGTAATGATCAACGGTGCATGGATTTCTTAAGAATGAGGATGTGAGAGCTGGTAGTCGGTTAGTGGCTGCATCGGGCTAGGAATTGATCTTAATACGGTGCATACTTTTATTTTCTTACCAGGAGCATCACCAATTGGTTGACCTTATTATGCTCTCCATCTTCTTGATAGTCAAGCCGAGGATTGAAGATTGAAGCTTTGAGTTGCTATCGCGGGTTGTTTGGCTTTGAACTCCGAACAAACACGCCAAGAACTTATGTCATCCCTGCTGGCTTTGTTTACTTGCATCTACATCTACATTTATGTACATCAACTGAGCTTCATGTACTGTCCAGTACTGACATCTACTCCTTATTCCAAAGGACACGATAATCCACAAAACACATCCATAAATATCACTAGCTTCATACATCCAAATCCTCGCGACGAGCTTCCCCTTCAATACGTAACATAATACGAGTACCAACTTACACCGACTCCTTCGCCCATTAAGCACCTAAACCCCTACCAGAAATGGGGCTATCTCGAACGGAAACCTGCCGCAGTTCATTCCTAACTAAGGAAGAGGTGGTCGCACCCGTATCGAGCTAACCATCTGACGGACTGACCGGATTGTCCATCCATCGCATCCATCTAATCCACCAGGTGGGCCCTATGGTGTCCACTCGATAGTTCTACGGCCCTTCCAGAAACATTCCGTCTCTGGTCATATGCTCCCCATCGCTCGAGTCAATTTGTCGGTCTGGACAGCTCTGGTCTGGCCTGTCTGTCTCATAGAGACATAACCTGCATCTCCGACGAAGATCAATGTTGATCAGTTGAGGTTGGTAAGCTGTTGGGGGGGGTTTCTCTTTGCCTGGATGGTACTCACGTGTAGGAGGTACTCCGTACTGTGTGTGGATGGCTCTGGGCTTGGGTATTGTTGTACGTACTGCTGATTGTGCTAATATGTTTTGGTCAGGACTACTACTACTAGGGCACTTAGTCTTCTATGAAGGGTAGTTTTTTTAGGGTAACTAGGAACGTTCATTGGTTTATACTATATAAGGGATGGCGTTACAGCCTTAAAGTCTATTATTATTATTTTTTTTGAATTCCCCTCTCGGTATGTCGTGGAATTTTCCTATATGTTTCTTTGAAAAGCGTTTGGAAATATCTCGTGAGTATTTGGGTTTTTGTGTGCCGGTTCATCTCCTATGTCCTGTAGATTTGTATCACACACGGAAAGATACATATCGTGCCTGAGGCCTCGTTATCACCACCGCTGTTGCCGAAATATGGGTGAGGCTACTGATTTGTCGGGTGACGTGCAGGCCAAATATATCATGCACCTTCCCTTTCGGTTCTAGAAGGAAGGATCGAAGGGGACTGGTATCAAATGTATCACGTGGTAATGGACCTTTTTAGGTATTGTCCAAACATTGGAACGGAGCATATACCGAAGAGCGAACTTTCCGCGGTGACCGAACTACGAGAGATGATCGCCCTGTGTAATCTTGACATTGTTGACCCGTAGACTAGGTGCTCATCCCAGCCACCGCGGATGAGAAAATCCCTCCTATTCTTGCTCAGGAAAAAAGCACTAGAGGCATATGTGAAACCGGCCAAACAGCCCGCTGGTAATGAGCAAAATACTAGCGGTCCAATGACAGCTCTAGGATATTACTGCGATCCAATAAACTCCGTACCCAGAAAAAACTATGGACGAGCGTCATGCGTCCATCCGTCCCTCTCCTCCAGCCACAGCTCCGGGACCCGACCCCAAGCGCCCCTGACTTTGGCGTCGCCCTATATATTCGACCAATAAATTTGGAATAGAGAAAGGGGGAAAAGGAGACGTGGGTCCAGTTGAATCATTGATTCACAACCAACACGGACTTCTGCAGACAACTTATGATATTATGATGACCTAATGTCAATCATTGACGTCGATGGTTAGAGAAGCAATCGAGATTCGCGAGACGTAAATTCGCTTCAATAGAGAAGGGGGAAAGTTAAAACTCCCCCAAAATTTCTTTTGGACTCGTTTATCTGAAGCAATGAGTTGACTAATGTTTCTGGTGGGTTTCGTGTCTAGAAAAAGGCCACAAAGGATCCTTGATTCCATGGTGAGAGAGGGGATGCGCTCCATAGGTGGGCAAATGACTGTGACACGCCCCAGGCACCAGGGGACCTGACCACACATCACGTCTCAGACCAAGCGTCCGAGTGGATTATGGCGTTACGCAGCCGCAACGGCACATGGATGGATGCTTTAGAAGGCTTCCATAGTCGTTCCAAATTTTTCTAGAAGGTCTCCGGAATACCGGACTCGCTTGGCGGGCGAACGAACAGCTGTAACTCGCAGGCAGGATTCCGTTAGTGGGTGGCTGTGGAGCCCTCTCTGCAAGAAAAGGAGAAGTAGCCGTAAGATGATGAGTCCCAAAAATCCTGAGAGCGTGGGAACACCGTCGCAGCCTCCTCCGTCAGGTCCGTACACTAGCAGCACTAAACTGACTAGCTGCAGTACGACTAAGGCGAGATGGGGCTAGGCGGTACTGCGTTACCCGCACCAGAATGTCCCCACGGTGCATTACCGCTTGCTTCTCTCCCCCTTCGTAATTAATCCTTCCCCTCCTACCTCTGTTCCTATATGCGAGTCCTTCCCGCTGGAGGTGATGTGATAGCATGCAGTCAGATGTGACATGCAGCTTTTTTGGGCCATGTCTAAGGACCGAGGCAATATTGTCCCTGCAGATGTACCATGTACGTGCGCGCGTACATCCGTACATGTGGTTATGTACCCGTACTCAAGATGTGTTACGGAATTTCTGTACTCCATATCCGTGCCTAGTGCGAGTTGAGGTTCTCTTACCATAGCCAAGGATCACATCTGATTCCCCATTATTCGAACCTTTCTAGAAGGAAATTAACTTTCTCATCGGTTGTTCTAATCTCAGGCCATGTTCGACACCCTTCAAAAGGGGGTCTCATCGTTTGGGGTTAGTTATGTTGTCTAATAGTCCTATCATGTAGGATGATCGAAGTTAGTGAGTACCTCCTGCCCTGAAATTTCGTCAAGGAGGGGAGGAAGAGAGGGAGGAGGGACGCTTATCGACCGATGTAGGGTCGCCCTGTCTTTTTGTATTAGTTCTTATGTATTATTTATTTATTTATTTTTTGTTTTTGTTTTTTTCTCCTCAATCACTCTCTCCCCCACAGCATAGTTCTCTGGTCCGACTGTTTTGGAAGGATTTTCCAACGGTATTTCCCTGGAAGTTCATAGTACAGGGCAAACCCACGCTGTGGGAGAATATGCATTGACGATCCTTGACGGTCATGAAAATATGATGGGTGTGAAATATGCAGACAGTTGCAGGTTATGGTCGCACGATAGTGAAAAGGTGCACACTGTAGTCCCAGAGTAGACAGTTCGGCTAACATTTGGCTTCGTTTGTTTCTTTTTCTCTTTTCTCTTTGGAATCGAACGATTTAGACCCCTTGAAAGAGTTCTGGGGTAGGGGTAAGTAAGCTTCTAAAGGGGGCACGCGCTCACCATATCGGTTCCTGGCTATGGCTTCAAGTCTACCTGTGATTGGTCTCTAACCCTCTTCGCGTTATGCGGTATCAGAATCATGACGGCTACGATGCTTTAGGATCTTCGGCCGAACCAAACAATTAGGCGGTGTTCTTCAGCAGGCATAAACCGTACACGCGCTCTGGATCAGAAATAGAATAAATTACTTCTTCAGATCGGCACCAAGCCGTATCCACACCCAAGAGCGATTCTCGCACGGCCAAAGAGACGGGGAAAGCCACGCTGTGGAGCCGGAAGCGCTGAAGCCTGAAGGTGACCTTCGAGCTTTCGTTCGGTCGGGTTCGACTGGAGCCACTTGGGGGCTTTTAGTGGAAACGTGCGAAGCTGTAGTAGTCTCCTTCCACTAAGTCTTGTACTAGTAGTCAGTAATACGTCTAAGATGATAATAATAATAATAATAATAACAACAACAACAACAACCACGACAACGACAATCATAGTGACAAAATAACAAACGAATAATAATGGTGATACAGATTCATATCAATAATAATGCCGGTTAATTATATATTAGAAGTCAGCTTACCCGAATTCATAATAAAAAGAGGCAGAAGTTGTACTGGGGAGTGGGATATGAGAGAAGAGAAAGAGAGAAAGCATCGGTGTTTTGGAGCTGTTATGGTCAATACCAATAATACCTCTCTTACTTCATCTTCCCGTCAAAACAAACTGTTTCTCCAAAACCTCCGAACAACTTTTTTAATTTTTAAATTTTATTATTTTTTTTATCCCTCAATATCATCATCCTTTTTTTATTTTATTTTTCAAAATCCTTATTTATTTTATTATATTTTATTTCTCTTACTCTTTCTCGCCCATCCTTTTTTGATATTTTTAATTTGTCCCTTTTTTTCTATATTTCTTTTCTTACGACTGGATAAGGGGTATAAACCAACTGTCCGTTCTCTTTAATTTCCATTCCCCCTTCTGTTCAAATAAAGTCCGTGAGGCGTTATCCAACCATCTACTCTGTTTTCCACCCCCTCCGCCATTGGAAGCCCAATCGAGCCGCTAAACTCCAACCCCGATTTTTCTACTTGACTCGAGTTCAACCTTGTTCACTCCTATCTGTCTCGTGAAGTATCTTCGAACGAGCGCATAAACCCTTGGACCTTATATCTCTGTAAGTATTTCTGTCGTTTTATTGGGGTTCGGCTTGTCCTCAACATCCCCGCTGGTTGGTCCCGATGACGCAGCTGAAGGGAAATGCTGCCCTATATCCTCTTCCGCTTTCTCGTCCCTATTGAAACCATATAATCGCTTCCCGACCCCAAGGTTGCCTGAGATAGATCCCACCTGTGGCTTTGTCGCTGAGTGAGCAAGTTCTCTATCGGATCTACTCAGAGGAGAGCTTGCGGCTCTACAGCCAGGAACAGGAACCTGCCACGGAACGATCGCCCAGTCCAAGCGAACTTTGCTGATATGGTTGTCCCTCGCACATAGGATTCGTCGAATTACTTTCATTCCCTATTTCGAGAATCCACCGCTCTTTGCGCTGTTGCGAAACGCATCCTGCTCTTCCAGAGTACGAAGCTCCAGTGGCTGTATTCGTCAGAATCAACCCTTATCGGCGACTTCTTTGAAGACATCCAACCATCCCTCTTTATACTCTTTATACCATTCGAGGTCGCGTGGAGGTGCCGACTAATCGGTGTGGCCTTTCAATCATCGAAAGTCCAAAGTTCTGGTCGAGATTGCGCTCAAGAGTAGCCCCCGCTATATCTCAAAAAAAATCTCATCGTGCTGCGGCTATCCGACGAAGCTTGCATCTGTGCCTTGGTCCGCTTGGGGTTTTCGGAATCAATCTGTGGAGACTGTGGTGAGCATCAAGCTCTAGAAAGAAACACACGAACTTCGGGAATTTGGTCCTCTGGCAGGAGTGAAACTGTTGTTCGGTTGTTTAATTTTCGGAATCGAAACCCATCTAAGAGCCCGAAGTCGCCCCCTGTCTTCGTTGCTCACATTCTTGATTGTGAAACTCTAAACCCCTCGATTACTTGACTGCTGAGGCAGAAATTTCTGCAGACCAAACGAGGTGAGCCCATGGTTTTTTGCTATTATTTTCTGATTAGTATTCGGAGAGGGTTCCGTGCAACCTCTTTTGTTTTTTTTCCACTATCGACATAATGAATCTGACTTTGGTTGATTCTTGCATAGTCCTGCACCACCTTCGTCTACTATAAAATTTCACCTTGCGTGCCACGAGGCCAGCAGCTGTCACTTGTTGATCTCGCAATTCGGTGGGATTTGGTTGTCTTGGAATTGGAAGGTACGCCGTGGAGATAATCCTACGGCTACTTGATAGAGGATTTTTGCAGGATAACCTTGATTTGTCCTTGACTACCGTTCCTCAGCTCCCCGCTGGGTCGGGTCATGGACATCACAACTATTTTGAACAGAAAAGGTTCTGCAGCCATGGTCGCCGCAGATTTTGATCAACAACAATTCATACAAAATCATCATCTTGATACCTCGTCGCCAAAGATGAAGCCGGAACCTGGTGTTTCAGAGGCCGCTGATCAGCCAGTCCTCTCGTATCCTCCCCATGCGCCGCTCGGTCAAGTGCAAGTGCCGAATATGCATCCGGATATGCGATACCAACCGCAGCCGCATCCGAACCCGGGGCTACCACTTCTGCAAAACCCCTATGTACCGGGGGGATATACAAGCGCCCCCCAGATGCCGAATGGTGGCGCCCCTCAGGGTAGGACAGACCCTCCGCCCAAGACATTCCACTGCGGCACTTGTAGCAAGGGATTCGCTCGACGCAGCGATCTTGCGAGACATGGTAGGCTTCTAGCAAAGTGATTCTTTTGTCCAATTAGCTGACAATGTGTAGAACGAATACACTCTGGTATTAGACCCCACGCTTGCGATTGGCCAGGGTGTGGTAAGCAATTCATTCAGCGCTCTGCCTTGACCGTCCATTCTCGTGTCCATACGGGTGAGAAACCGCACATGTGCGAAAGGTGTGGAAAGGTATGTATTGCTGCTTCGCTTTTGGCAAGAACTAGTCACTAACATCTGATATCATGGATATAGCCTTTTAGCGATTCGTCCTCGTTAGCCAGACACCGCCGGATACATTCTGGAAAACGCCCTTATAAATGCCCATACGCCAATTGCCAGAAGACCTTCACACGTCGCACTACTTTGACCCGCCATCAAAATCATCATACGGGCACTATCGAGGAGGCGGCCGCAGAAACGGAAGCCAACCTGAGGCAAAATAAAGAAAGAGCAAGAGTCCCTGGAGACGGAATGTTCTCTGATCATGGTTCTGTCCATTCAACCCCTTCTCCGGCCCACCACCCCGCTATCTCACCAGCTGGTGATCTTCCTCCCCTAAACATGCCTCGTACATCTGGCGAATACTACAGCATGGGAAACGGTTCTATCCCTCCTCACGTCCGCGGAGATTTTCCCCAAGCTAGTCCTCGGGCTTCTCCAACGGCAACTTCTCCATCTCTGTCAAGTTTCGGTAGTGCTCCGCACCCCCGGCCCTCTATGACCTCCCACCCGTCAGGTTACGCCCCCCCTCAACCGCTTGAGCCACCCGCGAACAACGACCATCGGCCCAATAGTGTTAGCGGAAGCCCCCATATGACAAGTTTGGGTTGGGCTTCGCCGTCACACGGTAGCATCCCATCGCCGGGTTCCGCAAGCGATTTCGGTTATTCTGATCCTAACGGCCCAGCGTACCCGAACTCGATGCCTCCTCACATGTACTTTCCCAACTCTACCATCCGACGCCCTACTAGCACCGAACCTGAGAACTACGAGATGAAGCCAAAACTTGGCGAAAGCGCATGGTCTACACCGGTCTAAGGTCTCAATGAACAGCAGGACCTCTGATTTGGGACAAGCAGATTTGGTTCTAAACCATATACCCACGCAATGTCTAGGCTCCGGTGAAGAGTTTGGTATTTGCATATCTTTTCCCTTTGTTTCGAAATTATTTCATTTGTTTTCCGTTGCAACCTGCATACCAGCATTTTTTCGTTATTTGATTTTAATTTCCTTTATCATATATCGTTGTGGATATCCGAGATGTTATTGTCTTAGCATTCCGTTTGAGGGTGTAAGCGCGCTGGAAGGAGTCCGGGCTTAGCTGATTTGATTCCCGTGTTTTGATTGTGCTCTCTATTTGTTCTTCTAATGTGCGATATGACTCGAACGAACACAAAATAAATAAATAGAGAGGTGGGAATGGTTCATGGCTAGGTGGACGGGGTTTTGGGAACTGGGTTTCTGGTCTGGTTTGATTTGGTCGCGGTTTTTCGGTATCATATACCACATTTTTATCATATATTTATTGTGCATCATCTGTCTTCTGTTCCCGCATCTCCTCCCTTGTTACATTATACCTCATATCCATTTAATATCCGCCGAATTGTCGCCATTATTGTCCCCTGTGTTTCCCTGTTTCCTTTGTCCCAATACTTACCCATTGTAAATGTTTCGCTCCCTGTATGATAGAGAGATAGTGCTTAATTTGATACCAACGTTACGGGTCTTTTTCATTTTTATTTTTTAGATTTGGATGTATCTACGACCTCTTATCTAACAATCCTAAGTTCTCGTAGACAGAGAAGAGCAATACCCTGGATTAATACTATATATGTATATATATATGCATGTATGTACACCACAAAGAGCAAGAGAAACAAGGGAATACGGTGAAGTATCCTGATTTAAGCTAATAGCAGGGAATGGATCATGACTATTATAGGTCCATTGTTGTTGCATTGAAGCCTGTGTTCGGGACAGGGACGGGACATGAACAAGTCAGGGGATTCGGGTTTAGTCGCGAGAAGAGGGCTGCGGCGAAGGAGGTGGATGAGGCGCCTTTGCCGGAGGAGAGGATACCGAATCGGAGGAAGACTTCAGAGGTGGTGACGAGGATGGAGATTATGATTAGGACGATGATGATCCATGTTTGGCCTTTCGGAGGTTAGTTGATAGATCTTTTGTCTGGGGGTGGGGGAACACTTACGAGAGGTTTTGCTGTCGGCTATTGAGTCGGAGAGGATTTCGGCGAGGTCGAGAAAGACGCGGCACCGTTCGTTGAGGACCTGGATGCGGGGCTTTATTTCGAGGTATTCGCGAACAGCGATGTAGAGGGGGTAGAGGGTTGGTTCGCTTTCCCAGAAGAAGTTGGGGACGTCTAGCATGTTGGAGGCTGTAGGATTGCTTGTGAGTAATTGAGTCTTGGCGGGTAGGGCAGGGCTGGGTGAGGGATGACTTACAGAGATTGACTTCTACTCGGCTTTTGAATAGACGTCCGAGGATCCTGAATACTTCTTCCCGTTTCATACCCAGTTTGCCGGTCATGGCGAGCCTACGTGGGACGTCCTTCGCTTCAGCCATCTGTCTAGCCATGACCTCTTCGAAGAAGCAGAGTTTGGTACTCTGGGCGATGCCATGGCTGATAGCCAGCTTGATCATGTGGTCACCGCTTCGTAAAGTAATCATGTCGTTGTACACGCGAGGACGGGAGATTTCGGTCGAATATTCAAAGTGAAATTCCTCCGTTTCGAAATCCTCTTCCTGCAAAGGCATAGTAGCTAGCGGAATAGGATTCCCAGTTACGGACGAACTCGCGAATGCTAGATCGGCAAGAAGGTCCTTTTCTTGTCTTTCGGTGAAGTTCCAGAATACAACCACACCATAACTGAAGACAAACATCTCTGCCACGTTATAGAGCAATCGTGTAGGCACCAAGGACGGGCCGACGGGTGCTCGATCATGGCGTTCATAGGCTGCGCCATCGGCAGCTTCCTCCCTCACCTCCGAGCTTGCAGGATAACCATCCTGGTCGTGTCTAGACGTCTCGCTGTGTCGCGGTGAGCCATGCTCGCCGCGCGCCCCGAAAACAGAATGCTCCTCAGCTTCTGTCATGTATTCATCATGATAGTCACGTAGCTCGTTCCGCTCGATTTCTTCATCCAGAAGAGACTTGCCACCAGGCTTCTTCACGACCGGACTACTCCTAAGCCTGTATCCTCCATGGCCGGGGAGTAATGGCAGATGGTACGCGGTGTACAAGCAATCGTCATAAAGCTTGGATTTTCCACCGTGCCTCTCCTTCACAAACGTCGCCAGGGAGCTCATCTTATAAGCTTGTGCAGTACAATAGGCCGTGACACGAGATAATTTCTCCGCACGACGGGCCTTCGGTAACCGCTCCGCATAACTTTTGGCCCTCTCCGGCGCAACTTTCCGGCGGCGCAGTAACTCCTCATCTGCCAACAGGGGGGCAATATCATTGTCCTCGCCAAAGTCCCCACCGAGCTTCTTATGTGTTAATAGCCGTTGTCTTACGGAATCCGGGTCGATGTTTTTGTCCCTCGCCAGTCTCTGGACCAACTCCTCGTCCACAGTCTCCTCATCCTCTTCATCACTCTCCTCATCCCCCAATCTATTATCCACTTCTTCCGACTCGGGCAGAAGAACCAATTTCTCGCTAACCTTTGTCGACCGAGGGGGTAAACGTGGCTGAGCTGCGAGACGGCCCATCGTTACCGCAGTACTGGCTGCACTGGTGCCACCACCAGAAGTGCCTGCTGTGCCAGAGCCGATCAAGGCACCTGTTGCGGATGCTATGCGCGACCGAGGACGGGTTCTTGAAGGTTGAGGCGGGTGGCGCTGTTGCATCGACGGAATATCCGAGGTATATTGGAGGACGTTATCGACTGTGATGAAACGGGTAGACGGGGAACGACGACGGCGAGGCTGAGTAGATGATTGCTGCTCGCGCGAATCGGTCACCTAGAATGAAGTTGAGATTAGTCCATCCAATACGGTATGAACACAATAATGCGGTCAAGACGACGTTGATATCATGATAGGGTTCTTACCAGCACATGCGGGCTCCTTTGACCAGGCACCCGACCTCTTGCGGGAGTCATGGTTGAATTGATAAAGGATTAAACGCAGTAGGAATTTGTATGCTTCAAAGATCGAGAAAATTAGATGGAAGGCTCAATTGCGGGAACAATCTGAGCACCAGGAAGGTTTCTTCGGTCACTTCCAAGCTGTCTCTGTATAAAGCCAGGCCAACGAGAACAATTGGTCTCAATGCAGAATAAGCGATGTCAGCCCCTCGCAATCAAATCCAGAAGAACGAGAGCAATGCGGTCATGATATCGCAGCCTGGGCAATGGCTAGAACACAAGATAAAAGATAATGATTCTCGGTTCCTAAGCTTCTGACCGCCGGGCAGAAACGGTCCTAGTCCCTATTGGGACTAGCCCGAGAATCAACTGCAAAAGAATGACGTCGTCGGGGAAGTTGCCCGTCACGGCCATACAGTAATTACGGGGCGTATCATTACCGTGCCCTTAGAATTCCCATTCAAAACAACCGGCGAGCCACGTGCGGGCCGTGGTCCAGTGGGAGACTAGGCCCGGAGTAGCCTAGCGGTTTCATCGTTAATGGTTGATCCGGGGTAAGAAAAGCACCATCGACCTCTTCTTGAAAATCCAATCAATCTCTGGGAAGAAGAGGGTGGTGTTCGAAAGCGTCTCTCGGATAATCGCAAGAATGTCCGTCTTTACCTGGATGATCCCTCTAACTCATTCGTGGAGGGGTATCAATGGCTGTCTAGGTAAGAGGGGCCTTGTCAGCCACAAGAGGGGCGGGGGTTTCCCCTGGCTGGTTAACATTTTCTCCGGGGAGGAGGATTTCAAACCAGGCAAACGACGGAATGCGCGAACTACATACATCTAAGTCATGGTTCTTGCCTCTGATGGGGAGGGTGGGGAGAGAGTGTAAAGGGACTGGCACAGTTTAGCGCCGCCGGATCATATGTTGGAATGCATTTGGAGGCTGTGTGGGAGCCTCCTTGCAGATGATATAGTGATTCCTTGCTTCATGACAGATCTCTATGTATTGTATTACATGCATGTGTTTTTGCTACACTGGGAAGATAATTGACAGACAAACGCAAAATGCAGTCACCAGGTATGAGGGTGTGATATAAAAACAGACCATGATAAACGCCCCGAAGCAAACTCAAACTGCTTCGTCATGCAAGAATATTTGCGTTACAGAAAGTAAAAAGAAAAGAAAAGAGAAATAACATAAACATCCAAGAATGTAAACGGGGTATCCGTTCTGTTCAAAACCCGGATCTAGCAATGTCTCACACAGAAAATTAATAACAAATCTCATATAGTTCCCCGGGATAGGCCGTTTAGAGTCCTTCGCGAAGCCGCCTGTCTTCATCCCAAATTTCCTCTTTCATCTGCTGTAGTCGAAAATGCTGTCGTCGTAGCTTCTCCAGCTCCGCCCTCGGTGGGTCTGGATGTGTTGCCATATTATCATGCAACGAACGATACTTGACATAGTAGTGTTTAAAACGCTGCGACTTCTCTCGCAGCTGTTGGAAAAGGATCTCCCGGCTAAGTGGCGGTGAAGCACTTCCCGTACTACCACTCGAGGTGCTAACTGCCCGTCGTCGTTTGTGCTCCAAATCTCCTGTAGTACGTCCTTGGGCAGGGGTTGCAGAAGGGCGCTCCAATTCCGCCTTGCGCTTGAGCGGGTTGAGAGCTGGTGTTGGTTTGATAACGCCGTTGGTCTTGCCCTGCTTCCTCATAATGGGAGCACCTATAGCTTTGTTTGGCTTGGATATTTGAGTAATCAAAGGCGATGACGAAGAGCTGGAGGAATTGTTCTGGCTCGAAGAGCGACTGCGACTCTGTAGGTCAGGAGCATTGGTTGGGGGCGACGAGCCAAGCGGGGATGGCTTCTGAGGAGATTTCTGAGCTGGAGGCCGGGAGGACGGTAATCTCTTTGACGACGTGGTGGGCTTCGGAGGATTTGGAGACGACGGTTCAGCTTTAGAAGGAAGACGCTCCGGAGGGTCAACCTTGGGTGTTGGCACATGAGAGGACTCTCGAGGGGTAGGCGTCTCGGCCTGTTTGGGCGGCGCTTTAGGCTGTGGCTTGGTCTTCTCTGGGAGAGGTTGTTCCGACGCAGACACATCTGGCAAGTCCGTGTCATCTTCGTCCGAATCATGGACGTACTCTGCTGATTTGAACTTGCCATCCGGCTTTGGCACCGGCTTCCTTTCGGGCTTCTTAGTGACGCGCCCGGTCAATGTACTGTTTGTGGCAGTCTTGCCCTTCGCAGTAGACCGCTTCGCTGCGGAGTCGCTGATACGCTTCTTTTGTGTGTTCGTACCCGACCGGGGAGCTGATGTTGGCTGTGTCTTGGGGGTCAAGCCATTTACACTGGCCCTGTCAGTTTCCGGGCCAGTTGTGTCACCCTCTTTGCCGTTATCATCGGGGTTTTGTACTTGTATCCGAGGGGTCAGAGGCTTCTTGATAGGGCCGGTCCGCAAGTTCAACCGTGACAGACACTTTCCCTTCCCTCGTTCTTCCTTTGGAAGAAGCATCTGCCATAGCTTGTCGGAGCGGGAAATCCGCATGCGATCAAATGCTGAAATAGCATTCTCAATGGCTTCCTGCCGCTCCTCCAGGGACGGATAAGGGAAATTCCATACATCCAACTCTCTGTATGCTTTGTCCCTGAGATCGAACTTCTCCGGGTTGATACGGTTTTCAACACCATATTTCTGGGCCAAAGCCGTGCAGTCTTCGATCGAAGAGCGAGTCTGGCGAGCAAGAAACTTGGTGGATACGGCACGGACGGCAAGAAGATGGATGAAGGGAACCTTCAAAGCTTCGAGACGTATGCGGTCTTTGTTTTGGAAGAGCGGTGCGGAGGTAGGCGTAAGTGGAGGCACGGAGGTAGGAGACCGAGAGACGCCCAGAGCCGGGCTAGAGGATACCGAGCGATTGGCTGCATTTTTCAGCAACCGGTCCTTCTCCAGCTCCGCCTTACTCGTCTTGCGAGCTAAAAGAGCGGCCTGCCTCTTGTCGCCCGCTCGAAGAGCTTTCAAATCATCAATGCTAGTGATTATGGCTGTCTTCTTCGATTCTTTTCCCCTCTCAAAAGCGTTCAGGCTCTGTTCAAGATTGGCCAATGCTTGGTCTGTGGCCGCAGTAGCCTCCTTAGCTTTCTGGACCTCCAAGCTATGGCTCAAGACCCCAGTAAAATATAGATTTTCTTTGTCATTGGAGCTGCTGCTATATATCTCGGATCGGTGAGTTTCGGGACGAGAGTAGAACGATTGCGATTTGGATCCGTAGTAGAGAGTCGGGTGTTTCCCTAGGCGGATCCTAGCTGTTTGGTCGGTCCGTAGAGCTTGAATCAGTTCGTCGAGGGTATTCTGAGCTAGGTTCAACCGCATGATCTGCGTTTGTTTAACCGTGGAATCGCTATCGGGGTTGTCTCTATGGAGAGACAACCCGGACTCTGGCACCTCAAGAGCCGGCATGAGGTCGCGGTAAAGTAGTAGGAGAGGCAATAACACCCAGACGAGGGAATGGAGGATAGGATACGGTCGAGCAGCGAAAGGAGAAGAGGAATTGAGAGGCGTTAGGAGGGTGTCCGGGAGAAAGGACGGGTAGCAGCGTGAGAGCTGCAGGTCAGCGGCCGAATACACGGGAGGACGAGTCAGAGCAACACGCCATAGATCAAGCAATGGAGGACAAAGAGGAGTTTGAAAGGAAGTTTGCATATAGATTAGCAAACGAAACTCTGGAGTAACCAAGACCCATGGCAAAAGGGTTTGGTCGTGGAAGTTGAGTATAGGAAGGGTAGGAAGGAAGAAGACGGAGAGGGGGGCGGGTAAAAAAAAAAAAAAGAGGAGAAAGAGAGAGGGAGAGCTGAGATGAGATGATGCCAAAGAAACCAGGATGAGAGCGTAAGGCGGCCCTAGAGCGGAGAGAGGACAAGAGCCAGAAGTGAGTGAGTGGGGAGAAGCGGTATGGTATCGTTCAGGGTACCTTTTCTGGGCCAAGGAGTTGTCAGGCCCGCAGGATGTTTAATCCAATTTGGGTCCGGGTTTATAATACGAATCACCTTCATGATTGACTGATTAATTAAATTTTTTACCATTTGATTGCAGACCTCCGGTTACTACCGTTTTGTACTATACTACGACTAAATATTGCCCCGTCGTCCCGAGAAGAGAGTGTGAATAAACTTCAGTATTATAGTAGTAGTATTATCCATTTCGGTTCCCGACGTTGGCCACCCAGAATGCGGAATCTACATCCATCTCTACCAAAGTACCAGCCCAAAAAGTGTGGCAAGTCTGGGTCAGAAAGCCTGAGACGAAGGTATAAGAATGGAAAATAAAGAATAAAACCACCAAAAAAAAAGAGAGAGATTGTTTGTATCGTACCAAATGACATACATAACTTTACTTTCCCGGAAGAATAATCAGAAGGGTAAAAGACGAATAATAATAGGCAGGGGAAAATAATAGTACCACCACTAGTACAGAGAACGGCGTACCGTATGGGAAGGCCCGCCCCAACTACCGTACAGGCAAGGCGGTGGGTATTTTCCATACATGATCACGGGTACATATGTACAGTATGTATCTCCATTTCAGTTACAGTAGAAATACGGGATCAAGGAGTGTCTTCTGGATACTACTAACTAGTAGGTCCGACTAGTAAAATCTTCTGCTTCTCCTTCTGGAACATTGATCCCTACCAACGATCGATCGGAAAAGCAATCATGAATCGAGTCGTCCAAAACCTACTTTTTTGTCTGGAAGTTTTACCTCGACCCTTTATTTTAAGGATCTGGGGTTGGGAAAAGTCAGGCTCGAGTCTTGTCTCATCCTCTTTTATCCTTATTCTTCTTCTTCTTTTTCCTTTTTCTATTGTTCCATTAATAACATTGGTTTTTTTTGTCTCTACCCCATACCGGCGAGAACCCGAGAGTCCAGAGCCAGTCAGTCTTTCTAGGTTGAGACTGTGACAGCGCCGGTACCGTACGCTGTACGACCCAGTGGCTGCGAGTTGTACGGGACCGGAACAGCTTGTTCGACAACGCTATCTTACGCCATGGCCATGCCTCTGCCACCGACGCCCCCACTACAACTGACAAGAAAACTGGGTCCAACCCAACAGTCTAGTCCGGAACTACTCCTTTGTGTTTTGATACAGGTCAAATAGAATAAAAGGAGAATCGGAAATTAGAGACCATCAGCAGATAAAAGAATCGTACAAATATGTAAGAAATTGAGAAAGAATTGTGCGCGTGGCGGGGGTGTGACAAAAAAGGCATAAAGACAGAGAAAATAAAACGATGGTCGAAAAAAAAATTACCTGAAGATGTTAATAATCCATCAATGAATCGGGAGGAGGAGTGGTACACGGCGTAGTAAGCATTACAGTAGTTACATACCTAGTACCTGGGGGAAACCCCGATAGACCAAGGTACCAAGTTGATTAATTGCTTTGATGAACGATATTTCTAATATTTCTAGGCGAGAGATGAACAAATCGAAAATAACATGAAATCAAGAAAGTTAAAATAGAATGTGCCTTGCTTTTCTTTTCTTTTTGGTTTCATGGTATGGGAGATATGGGAGACCAAAATGTATTATTCTCGACCATCATCGTCACAGGATCAACATCTCAGAAACACTGGTTCAGCACGGCAGATCATCCGTCAAGAGAGAACAGCCTCGACCTCGCTATTTTTTGTTGCCTTTGCCCTCTTTTCCCATACCCGCGCGTGCGCAAACCCCACCGCGAGAGAAAAAGGAAATGCAAGATGGTGGACTTGCATAGCAGCTTGCCTTGCTCTCGTGCATCTCAAACTCTGTATCTATTGAGGTGCGGAGGAGCTTCGGGTCACTTTTGGGGTTCAGACAGCCACCACTTCATGCGCTGTATCTACGTCTTTTATTTTTAATTTTGTTTCTACGGATCAATATTAATCTCCTCGAAAAGGAAAAGGGAAAAATTATCAATGAAATGTGATCACCATGCACCCGTTCCAAAGCAGTAGAGAAGGAGTATGATGATGATGGGGCCGAGAATGATCCCAGTCACAGGCTACCGTCGGCTGGGATCTAACCCAAATAAATCACTGGCTGATCATGAACCATTGGACAGAAAGCTCTCTTGTGGTTATTACTAAGGTTTACGATTCAGGAAGAATCGACACTGTCTCCAGGCTTTTCAAAGGGTGTTTCTAAGGTTTCCAAAGTTAATCCGTTGGAATTATTGGCTCCTTATTTGTGGGTCACCCCCCCTTACGATCATTCCGGACGAGTAATGAAGGGATATTTCGTATGGGCAGTTTAAGTTGATACTAGCTATTCTTGTCCACCTTTGATTATGGAAGTTCCCTTCTATCCCCCATGATTTCCGATTAAGAATTATTAATCAAATCATATTTAATTATCCTTATTGATTTCGATGATGATCTCCAAGGTCTTTTTCTATACGTCGATTTATCTGAACAGGGCGAGGTGATTGTTAGTCCCTATGATTTGTTATTTTAGGTTTTCGATCAATTTACAATCTATTAATCAGGGACCGAGAAACCCTGTAGGGTAAGTAGAGGTGGGGAGGAATGTACACTAAAAGGCCAACTAAACACCGAACAAGTAAGTGGTGAAATGGAGGGGGAAACAGCAAAAGAAAGATATTAAGTCAAAATCGACAAGAAAACATCGAGGGGTGACATGTACATGCAATTTCCTGAACCCCAAGGTATGTACATATCTATACGGTTGAATCAGGGAGGCGAAAGACAATCCGCGCGCACGCTGGTCATCTTGGGCGCAGTGACTATGCGCTGACTGGCAATTGCCTCAGTAACTACTCCATCCAAGTTCCTACGGTCGAAAAATGACTTCTCCGATCGACCCTGCGCCTGATACTACGTAGTGTTGAGGGGGTTGGAAGTCTCAGTTCGTGTTACTTGATGCCAACCATCCACGTGTTCTGGGGGTTATATTTCGCCTCTATCGGATTTCCACGACAAACAAATCTAAACAGGACGGTTATAATTTCGTCGAGTGGGATATATATCACAATTCTCGAGACGGCAGGGACCCTGTACGGAAGGTGCTATAATTTGCCACTGACCTGCAATCAGCCTCCAGTGTTATGATTATTCTAGGAATGGGCTCTGCATGACTGCAGTAGTTCCTTTTCTTAGCCGTCCCCTGGTCGTGCAGTTTTCCACCCTCCAAAAACTATTCAGCAACCAGGTAGCCAGGTTTTCATGGCCGCGTACGAGCTCAGAAGGCACCACGTAAGCAGATTGCCCGTGACGTAGAAAGGAAATGGTGATCTGGATATATCATAGATCGATACTATTGTTGGAATGAGTTTAGACCCTTCGGTCTCATTTACAACCTATATTCAGATCCGGAAAACGGATGGGCATGGATGCCACAGGCCACCTCCGGGCTATCTATCAGTCACGAGTGGGTTCCACCGTGTCACTCGACAGGACGCAACCTGTGTAACTTGCTGGTGGTAACTCAGCAGCCGGAATGCTCCATGAATCGTTGTCTGGACTGGAAGAGGTATTATCTGCGATCCTGATTCCCATGGCTGGCAGCCAGGCAATTATGATCATTGGTGGGCCTTTCCCTCAATGCGAGGGATCGGGTCGTATTTAGTTGTATTGGAGAGTTCTAAATACCCGGTTGAGTCGACCCGCAGTATCGTTATGTATGTATGTCACTGTACTGTATGTATGTATGGTATGTATATACGTACGTACAGCATGTACCTTGGAAAATGTATGCGTAGATACACAGTTTAGCAAGATGGGAGCACGGCTGCCAACACACTGGGCATCTAGCAATGCCTACCGAAAAAGAAAAAAGAAAAGCAAAGAAAAGAAAAGAAAAGGACAAATAATTCTACAAAATAATAATCTAATCGTACAGGAAGAACCTCCCTTAACTTATTTCAAACCTGCCAACATATGACTCCTACTTGATATGGACACACCGTATTACCTACCCAAGGACGCCTAAACCCCCTTGGAGGTGAAACTAGATCGGTGATAGTTACGAGCTGAAACGTGCCGAACCCATTCCATCTTCGACCAAAATAAAAAAGAACCTAATCTTTACTGCCTAAGGAATAGTTTGGCCGCCAATCATCTGATCTTAGCGTAGCGCGGCTGTGTCGTTAATTCTCCTGCCTCCAAAACCAAGGGAGTTAGGATCAATGAGGCGCATTCGAAAACCGACGTGAGGCTTGGATGTTCGTGAATGCAGATCGGTCCCGATATTCTGGCTGAGCTGATCGTATATTTAGAACCATGTCGACATGCGGCTATTGGCAACCCTGTACTCCGTACCTGGCAGAGACACCTGTTGGGTCAGGCTGAGAAGAACCAGGGGGAAAAGCCTCCTTTACCTACGTATCATACAATACTAATATTAGGCTTAGGAGCATGGTCGGTTACCTGGGTGAAGAGTAGGTTGGGCTTGGGGTGAGACGGAGTACTGAATAGTTGCTTTACTAGTGGATTACTCTGTACTCCGTAAGTTCTCTTTCTGCAAGCCCACTCCGGTTTCCTGTTCTGGACGCCGCCGCATTCGGAGTATTCCACGTGAGAAGCTCATATGGTCCTTTTCCACTGTAACAACAACTAGATAAGAATGAGAGAGTGAAAGAAAAGATTGATCGTTGCCATGTGATCTCACAGACCCTTTAAACCTTCATCATTATTGGCTTTTCTCAAGCATTACTGTCTACAGTCAACAAAGGAAAAGAACATAGAGAACCCCTTTTGCTTCGGCAAAGAAACCAAATGAAAAGTGTCGGGTGGATACACTCCGCACGATTGTTCGAAACTCTTTCTCCATGGCAACGCACCTCGCTGCGAGTCAACTGATGGGAGCTGAAAGGCATCCACACATTGATACACATCTTTTGCAGCCTGTCTTATCCAGCTCGTTTCCTCGCTACTTCAAGCTTCTATGGTAATAAGCTTGTAACCTGTAGTCAATTGAGACCATTCCTGGGTAGTACAAGAGGACAATAACACAATGCTTGTGGGAGAGCACGGTACAAGCCCCATCACAGACGGAATGAGAACACGCTGTTTCCTAAATTGGTGGTATGATCACGTCCTTGACCGATTAGTTAGCATGCATAACGCGCGATTCTTTTTTTTTTTTTTTTTGAATAGAATGGACATGCAGGTAGACGTCAAACTGGCCCATTATGTCCTGTCAACCCTCTTGATTATTTGAATCTCCCTTTACATCAGCTCGACTGGCTGTACTGAACCTGGATGTTCACTAGAAGCGGGTATCTTTCGACTATTCAAGTGACCTGTCGATTTTGACTTGGTTACAATTGTATGCCTTGTCTTGCAAGATGTATACAAAGGCTAAGACTCATTTAGCCTTTATCAAAAGTAGAGAAAAAAGATCCAATGTCAATAGATCCGAAGCTGGAGCTATAGGTGATGGCACCACCTACGATGCTCCTACGTTCTCCTCATCTGGGAATGATTTCTCGACAGTCTCATATAGTCCTTTCGTTATAGACCCCAACAAGAAGTCACCCGATTGCTTCCTCTAGGTCTCCTTCAGACTCGAGTGGCTGCACACCCCTCCAACTATAAATTTCCGTAGGTGGTTCGAACACGCAAATGTAACCCCCCTAGAAAAGCCGTGTACATTGCCTCCGCACAGAGACTGGCAGCCACTGCTTCATAACTTTGGCTTCTACAGCCACCTCTTGTGCAAAGTCATGAATTGGACCCTCGCTTTTTAAGTCACTAACTTCCGTTATACAGCCTGATTTGATCTCCTTCATTCATATCGAGGTCTTTGCTTTGAGGGAGGTTCTGCATATCGGTGGGTTTCGATTCTGTTCCTAACAACGCAGATGGTCAGATTGACCTCTTTTATATTCTGTCCAAGATGCTGGAGGATCTCGGTTATAATCGTAGACTACAACTCGCTGCTTAGTGACTTATTCAGATCGCTGTTCCTGTCGGTGTTCTGTGTACTCGGTAAAGGTATGCAAGATGAATGGCAACAGCTACCAAGCGGCAAGTTACAAATAAATACCAAGTTATAGGTGATCGTATGGTACTCAACTTAGATAGAGGTTATATAATATAGAAGATACCGTATAGAGATCGTGTCTGACGATCAGAGAATGATCATATCGATGATCCTTAGCATTATCGAGATGGTCTATCTTAGGGGGAATCAGTCTAGGGACATACAGTTAGAGATAGTCATCATGGCTACTATATGGAGACTAATTTTACCAGAATGCACTTTTGTTCTGATTGTCCCTAATCTCGGTAGTCCAGGGAGCCCAATTATTCCTGGGGACAGCCAATTGGATCTTTTGTAGATAGTATAGGGCTTTGTTTCCCCCCTATTATCTTATTTTACCCCGAATTTAACCAAGGGCCGAGCAAGGCAATTGATCAGAGCCGTAAAGCTTTTAGGTGTTACTTATAGAGGATCCCATATGATATCTGTCCTCCGTCGGGGTTGTGCCCCTTTTCATTGTTTGGGTCTACGAAGTATGGTAAAAACCCTTATTTTTAGGTTAGCGTGGGGAGTAGCCAGCTCAATTAATTCATGTATACTGCGACGACCAAATACGTAGAGTTCTCGATTTGATCTTCATGAAGTTGATTTCCTTCCTAGGTGGTATCTACAAATTCCCCAGGGTATATATCCCATATCATGTCCCATTAGAATCCAGAGGGGATAAGACTAGTATTTTCAATAGGGATGCCCCAATGAATGTTGTCCTTCACTACGAATATCGACCAACTTATCCTTGCACTAATCGTAAAATTGGGATAACTGGGAAAGATATTATAAACCATCCAAGAAAATTTAGACCATAAATATAATGCTCGTAAGAAGATGCTAATGTAAACACGTCGGATATCAGTACAGAGGGCTACGCCCCGGCAGATCTATGTATTTTAGGATAAACTCCAGCCTCAACCCCGTTCGTCTAACCGGTCACCTTGAAGATAGACTCGGCAAGTCTCTTGACATTGTCGGAGGTGATACCGGCAACGGAGATACGGCCATCCTTGGTGGCATAGACGGAGTGCTGAAATATCATTAGTAAATCAAAGCTTTGGAAGGCGACTGTATTGATAACCATTACGTACCTCCTTGGCAAGAGCATCCATCTGCTCGGGCTTAAGACCAGTGTAAGCGAACATGCCAATCTACAGCATGGTTAATTAGCAACTATCATTTAGCTCTCCAAAGGGTTGCTTACCTGGCTGGTGATGTGAGACCAGTCGTGCTTGCTGCCCAGATCCTCCAGGTTCTTCCGGAGCAGAGCGCGCATCTCAATGATGCGGTCAGCCATGCCCTTGACCTCTCCAAGCCACTGCTGGTTGAGCTCAGGGTCGTTCATAATCGTGGAGGCGACACGGGCACCGTGGACAGGGGGGTTGGAGTAGAAGGGACGGATGAGAATCTTGATCTGAGACTCCACACGCTTCTTCTCCTCGGTGTTTTCACAAACCAGAGAGAAGGCACCGACACGCTCACCATAGAGACCCTATAACGGATTAGCTACTAGCGCATACTCCGAGGTACTGTCATCCTTACCATGTTCTTGGCAAAACTCTGGCAGAGGGCAATGTTGTGACCCTCGCTCACGAAGTGTCTGGGGGCAAATGCATCGCGGTCAGCATTGCCGCTAGCGAAGCCCTGGTAGGCCATATCGAAGAAGGCAAAGTGGCCCTTCTGCTTCATAACATCGCTGATCTGGCGCCATTGCTCCTGGGTGGGGTCAACACCGGTGGGGTTGTGGGCACAAGCATGGAGCAGGATGATACTGTTCTCAGGGGCGGCCTTGATATCAGCGATCAGACCCTCGAAATCGAGACCAATGGTGTCCTTGTTGTAGTAGCGGTACTTCTCAACCTCCAAGCCGGAGTCCTTGAAGACAGCGTTGTGGTTAGCCCAGCTAGGGGTGGGAAGGTAGATCTTCTTCGCGTGAGGATAGAAGCGCTGCAGGAAAGCACCGCCAATTCTCAGGGCACCGGTGCCAGAAATGGACTGGGTGATGACGAGACGGTCTTCCTTAAGGGCAGAGGAGTCCTTTCCATAGGCCAACTCGGCAGCAGCCTTGGTGAAGGAAGGAATACCGGTGATACCGGCATATTCCTTGTCGAAGCGAGAGGCGACAACCTTGTCCTCTGCGGCACGGACGGAGGGCAGAACGTAAGGCTTACCCTTGTCATCACCTGTCAATTCAAAGTTCGAATGAAGTTAGTTTCTGAGTAGACGAAAGACCCTGCCGCGTAATGGTCGGATTGAGTGAACCCAGCGGCGGCGAAGGAATTGCTTACGGTAAGCACCAACTCCCAAGTTGATCTTCTCCTTGAACGAGTCGGCCTTGAAAGCTTCAGTGATACCAAGAATAGCATCCTAAAATCGACTGAGTCAATAACGACAATACAATTCAATAATCCAATGCATTGCAGAGCTTACGGGAGGGCCCTGAGGGACGTTTGACCAGGCCGAGGCATGTCTGGCACCAACGATGACGGTGCGCAAGTTAGCGTCACGCGAAGCAGCCTTACGGCCAGCGACTCTGAGGGTGGACAACATCGTTAATGAATAAGAGATGCAATTCAAGGGAGAAGATGGAAGGGACAGGGATCAATTGCAAGGTCCTCAGATGAAAAAGTTTCCTAGAAGAGAAGGACAAGATCGGACAAGGGAGGCGAGCAGATAAATAATCGGAGATGCTGCGTGTGTGTTATTTTTCGACCCATGTGAACTAGGGAGATTCCGGGGAGCGGGATTGACCGATTCGGATTGGTCACCCTCTCCGCACTCACGGTTAAATTAAATTTCAAGAGTAAGAACTTTCGGCGGTGATCATTCAGCGTGTCAGACCGAGCGGGATTTTTTTTTTTTTTTTTTTTTAATTAACTCATATATCCCGGAGTAGACGGAGGAAAGGGCATTGATTTATTCTATAAAAAGAGGAATAATAATACAATAACCCCTACATAGACCTTTCGGCAAGCCGATCATTGTAAGTCATACCATACCATACCGTACACGTTCCTTCCATCCTCTCGGGAAATATGAATCTGATAGCAGATCGGATGGTAGTATGACCCTTAGGCACGAAAATAAATAACTCGAATGTCCGTTGCTATTCCAGGATGGTGCCACTGTATTGTTCGGATTTTCGGTGAGCTCTTTGAGAACCCTGGCCCACCGTGGCCTGAGGCTACAGGGCGCGCTCCGTTTTAGAATTAGAACCCTTTCCCCTCACGGAGTTTGGGGTAAATTGGAGTTTTGTCGTTCCCCCTTATAACATCAATCCATATCTACTACCTGCTTTGACTTCCAGCGAAGAACTCCTTGAAAGCAATGGCCATAATACATGAGAATATTTAAAATCCTCCACAACTCTCCTTATTGATCACCCTGACTCTGGTCAAGGTACCTCCAGTTTTGACAATTATGTCGGATGGAGACGGAATCTGACAGCGCTGTAACGGTTAAATTCCCCACACGCCAAGTCATTGATCGTCAATAACCATAAGTAATAAAGCCGTAAACAACCTTACTGCTGACGGTTCTGGACCTTTTTCCGACTTTTGGGGCAAGTTTCTCCAAAAACAAAGATATAGCCACGGTGATGAACCGGGAACATCCGTTGCAAATACCGGGCTAAGCGCTGCTTCTATTCTTGGTATCTGTAAGCTATACAACGAAATATAGTGAATCAAAATACATGAGTGGCAAAGGCATCAACATCGCAGAAACGGCCTAGGATATTAAAGGATACATCATCGCTGCAATGATCTATCCCAGTCGCACACCAGCTTGACGATTCTTCCGGGCCGTCGCTCCCATGGCATTATTCATACCCGTATGCTGACTGCTGTCTAATGCGCTCATCGCCTCTCGCTTATTTTCCTCTTCAATCTTCTTCAGTCGCTTCTCCGTCTTCATCTTACCACTTCCCTTGCCGTGAAACTGGTGACTCAGATGCTTGAATGCCTCTTTCTGGTTCATCATGCGGCCAAATTCATCCACATACTTGAGTTGCACATCAGGCTTGTATTCCCGGTTAAAGACTTCAGCCATATGACGAGCTTCTTGTTGATCACGTTGCTTGTTCTCCCACCTCGCGTACTCTTCTCTTTCACGAGCAGACATCTGGTTGAGCTTTCCAGAGGTTCGGTCACGCTCACGCTGTAGACGAGCACGTTTTTCGGCCTCAGTTTCGAGGCGCTGCTTCTCTTGTAAGAAGCGCTGTCGATCTCGGATGAGCGAATTATGCTCTGCCGCATCAGACGACTTGACCAAGCCACGCCGCTTGAGCATAGACAATGTAGCACCAAGACCTTGATCCAGGGTGCTCTCTTCTTCCAAACCCGTACCGCTGATTTGCTGATTCGCCGTAGCTTCTTCACTCTTGATACGCGCTTTAAGATCTTCCTCATCCTCGATATTATTGTATGAACGTTCCATATCCACATCGCCATCCTCCGGTAGCTCTTCCTTGATACTAGGGCCTTCAGACTTGGCGCGTGGCTCCTCAGCGGGCGTTGTTGTCCGCCTTTCCCGGCGCTCGGGAAGTGTGGGTTTCTGTAAATTAGAGACAAACTCTGAGGTCTCGTCTATAACTAGGCCGGGTTCTTCCTCGTTCTCGCCAGAGTTTTCCACTTCCATTGGCGTTTGTGATGCTTCTTCTCTAAGTTGTCGTGCGATGTCCTCAGGACGTACTTTCTGCCGCTTCTTGAAAGCAGCACGTCTCTGGCGTGTAAGAGAAGCCTGCAGATCATCATCATCCACAAACGAGACATCCTCACTAGCGGGCTTGTGGGCCGCGGGGGCTGATACAGGCTCTCCATTACTTGTGTCGACCTCCATGGAGTTTCCATTTGGTGTATCCGTCGACTCAGTCATAGTAAATATATCATCCTCGTCCATAACAGCACGTTGCTTTGTCGCCTTGGCCTTCTTTTTCTTGGGTTTCTTGAGCTTAATTTCGCTCACATCCATATAATCAGAAGTTGGGGTCTCCGCTTCGAAGTCAAGGCTGATGATATTCTTTTTCAACTTCTGCGAGATTTCCTGTCGTTTGGCATCCCGTTCCTCGACTGTAGATCCCTGGGCATCGAGCGTGAATCGCTTTCTCTTCTTGCCCTCAATTTCCTCATCGTACTGTGCTAGTATTCCGGTATTTTCTTCCGTAGGATCGTAGACGGGTTTGCGTTTCTTCAGTTCGACCTTCTCCGCAGTTTTCTCCTTCTCCTTGAGATCAAGATTCTCCAACTCGTCCCCTTCCTCCTCGTTCTCATCGATCGTTGCATCCTTCAGCGTAAGAATGTGATCCTCACCCCCATCAAAGTCCCCAACAGAATGTCCAACTTTGACACCAGCCAGATCTTCTGCCGTATATTCAGCTGCACGAGCACGCTCCTCGAGCTCTTCTGCGAGTTTGCGCGCGCGTTCTTTCTCGATCTTCTTCTGTCGCTTCTTCGTCTGCTGTAACCAAGTCTTCGTGTCCACCTCCGCGTCTGCAGACTCTCCTAAAGTCGGGCCCTGGAGTTTTACGTTTCTTTGAGCCTCGTCACGCGCCCTTCTGATCACTGCATTTCGTTCTTCCCGTTTCCGTTTCGCCTCCGCTTCATCTTGAATCTTCTTCCAGTTCGAGGAGGCCAGCGCCTCACGCGACTCGAGTGTGCTTCCCGGCTCATCATCTTCGGAAGATGAGCTCGAGCCGTCGTTTTCAAAGGCAGGACCAGAGGCGTCGGCACCGGGGACGGGGAGTGGTTTTAAACCGAGCGCCACTCGAATCTTGTTGTTCTGCTCGATCGAAAGTGCGTCGGCCATTCTGGCGACTGAGTAAGCGATATCAAAGAAAAGTACACCAGATAAGCAAGACAGATAGAAGCGGTGGTGTAAGGTGTGGACTATAAAGCGATAGAGACCTCATGCGCCCGATTATCATCGATAGATTACAAGAGGTGAAATGAGAGTCCAGGCGGGGCTTACCTAACCGCAACTCGTCTCGGTAAGGTTTAGCGCGGCAAACTTGTTAGCGCGTGTTTTAGCGCGAAAGATAAAAGCTGGATCGATAATTTTCTCGTTCCTTTTTTTCTTCTTCAACCGAACACACACGGATCTGTGTCCAGAGATCCTGAGTGTGGAAGCGCTTCTTCTTGAAGGAGTCTGTTACTGCATCTCGGTTGATTACTGGACAGTTCGACGACTTAAGGAGCCATCTTCTTCTTGGATGGTCTTTTATTTCCGGTCGACAGATCTCAGATTAAAAGCCAACATCGGGTGTTCACTCCGGTCTTGAGCTCCCATCTTGGTGATGCTCGGCTGGAGAGCCTGGTGTTCGGCGGCGTCATATTCCTACTCCCTTCACCGATTTGGCCGTCGGCCCATGAGGTTAGGGAAAAACCATGACTAGCCAACATAAACTATTCTACGCTTCGTAGTTTTGTCGCTTCAATCTGTACGGGCTATACTAGATAGTAGTGCTTGGTAGACTCTCTTATAGTAAGACTGATCAATTGAGCATACATCTCGTAAAGTCACAAATGACTCCATATGCAACGCGCAAGGAGGTAGTGTTGCCGAGTCAACGTCACTCTTCCTATGTACGTTGTCGGAGTAACTGCCGACTGACTGCCTTACTGGGCCGTCATTGTCAACTTTACTCTAGAAGTACGGTTACAACAACTTCAAGTGTCCCGTCACGCCATCAACAACACTCTTGGGCCCCAAAACTCCAAGAACCGTCCTGCTTCCACTAGCAATCTGCGTCCGGCCAGCATCCGTGATGACCCTGGCGCAGAGACCCAGACTGATAGCCTGCGCCTGCAATGTCTCCATTTCCTCCTCCGATTTAGTCTGCAGCGCGATCTTCGCCTGTCCCTGCGATTCCCAGCGGCGCAACAAAGGCGAGTTCGGCGAGTGGGCGGTAATATACTTGTAGCAGGCGAGGGTAGCATGTGAGCACTGGGCAGCGATTTTGCCTAACAATCTCACATTAGCCATGTCTTCCCCTAGATATCAAAAAAGCCACGGAGCAAAAAGAAGATAGAAGCGCATCCCGTAAGCCGCACTGAAAAAAAGATGTAGACCTACCCTTCGTCATGCCTAAATCCGTCCGGACGACAAGAACTAGCTTCACCTCTTCGTTATTCTTATCGAAACTGGCTAATTCGCTGCCATCGCCTTCCTCTTCGCTATCGGATTCTTCCTCGTCATCGTCCTCTTCGTCTGAGGAGTGTTGGGGCACCTTCACGTTGTAGCTGTTTGGCCACCCTTCTTTTTCATTCGAGGAGAATAGGCCCAGGGAGGCGCCTTGTCCGATGAAGTAGCCCGTTACACCGGCGATTATGGCGGTGGCGACTACATATGCCGTCGTCGAGGGGGGGGTATGATTTAAGTCAGCCATTTTGGGAGGTGTGTTGCAGCTTGATGGGATGGGTTTTTGGGTGGTTTTCTGTGATGGCGCGGAATTAAACCCGGTTTGGGTGGGTGCGGGTCACCCCCAATCAACAATGGCCGCTTTGCTTTTTTACCTTGCATGGTGGTCTACACAGTATTTACTTTGAACGGCAGTTGAAGGGAAGGAAGAAAGAATGATTAACTATAGCTCTAATTTGTTTCAATTTTTATTACATGTTTGTAAGAGAGCAAGGTTGTGTTAGAATAGATAGATAATGTGATCAAGGCCCAAAGTTATCCAAGTTTCTCTTAGATACCGCTAATTCATTATATACACATCCCTGATCATGAAACATTGAAGCAAGCATCATCCTCATGAACAGCAATGTTTAATTAGAACGAGCAGCTGGGGCCGGAGCTCCTGTGTTTCCGACGCGGCGGCTCCTATTCCAGGTGGTCAGTAAAAGAAGGCAGCGATCGAGTCGGTCAAAACTCACATCATAGTCCTGCTGAAGAAGCTGATAAAGATCATGAAGAGCCAGCTTGGGATGGCGCTGAAAGCGTAGATAACATAGCCAGCAGGGACCAGGAGTCCATTCTGCGCAAGCCAGCCTTCGGTAGGGTGGAAGGGGCCTTCGTAGGCGGGCTTGTTCTCATAGGTCTTCTCGGAGTGAACCTTGTAAATTGTCCCGGGGGTCACAGTTGTCGAGTTCAGATACACAGTGTGGAGAGTAGTGGCAGGGCGTTGCTCGCTGACCTGAGCAGGGACCTGGAAGTACCAAACAGAGGGAGCACCAGCAGACCAGGCGGAGCAGAGGACCTGGTTCGATTCACAGTTCAGGTATCCAAGATTGGGCGAGGTCGGGTCAGCAGAGAATAAAAGAACGGATTCCTAGACGAGAAAGGTTAGCTAGACCCGCCTGTACGTCCATGTGCCTACTACCCCTATTTTTGGGCCCTTACATTGAACGATTTCTCTGCTTGAGCACAACGTCCAAAGCATGTCTTGTTCCCACCAGTGATAAAAAGAAGCCAGTCCTGGGGCTCATCGGATGGCGCCAGGATGGATTGCCAGTTAGTCAGGTTGAATGGGGTGACGGTCTTTTCCTGAATCTTCTTCTGTTCGACCACCTTTTCAACGGCAGGGATCACCGGGGTTGCCGTTGGCAAATACGACTTGGCCTTGTTAAACCAACCCTGGACGCGGTCCGCGAGGGGAGCCTGCTCTTGCGCCACAGCAAGCGCTGGGAGGAGGGGGAGAAGCTGGATAAAGCGCATGATGCTGAGAGGCAAATATGCGGAGGTCAGCAACCGGGGAATAGGGGGATCGATAACGGACTAAAAGTTTCAAGGGGACGAACCTGTATTGGCTACGAAAACAAAAAGCACACTTTGGGGAAATAAATGGACGAGTTGAGAGGCCAAAGTGCGGACAGCAGGCAGCGAGGAAGACGGGCACCTGAGTTGTGAAAGAAGTGAAACGGCCACGATGGGCATAAACGTAAAGTGGTCTCTCCGCGACGGGACTAACTAGACCCGGAGCGAATCACGTTCCGTCCGTCGCGGGGGAATCCACTTTGACAGTCCCTTGCTACTTAATTTATGCATACAATGGAAGGAAAAGAAAATCACATCGACACGATAAACATACTTCCATATTGGTGACTACTCCTTATACATAAAATTAAACTTCAATCCTTATACTTTTTATTCTTGATAAACAAAGGTACTAAAGAACAAAGAAGAAGAAGAAGAAGAAAGAAACTAGGATACGTCCAACTTTTTTATTTCTAATTCACGATGAACAAATTCTTGCAACGCCCTAGGGATCATCTATACTACTCAAACGCGTCGATCCTTCTCATTATAGGTCTAGTTCAGAACCAGCTAGCTACCGAATAATTAGTTGAAGTCAACTATCTGAAGAACGTCTCTGTATCAATAATAATATATCATCGCGATGGGCTTCTATTATTAGGAAGAGTAAGAGTAGCCTATGCATGATGACCACAAGAAGAAAGAGGGGTTAATCGACAAACCATTGATTTATAGAATACAGTGAAGTAGAGATCCATAAGCACGAGTAACAGGGAAAGATAACCTGAAAGTTTTCCAGGAAGGTAAGACTTCCGAGACTTAATCCATTTCATACTTTTACTCCCATGGCACCTTCCCTAGTTCTCCTTTCACCAGTATCACTCACACGGCATGTTCAGTTCTCATAATGTAACTACCATGAAGCACCAACCTAGAATCATCAAATGCTATTACTCGGACATACTTTATTGTGGACTTCCATATTTGCAGCTATACTAGGAGCAATGAGGTCCCTCCTCGTAATAGCTCCTACCAAGGTCGCATTGGCGATCACGACAATTGCCTTGTTCAGTTCCCGCCTGGGCGCTGCGATAAACACAGCAAATGATCTCGGGTCTAATACTGGTAGGTCCTATCTTTTAATTTAAGTGAGGTATAGTCAAGCACGGAGAGATTAATCACCATTATAGCGGTAGATTGGATCGGAAAGCCCGATACAACTGCAACTGCGCACATGCAGATGAACAAAGCTTCGTCAAATGACTTCCCCGTCTGTACCGATCTCGATGGGCCCTTCGCACCATTCTGTCTCCCGCAGAATGGAGCTGAGGTTGTGGTAGACGCCACTTACTACGTTACGTGGAATGCCGATTTCTATCCCCTCAATGCTTCTATTACTATAGAGATGAGGTACTCGAATTCCACCGCTGGAGACTCGGCATTCACTTCCGGAAGAACTGACAACAGCTACGGGTACCTTCCCCTCTATATGCGCAGGGAATGGCTCCAGCGAAAGGCGCAAAACGATCTGACACTTTACCTTATCGAACTTGACCCTGCGTCGGGCATGCGAGCGAGTGTTCGAAAGGGTCCGATGATCACCCTTCATCCGAGACCTGCAGAGCACTATAGGCCTTCCCCTCCGATGGCTTTCAATAAGATGGCTCTCTTTATTGGCCTCCCTGTAAGCCTCGGGGTAGTTTTCATTGTTGTGGCTGGTCTATTCTTTGGTATGCGGGACAGCAGAAGGATTGGTCTTGAGAGTGTAACGGGATCTCGAGGCACAGGGTATGGGATTGGAAAATCCAAGAATCAGCGCCTCCGCAGGAATAGGAGCGAAACTTATCGCTCTGATGCTGCCTCAGCGCTGAAAAAGTATACGGATGATACCGACTCCGGCTTGTCTGAAGTAGCAGATCCCGAGCTGTATAATGAGATTGAGCGCACTGCGAGATTTGCATTTAGGCAGGATTCAGCGAGATTGAAGAGCTGGAAAAGGTGATCAAAACACACTACTGTCATGCTCGTTGCGTGGGTCTGGTTTACTGGACATTCTGTCGGGATTTGTCCGTGCTTTTAAGGGGGAAGGAATCATGAGAGGAAAGCCCTTTACATAGTAGTAACCGCATACTATATATTCTTCGTCGTTATATCAGTCTCTGCTGATAAAAACGCATTCAATTACAACATGAACACCACAATCCATGGATTATGCAGTTATTGTATGAGGTATTAATATTCCTGAGACTGGGTCCTGGGGGAGGTATGAATCATGAAAGTACGGTTCCTGTGAGGGCCTAACCGGAAAGCAAAGAAAAGCCATTAGTAGGCATTCATTGCCTAGGCGATGATGGGCGGTGTCGGAGGCAATGACGTTGATAAAACCCCAACCGTTTGCGGGTGTCAGTTATGTAGAACATAACGATTACCCAAGTCTTCGTAGCGAGAGCCCTGAATTAAATCGGATTATCAATCATGTGTTTTCTAGACCTCCAAATTTTTCTCAAGTCAAGGGTAGTGCCCTGGATCTTGCTAACTTAGTAGGAGGTGTAATCTTCTAAAAGGTAAAAGTGCCCACAGTCCAGTTATCGGGCGCCCCTCCCTAATCACTGCAACCAATGCCGATGTCGGTTCCCAGTATCAAACAGTGACCAACTCCTTGTGGAAGGAAGCATATGAAAGAAAATAAGCCCCCAAAATACTTAGGGTTAGTGGTATTGGTGGTAATGATACATACAGGGATGCGAAGAGGAGAGGGAAAAAAGTACTCCAGCCCTAGAGTCACGAGAGTTAATTGTTGATAATTTAAGAGTGCGTACATATTTACTCTTTTGGTGGCGAAACTCTTTTCTTTCCTAGGGGCGATAGATCGATATCAGCGAGGAATAGTAATGCGTATTACTACAGCACTACGCTAAGCCACTTGTGGATTGGGGAAGATCCTCAAAGATGAGCAATTGGGGCTTCCGCAAGCGCTCTGGGCAACATTTGGTTCCCCACACAAAGGAAGCGCTCTGGTTGCTCGGCCTGTGAAATTTTCTTCATTGCCGCAATTCTGTTGAAGGCGGCCGAGAGTCACCCCCGAAAAGAATAGACCGCCCGCCTTTTAAATGGACTCCACCCACTTTTCCTCTCTATGACTCTTTCCTGTATTTCCCAGTTATTTCATATGAGCGTCTGAGCTTTGGGCCTGTGACTCATTGTAGGTGCCTCTATAAATTTACTCTTACTTCAACTCACAAATTGTCTAACTCCAAACTCTTTGCAGTGTCTATTTCCTCTCAATCAATATACTTCCAGACTCTACCCCACTATACATAGATATTGTCACAATGTGCCCCGGTGCAGACAACGAGCCCAATGGGCACACAGCCGTTGCCAATGGCTCCGGTAAGGATGAAAGATGCCCATTGCTTTAAGACTTGACTGACGTTTGCCTGAAGGTGACCACCCTGGTTTCACTGCTGTTGAGACACGCCAGAACCCCCACCCTTCAGCCTCCCGGAATCCCTACGGCCACAACGTCGGTGTGACCGACTTCCTTAGCAATGTCTCCCGCTTCCAAATTATCGAGAGTACCCTCCGTGAGGGTGAGCAGTTCGCCAACGCTTTCTTCGATACCGAGAAGAAGATTGAGATAGCCAAGGCTTTGGATGATTTCGGCGTCGACTATGTGAGTCATACCCAGGAATTATTTGTTGCACATTGTTGAGAAAACAAGTTGAGCTAACAAGTCGCCCTGTTGTAGATCGAACTCACCAGCCCTTGTGCATCCGAGCAGTCGAGACGTGACTGCGAGGCCATCTGCAAGCTCGGCTTGAAGGCCAAGGTACGTTGAATTCTGCAAATTGTGTCTTACGGCACTAACCCACTCGGTAGATCCTTACTCACATTCGTTGCCACATGGACGACGCCCGCGTTGCCGTCGAGACTGGTGTTGATGGAGTGTAAGTAGATTCGGGAAGCTTTCCCTTTGTATCTCTCGTGCTTACAATTTTGTGTAGTGATGTCGTCATTGGAACTTCGTCCTACCTTCGCGAGCACTCCCATGGCAAGGATATGACCTACATCAAGAACGCTGCTATTGAAGTCATTGAATACGTCAAGTCCAAGGGCATCGAGATCCGATTCTCTAGCGAGGACTCTTTCCGTTCTGACCTCGTCGACCTCCTGTCCATCTACTCCGCCGTTGACAAGGTCGGTGTGAACCGTGTTGGTATTGCTGATACCGTCGGCTGCGCTTCTCCTCGCCAGGTCTACGAACTCGTTCGTGTCCTTAGAGGTGTTGTTGGCTGCGATATTGAGACCCATTTCCACAACGACACTGGCTGCGCCATTGCCAACGCTTACTGTGCCCTGGAGGCTGGTGCCACTCACATCGATACGTCCGTTCTGGGCATCGGTGAGCGTAACGGCATCACCCCTCTTGGTGGTCTCATGGCCCGTATGATGGTTGCCGACCCTACCTACGTCAAGAGCAAGTACAAGCTGGAGAAGCTTAAGGATATTGAAGATCTCGTCGCCGAAGCGGTTGAGGTTAACATTCCTTTCAACAACTACATTACTGGTTTCTGCGCTTTCACTCACAAGGCTGGTATCCATGCCAAGGCCATTCTGAACAACCCCAGCACCTACGAGATCATCAACCCTGCCGACTTCGGCATGACCAGATACGTTCACTTTGCCTCTCGTTTGACTGGCTGGAACGCTATCAAGTCTCGTGCTCAGCAGCTCAATATCGAGATGACCGACACCCAATACAAGGAGTGCACAGCTAAGATCAAGGCTCTTGCTGATATCCGTCCCATTGCTGTGGACGATGCCGACAGTATCATCCGTGCTTACTACCGTAACCTCAAGTCGGGTGAGAACAAGCCTCTTCTTGATCTGACGGCTGATGAGCAGGTTCAGTTTGCTGCCAAGGAGAAGGAGCTTGCCGCTGCCGCTACTGCTGGTCTCCCTGCCTAAAAAAATTACTCTTATTTATTCCCTATTGTGTCTTTTATTTCCCCTTTGCATGTCAAAATTTCCTTTTTGGACTAAAAGGCCCCGTGTTTTAGAACGTTCGTATTTCTCAGCGACTTCCGACAAGGAAGATGTGGTCTTTCATGATTCGATGTTTGTTTATTTGTCTCGGGCTCCATTATTATCGGGTGTTCAAAAGTCTTGTCCCTGGAAATGAAAAAGGAAGGTGAGACTGGTGTTAGGAACGCAATTGGTCTCTCGGGAAATTTGTATATAACCTGCAGACTTGAATGACTGCATTTTTTCCCCTTTGATACACTCAACGTGAAACAGATTTTAATATCTTTGGTGATTTGTGTCTCAAGTAGCTGTTCGGACCTCGGATGTTGAACTAGTATCTAACAACTTCGTATACTACTGTATAGCTGCAACGTATCTTGCGACTCAGTCCTTTCCGATTTCCTAATGCGGATTATTATGCTCTGCCTCACTGCAACAATCGATGTTTTACAATTTCTAAAGGTAGTCGTTGATGATACGGTACGGGCGCACATATGTTTCGATAGTACGTTGAGAGATACTGAAAATACTCCAAGATTACTCTAACCTGCTCTGAGGGTAAAACGTACTAGACTAAGTATGAAAATTATACAAGCAAATATAAACCTGGGGAACTAAAATATGCAATGCAACGTTGGAAGAGCATGTGCGGCACCAGCCGAGGCATTATTCATCGGCATTCTTAACGGCGGCTTTACTCCGGATCCATTTCCCTGTTCCGACCTTCTACCCGTTCCCCAGTCCAATTCATTATTCTTATCTTTAACTCTGGAGGCCATCTCACTTTCTTATCAGTCTTCGAGACTGTTCCTTGCATCAATATGGCGTCCTCGGTTCTCCCAGTCGCCTTACAGAATAAGTTGTTGGGATACAGCCGAGCTCCAAATGCGCAGTTGGCGGCATTAAACTTGGATCTGTAAGTGGAACATCATTCCACTCCCCCCGCCCACAACTTGTACACTGTCGCACGAATGCACCGTTTCTGAAGCTCCCCATTTTGATGCGCTAGTTCTCTAATAATGGAACTACAGTCTCAGGAACATTGTATTCTTCCTCTTTATTTTTCGCTACGTTCGCAAAACGTTTTATTCTCTGCGGGGTTATGGTATCTTTGGTAGCATTCGCAATATCTACGCCGCAATCCGTCTCTTCTGTTACTCCATATTCCTGCGTTTCCCCGGTGTCCGTGGCCAGGTGAACAAGCAAGTTTCATCGGCGATTGAGAACCTCGAGACAAAACTTATCGCAAGCGGTCCTGACGTCACGAGGTATCTGAATCTGCCCAAGGAAGGATGGACTCCCGAACAGATCCGTACCGAGCTTGAAAAGCTGGCAAATCTGGAGCATACCCGTTGGGAGGATGGCCGCGTCAGTGGCGCTGTGTATCATGGTGGACAGGATCTTCTGAAGCTCCAGGCTGAAGCGTTTGGGCAGTTTGGCGTCGCCAACCCCATCCACCCGGATGTCTTCCCCGGTGTCCGGAAGATGGAAGCTGAAGTTGTTGCTATGGTAGGTTGGATCTTCTCATAAATAGCCTGGATCGGATGACTTACATGAGTGAGTACAGGTACTCGCTTTGTTCAACGCCCCATCCGATGGCGCTGGTGTTACTACGAGCGGCGGTACCGAGTCTATCCTGATGGCCTGTCTGGGCGCGCGACAAAAGGCCTATGCTGAACGAGGGGTGACAGAGCCTGAAATGTGAGTACAAGCAACCCAGCAGCAACAGCATATGCTGACAGTTCTAGGATCATTCCTGATACCGCTCATGCCGCCTTCTACAAGGCCTGCAACTACTTCGGAATCAAGCTGCATCGGGTGCCTTGCCCGGCTCCAGACTACAAGGTCGATATCCCCTCCGTGCGTCGTTTGATCAACCCAAATACTGTCCTTCTTGTTGGTTCGGCGCCAAACTTCCCTCATGGTATTGTTGATGATATTCCTGCTTTGTCTCGTCTTGCTACAGCTTATAAAATTCCCCTCCATGTCGATTGCTGTTTGGGCTCCTTTGTGATCGCATTCCTTAAGAAGGCGGGCTTCCCATCTCCATATGAAGAGGAGGGCGGATTTGACTTCCGCCTCCCTGGCGTGACTAGCATCAGTGTGGATACGCACAAATACGGATTCGCGCCCAAAGGCAACTCCGTGGTGCTGTACCGGAACCGAAATTACCGCAGCTATCAGTATTTTGTCTATCCTGATTGGTCCGGTGGTGTTTATGCATCTCCGTCCGTGGCCGGATCTCGTCCTGGTGCTCTGATCGCGGGCTGCTGGGCCAGTCTGATGAGTGTTGGAGAGTCTGGTTACATCAAGAGCTGCCTTGAGATTGTTGGTGCAGCAAAGAAGTTCGAGGCGTCGATTAGGGATCACCCGCTCTTATCGAAGAACCTTGTTGTTGTTGGAAAGCCTATGATCAGTGTTGTTGCTTTCCAGAGCAAAAATGGTGCCGTTGATATCTACGATATGTCCGACGCTTTGTCGGCGAAGGGTTGGCACCTCAATGCTCTTCAATCGCCCGCAGCGATTCACGTAGCGTTTACTGTTCCTACATCAGCTGCAATCGATCAGCTCACTGCAGACCTCATTGAGGTTGTCGAGAAGGAACTGGACAAGGCCGAGGAAAGAAAACGCCAGGGAAAGTCATATATCATCAAGCGTGGTGACACGGCAGCACTGTATGGCGTAGCCGGCAGTATGCCGGATAAAAGTATCGTCAGTCGTCTGGCAGAAGGTTTCCTTGATACTCTGTACAAAGCCTAGATGGTTTATATTGATTGCCAGAATACATTGTTAATATTCCTTGGGTGTGAAAAGTCCTTTTATGACCTGGACAAAACGTGTCTTCCTGCAACGTACTTGGGACAACGGCGTTGCTGGCGTTACATTCAGCCTCACCTTTGCTAACGTAAATAAGAACGGCAGTTTATCTTTAAATGCTAGCAAGTTAATGTCAAAACTCGATATTTTCGAGTTCACATAGATTCCCAGTGACCTAATATAACACAGTAGCAAAGTATGTATAGTACAATAAGCCATGTCGAATAAAGAGACAAAAAATGAAAAAGTAATAGCACCGCTCCATGCAAGCAGAGATAGAAAACAGTTTTCAACCACAAACATGTTCCAACCAATTTCGGAACCGACTTATCCAACCACTCTAGCATAATCATGAGCTGACAATAGTTGCCATCATTCCCAATGCCTCCCAGGCGACGCTCGCGCAAAGAGTAAAGAGGAATTAAGAAGTGATCAACCACAGAGAGCAAACATCTATTGACTTCTGCTCGCCTTCCACTCAGCTCCCGAGGTCTGCTCAATGTAATATCCTGGATCAGGCTTCCGCTCAAGACGAACCTCTTGTTTCGTTAACCGTCTGTCAACCTCGCGCACTTCGACCAGTTCCTTGACTTTCATGATCTGACCGGCGACTGACGGAGACACGCGGTGGAACACAGTTGCCATGCGCTTTTTGAGGCCCAGGGCCTTGAGAACGTCTGTTGTTCTCCGAGGGAGACCGATCGCGGATCGTACGAGGGTAACGCGGAAGTAGCTCATGACGAAAGGACGTGTTGGAGTAGGAGTTAACTCGTCTGTATAGGGTTTGTTCCGGAGTAGTTTTTCTCGGGATGGTAATTTTCGCGGCTCGGCCTGGGAATTGGTCTTCGGAGGAGGTAACGCAGAGTTGACGTCTCCTTATACGGTAGGAAAGCCTGACTTATCGAAGTCCAATCCGGTGCTCTGGTCCTGGGATATGGATCAATCGCTCCAAGACAGATAATTGTATATCGAACCATCACGGCGGGATTTTTGGCTATCCGATCCAGTTGGCCGCCGAGGCGGAATGTCACGTGGAGGGTATTCTGCCGGTGTTTTCTTGGTGGGCCGAACGCCCCGTTTCAACTTGGCAGTCGATTTGCTTGGGCGAAACGCGGGGATGTGCCATTGACTATTCTAAGTTATAGTAGCGTGTGCATGGCTGCTATCGTTTTGTGCTTCTACATACGACTGAAAGAAATTCTACCCTGTATTGGAGCGCTGCGCGTTTGAGAGGGGTATACTTTGATGTACTACTGATCACGGCGGCATTTGCGATTGCGTCGGTCCGGATATCCTTATAGCAATCGCTTTAACGCTCTGGGTTCTGGATTGCACTGCGGAGTGGCTGGGTTGAACGATCTTGTAATATTTTGTCTCGACTTACATTTAAGTGTTGAAATGGTGCGAGGCGGGGATTCGGAAGGAACGGTGGCTCTACCCCGGTTAGAGGATATCCTCCGTCACCCAGAAGATCTGGACAAGATCGCGGTGCTCAGAGCAGAATATTCGCGGAAGAAGGCAGCCGTCGATTCCCAGCTCCGGGAAGGTCTCCGAGATCAGCTAGAGACCGTACAACGCAGCATCAACGCCCTAACCGAAGGCCAACGCCAGGTTTCAAAGACGAAAGATGAGCTCCAGGGGATCGACAAATTATGCGCGGAGTCACAATCGAGCGTGGAGGACTTCTCCCAGATTGATCGGCTCGCCAAAGTGCAAAGAAACTTTGAAGCGGTCTTGACGATGAAAAAGGGTCTGGAGAACTTCAGTGCGGATCTTGCTGAGGTTGAGAACCTCCTAAAAGAGGATGATGATGAACTTGAGAATCAGCCGAATCTTCTTCGGGCCCATATGCAGATCTCTAAGTTGAGAGATTTTCGTGATGAGGCGATGGATCAAATACGGAAGGCCCAAGATTCGAGTAGTGAAGCGACGCTGGAGGATTATTTTCAGGGTCTGGATAATGTTATCGACTGGTTCGATGATCATCTGGGAACTGCTTGTATGAATCTTATTCCCCTTGTGCAGTCGGATAATCCAAGCATGGTTGTTCGGCTGGCTGTTGTTGTCATGAACGAGGAGAAGAAGGATGAAACGGTTCGCGCTTTGCAGGAAGCGCAGAAGGACCATCAAGATTTGGCAGGCCGGTTCAAATCGATGAACGTGGGCCCTAAAACGGTCAGAGGTTACAAGGAAAAGTTTCTTCAGGCGATTGAGTTCTACGCACAGAATCAGTTCGAAAGCACTAAGGAGGATTTCCTAGGAGACCCGGATATCCTAGATAAGAGCTTCCGGTGGTTTTTTAATGATCTTTTTACTGTTAAACAAGGTATGCAGTCGTTGATGCCGAAGAAGTGGAAGATCTATAAAACATATACCGATATTTATCACCGAATGATGCACGACTTCCTCGTGGACCTGATCAATGATCCCGAGTTACCACCAGATAACCTGCTCTCCATTATCCACTGGGGAGAAAAATACTACAAGAAGATGAACAAACTCGGCTGGAAGCAGTCAGAACTGCGGCCAAACATTCTTGATGACCGTGAACCTGAGCTCATTCGGCAGTGGCAGAACATTATCATCAAAGCCGTCGAAGAGTGGATGGACCGGATTACAGAAACTGATAGGAAAGGCCTGGTGGAGCGCATCCCTGATTCTCTTGACACCAACGCAGACGGCTATTTCCGCACGAAAACCCTTCCAGATATGTGGCGCATGATCCATGAACAGATTCAGGCAGCTACTGCCTCTTCCCGGACGGATCTGGTCGAAGGCATCATTGATGCCATGTTCCGAGTGCTCAAGGCCCGCCAGACCAATTGGCAATCGCTTATCGAGGACGAGTGCGCCAAGTATAAGGCACCAGGCGGCGATCAGCTCGATGGGTTACAACTGTTGCAGGACTGGCTTGTTGCCGTGGCCAATGACCAGATTGCTTGCATCGATGACCATGATGAAACGGGACAATTCGGCTACTTGACGAGATTCAAGCGCGATTTCGAGACGTACGTCGACCCGAAATATATGGCAGCACGAGCTATACCCGAGCTGGATGCGCTGCGAGACGGCTACGTAGATCTAAGTACATACTGTCTCACTCAATTCGTGGAGGTGGTTTTTGCCGTCGACTTCCGTGCTACTATTCCTGAATTCTTCACCCAGAAATGGTATGGCGACTTTGCCATCAAGCGAATCACCTCTACATTCGAAGATTACATGGCCGATTATTCCCCTGTTTTACATCCGTCTCTTATCGACATTTTGGTCGAAGAGCTCTCTGACGAACTCTTGGTCCGGTATATGTCGTCGATCCGCAACCGGGGTGTTAAGTTCCGCCGAAACGCCGATCCATACACGGACAAATTCAAGGACGACGTTCTCACCGTGTTCGCCTTCTTCCAGAATTATCCGGACTCGTTTGCCGGTACTATCAAGCAGAAATGGCGACTTGTCAACTGGTTGGTCCGTTTGCTTGAATCGGAGAAGGGACCTGCCGTTGTTGCGGTCTATGAGGATTTCAAGAGGGAATACTGGGATCTTCAGCTGACATGGGTTGAGGCTGTTCTTAGGACAAGGGATGACTTCGAGAGAAGCATGATCAGTGCTATCAAGGGCAAGGCCGCAGAGTTGTCAGTTGAGAGAGGAATGGAGACTCTCATGAGTCGGCTGAGGTAGTTGAATGATATCTAAGGGTGATAATGCTCTATTCAGCGTGGCGTTAGGAGTTGATTCTGGTCCGAGGCTGGGTCCGCTGTCACCAAGATGTATCCTATAATATGAATGCAATGTATATGCTCGTTTTGACTAGAAACAAATCATCGAAGATAAAGTCAATCATGTCCATTAACTGCCTGTATTCTGGGTATATAACAGCGAAGGAATATCTACATCGCCCTCGTCGCTCCACGCATCCACCGGCATACCATCGTCTCGAATACGTTGCTAACTGGATGATTTAAAGTCCAAGCTCCTTTCCACCACAGAAAAATATTGCTCCTGTAAGCGCGAATTCACCCCATTACTGTCGCCCTCTGGATCGAGCTTCTTCGCACCCATCTCACAGATACACACCGTTTCAATGCGAAAGTCCTTCGCCCAGACAAATGGATTCCCCTCGCTAGCCGAGCGGCTGTCCTCATTCTCCGATAGATCCTCATGAGCCTGCTCAATATCACCTCTGGAAACACTAACCACAGCAGATCGCGGCGTCTCTCTACCACTATCAACATAATAATCCCGGTAGTGGGAAATGATATCCCGTGCATCGAACGTGAATCGAGTATTTCCGCGATCCCTACCCCTCTGCGAGCCCTCACCCCGTGGCCTCCCACGAACATAGATCGTATTCGCCACCGTAGCATGCAGCAAGAGCGGCCTGATCTTCAGCTTCGACGGTATAGATTGTCCAGCAGCCTGTGTGCTTCCGTTCGAAGGCACATTGGCCCCGTTTTCGTGGCTGGGCTCTTTCTTCTGCTCTCCCTGTAGGAACCCAGACTCTAGGAATTTTCCGCGTAGTATCTTGCAGAAAGGATACAAGCGAGCGGTGGGATCGACCGGCGCCGCGTATAGAACTGTCGCGGCGCTTGCCCGCGGAAGCGCATGTAAAGATTCAAGAGAGATGGTGAACGGGCTTGGAGCATCCTTGACCAGAGTGATAGGATCCGCTTGAGAATTTGGACTAGGTCGTTCATGGGATAGGTCTCCATTTACTACATCCCTAGTTCCCGGCCTAGGTGATTGTTGTACAGCCGGGGCTGATGGCGCATTTCTTTGCTTCCCGCGGGCGCGAGCGTTTGCGATGTCCTCCGCTTCGCGGGCTATGGAGGTTAGGTCTAGCGATTGGAAGAATTTGATGGCTTCATTTAGGCGTTCGTTTGTAGGGAGGCTCATGACACCTAGGGTTAGGTGTAGGGTGCCGACGGGCCGGAGCGCGCTGTCGGGAATGAGTGGCTGTTTTGGTGCTCCATATCGGGGTGCGTGGCGGGGAATAGAGGCTTTGAATGTTGCTAGAGAGGATTCCAACTGGGGAAGAGATACTGGGTTGACGAGTGGGAGACAGAGAAAATGGGTAAGTGGTGGTCTTTTCTCTTTCTTTTGCTGGTCAGGCATTCTTTTCAAATGGTTGGGATGGTATGAGCGACAGAATATGAGTCTTAGAGTCACGGATGTTGTGAGAGGCCTGCTCGGTCTGGGATATATCATTTAAATCGGACTTAAGGTTGATGAGGTTCCCCAAGACTTGCTTTTTCAAAGAAGGGTGAATTGATATCAACACGCAGTATATAAGTTATATATAGGAGTAAGCGGTTGATCGAATGATGAAATCAAAAATGCGGAGAAAGTCAGACCGAATGGAGTTAAGCTCCAAATAAGCTATGATGCCATTAAAGTCCACCTCCACCTTTTCTTTGCTCCTGCACCTCCCTCCCATTATCCCCTTTCAATCCGTCAGTCTAGGCTATTTCAAAAGAGCTATCGTCACTCGATCAACATCTCATACAACCCCATCATGCTCTCCCGCCTGCCTCGAGCTCGCCCCACGGCCGTTCGCCCGTCCCTCCGCGTCGGCCGGATCACTGCGCCAGCAGCTACCCATTACCAACCTCAGTCCAGTTCGGCCTATCGCTCATCCCCTCGGGGCTTCCATTGCACCCCTTCAGCTCATAAAGGCATCTTCCCGGGCTCATCGGACCCTCCTGCCCCAAACCCACAATCCAACAACGTCGCGGGCATCGCCAGCCACGTTACCGAGCCTTCACCATTGACAGATGGAGAGTACCATGAATACGCGGAACATTATCTCAATGTGCTTCAGACCGAGATAGAGAAGGTCCAAGAGGAGGGGGCAGACATAGAGGCTGAGTATAGTGTGTGTCTCTCCCACCCAAGTTTTTCATTCTTTTTCCTTTTCCTTTTTCCAGTTTTCTAAATACCACTTACCGCTGTTGCTTCTTTTTCCTTGCTTTATCTTTTTCCTATCGCGAGATTTATTGGGAGTGGATGTGCTAATGCTAATCATGTGTACAGGCCGGAGTATTGAACATCGTCCTCCCCGGTGTAGGCACTTATGTCTTGAACAAGCAACCACCCAACAAGCAGATCTGGCTCAGCTCCCCCATCTCGGGTCCTAAGCGGTACGATTGGGTTTTGGAGGGCGACCACATGTACGAGAAGCAGGATACTAGGCCCTTTGTTAATGGGCAATGGGTTTATCTTCGGGATGGGTCGAATCTGACGGAGCTGTTAAACAGCGAGTTGACCTTAAATATCCCGAAGGATGTCTATAGTGAGGAGCTGTGAATGGTTTGCTCGGGTTACGGTGGTATGCGATTGAAATACATGATGCGTTCTTTTACTTGATTGGGGGGAGCATGATTATTAAAAATCATGGTGGATGTAGGATATGGAGTTTTTGATTTATGTAGGAGACTACCTCTGGGCCTTCAGTGGACTACACATTTCGGCACGGAGTGCTACACCATATACTTGTTGTGCAGACATAATACAATATGCTTGTTTGAATCCTATAACTGGCTACCCTCTCGAGACTAGGTTATTGAACCCCTAAACATTGCGTACTTCGGGTACGCAAACTAGCAATTTGGTAGGCGAGCCTTCCCCGGTAGCACCATGTCGCTATCAAAATCGCGCAATGCGATCACCACCGCTTCTTCAATTCATGCCTATAGTGGGCCTCATCTCGCACAAAGCCCCGAAATAGCCAAAGGCACATTACCTTTTCAACCCAAATCTCCAGCCAACCGAGCCCTGCAGCAGGTTCCCCTCACATCATAGATCCCCACTAGCATCTCAGTCTTGCAATCAGCACGATGCTACTCTCCACTAGCGCGAGTACGGGCATCCGAGCTGTGTTGTGCCTCCGACATCGAGCGGTCCCGTAGTGAAGACCGAGCTTCTATACTTTTCTTCCAGTCCACGAACGAGTAGCTAAGATTCCTCGAGTTGTGTAAAATGACGCATGAGCCACGGTCATATCCCCGGTATCAATTTATAGTCCCTGTCATTCTCATTGGCATACCCCTTTGAACAATTTAGGCCTGGACTGCAACAGCGCCAGAGCCTTGCTGGTTATCGTCCTTAGGAAGGTCGTCCTTGGCGATGTTAGCGAGAACTCTAGTGTACTAATATTTAGACCAAGGAGTTGATAACGTACAACATCGAAGATGACACGAATCATCAGGCTGCAGCTGGGGCAAACGGCGATTTCCTCTCCGTCGCGAAGGTCATCGATCGCGATCTCGAATCGGTCGCCGCATGGGCAGGGGAAATGGTAGATCTGGAGGATGGGGTCGAAGGTCATGTCTTCGATTTCAATTTCATCGTAGATGGAAAGCGCTTCGTCGGCCATTTTAAAGAGTTGGTATGTTTGAATTGAGGTGGCGTGGATCTTGGAGATTCAATCCGTGTATAGATTAATGAATCTTATCGGCGGAAAACTTTTGGTGGGATGGTCAGGTGATTGCGGGGTGATGGTTATTGGTTGGTTCTGGATCGTCCAATTGGAGGGCATCCAATGTATATAAACTTCAAGTTGCATAAAGTGTCAACTTTTATGGACAAGGCCCTTGAAAAGCGTGGTTCCGAACAAGGGTATCTCTAGAGAGAAGTAATTGACCAGGACAAACAAGACCTACCCACCCCTTCATAATTTTTCAATCTCCAATCTTACGTCTTCAATTTCCTGGATTAAATCCCCGTATTGTCGGGTAATCTCCTTCATTGGACCAGATTCTGATTGGCTTCTCCTCCCATCTCTCTCTGTAGCTCCTGGGTCGATCCCCTCGTACGCCTTGAGTTTCTCCAAAGTTGAGGTTTGCCTCTCCTCCAGCCGCTCTCGAGTGTCTCGGAGGTGCCGACGGTATCGGCTGAGCGCATTAATAGTTTCGGGTGTGTTTATTGTGGCCGAAATATCCAGTTTCGTCATACTATCAGGCTCAATTAGTTTCAGATTCTCATAAACCCCCGCAATCCCCTCGCATTTAACGTAGTTTAAGCGATTGGGGTCAAGCATACTTTAGTTTCCCCTCCACACTCTGGGCAACTATAGCGAGATGCTCCGCCTTCGCTTTAGTTGCTCTAGCAAGAGCTCCGTGTTTGGCGCGTTCCAGTAACGTCACCGTACGCTCCAGCACCGCGGCCCGTGTCGCCAAAACTTCCGCCGCCGTCGTTGCCATTCGCGTACGAGTTGCGGGAAGCTCGGAGAGCTGTTTCTGACGTAATTGGCGCAGTCGATCTTCGAGCCGTGAGGAAAGGGTAACAGGGGCTCGACGGGCCCTAAGCCGGGTTCGCGGGGGCTCCGTAGATGGAGGGTCCGAAACGTCGCCTGCATGAGCGATCAATCGAAGGTTATCCAAAGAAGAGGAAATCGCATTTGAAAAGGGTATGGTTAACGTAGGAAGGCCCGAGTAGAATTTATCGATGTCTGGAGCCAGGAGTGATAGCGTGTCGGCTCCATCGAGGTCGTCATCGTCTAGGTCGAGCTGACTGGGTGACGAGTCCAAGTAAAAGCTGATGATCATAATTGTGTCTCGGAACTAGTAAGAAGTCACGCATGATTGTCAGTTCATAGTGCTCTTTTTGATTTCAGGGTCTTGCGGAGTCATGCTGACATCGTCCGGTAAATTATTGCCTGGATCAAAGGCTAGCTCTCGCAGTGTTTGTTTTTTTATTTGCTTTTTCGCATGGCGAGTGCGACAGATTTTTAATTCCTAAGGCACGAGGTTTTCTCGACTTAGTATGTTTGTTGTTCATTCATCGTCTAGTGCATAGACGTACTTCTAAGACGGCCTTTCTGGCAGGCTGCGCATCGTTGGCACGCGTTGATGCATCTGGTTTGAGCAAATTTGTTGTCAAATTTTGGTAAACTCTTTTGAATTGCGGATTGTTTTCAAGAATTGCTGGATCACAGGGGGGTATCATTGTCGCGATGGTTGCATTCTCTAAACGATGGAAATGGGGGACAAGTTGAACCCGGAGATAAGATTGCAAATCGGGCGGTGAAAACCAAACATTTGTGCCAAGACCTTCGTATATAAAATGAATATTGTCTACATATCATTACGGGAGGAGTATGCAAACAAGTACATAAATTTTTGCTTCCGTTTTCACATTTCTTTCGTAATCATACATGCACTTGGTGCCATCACAACCCTCTCCTCAAAGAGCAATCCCTGCGCATCGGCTTGCAACTGAAGAACCTCCGCCCCTATGCGAGACTAAGCTCGGTGCAATGCACACGTAACGCAATATCCAACGAAGCGTTGGCAGGGGGAGTCACCATGAAAGACAGGCAAAAGTATACCTCGTGTGTTCATAGGGTTGTGGACCTTGCCACCAGATGCAAACGAGCGAAAGTGGAGAGCTCAAGACGCGACGTTGAAGGACCCGATAGAAGTAAAGGGCTATGTACAAGAATAGCAGGCGCCTGATAGAAAGATCAGACCATCTTCCAACGCAACAGTATCGCTAAAGGTAGAAAAGAAAAGACAAACAGAAAGGTTGGCGTAGTAGCACAGGTAAACAACCAAAGGACAGCTGATTAGAGTAGTTGATAACATCAATGGAGAGTAGGAATGCTCGTAATGACTACCATAGATCAACGAGACAGAGTGGAAGATTTTTGAGAAACAAAAATTTCGGCCAGGGTTCACCCAGCGAAGTTTTACTCCTCCTCACTCTCTTCTGAGTCATCTTCCGAATCGTCGCTACTTTCGTTAGCTTCAACGGAAGGAACTGGATCCGGTGAACGACCGCCACCCTGGAAACGGGACAGGTTGCTTTCGAGCATGTTAATCTGAGCTTCTTGTTCGAATTTGCTCATGGGCTTATTTTTCTTTGGTTTGGGGGCAGCCGCAGTAGTATTCATAGTAGTGGGTGTCACCACTTCTTCGTCTTCCATAACGTGAGGCGCATTCTTCTTGACGAATCTGAGCAGCATCAGCAGTACATCGTTGGGAAGCTCATCGATATCAAGTTCAATCTCTGTCTCTTGGGTGCCCTACAGATGAGAGTCAGTCTTACTAGCTCATGACAATTAGTAGGTAGTGCACACAACATACCTTGAGAGCTGGGACATTGTTTTGGATGATCTTGAGCGCTTCCTGCATCTTCTTATCCGGAAGGCTACTAATGCCGTTGGAAATGATTTGCTTCTCTTGATATGTAACCCAGCGCTGCTTCTCAGGCTTCGCTGGCTTGGTACTGCTCTTCTTGTCTTTCTTAGCCAAGTTCATGGTTCCGGCCTTTTTAACGTCTTTCTTGGCAGACTTGAGCTTCCCAGCCTTCTTTGATCCAGGCGGTGTCTTCTTCTTCTTCTGTGCAATAGCTTCCATCTTGCGCGTCATTTCCGCAATCTGCTGCTGCAGCGCCTGGATTTCTGTATCATCATCGCTATCGTCCGCATCTTCGTCGCTCTCGTCAAATTCAGAGTCAGACTTTCCACTGTGATGTTCTGGATGCGGTTCATGGGCGTCCAGATAGCGCGTCTTCTGGGCCCATTTAGAGTTGAATAGTTCTTCGAATTTTTGTCCAGCCAGATACGTGGGGTCGCCTGGAATATTAAACTTGAAACAATTCTTAAAGATCAGGCGGATATCCAGTTCGAACTCTTTGGCGTTTTCATATTGACCAGTCTTAAGCTTGGTCTGTACAGTCGAGAGATCCATTGGTTTCTTGATAATGCTGTGGTAGGTAGGGATATTCAATGCGACCGGATCAACGGGCTGATAGAATGGGACCGCAATGTTGAAATGCTTCGGCTTATTAAGCTCATCTAGAACCTCTTGGCAGAACTTCAGCTCCCATTGATACTTCTTCTTCTTCGGCTTCGTCGAGTAGGGAAGGTCACGCTTTGGAGGATGGATGGACCGCTTAGGGCGTCCATCGACATTAGTAGAATCGCGACGGATAACAGGTAGACCTTCTGGTCCCAATGCGAAGGTAGTAGCCGTAGCCTGAGCCTGAGCCTGGGGGGAGGCAGCAGTTGGACGGGGCGCAGCATGTCCTATACTCGTTCGTGGTTCCCGTCGTGCTGCTGAAGTCTTAGGAGAAGACTTCTTGGGTTTTTTATCCTCCACCTCATCAGGTCTAGGGCAGTTGATCATCTGCTTCTCAAAAGTAGCCTTGAGTTTCTGCCCTTCTTGCGCAACAATATGGTCCGGGCCATTAAACGTCAACGAATTTTGGACCATGAGGTTGAAGTCATCAACAACGGCCTGAACCGACTTGTATTCATTAATTTTCAGCTTCCTCTCAATTGTGCCAAGATCCATAGGATGTCCAATGATCTGTGGGTAATGGGGAATATTCATCTTTATTGGATCGACTGGTTCCCGATAAAAGCGTGAGTCATTCATGCGCTTAAGGCTTTGAATCCCTTTAAGAAGAAACTTGTGCTGGACCCTAGTCATAGTCGCATTTCCATTTGTTGCCACATCGGTACGTCGCTCAGTCACGGGACCGGGAGTCGCAGGGGCTTTGGAAACAGGCGGCGTAGAGACTCCGCCTCCAATCTTAGTACGCTTCGCGGCAGGCTCATCGCTTGGATCCGGTTCGCGTTCCCTGGATAGCTTTGTTGGGGAAACCGGAACATCTGGCGCATCGCGCATTTCCCGATCAACATTCTGCAAGGACGGCAGCGATGGGGGCTTGGTGATCACAGTATTTTCCGAAGAACCTTCAGGCTTCGCAGTCGCGGAAGGGTGATGGGGAAGCTCCGTCTTCGAAGGAGAGCCCTGCGGCTGCCTACTATTGTCCGCATCCGTTGTTGGCCTTGGGCTATCTCGTTTTGGTTCCAGCTTTTGAGAGGTATCATTATCAGCGCTAGCCTTGTCGGCAGGCTGTTGCCCACCAGTTGATTCCTCTTTAATATTATCCGTCGCAGAAGGTCCAGCGCTTAGAGTCTTATTTTCCTCGGGTGGTGCTGTCGGCGACTTCGGGGGAGATGTTGTATTGACTCCATTTGGAACGGTGGCTTCGTGGCCATTCACTGAGGTAGGCTTAGTCGAGTCAGCCATTTTCTCGTCAGGGGCCACATCTGGCTTAGAATCGGCTACAATGCCCTGCACGCTGTAGAGAGTCAGCAAATAGCTCAACTGGGATTGAGCTATTCGGCAAATGTACATACCCTTTGCGATCAACATCGACAGAAGAGATGCCATTTGGCGACGGGGGTAGTTGAGGCTTCTCCTCCTTGAGCACCGGAGGAGCCTCCGGAGGCGGGGTCGCCATCGAGGTCGCTTTTTAGAGTGTCCAACTGAGGACCAAGATACAGGGAACTAACACGCAGCGAGGTAAATGACAGCTGGTATCAGTTATCGGGAAAGTTTTAAGAAGCGACAACAATAATGCACTGAATAGGTTATCTCTGCGCTATCACAGACTAAATCAATCGATTCGGCAACCGTCGAATAAATCCCCCTGATTAGATGACAAAAGACAGATGAAAACTGCTGCTCAGCAATCACAACTGCTGCGACGCCGCGTTGTTAGAATGTACAGGAAAGATGAGTATTAGTGCGGGTCGGAAGTGGAGAATGCGACAGGAAGCAGAGGAATTTATATTGCCAAGAGGCGGTAGCCTCGTGAGTCACGTGGTGCGACAAGTCTGATTGACTAAGCCGGGGGGCAATCTCGAGATGAAACGGAGGTGGAAAGAAGAATCACAGGGAAGAGTCGAAATAGACGACGAAGTCAGGTGATCTGCAGAGAAGGAACACCCGTGTAAATTCTGAATGCCTCAGGCCACACTGGATTAAGATGACCTCGTGAAGCCGCGTTCGAGAGTGAAGCGTGATAGAAATACAGTGAATTTGGCTCTGGAAATGAGATGCTGCTAATAATAATCCAGTAAAAAAGTAAAAGACAAAAATAAAAATAAAAAAGGAAAATGATAAAATATAAAAAAAAAAAAGAAAAGAAAAGAAAATTCAAAATATAATAAAAAAGGGCAGCTGCAGTAGCTGGGATTCTTATTTGGGAGCGCGACGTGATAGCGCGTTTAGATCGTAGAAATGATGACAATGTTCAGGGGTGGTCACGGGTAATCCAGGATTAGGCCAGGCGGTCTGTAAGAAAAAAGCGTGACCGGCGCGCAACTCAGCTCAGGTCCAGAAACAGAGACTGAGGAAGTCGGAGGGGGTGCTAGAATCCTTAAGTACGAACGGCCGCGTCGCGGTTGTCCGCCCTCTGCCGCTAACTCCATCGGATGCGCTAATCCTAATTACTCTAGCTTAGGCCATTCAGCAGTCGCTGATTGGCTGATGGATGACGCGTTCTACAAATCCACGGATACGATTGGGGTTTTCCAACTTCGAAGTGGGACCTCGTACCAGAAGTCCCTTTTGTCGGAAACATCCTCGAAAAGATTCAAGCTCCCCAAAGAGTGTTAAACTGAGCAAGAAGCAACACAAAGCTGAAGAAAATCTAAGATACTTGAAGATCACATGCAATTCTCCAGGGGGTCTGATTTGGATACATCGCAACAGAGTGTCTTTGTGATACCTGAGGCGAGGTGAGATCAGATATGACATACCCAAAAATCCGTTAGGCATTCATGACGGGATTGAAGACTGCATCATGGATTTAGTAGAAGGCTGGTTTTACTACACACCGATCCAGAAAAAGGTGGTCTGCTGACCAGCGGAAACCCCAGGGTCAAGCCCTGAGCCCTTCCCTTGCACTGGATTAGGGCTAGTCTTGGTCTGCTGATGTAATCATTATAGCTGTGGCTATGCCAAGAAAGACATAGAATTGTAAACAGAAAAGATACCAATACTGGACAGGCCTGCTGGATGATAGCTTATCACATTGATCTCCAAAGAAAGAGTTTGGTCATGAAAGGGAAGAGAGAGCGAACATAGTTGTCCCTATTAGCTAGCACCTGTAGGGTAACCGTGGCGTCCGTTGTATCCCTTGTTCTGCTGGTCTCAGGATACGCCACATTGGCCTTCGAATAGTCAACAGTGTCTCTCTTTATCATCCGCCCTTAGCTTGTCTATAGGGTGTGAAACACAACAAGGGGATTCACTATTTTCTTTTTGAGATCTGGATGGATGAATGAGTCAAATGTGCCAACTGGTAGCACATGACTCTGTGCGGAGAACAACATGCAGTTGATTTACTAGTCCCAGTCAGAACGATAAACTGCTCCCGTTTTATGTATCTCTTTCCCAAGGTGCGAAGAAAATAGCTTATAAACCTTATGGAATACTACTACTTTGGCAGCCAAACCAGCGCAGGTAGCAATCCACTAGCTGTGGTGATTACCATAATGGGCAGTCATATTTGCAAAAGAGAAAAAAAATGTTGCGGGGGAAAAAGCCGGGAAGCAATGAGAAACTGATAAAGAGAAGGTTTACGCGATATCTGGATGAATAGACTGGAATATCCGCCTCGAGGCTTGGTACTTGAATCAATGAAGTGAGAAAACCATCACCAGCAAAGGCAGAGAATAAGCAACGCAGTGTGTTGTTGGATAAAAAGGGAAGGTTGAGAGCGTGGGAAGACACAGGAGATTAGATAAGACCTGCAGCAACTTCAACAAAGGGCGCTAGACCAGAACAGGACAAGCGTCATCTACTTGGTTCTACAGAACTTTTTTTTCCCTTCTCAGCAACACCGCTCAAGAGACGGCGACAGTCTGCAGTTCAGCAGCCTCTCAACATCCAGTTGTCGCTCCTAGTTGAGACGGATTAGGCTTATCTCATTATCTGGCGTCTGCCCTGTGAAGTTGCTTGATTGTTATCTTTCGCTCGCAGATTTACTCAAAATGGGTAAGAAAACGTCTCGCCCGCCCGCCTCGAAAACTTCCTCCGCTGCGTCGCCCGCGGTATCCGGCCTGACTTATACTGGGAGCAAATCTTCGATACTGAAAGCGTCATTTGCACCATCTGAATATCAATTGTCGCTTTTCGCGTCGGTCATCCAAGGTCTTGATGCTCAGCATTTGCGAATTCATGATACGAACACCGGCCGGTTACAATGCGAGCATGTCTTGGGTCCTAAGGAGACAGTCACCTCCCTAGACTGGGGATACTATCCAGGAAGGCAAAAGGATCGCGATCAACAGTCAAAGAAAAAAAGAAAGCGGCAGTCCGACGTCAATGGTGCCATCCATGGGCTCGATCAAGGAGATGTAGTCGTCGCCTTTGGTACGAGCGCTTCAGATATTCGGATGTACTCGCCTACGGAGGATAAGATTGTTGGAACACTCGTTGGAGCTCACGATGAAGGGGTCAATGATTTCAAATTCACTTTGAACAAACCCGCTCAGGAAGGTTGGAGTGTTGGTGGTGATAACAAGCTCGTCCAGTGGGATCTACGCACCGGAAAAAGCACAAAGTAAGCTCATATATCCTTATCGCGGGCTCTTGAAGATCCATCTAATTTCATGTCTTAGAATAATTAATTTGCCCTCATCCTCGGTGGTCTCGAGTCTGGCGCGCCCACTTCCTTCTAACCCACCTGTTATCTGCGCATCTCAGACTCCGTACATAATCGATATTGATAATGATGATGCGCCAATTGCGTTCCCAGCCATGCGCAATTCTATACGTACGCTTCTCACGTCCTCTACTGTATCCGCGTCTACCGGATTGTTCCTCGGCTCCGATAATGATCGTTACATCAATGTCTTTGACCTCGAGAGTCGGAAGCTTGTAATGAATCTTGTGGCTGAAAAGGAAGTGTCTTCGTTGTCCTTATATACCGTTTCCGTGCCCAAAACAGGTGATGCTTTGGCATTGGAGAAGCAGGCCCTAGCTGCTGTAACCGACGATGGTACAATTGAGCTCTTCACGAGGCCATTTGTTTTGCCAAAGGATTTGCAGGGAGCCAAGGCCGCCACGAATCTCAAGGCAAAAGGAAGACAGATGACTAGAAGAGCGGAGGGCTCTATCAAGATCACGCGTTCTGAAGACTCTGATGCTCTGGTGCCGGTAGTAACAGCATCATTCCAGGGTCGTGATTTAGTTATTGCCTGGGCTGAAGGAGGCGTTATTCCAATTTTCGAGCGCGTCGCATGGCTTGATGAGTCTACCGACGAGCTAGCATTCACCGGCGTCAAAAAGATAGTCAGGAGCCAGTCCAATTCGGTTCTTTCATCAGTTACCACAAACGGTGCCAGAAAGACAGGGGAGAGTCAGGTCGACGAATCGAAGGTAGTAATACAGCAAGGAAACCTCGCCGAAGATGACGTCGAGATGGAAGACTCTAAACAAGACGCTATCTCGGTTGCCGATAGTGATGAATACTCGGATGATGATCAGGAACGTAAGAAATCAAGCAAGGCGAAAGAAATTGAAAAACAGAAAGGCGTCGATAGCGACGTGGAAATGGAGAATGCAGAATCCGACCCAGAGAAGGAGGATGAAACGGGCGAGCCCTCTTTTGGTGAGCTTATGCGGGCAAATGCAGCAGAGATCGATGTTGAAGCTGAGCTTGAGGATGATGTCCGCATCGGGTCCCTTGTGCCTGGAAAGCCCAATGCAGCAATCCAACAGATTCCATCCGGCGTCTCGCTCTCCACCGTCCTTACGCAGTCCCTCAAGACTAACGATAACGACATGCTCGAGTCGTGTTTCCACACTGGTGACCTCTCCATTATTCGTACGACCATCCAACGTTTGGAATCATCCCTGGCAGCCACTCTCCTTCAAAAGCTTGCCGAGCGTATCTCCGCCAGGCCCGGACGGTACGGTCACCTCCTTGTCTGGATTCAGTGGACATGTGTGGCACACGGTGGAGCGCTCGCAGGCCAGCCAGATCTTCTGAAGCGTATGACCACACTTTATAAGGTTATGGACCAGCGTTCATCAAGCCTTGCTTCATTGCTACTGCTTAAGGGTAAGCTAGATATGCTGGATGCACAACTTGGCCTGAGGCAATCTATCCGTAGTGGTGCGGAAGGAATGGAGAGCGAAGACGAGGACAATGTCATCTACGTTGAAGGTGAGGAAGAGCTTGAAGAGGAAGACAGCGATGCCGATACCGCGAAGCATATGGCGACACCGCGGACCAAGTTGATTCGCGACCAGACCTTCGACGAAGACGAGTCCATGATGAACGGTGTGCAGTCCGGCATTGATGAGTCCGAAGATGAGGAAGAAGGCAGTGAGGAGGAAGATGAAAACGAGGATGTTTTCGACGTTGAGGCGGAAGAGTCTGCCGGCTCGTCCGATGCCGAGGAATCGCTTGAAGAAGACGAAGACGATGAAGATGACGATGCCGAGAGTGCCGGCTCGATGGCCGACTTCATTGCTGACACGGAGGAAGACTCCGAGGATGAGGCTCTCTCAGTTCCTCAACCGCCGCCATCGAAGAAGGCCAAACTGGGCAGCGGAGGAAAGGGGAAGAACAAGGCGAGAAAATAGATTAGATTTTATACCCTATTCTTCTGCACTTGTTCCTGGAGTTCCGTGTTCTTTCGCCTAAAAAGTGATCCAAAAGAGAAAAGAATATCTTTATTTTTCTCCCAAACTGTTTCATGTACTCCCTTTTAGAGGGCGGAAGACGTTCACTAGCATTTATGTTGACTTGCTACTACTATCTGTCTATCTATTTATCTTCTTTGCAATTATTTGAGCTAGAATCTGTTTGTAGACTGACTGAGATGAATGATAGTGCCTACAAGCTCCCACGTACCCACATTTTTCCTCGACGCATCAACCTTTCATATATATATCAATCCAAAACCTGAACCTCATCAACAGGGAACAAGAAAGTACCAGTAATTTCACTTAAACAGTACTTCATAAATAATGTGCTCGTACTCAACGCAGTACATGTATATATGAACATCACCCCTAACCCCCACAAAAAAAAAATATCCAAGACAAAAACCACTACAACCCCCCCTCCTCTTCCCCTCTTAATCCCTCCCTACTATGACCACCCCCCATATATTCAATAATCCATCTCACTCTCCACGCAAGCACCCCCATACAAAACCCGATGCCGCGGAACCCTCTCAACAGGCAACGCCAAAGTAACCGTAGCCTCCTCAGAAGGATATTCCGTGTTATGGCCCTCAGCACTGACATCCGCGGTATCGATGGCCAAAATAGTCCCGTGTTTCCCACCAGGAATCCACGCTTCGTCGTCCGAATGCGAAAGTGTAATATGCGCTAACCCCGATAAAAAAGTCACCCACCTTACACGGTATATTATCAGTAAGTGATCTTATATATCTATAGGTTGGGGGTGAGGGAGGAAAAGGAGGATAGGAGGATTGAAGTGAAGCATACTGTATGGTCGGGGCGTTATGTCTGCCTCCATCTGTGTGCGCGGGGATGATCATGTAGGACATATTGCGTGTTCCTGCACCTAGGGAGAGGACGGGGTCTCCTGCAGTGCCGGATTGGGTGGATGGGGTGAACCCGGGCTCAAGGGCCCAGCATTCAAGGGTTGAATGGTTGTTTTGGGCGGCGATGACAGTTACATTGAGAGTGTGGGGAGATGTTGTTGCTGCTGCTGTGATGGTGGTGGCGAGGAGAGTTGTGATGAGGGCTGGGGAGAACATTGCGGTCAACGTCAGGGGAGTGACGTTATGATGTTACTGAGAACTTGAAGTATGGACAGAATAAAACTATAGATACTTGTGGATCCTCGAACTGAGGATCTGCAAGGACTAGTGGATTGAGATTGGAGACTATTGTCCAGCAAAAGTATACCGACCCACTCGAATGAGTTGGTGGAATGCGACTTATTGGTCCATTTGTGAATTTATGAGCATCGGAGAATTCCACACGGGGGTTCTCGGTTGAAAGGGTATAATGATTTTTAGGCTCATTTACTTTGGTACTCTTCATAGAATCGCTTGATTTACATCGCCTTACTTCTTCTATCGAAGAGTTCCCTAAGAATATAAGCAACGATCAATGACAACCTATATATATATCATGATAAGCTAACGGAATAAGAATATCGTTGTCAACGATCATTGAAGCCCTATGTGCTCAAGCCTGCGGTCAACGAATGACTTCATTCCCTAGTCTTTCCAATCCTTCGATTCCTTCGAGGATCTCGCTGCCACCGTATGGTCCAGAAGTCGCCGCTTTTGGCTTTCTCCTAGAACTCCACACCTCATGGAACTTGACACTTTGGTCGCTAGAAGCCACAATGATACACCCCTCTTCAACCGTACGCGGACACCAGAGCCCTCCTTCTTTAGCCGTAGGTCGCACAACCGCCCGCCGGTAATGCACACCCCCTCCTCTCCTGTTCGATCTGAGCTGATTGACCAAACTTGATATAGAAGAGCCTTCGGGGCTGTCCAACTTATCAAGGACATAAGTAGGGGGCCTGCAGGGATAGCTAACTGCACAGAGTGCTCTCCCACAATCGACACTTGACTCGTTGTCTGTACGATCCCAGCTACTCCCATTCGGGCCCCAGGGAATTGCAGCGATCTGCTCGCAGCTTGGCCATGCAAACACAGCAATTCGGAACGGATGTTCTGGTTGTGCGAAGCCAAACGTGGCGACAAGCTCCCTCCGCGTCTTGCTCCAGATAAGACCAGTCACTTGAGCATAAACGTTGATAGTAGCCAGACATGCACCAGATGGAGTGTGAAAGAAATGGATAGCGCGGTCGTTAGAGCCTCCACCAGTTGCCAAAAGAGATGGCTGCCAGGGAGCAAATGCTATTGCTTTAACCGCCGCGGAATGAGCTAGTCGATGCTTCTGACTGTTTGGCGGCACTATGACCATTCGATCATGAGGGGAGATTAGTAATCCCACACTGCTGAGGAGACCTGCCGACATAGGTGCGGTTTCAGGATGGGACGATGGAGGTAAACTACTAGAGGCGAAGTGCCTATGTAAGAGCTGTCGATGAACATTATCTGTGAATGAAGAGAGGCAGCTCTGGCCTAGGGTGTTCGAGCCCTTTGAGGTCACACCTAGCTCTCGTGGAGCAATGATATCTCGCAACTCAAACAGCATACACGCATTATCATTGCCACCAGTAGCAAGGTATACCCCATCCGGAGACCAGGATATACCGCATACCTGCTGTGTATGGGCAGATATCTTGGCAACTAGTGTCATAGAGCCTTGCCAATCAAACTCATCCCGAATCTCGTCGTCAGGCCACTCGACAGAGTAGTACCAGATGTTGCCATTGTCATCACCAACAGCAAGGTCTTCCGTGTCTACCTCGACGTGCGGAAACTTCGCCGATATTCTCCGCGACTTCATTTGTTTGAATGCAACACAGGTGATTGTATCTGGATGGCTGATATCAAAACGTATTTCCGAATCGAAAACACTCCATAGGCAGAGTGCACCAGATTGTCTGCCAACAGCTAGAATAGCTTTCTCGCCATTCTCAGAGGAAAATGACAGAGAGGTTACATGGTTTGAGGTATGTTGGTTTGCGAATGGTGGGTGCTGTACGCCAAAAGCTTCTGACCAAAGATAGACGCGGTGGCCAAGACCGACGGCGAGAATTCCAGAAGTGGTCGAATATGCTATTGTTGAACAGTAAAAATCATCACGAAGAAGAGGTGCGTCTAGTATACGGAACGGTAGCGTTGGTACCATCCTTGTGCTGTCCTCTCTTGGTAGGGTTGTAGAAGTCCCTATTGATACAATCTCAGTAACAATTGCGAGCCGTTCACTAGAGCCGCAACTAACGGCAAGAGTAACTTTCAAGCAGTCATGCCATTAAGTGCGGTATATATAGCCGAGTATATAATAGTATATCTTGGAGCCGGGGACAGGACAATTGCTTATGCTTTGAATTCTACCTCTCATTATAGATAACTGGTCAGATGGCTTCAAGGGCCTTTTTTGTTGGCCAGTAACCATCCAATACAATTCTCCAGTAGTAAAAACAAGAGGTACTTACATGTATCTCTTTCCGCCCTCTTCCATGCGTTGTCTTTCCAAACCAACTGGGCAAATCGTTCGTAGAGTGGAGAGAACGGAGCCGGCGTGGACTCAAGCAGTGGCCGAGCGTTCCGATTACTGAGGAGCCTTGATGCTGTATCAATATCCAATGCAAGGGCTAGCCTTGACTCGTACTTAGCTTGTTCCTCGTTCGATGCAGTATGGGGCAAGAATCTGGCATTGTACATGGGAGCAGCTGTTCCACTTGTAAAGCGAGCTCCGGAGGGGCTAGAGGTTGCCCTAAGCTGCCTACCCACGGCAGCGGATGCTCCACCCACATGCCAGACAGCTCCGGTACTCACTTGCCTAGAATTGTGGCCAGGATCCCATGAACCACGAATCACTGCACTACTGACTAAACGGGGGCCATTGTAAAGCCTGAGTTGGTAGCTAGAGTGTACCCCCAGAATGCTTCCAGATCGCCCAGCGCGTGTAGGCATAAATGGATCTTCTTTCTGCGAGCGATGGCGCAGAAGTTTTTCCTCAAGGGATAGCTCCTGGGGATTTTTACCAACACGAAATAATGTCGACGGCGGATCAATGAATTGCCGGACGGGTATGAACCTGTCTAGTGAAGCTGGTGACCTCGAATGATTCACATTTGCATCTGTAAGAGTTGATCTTCTAGTCCTGATTCGGCTTCTATCGGGTGATACTGCTTGATTTGGAGCCTTACTCCCCCCTGCTGGTCGACATTCTGAGTTGCACACAGTATGACGTCTTTTGCACACAACAAGCAGAGGGAACATCGACCTGGGATCTTTGTCCTTATCTGGAAAAGGTAGGTCAATATGCGAGTTAGCATTTGAATGAGGGACAGGCCCTAAAAGGGGCGGTGGAGTAATAGCGTAGTCAACTGATAGCGAAGAGTCGCCATCACTTGTGGTGTCTGAAGTGAGCTCAGGCGTTGACGGGTGACTTCCTGACTGAAAGGACCATTGCTGTGAAGAGAGAGGCTTAGTGGCTATCATTGTATAATGACCTCCACGACTTGAAGTTGACGGCCTGTGATAGACGTAATAATTGAATGCTATGGTCAGCTCTGGAATGCTTTCAAAAGATTGGAAAGAACGGAGTGTCGGGCCCCAATCAAGGAAATCTTGACCCTGAGTATAATACTATGAACTCGTAATATAATAGCATATTACCTGGCAGTCAGTAGATAAGTTGAAAACTAGAAGAAAGTGGAATGTGATATGATGAGGTCGTACTAGTAGTTATACATCGGCACGTGATGCTCCCGATATGGAAAGCACTGTTCGCCTTCCTTTCAAACTCGAGCAACCGTGACTTCTACTCTCTCGTCTCCTGAGTGGTAAACCCGATCTTAGCAGCTGTCACTTTTCAATCTAGACGGGCGTTGTATAGATAGACCACAGGTCAATATGGCTAGTGTAAGTTGAACCTTGTTTCTGCATACCCCACACCTACTAATGGATGGTTCGACAGCATGGAATTCCCCGTTACAGCTTGAAGGAGAAGTCCGAAGAAGCTCGCAAACAAGAACTTCGCAAGATAGAAAAATACCAGGAATTGGATCAACTAGTTCGTGAGAAGGTATGCCGGTCTTGTCCCCCGGAGGAGACGTGCAGTGTGTCCTGATAAGCAGTGCAGATTGCGGAACAGAAGTACACGCCCGAAACACTTCAGAAAATATCCGAATTACTGACCAAAAATCCGGAGTACTACACGGTTTGGAATTATCGACGTCGGGTTCTGCAGCATGAATTTGCACAAGCTGCGTCAAGCGGCTCGAGTGAAGCTGCACCAGATCAATTGACCACTCTAATCAAGAATGACCTGCTGTTCCTGATACCGCTCCTGCGCAGTTTTCCCAAGTGCTACTGGATATGGAACTATCGTCTATGGCTCCTAGATGAAGCTAAACTTCTACTACCGCTACCAATCTCCCGTAAAATCTGGGAAGAGGAACTAGTGCTTGTAGGCAAAATGCTTAGCTTAGACAGCCGAAACTTCCATGGCTGGGGCTACCGACGCATTGTCGTGGGCACGTTAGAATCGCTTACACCCGAAGAGCAGGGAAAGACTATGACACAAGCGGAATTTGAGTATGCGAAGAAGATGATTGGCACCAACCTTTCCAACTTTTCCGCATGGCATTATCGGACGAAACTCATCCAGCGATTGTTGAATGAGAACTCAGCGACTGATGAGGAACGGAAAAAGATGCTAGATGACGGTATGTTGAACCGACTTACATAAGAAATCATCGCTCTCTTCGCTAATGCAGGTCAAGAATTGGAGCTTATTCATCGCGCCCTGTGTGACCCATATGATCAGTCACTGTGGTTCTACCATCAAAACTTAATGTGTACATTTGACCCAGCAGTCTCGGGTCAAACGATGGCGCCAAACCTCAGCCGATCCGAGCGGCTGGACTACCTCCGCCAAGAGATCGAAGAGATTCAAGATATGCTGGATGGGGCGGAGGACTGCAAGTACATCTACCAGGCATTGATCGACTGTACCTTGTTGGCATCAAAAGTCGAGGGCACCATGTCCAGTGGCGACCAGCAAAAGGTTCTGAGCTGGATCTCGGAACTGAAGAAGATGGACCCGCTTCGGCGTGGACGGTGGCTGGATTTTGAGCGATCACTCTGCAGATAAGGGATTACAATCCACCCCCTTACCTCAGGAAACCTGTATGTACGCATCATAGAGCGCCAAGTACTGAATTACTATTTTTTTTTTGTTGAGACGACTATCAATAGGCAGAAATCCTTGGGTGGTTAGTTTTGGATAGTACTTAGTGGTAACCGAGTGGTACTATGTATCTAGTAGTTAGTTGTGGGGACCAATGGTGTTTTTATCCGTGGATGAGAGACATTCAGGGGAGTTTCAGGAATGTTTTCCAGGAGTTATTGGGGATCTCTACACCCAAATTTTCAATCGAACCGCATTTACAGGATACTTCTGGTGCTTTTTTTCTCTCTTTTCTTTTCTGACAGGCTATTAAGTATATATACAAAGAAACAGGGAAAAAAAAAAAAAAATGGAAAGAGTAGAAAAAGGCGCAACTCCAGACCCGCCAAGCTTTCCACCAATAGTCAAACAACTTCTCTCTAACCATTGAAAAAGAACTATAAAACGAAAAAAAAAGAAAAGAACAAGAGTCTCATATACACCGAAACTTAGTCGCTTTTATTTTTATTCCTTAAGCCCTTCTAAAATCCCCCCTTTTTTTTTCTCCTTTCCAAAGTGGTCCATTCCACTGGTGGCTTTGTGGTCCATTCCATACTAATTCCAACCCCCTTCTCCGTCAACTAAACAACTAAACCGAACCGCGTGGTGGCTTCCACTCACTGTCTTTCAACCTCCTTCCCCCTGCTTGCCATGGCCCTTCCGTTCTTCTGATCGCACCCTCTATACCTTCTTCTTATATTCAATTCCCCGCTGGTTCCTGAAAAGAAAAAAGGAAAGAAAGAAAGAAAGAAAAATAAGCCTGATTGATTCACTTAGCCGCACTTCTAATTCCCCCCAGGGGCTCTTGGGTTCATCATGTCGAGACGCAGTAGCAGAGACTACGAAGGAGTAAGATATTGCCTCTATCATAAAATCTTAGAGTCCAAACTTATTCGATTCCTTTGGCCAGGATTCCTTCGACGATGCCCTGGAAGCTCCAACATCTCAAAACAGTCTCACCGTTTCGATTCCTCAGAGTTCCTCAACCCGTTCCTTAACAGACAGTCCCCCGAGCGCTACCACCCCTCAGTTAACCGATGCGCCCTCTCTACATCCTACGGCACAGGACGACGATATGACAAATGGGGAGACACAGGATTCTCATCCGGATCCTCGGTCGGAAGGGGAGGAAACACCTCGCAAACAGAAATTACAGAAATCCCCACTGTTGACGGCTCACCGATTGTCTACCACTTCCCTCGACGAAGTGAATCTAGCCAGCAGCAACAAAGACGATGACTCCATAGAGAACCATGACCTAAGTCCGGGCCATAACCCGGGCTCTCCTCCATTGCCTTCGAGGGACTCCATATCGGCTCAGACCCCACGCCTATCGGACCCTGCTCTGCCAGTAATCAAGAACACCGCCCCTGCTGCACCGCCACCTCCACCAACTCGAAAACTGACAAGTCCTTTTGCATGGCTGACTCGAAGTTCGACGGGAAGCAAGGAGACCAAATCACCCCCTCAGAATAGCCGCCGAAGCACAGCCGCTTCGGTATCCACAATTTCCAGTAATCCTGAATTGGCCGGCCGGACACAGGATGGAGAGGATCCAGATGGCTCGAGCACGGGATCGCGAAAGCCAGCTCGCAACAGCCTAAAGGATCAGTTTAAAATGCTCAGGATGCGGGATGAAGGACAGGTTTCGGAAAATGACGAAGCAAGTATCACGTCGGGACGTGGAAGCTTCAGTCACTCCGCTGGAAGTCCGCCGCCTAGCATCCCAGAAGAAGGTGAGAACGATTCCGCAGTGTCGCCAGCGGCCTCGCCACCCAACCTACCATCGACAGTCAACCCGAATCTTGCCCCAGGAACAGTCTCGGGTTTCTCGGCCTCTGCAACTGACGCGGCGACCCCCGTCGATTGGGAATTATGGCAGCAGCTGGTCAATCGTGGTCCCCAGGCGCTGAAGGGCACGAATTCCGAGGAGCTGAACGCCGCCATCAAACGGGGGATCCCGCAGACCATTCGAGGGGTCATCTGGCAAGTCCTGGCTGACAGCAGAAACCCCGAACTCGAAGAGGTCTACAGGGAGCTGGTTGCGCGTGGCACTGATAAGGAAAGGTCGCGTGCTTCCAATGGCACGGTGAATGGGAATGGAGAAAAGGAGTCCGCATCGTCATCTCGGTCGTCCATGCGTTCCGAGCGTTCTGCTTCGGTGGCACACTCCATTAACGGGTTCCCCAGTCCAGCCCATGAATTGGACCCTGAAAAACTCGCAAAAGAACAGGTTGCGAGCGAGGCTGCCCGGAAGAAGAAGGAGAAGGAGGACGGTGTGGCACTACAAAAGCTGGAGAAGACTATTCGGCGGGATTTGGGTGCTCGTACAAGTTACTCCCGTTATTTTGTGTCGCAAGGAAACCAGGAAGGTCTGTTTGGTTTGTGTAAAGCGTACGCTCTATACGACGAGGCTGTGGGGTATGCACAGGGCATGAACTTCATTGTCATGCCACTCCTATTTAACGTAAGTGATTTGCATACACACTACTAGATGGCCTCTTGCTAACTTACGTTTCACGTAGATGGATGAAGTAGAAGCATTTACGATGCTCGTCAAGTTGATGAATCAATATGGCTTGCGGGAGATGTTCATCCATGACATGCCTGGTCTACACCGCAGCCTTTTCCTTTTCGAACGCCTACTTGAGGACATGGAACCTGCATTATACTGCCACCTTCGCCGGCGAGGGGTGCACCCGCAATTGTATGCCACACAGTGGTTCCTGACTCTTTTCGCATACCGCTTCCCCTTGCAACTGGTCCTCCGGATTTACGATCTCATCCTTGAGGAGGGGCTTGAAAGTACAATCCTTAAATTTTCGATTGCTATCATGCGTCGAAACTCCGAAACGCTTCTGGGTATGAAGGACATGACTCCGCTGACCACTTTCCTCAAGGAGCGCTTGTTCGATGTCTACATTGACAAACAGCCCTCCGCATCGTCAATACTCGAGTCTGGGTTCTTCGGCAGCTCGGGAGCTGCTGATAAGGAGATATATCGCGCGGACATCTTGGTCCAGGATGCCTGTGCCGTTCCTCTCCAGCCCGAGACTATCCGTGCGTACACGGCGGAGTGGGAGGAAAAAGTGCGGAGCGAACGAGAACGCGAACAGGAGCTAGAGAGTCTCAAGCACACGGTAGCAACGCAGAGTGTTCGGATCCGGTTGCTGGAAGAACAAGCCGAAGCGTCAGACAAAGAGCACGTTCAACTTGCTTCTGAACTTGTCCATCTCAAAGTAGAGAATGAGGAGCTCACGGACCTGAACGACGCCTTGAATATGCAGGTCAGAGAACTGAAGATCGTAGTGGACAAACAGCCCGCAGAAGTTGAAGAGAAGCTCCAAACCGAGATGGATCGCATTATGCAGCGCAATATGGAAGTTCAGAATGAAAACCGGTCAATGGTGGAGCAAATGGCAGAGATGGAGAAAGAGCTCGTGGAGGCGAAGATGAAGTGGGCAGAGGTAAGCCAGCCCGCGGATTTTTCCGTTGAAGAAGGCTGATCTAACATTCTTTCACTGTAGATCCATGAAAACCACGAGAATTTAAAGCAGAAATGGAGCGATCTCCGCAAAGCTCTTGACTAGCTCCACCCCCGTGCGACCCTTTTGTACATTTCACTTGTCTACATGCCAACAGTTCCCTCGCCTGGCTGCTTTTAACGATTTTAATCTTCCCTTTCCGGCCTCCGACTTGCGTGTACATTTCTTGACGGAGCTTTCGAGTATTCGTCCAGTACGGTTGTATCATCATCTTTCCCTTCAGCGCAGCGCGAGTTCTCGGTGGCGTGTCGAGTTCTAGCTATGAGCAGGCGTCTTATGAAGCGATTTTCACGTTATGCGTTGGGTCTACATTAACTGGTTTACTAACTTGGCCATTTCTAGACCGCAGCCGGTCTCGCTCTGTTTGGCCTTCTGGTGCTCTTCAGTGTGTCTTGAGTTCTGTAGTGGGTTTTTGTTTTCTTAATCACCAGATTAAGAGATCCCAATGTATGCAGTGTATATCATGAATAGATATTATTCAAGGTTATGAGTTTAATACCTCGGACCAAAGAAAAAGAAAGAAAAAAAGAAAATTCCACCATCCTTCACAGAACATTCTCAAAATACGAGGTCAGAACTTCCTCCATCACCGGTTTGGCCACAGCCTTCAGCGCCTTGTGCGCCTCACATTCCTTATCATAGTACTGCATATCCTCCAACGAACCGAACGTCGTCTTAACAGACAGCGTGTACCCTTTGTTGCGAGGATCCGGGAAAGAGTGTCCGGCCGCTGCGCTAAGTATATACGGCTTGCCGTTCTATTTAATAACCCCATCAGCAAACTACCATATATATATCCATTGTGGAGCCGACGAAATGAATCTTGGAGAAATTAATACCTTGGTCGCCGTCTTGGCCATGACCTTGTACTGCTCTAGGACTCGATCCCGGCCTGCCTCGTCGGGGATCTTGAATAGCGTGATGCGCTCGATGGGGGCCATTTTTGTTCTTGGTTGGATATTTTATTTTTCTGAGTAGTATGTGGAGGTTTGGTGAGAGGGTGGTGTAAACGGCAATTAGTATTGAGGGGTGGTCTGGTGATGTGAAGTTAGAATGTATGCGCAGTGGACTATATATATATACACCTCTGAGGGGGAAAATTCCAACAATGGATTTATAAGGTGGGGCAATGAGGTGGTGCTAGAATCGTGACACCACTGGTTTAGTTTCAATTCAAAGAGATTCCACCTGGTTCTTGGTGAAGCTTATAAGTTCGTTCAGGTTATTCATAAGCGCCCCTTCCTCCCTTCGGACGGGATTCGGGATTCGGTTGGAGTCGGAAGTTGATTTGATTACCAATGTTGGGTGCTGTTGCCTTACTGTGGGGGTTCCGGTGAGATAGATGTTGGATTCAGAATATGTACATGGAAATAGCAATTGTAGCAAGCGTACTAAGTAACATTGTTTTGGTGCTGGGATTGAAGCGATGGAGAGAGTGCGGAATCGACTCCGTTTTTGGACGGAACTTCCGTCCCCCGTATGCATTTCTGTTGTCGATCCCGCGGAATAAATCAAGGTCACGATGTAGGTGCACCTCCGGCGTGTTGTTGGAGATGGGTTAGTCTCTCGGAAAACCTCTCTGTTGGTTCTATTGAGTGGGTTGTGTTGGGTCAATTTTGTTATGTACTGTTGACTGAGTTGGGTGTACCTTGAGAGAGCCAAAGTAGTGGCTATAGCTGCATATTCCGTCGGGATGGACATATGATTGCTCGAGGATGTTTTTGTCCCCATTAAGCCGCAGCTGTATATGCGGCAATAGACATTGCGTGCTCATATGGTGATTCTCGCCAGGCAAACAGAGACATGGCGGTCAGTAGTCATTCCTCGAGGTCAAAGCCAGCGGTGACTATCTCTGCCGATTGCCCCCTTCCTCTCGGTTGCCAACCACATGAGATTGAATAGCATCCCTTTCAATTGTGCAAGAAAATGACAATTCCTGCCCGGTATATCACCCCCTAGTTCGCTAGAATACTATACCACAGCATCCAAGGAACCCAACCATCCAGACAACTTTCCACCGGTTCATGACGTAGTCAAAATGCGAGCCAAATCAGCTATCATTGACAGGCTCGGGGCGATTCTTGAAGAACAGCCTATACTTGATAATCTCGACGATCTCTAGCTCCTCGTCCTCCGAGTCAGAGGTGGTCTCCTTCTGCCGTCGTTGGACCAAAGCAATAGGCTGCGATAGCTTCTTTACCTCCCCTGTCAAGCGCTGGTATCTCCCAACATACAGATAGACCCTCTTCATCCATTTCGTGTCATCGGGCGCAGTCGTTTGCGGCGAATAGTCAGGGAACATGAGCTTGCCGACTGGGGTCTCGAATGTGGCGATTGAAGGGTCATGGCTATCGCTGGTTGGGGTTGTAGATCCTGTTTCGAATTCTTGAGATGGGACGTTGATTGTACCTTGGAGTTCGAGGATTGCGAGGCCAGAGGGAGTCTGCAGAAGCTGGGGGAGGGGATTGACCAGAGAGGTGGAAGAGGAGATGTGTGGATGGAGCGGAATTGTTGGCATTGTTGGGTCGGTGTTGACGTTGAGGCTGTGCTTGAAAGAAATCGTACGGATGGAATTGGTCCGCTAGAAGAGGGTATCGGTTTAGATTTTAGAATAGCACAGCTTGGACGAGGAGTATGACGGATTGATGGTGGAGAGACGCGGATTTGACGCGTTTCGGTGCTTCTCCACTTACCGATCTTATCTTTCCCGTTTGGGACAACATCTCTATATAGATTCTCAAAAAGGTAAAAGGATACCGATCTATTCAGTTAAGAAAAAAAGTATGATTACTGAAAAGATCTTTGTGTCCATTATTGGATGATTTTTGTCCTTTATATCCCAGTTGAAAGAAACTAACCAGACTGATCACTGAAAGTCGTCGATCAATGAGCGCATCCGGCATCTTGAAACAAAGTTGCGTTTAGATACATCCTCTAGTAGATATGTCGCGCATTTAACTAGAACCAGGGGTTTGTTCATGTCGATGAATATATAGGCCTCGGTTACGAAGGCCTGAAAGAAGGGAATGGAACAGTGGATGAATATGGAAACCTTCCCTGGGAGACAATCGAAGGATGAGAACTGCTCACCCACATTTTAATGAAATTACTTGGGAAGCCAAGCGTCATTCTAGGTATGAAAAGTTCCAAGTCCATTGATCAACGATCAATGAGCTGAACATCAGAGAGACGAGCAGGCCATCCCATGTCTTTACTCATAAGAGTTCGTTTAGCCATCTATGCGTGTGGTGGAAGCATCTTCTCGTTAGTACATAACGACTGACTTCCCAACAAAGCTGGGTTTTTTGATTGACTAACTCGGCCATTCTAGGGTATACAATGTTGACCAACTGCCAATCAGAGACATCCACTCTCTGCGAACCAGAGTGACCATAGTGCGCCGGGGTCTCCAGTGTAGGTGACTGGTTACTTCCCTTGTTAAGCAGTTTTCTGAAGCAGTCCAACATCTCATGACCCTGTTGACTAGATAATACTAGGGCCAAGAGTAAAGAAGTGAGAACTGTGGTGTGAAAAGACCTTGGGATGAGCGATGACTTTTTGTTGCCACCTCGAGACCATAGCATTCACATGGGTCTTGCCCGAAAGTCCGTCCATCTGTCCAATTGTTTCTAAGGCCAGCCAAGACCGTACTACTCCAAGTGGGGGCACCAGGGACAGTACTTTGGTCTACTACGCCAGGAGAAAGGGCCGAATGTGGACCGGTAGAGCCGGAAAAGCCATGTATAAATGTGGCGAGGAAACTCAAGGCCAAAGCCGAGACATGATGGATGAATAGCGTTACTCAAAAAGATACAGGCAGAGGATTCTAGCGCCCACTATCATACTTATTAGGACAGTCAGATCCTGCAAGCTTGCGAGCCGAGCATCGAAATGAATAGGCTATCGCCGTGACTTATTTTTGGCGAGTTGCAGAATTGGAGCTCTCCAGAAAGCTTTCATGATGATGACTTATGATAACAGGCGTCCTCAAGATGTTTTAGGCCTTCTATAGTCTCGTGTACCATGTCTTCGCCTGTAGTCCCAGTAGGACCTTGCATTTTACCGTAGCGCAGATCACTCAATTCACCGACTGTGGAATTGAGTCCAGACAGAAGAGCGGTTGCGTCTTTATCAACGCCGGAAATCTCATGTTCAATATTAGCACAAGCCGCCTCCATTGCGGAAAGGAGACTCTGGACTGAATGATAATCCCGGGGTGAAGCGGTAGATGTCTGGCCAAATAGCTCGACATCCATATCCATTTCACGTTGGTCATCGGCGCTCATCCCATCCACGCCGGTTTTCAAGATAGATTTGCGCAGTTCTGCTTTTTGGTTCTCCCCGTGGTGGAGTTCTTGGTCAATGTTTCCATTGACTAGATCCATGTCTTGCTCTCGCATATGCTGCAGCTCACGATAGAGAACTCTGATATGTGGATGAGAGCGCAAGCGTTTTGGAAAGAGCTCCGTGAACTGTTGCAAAGATATCACCGTGGGCAAAGATGCCGGGGATAGAAGGAAATTGCTTAGAATGGACGCTTCCGATGGCGCCATGATCGCGAATCCCTAACGATTGAGAATGGCCTTCTTCTCTTTTTCTGACTTTTAGGAACTCTTAGAATTTCTAGTTTATTCTTGCTTGTGTGATATACTATTCAAGGGCTTGAACCAAACGGGGCCAGTCCTTGCGTGATGACGGGAGAGAAGAGAAACGATCAGATCTAATACCGATAGTGAAGAGGGGGTAGAAAGAAAAGGGGAGAAGTCTTTAAGAATTTATGAAGGCCGAGGAGGAATGAATGTTGGGGGAATTGAAAGGAAGAAGTTGGTCGTAATTTCGAGATTAGCCCTTTTTCAGCACGCGTTAAGTTCCACTTCCGCTTTCCTTTTCTTACCCTTTCGGGACTTTTCCTTGAACGCGCGCAACACAAGTCATACTCCAGATTTCCCTCCACTTCCACGTCGCCCATTTGTTGAATCCATTCTCCTTTCCTACTCGGTGGTGTTACTCTGGATCGTAGGCTTCTTCCTCTTGATATACACCCCACCTTAAACCCTCCTTTCCTCGCCCTTGGCTTTTAAAATATCAGTGTCTGAAAAGAAGCCAGGGTTCTACTCCGCAGAGTTGCAATTTGTATAACAGACAAGTGGTCAGGTCATTGGTTGCGCAATTAGGGCCAATCTCAGTCTCTCCCTTAGACTGGCCGCTGCAGCTTGAATCCCGATTGTGCATGAAATTTTCTCTCACCGTCGTGGATCGCTCGGCACGTGGTCTCTAGAGGAATATCAGCCTACTCGTTACCATCAAGAGCCTCAGCGTGAACCACTTCAGTGTTGCTTCTTCCTTAATCCTAGTGGCTGGTCTTAAAACTTCTTCACCCTTCTTTAACCCTCCCCCACCTTTCCAACCAACCACAAAACACTTCGTTTGAGTCGCACCCTCGTCTTGGTTTCTTCCAAAATGGCTCCTGCAGGCCAAACTACCTATTCGAAAGATGAACGAGTGCTCTGCTTCCATCATGAGATTCTGTACGAGGCAAAGATTCTTGATGTCAGACATGTCGACCCCGACGACCGCAAAAGCCCGTATGAGTACCTAGTACACTACAAGGGTTGGAAAAACACGTACGTATATCTCTAGTGTTCTGCCTTTCCACGTGTTTTCTCTCTGCTCTTCATGCCTAAATTGGCTATTTTTGGCCTTTGGCTCTTCTACTAGTTACAAGGCTTCTTCAGACACCCTATGAGTGTTGACGAAAGCCTTCCATCTGCGTTGGCGGGGGTACATGGACGTGGCTGACCTGGCTTTTTGCCACATTTAGCTGGGATGACTGGGTCCCCCAAGATCGTCTACGTAAATTTACCGAGGAGAACAGAGAGCTGGCAACTACCCTTCGCCGTGAGGCCGAGGCCGCGTTCCGTCAGAAGAGTACCAAGTCATCCGCAAAGAAAAGGGGAGGTTCCGATCGTAGCTCCGCCCGGGGAAGCGAAGAACGCCAGATGTCCGTGCCTGGCCGCGGAACCAAGAGAGCTAGGGACAACGACATCGAAAAGGTGAGCTCGCTACTTTTGCTACTCGATTTGCTGTATCTGGGAATGGCCTTCTCCCGGGCATAGTACTGTGTGCATCGGGTATCGTAACTCCCCAGGGCAGCCAGACTAACAGAATATGCTCTCAGGAGGATAACTTCTACGTGCGGCCCTCAGTAAGGATTGTTATGCCCGATAACCTGAAGTCGCTTCTGGTCGATGACTGGGAGAATGTGACGAAAAACCAGCAGGTCGTGGCTTTACCGGCTAAGCGCTCGGTTAACCAGATCCTGGAAGACTATGCTGAAGCAGAGAAGCCTAAGCGCACAAGCTCAGCTGATCACGATGTTCTTGAAGAAGTTATTATGGGAATTAAAGAATACTTCGACAAAGCTCTTGATAAAATCCTACTTTATAGGTTTGAACGCGAACAATACCGGAACCTCCGCAAGAAGTGGGAGTCCGGATCAGGGGAATTTGGCGACAAAGGACCCTTAGATATCTATGGCGCCGAGCATTTAACTCGTCTCTTCGGTAAGATACCTTTTCTTCGGGATGATGCTTTGAAGATGGCCGCTAATTGTTCCTAGCCACTATGCCTGAGCTGATTGCGCAGACCAATATGGACCTTCAATCTACTAATAGACTTCGCGAGGAACTTTCCAAGTTCACTCTCTGGTTGAGCAAACAATCCAGCCAGTACTTTGCCACCAGATACATGACTGCCAGCAATGAGTACGTTGAGAAGTCTAAGGGCGTGCCAAACCCGAATCCTGGCACTGCTACTTCACGCCTGGTCTAAAGTAGATTAAAGCAAGGGCTTCAGTACACGTTGACTGCTCTTGAGACACGGTGTTATTGCATGATGGGCCAACTTGTTACCCCTTTTCTTAATTCTATCTTTCTTTCTTTGTTTTTCACAGCACTGTGGTGGTTTCCGGAGCATGGAAGGATAAGCTTTTCACGCGAGTTATGGCTTATAACGGTTCACTTTGTAACATTAGAGGAAATTGGCGAATGCTATGGAACGGTTCTTTCTTTTGGTTATTTTCGTCGTCGGTCGTCATCAATCTCGATTATTATGGTCTAAAATGAAGACGATTATCATGGGCATTCTGCTTCTGCGTCCAATGCCATTGAATCACAATCATCACAGACACAATTTTAACAACAACAGATAATGACATATCCACAACCAAAAATACTTCTAATCGATCCACACAAGCACAAGCACCCTCCCATTGCCTCTACGTAATCAAACAACTCCTCAACTAAATAAGCTACACAACCAACTGCCTCGCATCCTCAACGACACACCTCGCTGCCTGCTTAAGCTCCGTCTTCGCATCCGTCTCCCGCCACCTAGTCCAAGCGCTCAAACCCTCCGGCGGCTCAATACTCAGCGTATCATACCCCTGCTTGATAATCCGATGAACCTCCCTCGGACTGAGGTTCTTCTTCCGGTGCGCCGGAATAGGCGCCACGCCCTGGCCGTCAGCGTCGGGTTTGGCATCGTTCTGCTCCGGGTTGAACAGCAGGGTGTAGAAATGAGTCGAGACGGCGATGAGAGTGTCGACAGCGGCGACATGGACGTCCTTGGACGGATTGGAGTCTGTGGATTTCGAGCCGGACGGTTTCAGGGCGTAGACGTCGCGGTATTTGGTGATTATGGGGCCTGTTTCGACAAGTTTGTAGAAGAGGTCGTCGTAGGAGGACGGGTCGGGGAGGAAGGTGTCGCCTGCGGAGACGCAGAATGCGACTAGGTCTACGAGGGTTGTGGTTAGGGTTGTGATGTTAGGGTTGCTAGAGAGGTCGGAGACGTAGGTGGTTAGGAAGCGCATTAGGGAGAGAAGGTTGCGCCAGAGTTCCGACCAGTGGTATGTTAGGCGGATTTTGTTCATAGATAGGTAGGTGAGGAGGCGGAGGAGGACTGAGATTGAGTGGCTAGTGACGAGGTTAGCATGGGATGTTAGGGGTGGATGGTGGTTTGATGTATACCTGTAGATGTCGACGTCGAGACGTCGTCGCAGGTTGTGGGAGATTGTGTCGATTATAACGTCGAATATGACTGTTGCCAGGACGCGATCCCCTGAGGCTACGGGTAGATATGGCTGTCTTTGTCGGCAGAGTCGGACCTTTCGCCTGTTCTCTTCGCTGCAGAGGTGCTTGCAGAGGGTGGAGTCCTCGGCGAGGATGCGGAGGGTGAAGAGGTTGAGTTTGGCATAGTGCGCTATCCTTGGGGACCGGTAGGCATGGTGCAGAAGATAGGACGTCAATGAGAGGAAGCTTGCAAAAGGGGATTCTTCGTTGTCTTTCTCTGGGGCCTGGCTGATCAAATGGTAGCCAAAAAGTTTGTTGGCATTTGTGAAGTCGTAAGTAGCCAGCAGGATAGCTGCTTGCTGAGCCGGCCTGCGTTCGTTAGCGGCTGGTCAATCCTGTAGGGGCACCATGACTTACAGCGTCGCAAACATCTCCTTGGCCTCTTCCGCACTAGGTGGGCTAGCCTTATCTTTTTTACTAGGGGAGAGAACTCCAAGGCCAAAGTAAATTAGGGTGCTGAACAACGTCCAGCCCTCGGGAGCGTCATCCTGCACAGCAACATAGCCGTTTCTCAGGCCAGCGCATGAGATACCGACTCCCTTGACGATCTTTTGGATGCTTGTCACATTGACAAAGTCGTCTAGTCGCAGTTGGTAGGGGTTTTGGAATTCAAATTTGTTGTAGTTTGCCAGCATTCCTAAGAGAAGGAATGGGTCAAATACTTGGATCGGAGTTTCAGAATCTTGAACGAACTATACGGCGAGTTAGGACTTAGTTTGAGAATATTAAACGGACAAGGGTGGACTTTGAACGCAGACCTTCATGAGTGACGGGAATAAATCGCGATGCGTAAAATACGAAACCAGACTAGTTTTGTATGCGCCACTGGTCATGGCGATGGCTGTTTTGGTAGCCTTGATTCGCAATTCAACTGAGAAGAACGTCAACAAGGGTCCGTTTCCTTAGCACGTAAGGAGGTCCCTAATGGGTACTTACAACTGCTTCCACTGCGAATGATGCTATCCAATACAGTGACGAAATACGAGATGACTTGATCCACATGGTCGAGACCAGCAAGAACTGTAATGACATCCGAGCTAGGATTGGTGTACTTCTTCTTCAAGACGCAAACTAGAAAGACCATCAAGGTCTAGGTCATTACTTAGAGGTTGAAGTAGAGTTGCAATGGGGTCTATATAATGCCCACCTCTAGTGCATAGGAGTCCACCGGACTGACTCCGGAATCAGCTTCGCGGATAGCACGAGTGAAGAGCTGCTGGGTTTGGACCTGATCCAAAGTTAGCACACCGAACGGAACATTTAGTAGGGATGGCGGAAATATTACCTGCAAGTTGAGCGTCTCATCAGGGCTGAGTTGGTCTAGGACACTACTGAGCTGGCCTCGATCCGGCGGCAGCAGAAAGAATTCTCTCCAAAATCCCTCAGAGTGCTCAGTATAATCCGAAGTCTACAAGTGTTATATTAGTATTAGACGGACCAAATATCAAAGTGGCTGGACGTACGTGAAATAAGTTCTCGTATAGATGCACGACTTTGGGCTTGAAGGTTTCGGGTCTAGTTTGCTGAGTTAAGGGGGACTCCATGATGTTAGATGGATTCAGTAGAACATAGGACCATCGCTAGCTTGGCAGAGGGGGAGAGGCGTCGAGGGAGAGAGAATTGTGCAATAATGAAACGGGGAATGAGTTCTATTCTTTCTCTATTCCTTTACAATCATCCACGTTGTCATATCGAACACAAGAACGGCCACATCCTTTTCTGCCTATTTGGGCCAAACCCACATGAGCCACGCACGCTGTTTGGTTACTTACGCCACAATTTCAATCATACCCTCCACAGCCGACGGTTTGAGGTTCTCTTTTAATCTAAATTAAAGCCATTCTCTTGTCTCAGGTTTTCTTGATTGTGGTTACATCTTAGTCCCACTGATTGTCTAGTACTTCTTCTCTTTTATTGTCATATTAAGTACAGTTAATTAACAAGAACCAATTAAGGATGACTAATCAAGGGGATGGAACTTAATCGAAAATACTACTTCGTGCATATCGTTGTAGATACTACTTTGTGGGCGAGATGTCCATATCTAAAATTCTGTTTGCTGCAGTAGCATCATCCAGGCACTCATTACGGGTGCTGATGGATCTAAGGGTACTTCGTACTCTTTAAATATAAATTCTACCAGTACAATACTAATTGAGGATCGAATGTGGAAGAAATCCATTAGTCAGTTCCGTGTGCCTGAGGTATCAACCGGGAAGAGTAATCTGACAATTACCAATTCGTGTCCAAACAATCAGAATCAATCTGACAAGAAGACTAATCCAATACAACCACAAGATTAATGAAGAACAGAGCCGCATTCCTGCAAAGGGACCGAACCAGTAGCCGAATAATGTCATCTACCCCATATTTAACACTTCTAGTACTCTCTTTAGGTACCCGATCAGATGATGAGAATGGCGCCACTCAACTTGTGTAGAAACACCTCGACGATGATTGGCTGACCGGGTACTCGCCGTGACCCTCTTAACCGACCGTTGACTTTCTTCCTTAAAACAGAACTCAACCTCCGAGTCACATCAATCATCCCCTGTGCGCTGAACAATCCCACTAGATCACTTCAAATCCCATGAGAACTTAGCGCTTTGTTACTTCTCTTTCTGCATAGAGCCTTTGGACTTCCTATATCCATATTTGCATCCATCATGTCGTTCTGCAGGGTCACTGTTCGCTCTCCAGTGACATCATCCGCCACGATGTTGCGCTGTGTGAGAACTCCCTACAAGACTCCAGCGCTTCGTCTGTTCTCTTCGTATGGAAACGCTCACCGGTCCTCTAAGCGTGATATGCAGACAGCTACTGCGTATCGCCCTCATTCCTTGCCGACGGCTTTCCCGCCTCCGCGGAGCGGCGGAGGCTACGACACCTCTATCTCAGCAGAATTCCCCCCTCTTCGAGAGAAAACCGAAAACCAGCAAGAAATCTTTTCAAACATTAGTCTCAGAGAGAGTGAGGCCCAGACGCCAAAGCCTGTCGAATCGACTTCTCCTGCCTCGAAGCCGGCTGAAAAGCCTAGAAGAAAGCTCCGGGCACGGAAAGCCGCCATGAAGTTGACGCCCGAGGCGATCGTGCAACTCCGCAAGCTCCTGTCTCAGCCTGAGCCGAAAATGATTCGAGTTGGTGTAAAGAACCGTGGCTGCTCTGGTCTCGCCTACCATCTTGAATATGTGGAGAAGCCCGGTACCTTCGATGAAGTTGTGGAACAAGACGGCGTCAAGGTCTTGATTGACAGCAAAGCCTTGTTCAGCATCATCGGTAGCGAAATGGACTGGTTAGAAGATAAATTGAGCAGACGGTTCATTTTCCGGAACCCAAATATCAGTATGTTCCGCTAGCCCTCTTTTTTGTCTATCTGAGGAATTATGATTACTAACATGTTTTCCAACAGAGGAACAATGCGGTTGCGGTGAATCCTTCATGGTTTAGACCTACATCCCGGTTTTTCTTTTTACGGCCATTTTGAAGTCATTCCTCGGAGCATCGGTTGGCGTTCTTACGGATTGTTTTCCCTGGGAGTTTCCAAGTCTTTCCTTTTCCTTTGTTGAATACACCAGTGATTCCCGGGCTACGGAAAGCCCACATCGTGTAATACATACATCTATTTTCTTTTTGCAACCTGTATGTCAAGAGCTTTACCTTGGCTATTAGACCTATGCAACGATATGCTTTATGGAATAGTGGATAGCGTGCGTCTCCCCCCGTTCTATATCAATAACGATAGCAAATCAATGAAATAAAGAAAAACAATTAGAAATAACCTGCAGAGTATATTATATTTCCATCCTATCTTTTGGAGATTGTTGATGTGGCATGGGTCATTGTCAACGGAAGTTTTCCGCCTCTGCGAGAGAGTTTCCCGCCATGACGTTTGGGGCATACAATGCTGGTGAGAGCCATATGCATGTACCTGCATTAACCCAGTCACATAAGACCTCATACAAGAATGATGGGTAGGCATAGCGAACATAACAGACATGCAGACATATGACCCTCGAAATGGGTTTCGATTCGTCACTTTTTCCCTACCACAACCGCGGTATTCCGTGGGCCCTTATCGGGAAACCATATTAGTACTAATTAGTTCTCTGAGCGTAGTCTTCCAGTTCTCCGCAATCAGCACCAACAAACACCGCCAGTCAGTATATGATACAATCCAGCACCGCATAACCCTTAATATTACATTTTTCTCAACATCCAATAATTCCACGCGAAATGACAACCCCATTTTTATCCCCAACCCACATCACGGGAGAGAGTCCAACGCCAGACCCTCTCCTCCTCACCATCCGATTTTCAGCCTCAATCCCCGACCTCCCGCTGGACCTCCCGTACCCCGAAACAACCACAGCAGCAGGCCTAAAACAACTAATCCGCACCCGCCTCCCACCAAATCTCTCTTCCCACCGTCTCCGCCTAATCTATGCCGGCCGAGGCCTCGAAGACGCCATCCCCCTCTCCATCTCCCTAAAACTACCCCCGTCACCGACCCACTCACCACGACCGACCCCCGATGAAGACACAGGCCTCTCCAAAGCAAAAGGCAAAGGCAAAGCGCCTGTCCGCGACCAACCCCGTCTCTACATCCATTGCTCGATTGGCGATATCGTCCTCGCGGCCGCAGATCTAGTCACAGAAGCCTCATTGGCATCTACACTCCAGCAGGAGAACCAGTTCCCGAAAGATGGTGGTCGGTCGAGTCCGCAGCAGCAGCAGCATCAGGCGTCATCGACGACGCCTGCCCCCCGTGGATTTGACAGGTTGTTAGCGGCGGGGTTTACCGCCGCCGAGGTGACGGCGCTGCGTTCACAGTTTTTGGCTATTCAGTCTGTGTCGCGGACGCCGGATACGATGCCGAGTGGGGCGGAGATGCGCGAGCTTGAGGATCGGTGGATGGATGAGGGGTCGTCGGCGATGGCGGCTGGGGTTGGTGGGGTTGGGGATGCGGCGGGATTTACGGATGATGATGGGGGGTTTGGGGCGGGGTCGCGGGGGGCTATGGATGATATGCTTTGGGGGGCTGTTATGGGATTTTTTTGGCCGGTAGGATGTGCGATGTGGTTGAGGAGGGAGGAGGGGGTTTGGAGTTGGCGGAAGGGGTTGGCGGTGTTTGTGGGGGTGGTTGTTAATCTGGCATTTGGGACGATGCGAATCATGAATTGAGACTGGAGCGTAGTTTGTTGTGTTTTCTTGGATTCCGTCCCCTCTACATCTTGTCTTGTGTGCTGATGATACCCTATGCTCTTGATTTTGGTTCTCAATAGGTTGTGCAATTAAATTGTTGGTCTTGTACCAAAACTACAAAGGTCGGCTTGATTAGGCCATGGAGATGCTATCATACAACGTTCCTTAGTAATGTCCGCTACAGCAGACATGATATGTCGTAAGATGAAAAGGAAAAACGAAGAACTCCCGAACAACGCCTGCTTGCCCTAACGCTCAATGGAACTTGCTGTAGATAACGGCAACAATCAGGAGGACCAAGGTGGTTATAATCGCAATAGTAATTATCCTATTCGTAGCCATCCTGCGCAAGACGGGTAAACGTTAGTAATCCCGATCACGGAGCAAAGGGTAAGAGTTGGAGGAGTCAGTACCTACGGGCCATGCCCCTCAATGTTTTAATGCTGGTATCAACATATCCTTCGCTTTGCTGCAGGTTGCCCCGGGTATGCATAATGGTTTCCCGCTGCCGGTTTAGATCCGCTAACGTGTTGCGGCCAATATCCTCCGTCTCCAGAGCAACCCGTTGGCTCTCCTGGAGTCTAGCAGAGCTACGCTCCAGGCGGTCCGTGCCGGACAGAAGCTGCTGTCTCTGCTCCAGATGCTCATCCTGCGGGTCGTCTGTGTAGCGATCACCGAAGAGCGCTTTCCGGTCGTCCGAAAGTGATTTGAGCTTGCGTTTCGCTTCATCAAGATCGGTGGCATAGTTGCGGAACCGCGCGTTGACCTTTGACCGTGCTGCGGAGGGAATGTTTTGTTTCTCCATGCGCATTTGATCCAGCTGTAACGATCTGTCAGCAACAGCTAGAGAATGATAAGCAACCAACGAACCAATTCAGTAGCTTCTTCTAGTGCGCGTTCCGCTTTCCTGATGATCGATTTCCGGTGTTCTCCACTCGACTCTGCGATCTGATCCAATGTCTGGTTCAAATCGGCATGGATCAGCTTCAGCTCGGCCTCGTAGCTACTGAACAGCTCCGAGCCAGCATCGGTATCTAACGGATTAGACATAATGACGAGGTAATATCTTTAAGTGGGGAGAGAAGAGAATGTGTGCGTTGCGGAGTGGTCTAATTTGGGGGTCAAAAACGCTCAGAAAGCGTCACGAATAGGCAGGTGGATTTCCAGAACCACCTTATCTTTCCGGTGGCTGGTGGCGCTGCAATTCGTCCGACGAACTGAGTAGAAGGACGAACACTACACAATGTAGGAAGCGGTCAGCAAGGTAGAAAATGAAGGATACAAAACAAAGACCGAATAGTATGAATTCTGGCGTTGAAGGAGAGGAGGGGTGATAAGGTAAAACAAGATGACGATGGAAGATACTACTAGTAACTCATGAGGCGGTGGGAGGAGATGACAATCAATGGTGACAGGAACGACCCGCACGTGATCCACGGCCGAGGTTGAGGGTTTCCGTCTTCAGTCATTAGAAATTAAGTATCCATTAGTTCATTCTTAGGTTTCTATGGAATACCTATTGATTGGCGGGTCTTCATACCACAATATCCAGTATATTGCTATGCAAAAAGAGATGTCATCTGTCTCCCTTCGTTCGATCAACGGAATCTGATATCGCGCAGATATGAGCCAGCCACCCGACTATAATGCCCCTGATACTGGAGCTGTGGAGTATTCCATTTAGCCCCGTAAAAATAAACCCCCCATTGCACCTTGGCCAATGACATTCCTTGTTCTTAAAAGTATCATACTGCAATATTTATCCCCTCAAAGCCGATTACCCCCCATGATTAACCCGCCCGCTGTCATCTGATACGGTCACGCCTTTGCATGAAAGCGGATTTGCAAGGGCGTCTTTGAGGTCTTAGCCTGGCCATCTTGGCCTCTCTCGTTCCCTCCTGACCTAACCCTTCTCCATAATCAGGAAATTTTTGGTCCTCGCCACCCCCGGAAAGTATGAACCGAGGTTTGCATAGGGGCGAGTAGTATAGATCTACAGTTCCGTCTATTCCCTCTCCTGACCACTGTTGCGCCTTAAATAGCAGACGTCTTGTACCTTTCACCCGCTCGTATTTGGCTCTCCCAGTTCAATGGGAAGCTTGCTATCTAGAAATCTTCTGTCTCATGCCACTTCCTCACTCCGAGCGAGTCGCTATCGTTGGCGGCGGCTGTACTGGAATCGCTTGCTTCTGGGCCCTGCAGCATTCCGCGCATGATGTTCATCTATTTGAAGCTTCGGCAAACTTGGGTGGCCGTATCAAGACCCTATCATTTGAACACAATGGAAAAGAAGTTAATGTGAACACGCAATCGCCATCCTTCAATACCGAGGCTTCTCGTCAGTTTCGTTGTACCACAGCGGCATTCTAGGGCTAACATCTCTGTCCAGCCAACCTCGTGAATTTGCTTCGCTGCCTTGGAATTAGCACATCCACTCTACCATTCTGCTTCGCTGCCTCAAATGGTGTAGATACTTATGACTGGTGTAGTGGCATTTTGAGATCTATCCTCCTGCACCCGTGGATGCTATACAGCTTAAGAGCCTACCGTTTAGTGCTCGACATTATATGGTTCAACTATCTAGCTATGGACCTCCTGGGGGGCAACTATCGGTCTCGTGAGAGTGCTGATGTCGAGCCATCGCCTACCGCGCATGAATATCTCTCAAAGGAAGGGTACTCGAAGAGTCTTTGCGACAATTATCTAGCACCCCTACTTTCAACCCTATGGGGTACGAATGTTGGAAGGCTACTACCGCAATTTCCTGTGAAGACTCTCATCCGTTGCTTATGTGACCATAAGCTCTTTGGCACACGGCGAACCACGCCAAACTTTCGGCGTATTGATGCCGGAACAAGCCATTTTATTCAGACCATGGCCAGGGATTTCCCCTCTGGGAATGTGCACCTCAATACCAGCGTCACGGAGGTAGTTCGCTTAGGTAAAAAAATATATAATCTTTCTACAGCTGATGGTAGAGAACTGCACTTCGACCATATCATCTTCACTGTGGACAACCATGAGATCCTCAAGATACTGGGTTCTAGCATGGACGCCGAAGAAGAGGACATCATCCAGGGACTCAGAACAACCAACAATATTGCCGTCTTACATTCAGACCCTCTTGTGAGTAGTTGCCCACATCACAATAAGAGCACACTATGAACCAACCACTTATGCACTTAAACCAGCTCATACCCAACACCGACCGGCCCAGGCCCGCCAGCAACTATATCACGGCTTCCACCAACAACAGTCAAAATAAGTCCGAGTCCCGGAAATCCAGCCTCACGTACAACGTAAATTTCCTCCAAGACGTCCCAACCTGTCTCTTCGACCGGCTCTTTATCACCCTGAACCCATTTACCCCACCGCATCCTCGTTTCGTACACAGCGTATGGGAATTCACCGACCCCAAACTTAGCACAGCAACCCTCCTAGCTCAAAGCCGCCTCCCTTTGATCCAGAACAAGAGAGGGTTAAGCTACGGCTTCCGTTGGAGCGGACGTGGGTTTCTCGAAGACACCGTTACGTCCGGTCTTGAGATCGCGATTGAGCATTTAGGCGCTCGGGTCCCGTTTGAGGTCCAGTACCATTCTGATCCTCTGGACTTATCGGGATCACACCCCCTAGAACTAGGACTGAAGGAGCACCTTGTCCGGACAGTGCTTTGTCTAATCAGGGTCTATGTTCTAAGTTTTGAGATCTCGTGGATCCTGTTGGGGGCGCTTGGGTTCCCAGTGTCCAGAATTGGGGCTAAGTTCGAGTGGGTGCTGGGCGGGAATAAACCCTGAGTCGCAGGTTTGGTGGTAGCAGGTTTGGTGGTAGACAGCTCTATAGAACTGGATTCTATAGTAGGAAATCAAATCAGTGAAAACGTAAGACTAGTTTGACATTAACGTAAAACGACTATGATGGATCATTCGCCTGGCCAGTACAAGATACATCAGACATGGTATACATATTGTTCATTTTCTTTTATTCTTTGGAACCCTTTCTCAGTCCAGTAAGCATTAGGTCAAGAGAGATCTGCCGCATTTCCACAAAACGCCATTTAAAGGAATTTCTCGCTATCCTGGCTGACAATCGTCGCGCTTCTCTTCGCGTCAAGGAAGAGGTCTTCGCATTCTGCCACGTCGGCCTCCTCGATGCCTCCGGGACGTCCGTTGACCCGTGCAAGGATGCTTGCTGGGGTCAGTAATTGCAGAGCGTACCGCAAGCTGACGTTACTGCCGTGCTCGGAGATCTTGTCAAGGGCGGGGTCGGTGATATTGAGGCCTTCTGTCTTGGCACGAAGTCGAATGATAGTCTTGATCTCTTCGGGGGAGTAAGGGTGAGTGGGGATGATGAGGAGGCGAGCGAGAAGATCAGAAGGAATTCCGTGTGCGGCAGTGATACCGTCGGAGCCGCGGATTTCAGTGTGCCCGCGGTTGGAGGCAAGGATGACAATGGGGGAAATTGTGGATTCGAGTGCCCGGTTCAGGTAGGTGAAACATTCAATATCCAACATGTGGACCTGAGAGGTGTATTAGAAACCTTAGGGGGAAACGTAGTCACGATAAACCACATACCTCATCAATAAAGAGAACACCAGGAACCAGCTCAGCAACTCCTTGGTCGATGTAGCGGCTGACTACCTTGTCGATCTCCTGACGCAGCTTATCCGTAATCTCGGTTTTCTTAGGCTTCATAAGTTGTCCCATCATGCTCATCACGTCCTGTCCGCCTTGTGGGCGAGCGTTGGCCATGTCCAGGTCGTGTAGCGTCACATCCTGTACGATTTCCTTCTTCTTGTGAACCTCCCCTTTAGGAACAGGAACGTATTCTTCCGCTTCAAGATCGAACTCGGTTGCATAGGCATCAGATCGTCCAACTCTCTTGCAAGCACCGGTGTTCGCTTCGATGTAGATAACATCCCCAACAGTGACTCGTTCCTTCTGGATAGCTTCATAAATGCTGGGATCAAGGCGCAGCTTCTTGGTGCCCTTTGCAGACTTCAATCCGATAATCAAATGACTGATAGTGCGTCCATAGCCTCCCAAAGGGTTCTCAGTTTCCTCGGGCGTAAGCTCGGTGACTTCACCTTCGTACACTTCCTTCGTTTCACGCACACGGAGACCTAAAAGCATGTTAACCATTAAAACTAGCCTTCTTGGGAACTGCACAATTCGCACCAATTGCTCTCCGGAAGTTCTCCATAAGGGCCTCGGTTTTCTTAACCTCCGCAGAGTAGACTTCACTGCCAACGATCGGGCAAAATGGGACCTTGGTACCCAGTTCCTGTGATACGGCAAGGGCAAGGGCTGTCTTTCCAGTTCCAGGTCCACCGGCAAGTAGAACAGCACGTCCCGCCATCTTCTTTGCTTTAATCAGATCGACAATGACACCGCAGGCCTATCGAGGAATCTAGTCAGTTATCATGATGGTCAAGTAACGCGACCGGAGGGGAAGCGTATCGCGCACCTCACGGGCGGTTGCCTGCCCAACAAAACCGTCACTGGTAGGCTCTGGAGTGCCATCAGGACGTAATCCAAGACCCTTGATATGCGTGTGCGCAGCGGTCCTGTTCTCGCGCGAATTGCCCTTTACTTCGCTAATCTGGACCATGATGAAAGGGTTGCGATCTCTCTCAGAGACCACAATAGATGAAGCTTATTATGTTCGGGTGGAAAGAGATCGAAGACGTAAAGGAAAATATCGAAAAGAAACGGAATTGATGAGCGAACAAAACTGGAGAAAGGACGATAGCGATGGATGCTTCTGGCCGAAATTCAAGTGCAGCTTAAGGGACCGCTCAATGATATCCGTCCGTTGCCAGGGCGGTGAGGCCGCCTCCCAAATTCTTTCACCTCACTGTGGTCAACGAACTACTCCGGCCTTTCATATTGATCGGATAAACCCGTCGCGTCCGTTGGCACCGTTCACTTCCTCTCGACTGTCTTTCCTCTGTCATGGTCGATACGATATCGACTTTTTGATCAACACGATGGCAGGTTTACAGTCTCGGTCGGCTTTGTCCCTCCCATTCTCCCTCTCTACGGCTTTTCACAACCTTTCGTTAACCGCCTCCAAACGGTCCTTTTCCACAACGCTAGCCTCGCAAAAGATCAAACCGCTGCCTGACTACATTCCTCCTTACCCTTACGGCCCTAATCAGGTCTACAGGCAATCGAATACAGGTCTCTATGGAGGCGTTACGATCCAATTCGGAAACAAGATCTCCCAAGGTCGGAATGAAGGGAAAACCCGACGCATGTGGAAGCCAAACGTCCGCCGAAAGAAGATCTTCAGCGAAGCTCTCAATGAATGGCTGTATATCAAGGTGACGCGTAAGGCGTTGCGGACAATCCGGAAGTCTGGTGGACTCGATAACTACCTTCTCGATGACCGACCGGGGCGGGTTAAGGAACTTGGAGTGTTCGGATGGAAGTTGAGATGGCAGGTCATGCAGACCCCGAAGATCCAGGAGCAATTCCGAAAAGAGCGGAAGCGCTTGGGTCTCCCGGAACCCCCGACATTTGAGGAGTGGGTAGCGCAGAAAGAAGCCGAAATCAAGGCGCAGGCGGAGGATCAGACCAACATCAAGGATGTCACGAAGCCAAGATACAATACAAAGCTATACTAGAAGGGGCGGAATCAAAGTTTCTGGAGAAGCAGTTTGAACAGTTGATTTGTTTCTGATTTGTGGTGATCAACGGATGGGGCGTCTGTATTATAATTTTGGTTAGGGTCACCTCTGTCCCGTATACCAGCATACAACTACCACTCGGTTGTTGCGTTTATTTTCTTGAATTTGCATGATTAGCTCTTCAGTGTACTTTATACGTTGTCAATGCTATTTTGGGTTAAATATCTAGTTCATTATGGAATACCATGGATGTGGTATAGGAGAGAATGACTTATCACACCACGCATATAATGTCTCAAACTTTCTCTACGAGATCTACCCCAGTATCCTAAAATAATGCCCAATACGACCTACAATGAATCAACCAAAAAACTAACTCGGGAACTCTTGGATAATTATGCCGGGCCGTCGATGATCCGCAGTTAATTTCCGAATGCGGCAGATACTAGATAAGACCGTTCCAGAAGTATTGCGACGCTGCAAACTACATCTCCACCCATCTCAGGGTTTACTTTCTATTAGAATGAACTGATCGGCAGCCTACCTCTTCCTGTCTTCTTGGTCACCCAGCAAACAGCCGCTGGGGGCAAATCATTTCGTCATGCAGTTCGCTCTACCCCCTCGGAAGAACCTCAATGCTCCTCTGTACGGTCACTCTTCCCGGCTTTCGTTGCAGCGCAGGAAACAACTTAAAGCCGTTGCGATACTAGGATTCGCGCTGCTTGTGATTTACTTCCTCTTGTCGCAGCTCTTCCACTCGAGTACAGGGACCCCTGCTGCACCGGCCGGGACTTCAAGTCTCGTCATCGTATCAGTTCTAGACCGTGTCCGTTGGAGCAGCGATTACATCCAAAAGATCACCAATAACAGAGAGGACTATGCCATGCGTCATGGTGAGTGAACATGCGACTTCACAGTTGATGACACTTTCTTACAATACGTGCGTCGCTCAAGGTTATACCAACTTCTTCGCAAACCTATCCGATTACGAGTCTACCCTGGACAACGCCCCACGAAGCTGGGCCGTCGTCCCAGCCGTTCGACATGCGATGGCAGCCCATCCGCATTCGAAACAGTTCTTCTACCTTGACGCACATGCGCTGATCATGAACCCGAGCAAATCGCTCGAGTCGCATCTCCTCGAAAAGGATCGTCTAGACTCTTTGATGCTCAAGGACGTCCCGGTCGTGCCTCCGGATAGCATAATAAAGACCTTTTCGCATCTAAGACCCAAGGACGTAGACCTCATTCTTACCACGGACAACGAGGACCTCAGCTCCGGGAGCTTCATCATTAGACAGGGAGAGTTCGCGCATACCTTCCTGGACATCTGGTTCGATCCTTTGTATCGCAGCTACAACTTCGCTAAGGCAGAGGCACATGCTTTGGTAAGAGATATTTTTGTTCAGTTTTGGGTCACTTTGTTGTGCACCTGTGTACTACAGGCACTAACGGTGATCGCCTTTCCAGGATCATATTGTCCAGTGGCACCCGACTATTCTGGCCAGACTGGCCCTGGTCCCTCAGCGGACCATCAACGCATATAGTAAGGATTCGGCGGGTGCTGGCATAAATGGGAACTATAAAGACGGTGACTTGGTCATTCGATTCTTTGGATGTGACACGGATACGAAGCGGAGTTGCGAGAAAGAGATGGATCCGTATTGGCGTCTATGGACTAAGAGAAATGAGTAACGGTCTCCTACGTATGAAAATTAAGTTCTTTTATTGAATGAATTCGTCATTTTGGATATAGGGAGTTCTCTAACTACTAGGTGTCCTCAATCGACACTCCTTGGTCTGGGTAGGTTGGTGTTCGCAGCTGGAGGCATCTTTTCGTACAGGGCGTTACTCATTTCCTATGTTTTCATGTATAATAGTTACTAAAATATTATCAGTATTCTTTGACATGAGACCTAGACCCGGACCTGGGTAGTGGGCACGGGCTACTACCATAGTCTGTGTTACCAGCCCATAATTAGTCTTTACGTAGCACCTTTTTATGATAGCACAATGACCTCCCACCGCCCCCCCGGGCGGAACCCCTGCCATGGACGACTGTTCCGACAGCTCTACTTCAAAATAATGTACCTGGAATAACCAATCTCGGGTGATCATGAATACAACAAGGCCAGAGCTAGCGATACCTTGCGACATTCCTTGCCAACGAAACTAGGTTTGTTTCTTCCAGCCTTCTTCTAGCCCAATTTAAAAAGCACCGGGGAGAATAACAAAGCTCTTGCGCTTGTACTTGTCACCAAACTCCTTGCGGTAGCGGCGTTCCTTCTTCTTAGCCCATGCGGCCATCTGCGCGCCACCGACAGTGATGAAGAATAGAACGCTCCAGTTCAGACCGCTAACCAAGTAGATACCAACCCAGGCAATGATTTCGAAGAGGTAGTTCGGGCAGGTGACGAGGTTAAATCCAAATCCCGAGGGAATACCCCTGTCTGTGGTACCCGGACGGCGTAGGTCACGTAGCACCAGGTGGGCATTCAAGTTGGCCAGCTCACCGAAAGTGAATAGCCCGAGACCAGTGTAGAGGAGGGCGGGTTTCACTTCGTTGGTTGCTGCAGATGCGTCGGGACGGAAAACCCAATAGGCGATGTTCAAGCCAGCCAAGATCCAATAATGTGCGCTGTTCTTGAAAATGTTGCGTGCTGGCATTGTGGCATTGCTGAAGCGGTGGATGAAGATAGTCTCGAATTCGCGCTTCAGGAAATGGAGGGACAATAGTGCACAAACCAGTTTCTGAAGGTAGGATGGTTCGAGAAGTGGCTTGTCAAAATTGTAATAGAGGTACGGACGGAGAGGGTAGAGGAAGAGAGCGGGGATGACGAGAGGGCCGAAGTATTCAATGATGAACACGGTGCGCCAGCCGATCTGGGGGCCTGGGGTCCGTGTCAGTCTTCTGTTGATGGTGACAAAAACAACTACGTCGCCGCATACCGAGATCTTTGACATGAACAACGCTCCTTTCCTTCAGGCCGGTAGCGTCAACTTTAGTGTCTCTGGAGTTGGGTACTACGCTGCGGTCGCTTCCTTTCGTGATTCTCAGGCGATGAATCGAAAAGCCGGAAGCCGCTGCGAGGGTCGTGTAGATTTCCTGGGCGGGAGCATTGGGGCTGATCTGGACTTCCTTCGGTAGTTTCTTGATCGGCCTGCCTAGTACAGGGTCAGTAAATGTACAAAGATGTAAGAGATATGCAGCAAAGTGCTAATTCTTCGGCAGACTTTGCTGGAGGCATACCGCGTGGCTCAACAATTAAAGTAATAGTTGCTGGCGCCATGGTCAGTACCCGAGACGTGCCTTCAGGGTGCCTGGAGTAATCGGTCAACCTTGAAAATAAGCAATTGATTGCTTTCTAGGCAACAAAGTATATCAAATATACTTAAGGTGAGAGGGGGACGAGGGTACAATTGTGCAGGGTGATAAGGAACTGTATAGTACACTAGTAGTTGACCTCGGCCCAGAGTTGGTCACGTGATACCAACAGTTCGGAAAGTTGCAATTGTTGAGGCCGGAAATTAAATTTTAAAGTTGAGAGCTTGAGAGTGGGGCAACGCCAAGAATCCTTTTGAAGTCACTTTGCTCAGCTTGCTATCATGATTTAGTATCTACTAAGTAGGTAAAATGCCATCTGATGGGAACTTCAGCGCTGTAGATAAGGGCCCATTAAGGTCCATACTGGTTTCCCATTGCTACTCTAAGTAATAGTCCCTAAGAGGTAAAGCCCTTTTCCTTACCCACTTACTTCCTTCCACAGTAGCTAGTTTATTATATTACAATATTAAAAGACTTTCAGCTCATGTGGTACAATCACTAAGACGGCTTGCGACGGTGGTGTGTAGATACTAGTGTCTCTTTAGTTCCAGTCTGTTCAGCCAGCCTTGTTCCGGGTTTCTCGCCGTCACATGATTCTAGAAGTATTTCCATTTATCGTTAATTTGTATTCGTTCAATGAATTGTCATACGGCTTGTTGAGTGTAAAGATCATGATAATATCTTTCGAGGCCTCAATTGGTCCCGTCCATGGTCAATCAGTATTGGATACCCATACTACCATAGACATAAAATATCCGGTTGCGTCCTGCGCCACTCTTCAAATCACGGATCGCCCGGGGTCGCCCAAAATCAAACTAGGCAAAGTTGACCGACTGGAGAGTCGTTTACATTGAACCTTGGATCGTTCGGCGCCCAGGATCCCTACTTTCAGCCTATGATTATCCGCGGCGGCGCCAGTGAGCTCCTACATTCCAAGCCATAGATGAGAAGGTCGTATTACTATTATCTCAGCCTCGACTCGTATACCTGCGCGCGAATCAAATCATCGCTGTCTCACTCGCACGCCTTGTTCTGTGGGGCCCTCCTTGTCAAGAACGACGACGACGAACAAGTCGGATGCTGTATTTTTAATACTATTCCCACCAGAGCTGATCATCTTGAGCTGATTCTGGTTCTGATTCTCAGCCGCACCGTAGTCATCTTCGGCTGTAATGTTTGTTAACATATAAAATCCGGTTCCAGAATATTTTTCTCACTCCCTTGAGATGGTTACCCTTATGTACATTCAAATACAACGGTTCATTTACTTTCCTCCCCTCCCCCCACTCCCCTTCACCTCACTTAACATTTGAACGGTAGCTTCACTGTATCTTCATAATATCAGTCACTTCTAGCATCACTGCTTCTTCTTATATACGAATTCCCTGAATTCCAGACGATCGCTTGTGATTGAAGGTATAGGTGGGTGGCCATGATCCCCTTCGTCCGTCTGTATGGGCCATTACCTTGTTGAACGGGCCTGGCACATAATTACCCTTTTCTTATGTCTCCATAATGCATTAAAGAAAGTGGATGGCCAAACATTGAACCGCTTTGTTTTCAGAGATTACCAATGCTGATATTTAATGAAGTCCATATACCCTTACTCTCACCGTATCTTCTTCCGTCTATTTCTTGCTCTTTTCCCATTGCTGTGTTTGCTCGTCAATCCTCTAGTTCACAATGGCAGAAGGCCAGAGTGCTTCGGTGATCAATGGGCTAGGCAAGACCGTTTCTCAACTTGAGAAGCTCGTGTCAGCATCACTACGGCCTTTGCCCACTGACACAGGGGATGGATCTTATGTCACGGAGTCAAACAGTACGGGATTTGTCAGAGACCTCAGTCGTATGGATCTCAACGATGTCAAAACCATCGTAGAGATCACCAAGAATGCCGCTACAGGGGATCCCGTCAATGATAAGCAGTATATAATGGAGCGTTTGATCCAGGTGCGTCACTGTTACATTCATCAGATTGGTAGCTAGGTCTCCAATTAATAAGAAAATGCATTCTAGCTTACTACCGCGCTTCCGTCCACCTCTCGAGTCGGTAAAGAATTGACAAATCTTTTCCTCAACCAGTTGTGGAAGGACCTGGAGCATCCTCCAGTTTCGTATGTTGATCAATAAAGACATGAACCATGAAAGCACATCTAACGATGGAAACAGCTATCTTGGCCGCGAGTACTCGTACCGAGAAGCAGATGGTTCAGGCAATGTAAGTGTGCGCCTTCCTCCGTGATGTTGATCGTTAGCTAAGATCAGGAAGAATGTTCTATGGCCTCACATTGGCGCTGCTGGTTCTCATTACGCAAGATCCGTTCGCCCAAAGACACCGCAGTCCCCTGCACTCCCAGACCCAGAAACGCTTTTTGATTCGCTTTTGGCGCGCAAAGATTTCAAGGAGCATCCAAACAAGATATCCAGCATTCTGTTCTACATTGCGTCCATTATTATCCATGGTAAGTAGTGGCAAAAAAGCACCCGTCGCCGATCCGTGTCTAACACACTCCGAGACTTATTTCAAACGGATCGCAACGACGACACGGTTTCCACGACATCATCATATCTCGATCTTTCACCGTTGTATGGCAATAATCAAGACGAGCAAAATCTTGTCAGGGCTTTCAAAGATGGAAAACTTAAACCGGATTGTTTTTCCACCAAACGTGTACTGGGATTTCCCCCAGGTGTTGGCGTGTTACTGATCATGTTTAACCGTTTCCACAACTACGTAGTCGAGCAGCTGGCATCCATAAATGAAGGCGGCCGGTTCACTAAACCAGATGAAACAGATACGAAAGAATACGCAAGATATGATAGCGACCTCTTTCAAACGGGTCGGCTAGTGACTTGTGGACTATACGTTAATATAATCCTCAAAGACTACGTCCGAACTATTCTGAATGTTAACCGAACTGACAGTGTATGGAGCTTGGACCCTCGTGCTGAGATGAAGGATGGCTTGCTCGGCGACGCAGCAGCTGAGGCCACGGGCAACCAAGTCTCGGCTGAATTCAATCTCGTATACAGGTGGCATTCTTGTATTTCTCAACGTGATGAGAAGTGGACCGAGAACTTGTACAAAGATATGTTTCCTGGGAGAGACCCGAACGGTGTTTCCTTGCAAGAGTTCGTACGAGGTCTCGGAAAGTGGGAAGCGGGCCTCCCAGAGCAACCCCAGGATCGCCCATTTGCAGGCTTACAACGTAAACCTGATGGATACTTCGATGACGACGGTCTCGTCAGGATCTTCGAGGAGAGTGTTGAAGACTGTGTCGGTGCGTTTGGTGCATCTAACGTTCCAACGATCTTCAAAAGCATCGAAGCTCTGGGCGTGAAACAAGCCCGGTCCTGGAATTTGGCCACTTTGAACGAATTCCGCAAATATTTCAATTTGACTCCCCACAAAACATTTGAAGACATCAACTCCGATCCCTACATATCTGAGCAGCTCAAGCGGCTATACGATCACCCAGACAACGTGGAAATCTACCCGGGCGTTATCGTCGAGGACACAAAGGAATCCGTAGTTCCTGGAAGTGGGCTGTGTACGAATTTCACGATTTCTAGAGCCATCCTCTCCGATGCCGTTGCCTTGGTTCGAGGCGATCGCTTTTACACAGTCGATTTCACTCCAAGGCATCTTACAAACTGGGCCTTCAGTGAAATCCAGCCCAAAGACTCCGTTGATCAAGGACATGTTTTCTACAAGCTCGTGTTGCGGGCATTTCCCAACCATTTCAGGGGAAACTCTATTTACGCACATCTTCCCCTGGTTATTCCTTCTGAAAACAAGAAGATACTGACAGAGCTTGGGTTTGCTGAAAAATACAGCTGGGACAGGCCCTGCTATACTCCTCCGCCACAATTTATTACCTCTCATTCGACTTGCATGTCAATATTGTCTGATCAGGAGACGTTCAAGGTGACATGGGGTTCAAAGATTGAGTTTTTGATGCAGCGTGACAAACAACCCTACGGCAGAGATTTCATGCTGTCCGGGGACCGGCCTCCAAATGCAGCGTCTCGCAGAATGATGGGAGCTGCTCTGTACCGGAAGAGATGGGAGAATGAAGTAAAAGCATTTTACGAAGATATAACTTTGAAGCTTTTGCACAGGCATTCTTACAAGATTGCTGGGATCAATCAAGTTGACATTGTCCGAGATGTTGCAAATCCCGCTCAGGTTCATTTCTGCGCGACGGTTTTCTCGCTACCTTTGAAAACTGAATCTAATCCCCGAGGGATCTTCACGGAGTCAGAGCTATACAAGATTATGGCTGTCGTTTTCACCTCCATCTTCTACGATGCGGATCCTGCCAACTCATTTGAACTTAACCAGACTGCCCGGGCAGTGACACAGCAGCTTGGGCAGCTAGCAATGGCAAATGTCGAGGTTGTTAACAAGGCCGGGATCATTGCCGATCTAGTAAGCAGTTTACACCGACACGACGTGCTCAGCGATTATGGTGTCCACATGATCCAACGACTCCTTGCCAATGGTCTACCAGCGCATGAGATTGTATGGACCCATATATTGCCAACCGCTGGCGGAATGGTAGCAAACCAGGCGCAGCTTTTTTCCCAGTGCCTTGACTATTACCTTTCTGAAGAAGGCTCGGTCCATTTGCCTGAAATCAAGCGACTGGCGAAGGTTGACACACCGGAAGCTGACGAACTGCTGTTAAGATAGTATGTGGCCCTGCTTCAGTCTCATTTCTCTTTGAAAACTGACCCTATGAAGCTTCATGGAAGGTGCTCGGCTTCGGTCTTCCGTAGCACTACCTCGAATGGTGGCAAAGCCCACTGTTGTTGAAGACAACGGGAAGAGGCTGAATCTAAAGACAGGGCAACACATACTTTGTAACCTGGTAGGTGCAATCTCGAGGGAGCTCGTTACGATGGCCGTTGTTGGTGCAGGCAACTTACCGTTGGTTCTTATCTAGGTGTCTGCCTCCATGGACCCCACAAGTTTCCCAGAGCCCGAAAAGGTCAAGCTTGACCGTGACATGGATCTCTATGCCCATTTTGGTTTTGGTCCACATCAGTGTCTAGGTATAGAGCTTTGCAAACTAGCACTTACCACGATGCTGAAGGTCATCGGGCGGTTGGATAATCTGCGTCGTGCCCCTGGGCCCCAAGGGCAGTTGAAAAGACTGTCTGGACCCGGTGGGATTGCGAAGTACATGACTCTCGAGCAAAGTGGATTTTCTCCCTTCCCAACGAGCATGAAGATCCAGTGGGATGGTGAGTTACCGAGGTTGGGGGAGAGATAAGAATAGTGAAACGCAATGTTGACAGAATGCTCTCTCGGATAAACGTTAACAAGAATGTATTGTTGACCGTGTCATTACTACATTGTTGGTTTGTATAAAGTCAATTCGAAATGACATATTCTTTTTCTTTTGGTAAATCGGCATTCCTACCCGGTGTAATTATTCCGTGGGAGTTCCTCATGTTGCTGCTCCTTGGACATTTTTCAGCCTGTTTGCATTGAAAGAAGAAAAAGGCGAAAAGCGTAGTACTATCTTGTATGCTTTATTAGTTCTTGTACTGAAGGTGCCTGAAGAGTATGAGCTAGCTGACGGCATATGGATGTGTGTAATGTGGAGAGGTTATAGGCCTATAACAAGTATTCGGTTAAGATGAGGGGTAGAGACGTGAATATATATTATATCTGAAATACGAGAACCGAAATAATAATAATAATAATAATGAACTCATCTGAGAGAGAGAAGATATACGATTCATTGGATGAATCAAGAGATGTATTGGATACGACCCGGTGAAGGTAACTTTCAGCATAGACCGGGAAAACAAATTAACCATAACTGAGAGGTGAATCGGTGAAAGAAAGTGTTCGATTAATAGTGCAGGGCTGACTTGTTGCCTCGGCGGGGAAGAAGACCCGCTCCGTTACTACTGGCCTAAAAGGTGAATGAGCCAGAAAGAAGCTCCATCCATTATTGGGATAATTTCACGAACCTTCCAACTTAACTGTCACCCATCTTTCTTTTCTACCTTCATCTATCCCACGCCCACACCCTCACCCGTCACCAACCCACCCCCCTAAATTAACTGCGTGTGGCTCTTTCACTCAATACTGTTGAAAATCCGATCTGGATGTCAAATGCTACAGGGCTAACGATCTGCACCGTTTCCTGTTCCTCTGACGCCTAGCCGTACTTTGAAAGCCGCAACACTTGGTCCCTCACCATCCTCTTCCAGTCCTTTGAACCTCAACCGGGAAAAAACCTCCTGGCTACATTGATTCCTACCTGTACACTCGCTAAATAACAGATCTCCAACTTTGAAATACTTGAGTGAAAGTTCCCGCGACGTCTCGTTTCCACTCATTTGATTTTGTTGAGGCAGGAAAGGTACCCAAAACGTCATAAGGCGCCTCGCAACTTTCTCCGCGTCCCGGTCTTCACGACCTCACTCCCCCTCTTCTAGGAGGAACTCTCCTGGAATCTTTCCGCTTCCTCATGATTGCCTGACTATTCAAACATCATCATGGGGAGAATTAAGAAGGTGGCAAGCCAAAAACATGAGGCTACGATCGTGAGTTTTAAGTCCATGTGCCGTACCGCGCTGGATCAACGCTGACGTGAAATTTCTTTCCGTTTTCTTTTCTTGCAATATAGTCCCCTTACTTGTCAGATTTCGTATCTCGTGCCACGACTACACCCGTCCCCGAGCTCCCTTCACATCTCAACACCTTTTCTCGCGTATGGCCTTTCCCCAGAGGGGATCTATACCATTGGATCAATGTCCTGAATCGCTTCGACGAGATCCTGGCTATTGCCATCGAGAAATACGGTCTCAGTAATGGCCCTCAAATTAAGCCTTTCAGCAGACTTGTGCTGGTGGATTCCTATGCGAGCGATGAGAATAAACAGAGCCCGGAGGAGATCGATGCTAAGTTAACCGCTCTTGGCTATGGTGTAGAGGGTGACAGGGAGCTCCTGGAAGCAATTATCGACTTTTCTAGACTATTGTTGGATAAGTGTGGTAACCGCAGCTTGTACAGCAGCAGCGAACGACTAGGGGAGCTTCTAAATACCACATCACTTTCCCTCTTGCAGTCTACGCTTCGTTTGTCACTCTCTTTGGCCCAAAGGTACCATTCTCGTCAGCGGGGTAGTTCCCACCTCCAACAAAGCCTGCTGGCCGCCCACTATAATATCGATTTGGAAAAGCTGCAAAAGATTGCTGCACCTTTCCCGCGCCCTTCCGTATCCAACAAGACGCCTGCATCGCCTGCTGTTGGCATCAAGGGTAAGGAGAAAGGGACACAAACCAAGCACGATGCCAACAACCTGGTCACTCTTGTGCGCGAGAACGATAGCTGGGAAGAGTGGGGCCACGTGCATCTACTTTATTATCCGTCTGGCACTTCAGATAATGTGAAGTCGACATCGGAAGCTGTGCCTGGTGGGCGACCGACGCAAGCTCCCACTACACCAACACCTCTGCGTAGGAGTCATACCCACCCCACGCCCCGCTTGAGCCATGCAATGATTATGGAGGACTCTCCTAGCTCGGTTGTGAATACCCCTCCTGGAAAGCTGGAAGAAGCGACGAGAGGTGGAAAGGTCCTCGACATTCCTTACTCAAAGATCTCTTCGTCGATACCTGAGGGCGTTCTTACGTCACATGCGGAAGAGTTGCCTGACGAATCCAAATATGAGCTGCTCCACAGAATTCGGACGGCCCAGGGGTTGGCAGCATCTCGTTCTAGCCGGGAACAGATACTTGCCATTAGGCTGCTTGCTGTTACCAACTTAGCGTATGTATACCCAGAGTCACTATTCCAACAGAAGGTCCTCCAGTACGACATGGAACAACCAAAGCGTCTGCAACTGGCCTATCAACTGGGTGAATTGGTTCATTTAGGCGCGAGTGGTGATCTTCCAGTATCCAGAAGTGTTCAGACATTGGTTCTCCAGGCTCTTGACTCTCTTGCTAAGCATAAAGCGCGGGCAATTGATGTCTGTGCTGCGTTAAGCGTTAATGTAAACCATGGTGTTCTCATGTTTTTGACTCGGAAGGTTGTCAATGAGCTAGGCTCGGAAGACAATGAAGGGGACGATGGCAGTCAAGATGAGTGGCGGGATGCATTACTTGCCCTTCTGCGAACGCTTCCCGGTTCAAGCACGAGAACACCGGAGACTCTTGTTTCCGCGGGTTTAATTCCTATGTTTGTCGATGTTTTGAATCTCCGCACGGAGAAAGCTCGTCGTGTTTATTCTCGGATCATGGAGTTCCTCGATACCTTTGTCCACGCTGTCCGTGATGCGCTTGGAACTCTCACTGCCGCCAAGGGGTTTGACGCAATCTCGGATTTGATAGATTATGAAACTAAAACCTCCTTTGAGAATGTAGTCTGTGGCGCTGGAATCCCGTCTCTTCACAAGACTCCGTCAATTGATTACCAGATCCCGTATTTCCAGCAACAGGCACTCCGGTGGATGTTCCGATTTGTTAATCATATCATGCAGCATAACGGTGGTGGTTTTGATCGGGTTCTTCGAAATCTGATTGACTCACCCCAACTGTTGACGTCTCTTCGCGTGGTGTTTGAGAATGCCCGCATCTTTGGCTCTCATGTTTGGAGCAATGCTGTCAATATTCTTAGCAGCTTCATTCACAATGAGCCTACCAGCTATGCAGTCATTGCCGAGGCTGGTTTGAGCAAGAGCTTTCTACAAGCTGTTACACGCATTGAAATAAAGGCGCAAGAGAAGATGCCAGTTGAGACTGAAGGTGCTGAAGTTGAAGGTGAACCGTTGTCCAGACCCTCCGAGGTCGAGACTAGTCCGCCAGGCAGTGAGCCGCAGAAGACCCGGGAATATGAGCTCGCAAGGTCTAAGGATAAAAAGCTAGCCGTAGGTATTATGCCCTCCGCGGAAGCTTTATCGTGCATTCCTTCGGCTTTTGGGGCTATTTGTCTTAATTCATCTGGACTCGAACTTTTCCAGTCATCCCATGCTTTGGAGAGCTTTTTCGAGATTTTCGAAAACCCCGACCATGTGAAATGCCTGAAAGATGATCCTAATCTTGTCCGTTCGCTGGGGACTACCTTTGATGAGTTAGTACGACATCATCCTGCGCTGAAGTCAACGATTATGTCTGCTGTCATTGTGATGGTCGCACGTGTTGGCCTTCTATGCAGGAGTAAGGCTTGGTCAGATGGTATGGGATCGAAGCTGTGGACAGATAACTCTCAGGGAAAGCCAGCCCTTTCTGGTCCAACACATCACCTGTTCGGAAGGATTGGTAGCGCGAGATCCTCTAATGATATCACACCTTCCGACCTTGGTGTTCGGGAGATCAAATCTACTGCACTGCCAGACGGCGGCTCGCTGAAAACTGGCGACTTGAGCCATATCCTGCCCAGCCCCAATACCGATACCGAACCTAATGATGCAGATGCCACTGGCCTGACAGTTACTGATTACCTTTATCCGGTACTACGATTCTTAGGTGCTTTCTTTGAGAATCAATCGAACTGTACCCACTTTATCGAATCTGGTGGCGTGGAGTTCGTATTGGATATGGCGACTCTCCAGAGTCTCCCATTCGATTTCCACAATACAGACGCTAATCAGGAACTCACTGTTCTAGTGCACATGCTGGCGGAAACGAAGCCTCATCTGGTCGTACCAGGGCTTGTTGATCGCGCAGAACAGGTTGTGGAACAGCTATCTGAGTTCTGGCGCTTGTCGGGACCTCGGGAATCCGGGTTTTTCGCCCCTCTGATCAAAACACCTATCGAGACGGAATCCAAGGACCCGATCGACAAGACCTGGGAGCTTGCAAAAGATAATGGAACATATTTCGCTAAACATATGGTGGCTGCGCTTATTCTAACGGATCTACTACGTGAAGTTTACTCCATGCCATTGTATCAGACCCGACCAAGCCAGCAGACCTCTGCATTCGCGCAGGTCAATTTAGCTGATCGTTATTGTTCTCTTATCGGACGACTAGGGGGGTTGCATGCAGCGTGTGTATGGGAGGAGATATTACTGGAGAAGAATATACCCGACACTTGGGACCAGGCAACAAAAGTGCAGCCAACTGGTTCAGATTCAGAAAAGCCTAATGATTCTTCCGGAACCGCGAATGCAGAAACAAGCCTAAGCGCGCCTACACCTCACCGAGAAGGATCTACTACAAGTGAGCCTGCTCAACCAGGCGTCGCTCAGGAGCCCAGAGGGAACGCTCCCAACGCCTCTGAAAGTAGCGTAGCATTCAAGAACGTCCAAGCGCTTCGCTATCTTCTAAGTTCCTTGCCTTCTTCGATCACAGGCTTCTTCCACAACTTAGGCCTTGGTCTCATTGGAAAAAGGCGGATAGATCTCTACCAGAAGCAAAATGCGACTATGGTGGCTGAGGCTATTGCTAGCGCCGTGGTCGAACAACTGCAGTTTGAGCCTCCGAATACCAGTGATAATCATAAGCTTCGATTCGCCTACCTAATTGTTATTCTTTCCTCATTCTCGCATTTACTTTTTGAAGGTAAGTCATCTATCGGTTATAAGAACGAACTTAAGACTGACGATTCCTGATATAGCTACCGCAGACCGCCCGCACTCCCATTATCTTACTCTCGTCCTCTTTGCGTTCAAGCGGATTCAGGGCCTGAAAATCATGAAAGAGATCTGTGAGGTCTTCGTGCGTGAGGTCAAGACACTTACGCCTGCAGAGTCCGTGCCCGATACTGAGAACGACGTCTCGGCTCGGCTCACCTCTGCTTATGGAGGGATTAAGATTATACTCGGCTTTTTCTCCGAGATAGCTTCAGGCAAGAATATCGTTGACTCCAGCCAGACCCAGGCTATGACGAGCAGTGACCGGGATCGGGACCGCCCAGACTATTTCCAACCCGGCCAATTTCTGGTAGATCTTCGAATGGAAATCCTGCCGATGGCTCGAGAATTGTGGAATTCCGACTTTGCAACCCAGTCTGCTAGCCCCATTATCAAATGCCTAGTGGATATTTTGCGTTCATCACTAGACGGCGAATACGAAACTGGGGCTGCCTGGCGCTCTGACCTACCGCCCGCATTGGCCGAGGCGTCTAGGAGGAAATTAGTTATCAACAAAGACCGTGTCGCTGCCTTGCAGGCAAAGGACTTTGATCCAGAAGTTGTACAGGAAGCACTGTATCGCTGCAACAATGTGTATGCCGCAGCTGAGGAGTACTGCAAGGCACAAGACTGGTTACTACCCGCTCCGAGAATGCCACCACCCCCTAACGACATTGAGTCTGTTCGAACGTCGGGAGGTGAGGCTTCGGAAGACTCGGCCGTCGGAGACGCCCCGCCTTTCGAAAGTGGCTTTCTCGAACGTTCGACTCTTGCGATGCTTATAGCACAGGCTTCTGGCCGATCGGATGACATGCCTCGCCAGGAGCAAGGTCAAGCGGGACCGGTTGAGAGCGAAGTCAGGCATGGCTCTGAATTCCTAGCACGGGCTTTGAGTCATATTCTTAATGATGACCATAGCGCAGTTGATAGCGATCGGGACGATTCCTCAAGCGCTAACACTCGTAATTTGAACCCTAGCGGGGGAGATTCATCTGAGCCATCGAACCATGTGACAGACCCATCCCCTGAGCAGGCACCAGAACAGCCGACAAGACGACGCGAAGTTACCACTGTCGAAGATTTAGATAAAGAGCGTGAGAAGGTCCGGTCGAATTTGATTGAGCGCTGCCTAGATGTTCTGAACGAACACCATGACGTGTCCTTCGAACTGGCCGACCTGATCGCTTCTGCGACAAAGAAGCACCGAGACCCTGAATGCTTCCGTAAGGAGGTTGGGGAGATACTCGTCCAGTCTCTCGTTTCGTTGCAAATGGAAAACTTCCAAACAGCTGGGAAGAAGGTGGCTGCTTATGCCCACCTTCTTGCGCTGGTAGTCCAGGACAGAGAGATGTATACCGCTACGTTAGAGGAACTCAAAGAATGTTTTACTACATTCCTCGGGTTTATCTCAGTGCCTTCAGAAAAGTCTTCAGATGAGTCTTTTCCATGGATTGGACATGTTCTGTTGGTATTGGAGAAATTGCTCTCCGACGACGCCCAGCCTCCTCAGATCCGATGGAATATGCCTGATAATGAGAACCCAGGTGCAGAAGATGACACTCCCGCTCAACTGGAGGAGCCTCTTATCTCCCCTGAGCAGAAAACGCAGCTTTTCGAGGCTCTAGTTGAAATTCTTCCTCGAGTCGGAAAGGACAGTACTCTAGCGCTCTCTGTTTGTCGAATTCTGGTTATCCTCACCCGGAACCGTAACATTGCAACTCGTTTGGGGGAAAAGCGTAGCTTGCAGCGCCTTTTCGTCATGATGAAGCAGCTTTCAAGCACAACAAATGAGAAACTCCAGGGTGCGTTCATGTTGATTTTGAGACATATAGTCGAGGACGAAGACACCATCCGACAGATAATGAGGAGTGAGATTGTCGCCAATTTTGAGTCGAAGTCTTCTCGCCAAATCGACACGACCGGGTTCGTGCGACAAATGTATCATCTCGTTCTTAGGTCACCCGAATTGTTCGTGGAAGTTTCCAACGAAAAGCTAAAACTGCAACGATATGATAGCAGGCAACGCCCGCAGGTTCTCACCTTGAAATCCGATAAAAGCAATGGCTCCCCAGACAAAGCAGCGGCCCAGGAGAGTGCAGACAACACCACAGGTGGCGATCAAACTTCATCAGGTGACGCTCAACCGGAGGACAAAGACAAGGGCAAGGGGACCGAGATGAAGCCGCCTGCTGTCGAGAACCCTGATGGCGTTATCCACTATCTCCTTTCGGAACTTTTGTCTTACAAGGATGTCGATGACAAGGAACCTCCAGTAGAAACTACAGATACATCTACACCCGAACAATCAGAAAGCCAGGCTGATGTGGAGATGGCAACTGATGAACCCTCACCTTCTGTCTCTACCACCGACTTGCAGGCCACACGCACTTCTAAGAAAGCAGAAAAACCGGCATTCAAGGCAGATGACCACCCAATCTATATATACCGCTGCTTCCTTCTTCAGTGTCTGACTGAGCTTCTTTCGTCGTATAACCGTACCAAGGTGGAATTCATTAATTTCTCTCGAAAGGCAGACCCGCTCGCGACCACACCATCAAAACCTCGCTCGGGAATCTTGAATTACCTACTGAATGCTCTCGTTCCAATTGGCACCATGGAACATGACGAATCTGTTACATTCAAGAAGCGCGCCAACACATCTGCTTGGACGATGCGTGTGCTTGTGGCTTTGTGCACGAAGACCGGTGAGTTTGGTGGAACTGGGAGACGTCGGAGCGAGCAAAACTCGAATGAGGAAGATGAGCCCGAGCTTGCCTTTGTGCGAAGGTTCGTCCTAGAGCATGCATTAAGAGCATACAAAGAAGCAAATGCGTCAAATGAACCTTTGGATGCCAAATATTCCAGGTTGATGTCACTTGCCGATCTATTTGACAAAATGCTTAGCGGTTATGCTTTTGTTTCCGGAGACACGGCCTTCCCCTCCTCCACTAGACAGCTTGCGAAAACGATGTTTGAAAAGAACTTCATCGCTGCCCTCACAGCCTCGGTCGCTGAAATCGACCTGAATTTCCCCGCGTCTAAACGAGTCATTAAATACATTCTGCGCCCGCTTAACAAACTTACACAAACCGCTGTGATCTTGAGTGAGACGTCAGACATCTCTACTCTAGGGGAAACTGAGGAAGACGAAATTTCTTCTGCTACTTCGGTTTCTGATCTGGACGAAGACCGAGAAGAAACCCCTGACCTTTTCCGCCATTCCACCCTGGGTATGTTAGAGCCTCGTCATGAAGAAGAGACGAGCTCCGAAGAATCGGAGGAAGAAGATGACGAGATGTATGACGACGAGTATGGCGACGAAATGGATTATGAAGAAGATTTGCCTGAAGATGATGGCGAAGTTGTAAGTGATGACGAGGATGAGATTGAGGGTGTTGGTCCCATTGAGGGCCTTCCCGGCGACTCCGGCATGGACATCGAGGTAGTTATTGACGATGATGAGGATGACTCCGACGACTCCGACGAAGATGATGAAGATGATGATGAGTCCGATATGGAGGACGACGAGATCCTCGCCGGGGAAATCACTGGGGACCAAGATAATGAGAGTTTAGGGGAGGGCGATGACGATGAGTGGGAGAGCGAAGACATGTCCGAGGATGATGAGGAGGCCGAGATCATGAATCAATTCGAAGACGAACTGGCCGGTATTAGGCAAGCAGATCAGCGTGATGAGGGGCAGCGATTCGATGACTTGTTTCGGGTACTCAATGAAGCTGCCGGAGGTGTTGAAGACCTACAGGCTGACAGTCTCGGGGACATTCGTGATGACATTGTTGATGATGATTTGAACGATGATGACGGTCAGTATCATTCAGCTACACTTTTATGCATGGTTTTGAGTACTAACATCTACTAAGAAGATGAAGAAATTGATGAGCTTGAGGAAGAACTTGACGATGCCGACGAAGACCAAGGATCTTACCAAGGCTTTGATGATGGTAGGCTGAAATTTACTGCTGGAATCTGAAACAAGACGTGCTGAAACTTTTTCTGTAGATGAAGATCTCGTTGAACCATGGGGTTGGGATGGCGACGAGCCCCCGCCACCTCGTGGACATCATCATCGCTACCGTGGTCCTCAACCAGGGTGGGCTGCGGTTACAGGTATCATGCCTAGCAGCAACCGGCATGGAATTGTTCCTATCCAACCCTACCGATTCCACCGGACTCAAATCCCTGCTCGTGGTAGTGACGATGGTACTAATCCTCTTCTTGTTCGGACGGACCGTGGCCCCGAGGCTGGCCAACCCCGTGGACCTGGTAACGAAGCTTTTACCGATTGGGTTCATGGCATGGAACCCGTATCCACTGGACGTCTGCTTTCTATGGACAGCCCTGTGAGCTTCATGAATGCAATTATGCAGGCTATTGGGGGCCAAGGTGCTCCAGGCTTTGGTGTAATAACGCGTCCAGACGGAATTCACGTTCATGTTGATAGACGAGCTATTCTGCCCAACCGCATTCATGATATCTTCGGGCTCGGTAGACCACAGGCACCACCTTCTCGCACTCGGGACGATCCGTCTCAAGCTGTGAGCTTTGCTCTAGCAACGACTCGGAGTCGCTGGCAGGAGGAAGCTCGTATCTTGTTTAGCAGCACATACGTCGAGAAGACACAGCGCGTTGTTAATTCTCTGTTGAAAATACTCGTTCCTCCTGCTATTGAGGAAGAAAAGGAGCGGGAGAAGAAAGTCACGGAGGAGCTCAAGCGACGAGAGGAAGAACGAGCCGAGAGAGAACGTCAAGAGCGTATTGCCAAGGAGGAAGAAGAGAAAGAGCGTAAGCGGAAAGAGGAAGAAGAAAACGCTAGGCAACAACAAGAAAGGGAACAGCAAGAAGCAGAAAGACAAGCCTCAGGAGTCAGTTCTGAGCCGATGGATGATGTGCAGCAAACAGACACCGCGGCTGAAGCTGCTGCACAACCTTCTCAAGCAGATACGGGGCCATCTGAACCCCAGCGCCGGGTGCATACGACAATTAGAGGCCGCCAACTTGACATCACCGGGATGGAAATCGATCCTGAGTATCTCGAGGCGCTACCAGAAGAGCTGAGAGAAGAAGTGATCATGCAACAGCTTGCCGAGCAGCGTTCTCAGGCAGCTGCAGCTGGTGAAGAGCCTAGCGAGATCAATCCGGAGTTCCTGGAAGCCTTGCCCGCAGAGATTCGGGAAGAACTATTACAACAGGAGGCCGCCGACCGTCGCCGTCGAGAGCGGGAAAGTGCTCGTAGACAACAAGCAACAACTGGCGCCCCTCCTTCTCGTACTGCTGAAGACATGGATGCCGCTAGCTTCCTTGCTACCCTGGACCCTTCGTTACGACAAGCCGTACTCGCTGACCAACCTGAAGAGATACTTGCAACCCTGGGGCCGGAATTTGTTACCGAGGCACGAGCACTCCCTGGAAGACGGCTGACCCAATTTGGCGATATATCCAGAGTTGATCATAGGCAAAGGAATGAGCCAACCGACGAACAAGAGCCGAAGAAACAGCAGCGGCGTCAAATTGTCCAAATGCTCGACAAAGCTGGCATTGCCACACTGCTTCGCCTCATGTTCATGCCGCTTCAGGGCAACGCACGCCATCAGTTGAATGATATCCTTCACAATGTGTGTGAAAACCGCCAGAATCGGGTCGAGGTAATCAGCCTTCTTCTTTCAGTTCTGCAGGACGGAAGTTCGGATGTCTCCGCAATCGAACGTAGTTTTGCTCAACTCTCGCTACGGGCCAAACCTCCTTCAGTCCAGAAGACCCCCCAATCTGTCAAGCGCAGTTTGGCCTTCCAGCCTTCTTCAAGTGTCAGCAATGACGTAACTCCGGTAATGGTGGTGCAGCAATGTCTTGGGACTCTTTCGTTCTTGTCCCAATACAATCCCCATATTGCGTGGTTTTTCTTGACTGAGCATGATCCTTCATCTACGTTGAAGCTAAAGGCTTTTCGCAAGGGTAAAGGCAAGGAAAACAAGGCCAATAAGTTCGCTCTCAATGCGCTACTTACTCTCCTTGATAGAAAATTGATCATGGAAAGCCCCAACTGTATGGAACAGCTTTCGAGTCTCCTCAGCAGTATCACGCAGCCACTCACCCTACTACTTCGTCGTGAGAAAGAGAAGCAAGAGGAAGAAGACAAGGGCAAGAAGCCTGAAACAGCGCAAAATGCTAGGCCTGCTGAGAAGCAGCAACAACAGGAGCAACCATCTGATGCTGCAGAACCTGAGGCCTCTGCTACAGATACAACTATGACAGATGCTCCTCTGCCTAGCGTAGAGAACATCGAATCGCAAACATTGGCGCAGCCTGGTGAGGCTACGTCAGCAGAAGCCTCCAAATCAGAGGCAGAAAAGGGTTCGGCTGACGACGAGAAACATAAGAAAAAATCGATAGAGCCACCTGTTGTCCCAGATCACAACCTGCAGCTGGTTGTTCACATTCTTGCCGCTCGTGAATGCAACGGAAAAACATTCAGGGAAACTCTCTCAACCATAAATAATCTTTCGGCTGTTCCCGGGGCTAGGGATGTGATCGGTAACGAGCTAGTCCGGCAGGCTCAGAATTTGAGCACTACTATACTTACTGACCTAGATGAATTGTTGACACATGTTCATCAAGCTCGGACTGGGACCGACATGCAGGGCTTGGCTCTGGCCAAATTCTCACCAGCTAGCTCTGATCAAGCGAAACTGTTACGTGTATTGACAGCCCTTGACTACTTGTTCGATCCCAGCCGTTCAGATAAGGCTAAGGGTGGTGATTCTGAGCAGGCAGCCAAGGAAGATGTCCTGCAGACTTTGTACGAAAGTTCTACATTCGGGCCTCTCTGGACAAGGCTGAGCGAATGCTTGAGTCTTATACGGCAGAAGGAGAATATGCTGAACGTCGCAACGATCCTTTTGCCCTTAATCGAAGCATTGATGGTCGTTTGCAAGAACACATCGCTCAAAGACACTTCTCTTTCTCGGAACAGCCGGGAGCTGTCTGTGTCCAGCACTTCTGTTGACGCTGGTTTGAATATGGAGAGTCTTTTCTTCAAGTTCACAGAAGAGCATCGCAAGATACTGAACGAACTTGTTCGTCAAAATCCTAGATTAATGAGTGGCACTTTCTCCTTGTTAGTTAAGAACCCCAAGGTCCTGGAGTTTGACAACAAGCGTAACTACTTCACTCGCCGTATCCATTCCCGTGGGGCAGAGCCTCGTCATCCTCATCCCCCCCTCCAACTTTCTGTTAGGAGAGATCAAGTTTTTCTTGATTCATTCAAATCTTTATACTTCAAGTCAGCAGATGAGTTGAAATACGGCAAGTTGAATGTGCGCTTCCATGGTGAGGAAGGTGTCGACGCGGGAGGCGTGACGCGAGAATGGTTCCAAGTACTCGCCCGTGGCATGTTCAATCCCAACTACGCTTTGTTTATCCCTGTGGCTGCTGACCGAACTACCTTCCACCCTAATCGCCTGAGCGGCGTCAATTCGGAGCATCTTATGTTTTTCAAGTTCATCGGACGAATTATTGGCAAGGCTCTGTACGAGGGTCGGGTGCTAGATTGCCACTTCAGTCGCGCTGTGTACAAGTGTATCCTGGGACGTTCGGTATCTATTAAGGATATGGAGACACTCGACCTCGACTACTACAAGTCTCTCCTCTGGATGTTTGAGAATGATATCACTGATATCATCACTGAGACATTTGCTGTGGAGACGGACGACTTCGGTGAGAAGCAAGTGATCGATCTTATTGAAAATGGCCGCAATATCCCGGTCACTCAAGAAAATAAGGAGGAGTACATACAGCGTGTCGTGGATTATCGTCTGGTTCGGTCCGTCAAGGAGCAACTTGACAATTTCCTTAAGGGTGTGTTGTTCTTCTCTCCCTATAACTTAGGATCTGCAACTAATCAATATCTTTAGGGTTCCACGAAATAATTCCTGCCGATTTGATTTCGATCTTTAATGAACAGGAACTTGAGTTGTTGATTTCTGGTCTCCCGGAAATTGAAGTGGATGACTGGAAGGCAAATACCGAGTATCACAACTATTCAGCCTCGTCGCCTCAGATTCAGTGGTTCTGGCGTGCCGTTCGCTCATTTGACAAGGAAGAGCGAGCCAAGCTACTGCAGTTTGTGACAGGAACGAGCAAGGTGCCTCTTAACGGCTTCAAGGAGCTTGAAGGTATGAATGGAGTTAGTAGATTCAACATTCATCGTGACTATGGCAATAAGGATCGCCTTCCAAGCTCGCACACATGTTTCAACCGTAAGTTCTTCCCATAACTTTGATTTGGATGTTACAGGATACTGACCATGTGAAATAGAGCTCGATCTTCCGGAATATGAGAGTTATGAGACATTAAGACAGCGGCTCTATACTGCCATGACAGCCGGTAGCGAATATTTCGGGTTCGCATAGACTGGTAGCGCTGTTCTTCTGACTCAATGTGGACGATAGTCACTGGTTCCTGATCCACCTTGCATATCTTTTCTCTCTCTCTTACTCTTCTTGTTCTAATGCCTGAGCATTTGGCGGCGTTAAGCTACACAATATCTTGTTCTCTTCTACCTAGTTTGTACTATGTGGGCAGTGCTACTGGGATCGATTATGTTTTACGAAAAGGAGGACACTCAGATCGCAATTGGCAGCTAGTTGAAGTGCAGGTCAACTAGTACACCAAATCGATGATTTTGCACTGTTGAGAAAAAATCGTTTCCTTTCTTTTTTATCTGTTTTTACTTCACATTCATGTATTTAGGGTTGTGTTTTTTTTTTAGATCTCCAAATATTTTACTGTTTTCCAACCAACATGTTCTCGTAGGCGGTAAGCGGCCACGGGCCGGGGGGGTCACGGGATGCAGTGATTTTTCCGCTGGGGAAAAAAAGTTGCGGCGGGGCATCATTGTATCAACTTTTCTTTGACTCTGGGGTTTGATGATTCTCCTCAGTCTCTAAATCTCTTTCAACGCCTTCGTCATTGTCTTCTCCTGCCCTGGCTCTCGCAGATCGATCTTTATTCTTCCGACTCCACACTTCCTGAATCCGGTCAACAATTGACCTCGAGACCACCATGGCTGCCAACTCAATCAAGCTGTTGACTGGTAACAGTCACCCTGAGCTTGCGAACCTTGTGGCTGATCGGTATGCGACCCATTATCACCGAACAAGCTCTGTGATATCGTCCATTCGCTAATCATTCTTTGCTTCGCCCCTCAGCCTCGGCATTGAACTGACCAAGATCATGGTCCTTCAATACTCAAACCAAGAAACGAGCGTGACCATTGGTGAAAGCGTACGAGATGAAGATGTCTTCATTCTGCAATCCACGAAGCCCAACGATATTAACGATGGTTTGATGGAGCTTCTCATCATGATCAATGCTTGCAAGACAGCTTCGGCGAGACGTATCACAGCTGTTATTCCCAACTTCCCCTACGCTCGTCAAGATAAGAAGGACAAAAGCCGTGCGCCTATCACTGCAAGGCTTATGGCCAACATGCTTCAAACCGCTGGTTGTAATCATGTAATCACCATGGACCTTCACGCCAGCCAGATCCAGGGTTTCTTCAACGTTCCGGTCGACAACTTGTACGCCGAACCAAGCATACTGAAGTGGATCCGGGAGAACCTCGATGTGAGCAACTGTATCATCGTCAGTCCGGATGCAGGTGGTGCTAAGCGGTAAGTGAGCTGCATTTTCGCAAACGTCCGAGGAGACGGTTTTTGTAAAGTTCATTACTGAATGCGTCTCTTGTGTTCAGTGCCACCGCTATTGCCGACCGACTTGACCTGCAATTCGCTCTTATTCACAAGGAACGTCCTCGTCCGAACGAGGTCTCCCGCATGGTTCTCGTTGGCAATGTTCAGGATAAGGTTGCCATCATCGTGGATGACATGGCTGACACATGCGGAACTCTGGCCAAGGCGGCCGATACGGTAATGGAGCACGGAGCTAAGGAAGTGAATGCGATCGTTGTTCACGGTATCCTTTCGGGCAAGGCCATTGAAAACATCAACAAGAGTTGCCTCAAGCGCCTTGTCGTCACCAACACTGTTCCTCACCAAGAGAAGAAGGAGCAGTGCGACAAGATCGAGACCATTGATATCAGCCCTACACTTGCCGAAGCCTGCAGGCGAACACATAATGGCGAATCTGTGAGCTTCTTGTTCTCGCACGCTGTTGCTTAAATGGCTGGACAGGGATGAGTATGTCGCAGTTGGTGTGATTTTCAAGGGATCTTTTACTGGGAAGGAAGAAGGGAACATTACTCTTCTAGTTGCAATTCAAATGCTCGGCGCTTTTGAGATTTGCAGTTTCTCCACTGGCAATTGGATCTTTCTTTTTGTTCTGGCCTTGAGACAGGGAAACTTACCGTCTGATACCTATACTATAACGTGATTAAGGCCATGATGCATGCACGAGCCATAAATGGAAAAGGGATGGCAAATTCTGAAAAGTTTGTGGCGCCTATGATGAATTGAATTATGCATTTGTACATATACGCGTACTTGAGGAGTTGTGTTTTTTATAGTTTTTCTATTTTATGGTGATAGAGGAAATCAGAGAAACCGATAGCTTGGCCCACGCCACTTGAATGTTAATGCTGCCGCACAAGTCAAGACTACCGGGATATTGCGAGGCCCGATTATCGTTACTTCCTTATTTCCTCCCCGTAGGATCCCCATAAGCTTGAGAGGACTTGAAAGGATAATACTAAGTAGTACGATGGCGGGCTGCAAAGGTACGTCCTCTTAAGGAACATAAGCAAAAAGAACTGGATTTGCGATTGTGAGTACAAAAAAACATCGAGCTTCATTCATTTATCAAGCAGTGCTAGCAGTCCGCGGAACCGTTACCCTGTTACCGTGCAATGTGGATCCGAAAACAACAAAAACTTCTTTCACATTTTTTCCCTTCATTCCATGTGTAGATATGGCTTTTTAAGAAAAAGGTAGCACGCTAAAGCCTCGGTCCCGCAGGCGTATGCTCCCCAAGGAGTATCTTCCATTCGCGTGGGTTACACCACTGCTCTGCACCTCGATAGCCCCCTTTCCTCGTCCGCTGAGATTTTTCCCTAGCCATAATAGAGACGTAACCCGACCATTAACCCCAGAGAAGATGCATTTACTTTCTCATAGAAGAGGCCCTCCGCTTGCGGAGCTCGTCACGCTTAGCCTTCTCCTCGTGGACACGGGTGGCAAGGAGCTTGGCGTAGTCGTTACTGTTTCATAGCAATTAGTAAACCTAGACCTGAACAAGAAGAGACAAGGGAGCTTACGCAGCCTCGCGAGCAGCCTCAGAGCGGCGGCGCTTGATGGCAATCCTGTGCCGCTTGCGCTGGAGACGCTGGGGGGTAACCAGACGCTGGATCTTAGGGGCCTTGGTGTAATCGGCCTTGCCCTCCTTGGTGACGGTACGGCGGATGACGAACTTGCGGACGTCGTCCTTCTTGTCGAGGCCGAAGAAACGGCGGATCTTGGTGGCACGCTTGGGGCCGAGTCTCTTGGGGACGACAACGTCGGTGAGACCGGGCAGCTCAGTCTCACCCTGCTTGACGATGCTCAGGGCCAGAACAGCGAGATCGAAACCGGTGATGGCTGTGGAACATCGTCAACAACGATCTATGTGCACAGGGCAACATTTTTCTTTGATATAAACATACCACCACGGACAGACTTGCGCTTACGCTCACCGGTGCGGCGGGGGCGGTAGCAGCTGTGGCCATCGGCGAGGAGAAGACGGGTACGGGTTGGAAGGAGAACTGGAGAGATTCGATAAGTTTTCCTGCTGGTGACACCTGAGCGTTCATGTCGGTCGGTACATACCACCCTGCTTCATGGGGAAACCTGGTAAAAGTGAAATGTCAGCACTTTGCTCACTCTAATTCCATAACTTATATGCCATGTCCCTCTATCCCCCAATCCAATAACCAAGGAGAATCTTGAAAAAACAAATTCCAGTCGTACCTTGCTTGTCGTTACCACCGGTGATCTTGAAAAGGTAACCCTTGAACTCATCGCCAAGGGAGTCACCGGCAACCTATTGAACGAAAATTTCCCCAATCAGTCTTCTGGTTTCCAAATCATCGCATGTTGTGTGTATCAAATTGCAAATCGAAGGGCGTGGTGCAAAATAGGGATATGGGGTTGCTGACTTCGGTTCCCATGCGCTTCTCCATGAAGGGACGGAGCTTGCGCTCATCGTCAACCTCGATGATCTTCTGCGACCCATTGGCCGGGTAAGAGATGTTGAGCTTCATCTTGACGGAGCTGCGCGGTCAAGACGGAGGGCGCGGGTATTGTCGACAGGTCGAGGAGATTAGGTCGTCGGAGATTCTGTACTTGGGATTTTTGGCCGCTGTGGTGTAGCGAGATTTCCCTCTGTGGGCGGCTGACTAACACCCGCTATCCCGTCCCGGGTTTAGTGCCGCGAAGTAGGGCTTCTTATGTCAGCCGCTTTCCTCTTTGGGATGTTTACCAGCCTCAGGTTTCCATTTTCCTACCCCTAACTCTCTAACATACATACATACAGTGGAGATGCTATTTACATGTATCCTTCTGCTAGTTCGGTTACTCAAACTGCTGTGTACCATAGCAAAAGGACTTTCAGCAGTATAAGTCAACTTCATTGATTTGCTTTTTCTTGAAATTTTATTCTGATTCTCTTCTATCGCTATCGCTATTGGAATTGTTTTATGAGTTATGGAATATGATAGAATGAGGCCAACAGAAGTAACATGAATGTTAGTACATACATCGTTTCAATGTATGTGTGTGTGTAGTAAAAGTCCAACATCGAAAAAGTGGTCCCAATCCCGTTGCTGATCAGCATTAACTTGCATTGGGCTTAGTCATCCCCGGCAAATTATGCATATAAAAAAGAAATTGTGTATCTAGACGACGCAAGACAATCAAGCCAAGTGGGCACCGACGCAATGACCCGAGCACGCGACTGGTTGACCGATCCGGAGTCGCCGCGCGGACAACAGCCTTATTATGGGGAATAAGGTGCTGTGAACGCCTGAGGCTGGCCAAACGTCTCTTATTCTTAGCATGATTCAATGCGGTAGTCGTCTCCTTTCGTTTTTACGTCTTGTCTTTTTTACTTCTTGTCGTCGTCCCCCTTCTTCTCTCAACGTTCTTACTTCATCCGTTCATCCCCTAGCTTTTTGTTCCCCCTATATCCATTGTCGGTGTTTAAGAACTTTTTTCCCTCTCCCTTCCCATTTTCCCCACCGGGCTTGACAACCATCTCATCCCAGCGCTAGTCTCAACTGAAGTCCCGGGGTCTGCACGGTACCTTTGGAGGTACGGATATATCTTCCTCCTCACAGTCGCAGGGGGTAAACCCTCATTTGATCAAAACCCGGACCTCCGATACACATAGACATTTTTATCCGTACTCCATTCCAGCAGCAGAGCGTCTCATAAAAGCAAGCCACCTGACATTCATATTCACAATCCATCGGATGGAATCGCCAGCAGAAAGGTAAAAAGACTGCCGACCGCCAATAGCTACAACAGGGCTGGCTTCAGACGCCTTTGTCACCTTTCCGTTCCTTTGTACTGGCCCCTTTGTCTCAACCCGCGATGCGCCTCTTCAACAAGTTCCACATTGTATGCGCCTTAGCGGTAGCCAGTATCCTGCTGTCAGCCTGGTTCCTCGCTTCCCAGCATTACTATAAACGAGTTGTTCCGACCAATGGCGAAGACTCCAGTTTCAATGTCGCTACATCCTTTGAGCAGAGGTTAGTTGTCTTTGGGGATTCGTGGAGTGACAACAATGCGGGCGAACTTCAAGGGTCCGTCTGGACGGAGTGGCTTTGTTCACTGGTAAGCAAACCCAAAAGACAAAGGCTGTCTCAGGACCCGAAATTATGATGAGCTCATTCAAGTCTTAGTTTCAATGCCATCATGAGAACATGGCGCAGACCGCCAAGTCACTAAGAGGAAAGTATATTGGCTCAGTCGTAGACAATGAGGAGTTACCAGCGTCCTTGCTCAACTTACACAAGTCACCACTGGCGGATTTCAAGACTCAGGTTAGTCAGTGGACCGCCGCCGAGACACGTGTCGTGCAAGAAGACCTAGCGGGCAACAAGGAATCGATCAGCTATCGCCAGAATCACACCATTTTTATCGTATCCTTTGGGGTGTGGGATGTGTGGAACTTGTTAGATAGGGACTACGACACTGCAAAGCAATCTGTGGACCGCAGCATTGGAGTCATCATCGATCAGCTCAGTGTGCTGTCTCAGAGTTTGGGCACGGTCGAGCTCAAAGTCATTCTGACATTGACTCCAGATGTGACCTTCTTTCCGGCGTTCAGGCCCACCAGAAGTCAACGTATCGGTCGGCACAAAGACGCCGTCCGACTGACGGATTATTGGAACAGCCGACTTCGTGAGGCTGCGGAAAAGTGGGATCAAGGCACGATCTATCTGTTCGATACGAATGCTTTTCTAGCAGACCTGATCCGTGATTGGCAGCTTTTTGCTGCCGGTATTGAAGAACCCAATGGGCTGGGTAAGAACCAGGAGCCCGGGTGGGAGAATGTCGACGACGCATGCGTCGAAAATGAACAGCAATTAGTGATGACATCAGAAGTGAAAAAATGCGACAACCCAGAAAAGTTCTTATTCTGGTAAGCTCAAGACATCATTGACTCAACCCAGACTGACAATATCTTCAGGAACGAGATGCATTTGGGTCCATCGGCCCACCGACTCATGGGTACAGAAATCTTCCACGGGATCGAAGACATGTGGCTCCAATGAAAAGAGCATTACAAGGGTAAAATAATAATAATAGTAATGAAAACCAGAAAACCATGAATCAGAAAGGAAAATTTTATAATAGCCAAAATTCATCTTCCATTTTCTCTTTACACCAACGATAGGGCATGCGCAATCTCGACGTAATTCGTTATTCGTTGTATTTCTGTAGACAAGCTCTAAGCCAACGGTTGGTTTCCGACAAAAAAACGCTTGCTGAAGAGGAACACAGCCAGGGTAACCTCAGCTTACGAGCTCACAAAGAAGCCATCGTGTTCAGCTTGTTTGACCTCCTCCCACCAAGGGACTTAGACTTAGGCCAATCTTGCGTCGCTAACTGTCATCTTGTTTCATTCAGCGTCAGCCGGATCTAGACGTTGAGAGATCCAGAACCAGAGACTCGCGATCTAGCGAGGTAGTATGTCCCATTTCAAAACGGTGGAGCAAGGAGAGACGAGACTACATCGGGGACTCGATTGCAACGCGATTGTGGAGTGGAGATCACGGAATGGGAGATCGACCCAATACTTTGGGAGGTCTGCAAGTTGTAACCTTCATGGGTCCATTGGCACAAGGCTTCCCCCAGGCAGCTGGGGGAGTACATTGACGCCGATCATTTCTTGACGTAGGAGGGAAGAAGTTCTTTGTGCGAGGGACTGCGGCTTGTAAGAGTGTGATCCTTTGACTTGATTTGAAATTTTTTAGATTTTTCAAAAAAGAAAAAAATAATATGCATCATTCTTTCATTTTGCTTGTTTCTTTGTTCTGAACGGAGCAATCATTTAGTTAGCGTTGCTTGCTACCTGACTGGGAGCAGAGCTGACTTGCTAGCAGTGCCTACCTTAACTCAATTTGTCATAGTTTGTACCAGTTCCTTTCCCTCTTTAGGTCAAGTAACGGTGACTTGGATGCTTGGTTCACCTGATTTAATCAGGCAAGTGTCATTTTTGACAGTGGGCCAATAAGTATGGAGGAAGGTCGATGGTCCCTAATTGGCCCGGAATCCCTGCTAGAGACCGCATGCGGGCGCCAGGGGGGAGACAAAGGACGGCTTGGAAAATCAAACATCGAAACAATGCCTCCCCTGTTCATCTGGACTGGGCCTAAACTTGGCTGACTCACCCTCCAGTTGGTAACTACCTTGAGCGAGGTCATCTAGTAGTTCAACTCTTCTCCCTTTTTTTTACGTTTTCCTTCATTTTTGTACTAGTACGTAGCACGGACGTTGTATCATTACCTCGTCTTCCATTGTAGGGTACCATGGGAATGGATGTCTATGAGACCTTCACCTTGTTAATGGTTTCATTACCAAGGGTTGAATGAAAATAGATCTACCTTTCAATCCTACCTGAGTTGGAGTTATCGTTACAGTTCTGTCTCTGGAGGTTCCATTCATCTATGGCATTCTGTAGTTCTGGTGGGGAGGGGGGGATTGGTTTAAGGGATCCGAGGGTATTTGTGTCATCTTGAACAGAGAGACAAAGAAAGAAAAGAAAAGAAAAAAGGGAAAAGGAAAAAGAAAGAAAGAAAAGGGCTAAAAAAAAAAAGAAAAGAGTGGTTTGGTACAGGAAGTACTAACTATACCTTAAAGGAGGGCGGCAAACTAAGCCGAATGGCTCCAAAGATAGACTTATAACAAAGCACTTCAAAAGCCAAATCCCTGGCTTTATCTTGTCCTATTCTTCCACCGTGTTGAGGTTTTGAGTCCATACATTATTGTCAAAGGGTAAAAAAGCGAGAGAAAAAAAAAAGGAAGATAGAAGAAATTATTACAACCCTCCCTCAGGCTGAGAGAGAGAGAAAGAGGGAAGGAAATAAATAATATAACACAGGGGAAAAAAGAAAAGAAGAGAAAAAAGGGAAATTAAAATCCCCTCCACGAGGGATCCGCTTTCTATTATAACCTTATATCTTGTTTTTTTCTTTCGTTCTCGTTTCTTTTTTCTTCTGTCTTCGGGGCGTGTTGTTCTTTCTCTATAACCATCATACCTACTCTTTCATCTAATGAGTCCCTCGTCTTTCACCCCCTCCAAAGCACCACCTTCTCAATTCCTATCAGAGACGCCGTTCATTCCTTCCTTCTTTTAAATGTCTTTCGATCGAGTTCTCCCCAAGCCCGCTGCTTTGCACTATGACCCCCCTCAAGTTACTCTTCCCAGGCCGACCAGTAACCTCCTCGAGCACAAGATCATGAATGACAACGTCTCCAAGGTGTCCATGCTGGACCGCCATATGGATGGAGTTCCGGTCGGGGGTTCATGTCGATATGCGGCTGATGGACTACCCCAAGTCCATCTCTCTTCCCTAAATCGGGCCAAGATCGCTCTGAATAAGATAGCGTCTAATGGTCCCATCGAGCCGCCAAAGGCCGCGGCTCCCTTGCCAATGAAGAACATCCCGTTCCGAGAACGGTCTTCGGCATCAGAGCGCTCTTCGTCCTCAAGTCCAGTGAAGTCAGCCGCTAGAGAGCCAGTGACCCAGTTTTGTCTGTGTCAACCGGACCCTAAAATCCCAAGACCTCGCAATGGTATGCTTGCATTGTTCCATTTAGAATCGTTTGTATCTCAGTGTGACTCCCAGAGCTGACAAACTTGTCCCAGCTTTCATCCTATATCGTCAGCACTATCAAGCTTCAGTGGTCGCGCAGAACCCCGGCCTTGCCAACCCCGATATCTCCAAAATTATTGGAGAGCAATGGAGGAGGCTTCCCCAGGAGACGAAGGATGAATGGAAGGCTCTAGCAGAGGTAAAAAAGAAAAGACAATACCTGCCCTACTTATAGCGTTCTTTAGCATGCTAATATCCGTGATAGGAAGAGAAAGCTCGGCATCAGCAGCAGTACCCAGAATATCGGTACCAGCCTCGGCGTTATGGCAGGGACGGAAACTCACGAAGTACGAGTTCCGGGATCAGCCATAACCCTCCAGGCTCTACTGCTTGTAGTCGGTGTGGGGGGCGTGTGATGAACCCACCTGTATCACCAGAAGTCCCTTTCAATCCGAATGGTTCCAATGGAAGTAGAGCCTCTTTACAGCGCGAGCCGATCACAGATCGCAGTTATCCATGCCGAGTAAAGGACTTGGACCACCCTTCGAACTCAATCAAGATCGGAAACAGTGGGGAGTCTCTTTCCTCGCGACAACGCCAATGGGAGGAGAATAGATCCCCAGATTCCAAGCGTCGCCGGATCAGCACCCAGCTACCAAGCAAAACAAGTATTCACCGGGACAGAAGCCCAGAGGCATCATATCCGATCTCACCATATACTGCCCGCCCAGATGCTCCAAGCTCCCGTGGATCTTTTCAGATGTTGCAGCCTCCACGACCTTTCCGAAGTGTCAAGGAGTACCCACAACCTGACCCCAGTCTGAAGCTCCCACCGTTACAGACAACTACTTCCGTTTCCAGCTCTGCGACACCAGTGACTCCGTATGTCCAGGATGCCTCCAGCCTGGAGGCAACGGTGATGACTATCCCATTCCTAAACAAGATTAAGGTCCTAGCCAAGATATCACCGCCCCTCTTCCCCTCTTTTCGAGATGGAGCGTCACGGAGACGAGGAGCTGTGGTATCGGTGGATGGGCAAGACCCTATCGCTGTCAAGTCAGTGGTTGACTATCTTAATAATGCGTTGGAGAAAGAAGGGAGATATCACACCCATCTTTTCGAGGGGCCCGAGATTCGTCCGCGGGAATGTTACTCAGAATCTGGGCAGATGGGTGATGCCACAGTTGATTATCTGAATACCATCTCAGCCTGGCATCGCATATCGGATGAGATCGTGGGATTCATCAAGCCTCCATATGAATCATTAGAGCCAAAGTCTGTGGACGAAGACAGTTCCACACCAGGAGCGTCACCCAAAGCCCCCATTCCTAAAGGTATTGACACTCATATCAGCTCACCAGCACAGTCGAGTGAGGGTGGATCTGTATCGTATTCGCCCTCTTCTGGATCTGTATCCCTTCCCGTACCTGTGGCTCTTGTTCCTAGGTATCAGCTTACCACAGCAGACGCCTTCGCCTGCTCCGTGCCTATCGGGGACTCTTATGCACCATTGGATCATTGGCAGTGGATGGCATCTCTATGGCGTGCCTGTGTAGGTCCGGATATTACAGTCTATGTTCGCGAGTGTGAGAAAGACGAGTTGGAGCGATATGGGGGAAACCCCGTTGAAGTTCGCCTGCTTGATACGCGAACCATAGTGGTGCGGAGAATAGTCGGTTCTCCAAGAGAGCTAGAAGAGAAGGCTCTGAAGCGTGTGGGGTTTGAAATTGAGGATTACCTCACCCAATAGCTGTATGAGATTCCCTGCCGTCTCAAAAATATTCTGTCTTTCTTCTGATCACTTTTCTCTTATCGCTCTTATTTTCCTATATATTCCTTTTTCTTGTTCCTTTGCATGCGAAAGGGGACATGACGGTGGTTTCATCTATTCTATTCTATCTTCCCTTTTCCTTTTTCTTCTTTCGATGAAATATTTCTCGGGCAGCTGTGGAGTATACTGGAGGCTCTATGCTTTAAGTAGCCCTCGATTCGGTTTGTCAATTGGTCTGCAAGTATGGGACGGCGTACATATATGTTCGGGATTCATGTTTGGACAGATTCCCCTTTGTGTGTTGAGTCACCAGCTGTTACTGGAGTGAACATGTCTTGACTATAATTTTTTATAACCCTTTTAATAATAATAGATTGAACTTTCAGCTCAGATATCGTATTCTCTTCAAAATTTGCGGTTAATCAATGCTCTCTGTAGAGTCAGTCCCTCAGCCAATGTAACCCTAAATGGCAAGTTCAAGGCGGTCAGTGATGCTCTCCAATCAGATGTCTTTGATAGCGGGATATTCGTCTTATCGCCCCCTGCTTGTCACGTTTGCAACCAACAAACACCCACCCACCGTACCTCTGGACCGTGTATACGTTCTTTATGGTTGACAATCTCTTATAGTGAGAGGGATACCACTATTTATTAATGTCCTTTATATGAGGTTTGATAATCTGTCCATTGTGCTTTTGGCTATCTTAACATTAGCACTGGGAGTCAGTGAATGAAAGACCCTATCTAATGAAGTCTCACATCCCATCTGATGTTCTTAAGTATCATAACTATGAGAACAGTTGAGTACCACAACTCTACAACCTATTTGTTCTTTGCGGATGGGTCCTCTTAATCCAAGGACTGACCTATTTTACTTCTTGTTACTCATCAATTTGCCAAGGATTTGACAATGACATTACCCGTCTCTTTATTTGCCTTCAGTAGTTAGGGATTAAAGTGAATGCTGTGCAATCATCCAGGGCATATCGAGATGCTCCCTCCTAGTTCTCCTGTCCCTGAGTCGACAGATAGCACGCCTGCATCTCTGTCGACTGCTACGTGTCCAGCGTCAACAAACAAGAGCATCGCAGCATCAGTGAGGAAAGACACCCAAGATGAAAAGTACGGGCTTATTGAAAATGTCGACCTGTATCTCCCCGTGGGTGTTCTCATGAAGCCCACTGCCCAAGATGCCGACGCTCCATTGGCACAACCAGATGACTTCCCTCACTCAGAAATCTCTAACTTGGAAAAACACCATTGGATTTGGACTAGCACCAACCAACAGTGGAACTACTTACGTGTGTATGTCTTACCTGATGATGTGGGTCGTAAGGTTATTCCACGCTCGAGTGCGCCATTAAGGCGTGCACTTAAGCTTGTCATGGCGAAGATCGACCGGTCACCTGCAGCATGGACTGGATGCTTCTCTATCGGCAACAAGAATGGAGATGATCCCGAGGGTGCAAGGAAGGATGAATCACTGTGGTACATTTACAATACTTTGCAAAACCCCGAGCCCAACCCGGACTCGATGAGAGACCCTTGGGCAAAGAAAGCCATGCAACAACTACTTTCGGCAACGTCTTCAAAATCTTATGATGGTTATGACCTTGAAGATGGCGCAGAACGACCTAGAAAATTTTGCTGTGTTCCGTACCTGAAAACACCTTTATACCCTTACCAGCGCCGTTCAGCTGCCGCCATGATTCAGCGAGAGGCGCAGCCGGCCCCGATGCTTGATCCTCGACTTGTGAGATATGTCACCCCCACAGGAAAAGAATATTACTACGACAAAGAAGAGGGCAATATCCTTCAGGAGAAGCGAATGTATTCCGAGCCCCGTGGAGGTATTATGTGCCGAATTTGATCGATGGTCTGGCCTGCTAACTCTAACTAGGTATTCTTGCAGAGACCATGGGCTGTGGGAAGACACTTATCTGTATAGCTGTTATCCTGGCAACTCGTGGCCACTTCCCCCAAATCCCTCTAGAACATCAGGATATGGTGAACCCAGTACGGACGCATACTGGCAGTCTTCTCGAAATGGCAGCTGCAGCCGCAGGTCGGTTATCATTGCCTTGGAAGGGGTATTTTGAATCTATGAGACACTCCGGCGCGTTATTCGGTAAATGCATCAAAGCATGCGAGGAGAATCGTGGTACATATACTATACCATCACCACCAGCAAGATACAGTGGCCGAACTGGCGTGGCTTATCCAAGACCACCCCCTCAGCGGCTTTCCCTTTGTTCAGCGACCTTGATTATCGTCCCACCGAATCTTATAAATCACTGGAAAGAGGAAATTGCTAGACATGCTGAAGGGATCATTGTCCTCGTAATACAGGGCTTATTAGACCCTACACCTACTACGGACCAGCTCTTGAGATGCGACATTGTATTGTTTTCAAAAACTCGCTTTGAGAAAGAAGCAGGTGAACCGTCTAATAATAGGCGAAGATTTATCAAACCGGTCTCCCCGCTGGCAAAACTACATTGGCTTCGAATCATCGTGGACGAAGGTCATAATGTGGCCGGTAGCGGCCATAGGACGAATATGGTTCATATCCTAGACCAGCTTCATGTGGAGCGTCGATGGATAATTTCGGGGACACCATCTAGTGGCTTATATGGGGTTGAAGTCAATTTGGCTTCACAGGAGACCAATACTACCGACACAGATATGGCAGAAGCCACGGCCGCTATGCTTCATGGGAGGGAGAAGACCAGCTTTGTCGACAATGAACTCAAGGATATTGACAAACTACGACACATTGTCGTTGGATTCCTAGATGTGAAACCATGGTCAAATTCTCGAGCCGATGACTCTGCTAACTGGACCAAATACATGAAACCTATTGGGGAAGATCGTAAGCGTCGGAAGGCACAGTCACTCCGTGCGACTTTGCAGAGCCTGGTTGTACGGCATCGCATGGAAGTTATCTATAGCGAGGTTCCTCTTCCAAGGTTGCACAACAGGATCGTGCGTCTTGAGCCGACATTCTACGACAAGCTGAACATTAACATGTTTATTTTCATATTGACGGTCAACGCCATCACTTCCGAAAGAAAGGACCAAGATTATATGTTCCATTCGCGTAACCGAAAACATTTGAGTTTATTGATCAGTAACCTGCGACAAGCTGGATTTTGGTGGGCTGGTTCCGAGGGTGACATTCAAGGAACGATCAATATCGCGTCAAAGTATATAGAAGATAACAGAGAAAGAATGACCGAAGACGACATACTGATGCTCACACAGGGTATTCAGATAGCTGAGAAGGCGGTTGCCTGCGAGAATTGGGAGCGTTTCAAACAATGCCATGAACTGGGGGTGTTTCTTGAAAGATTCCCTTCTCCTGCTCGGGACATGTGGGCGCTCACACCATTGCGGTCTGATGTCGAGCCCCTTTTGCTAGGAATCTCACAGGCCCGTCATGCCCAGAAGTTTGTTACTGCGCGTCTTAATGAAACGTATCCAGAAGAAGGTCTTGCCGGAGCTGGTCTCAAGGCTCGCAATGCACTGGCAGGTCGACAAGGACACCCGGATCCTGCAATACATAAAAAAACTGCTCCCAATACGTCGAATGCCGCCAGCTTCAAAACTTTACCGGCATCTTCCCCCCTGGCGCGGACAAAGTTTGTTGCCACAGCATCTGCAAAGATGACTTACTTGTTGGATCGCGTTCTAGAACTCTACCAACAAGAGAAGATCATTATCTTCTATGATAACAACAACTCTGCGTTCTGGATTGCGGAAGGCCTTGAGCTACTTGGAGTTGAGTTTCGTATCTACGCAAGCACACTAAAACCCCAAGTTAGAGCGGCTTACCTGGAACTATTTCGAGAACGCGAGGACGTCCGTGTTCTCCTTATGGACCTGCACCAGGCAGCCCATGGTTTACACATCGCTAATGCCTCGCGTGTGTTTATTGTCAATCCCATCTGGCAACCTAATGTGGAGAGTCAGGCGATCAAACGAGCACATCGTATTAGCCAAACTTTGCCAGTGTTTGTTGAGACTCTCGTCCTCAAGGATACTCTGGAAGACAAAATGTTGCAGCGAAGAAAGGCCATGTCAGAGACAGAAATGCAGCATGCGGAGAGAGACTTGCTCGATGACAGCACTATGAGCTCCATCATTCAGAACGAGCACTTCCTCCCCATGGCAGATGACGAAGACCTTTCTGGACCAGCGTACTTGAAGCACCCGCCTGGTTTCTTTGACCGCCACAAACTACCATATTCTGGAGAGGACCAACCTCCTTCATCTGCTGGTGGAAGTCCCAGACGGCGCAAGCGGGGACCCATACCTATAGACATCGACCCGAGCACCACAAGCGACTCAGGCGTTGGGACGCCTAAACGCCTGAGGGTATCCGAGGGTACATACTTGTCTCCCGATGGTATCTTTATGAAGACTTCGTCATTGATGGACTCCACCGACGGAACCAGTGAGACTCCAGAGGAATATAAATCCATTTTCAATTAATTTTGTTAGACGTTCTTGTATCTGTGCAACTCTGTAAGGATTTCTATCATGTATTATCCACTCTGTATGAGTTAAACAGACATATTAAGATGGATATCTGTTCAGAAAGACGATTTATTTCAGTCGTTCGATGTTCAGCATATTACTCTTTTAAACAAATCGTTAACGACCACATCGATAAACATCTCGCTTAGTTAGCTATACCAATTAAATCATAAATAGGCAAATAATAAGCCATATCGCGACCCCAACTTCACTTTAAGCCAGCAAGTTAGTAAAACTTTAAGAATACCTGAAAAACAAGGCACCGATCACCACCAAGATAAGCCAACACTAAGATCTAGATGTATATAATCACAGACCCACTCTCCCCCACCAGTCTATCTATTAATTATCAACCCGAGAGCATTCCTTCCGCTCCCGTAAGTCCTATTAGCTTTCATCAATGTCATACCGTCTACTCATTCTAACCATCTCCTAGACTAAGAAAGAGGCCAGAAATGACGTCCCATACCGGCATAATCGGTATCTCGGGCCCCTCATCCAGCGGCAAAACAACCCTAGCTCGCCTACTGCAGAGAGTATTCTCCAAAGCGGCGACAGCCCGCCTCGGGACATTCATCATCCACGAAGATGATTTCTATTTCCCCGATGATCGGTACGTACGATTATACATCTAAATACAAAGTATAAGTATTATGATTCTATAATTAAATTAGCCTCCTAGTTTCTTAAAATATTCCCCCACAAATCCTTTTGTTCCCCAAGTTAAAATGGTAAAGTTAACAAGGTACTTACAGAATACCCTACACAACAACCGCAAGCGGAAAAGCCGTGCAGGACTGGGACACCATCTCCGCAATCGACGTCCACTTTCTATCCTCGACACTCTCCTACGTCCGCGAACACGGACATCTTCCACCCCGCCTAAAGAGCATCCAGGACCTCAATGAAAAGGCCGACTCCGGTGTTGACGAGGGGACGATTTCCCAGCTGCAGGAGGAAGTGGGGGAGCGGCTTCGGTCGCTTTTCGATGCTGGTTCCGGGAGTGAAGGTGCGGTGAAGAAGCATACGATTGCTTTCCTGGAGGGATTTTTATTATACAGTCCGCCTGAATCGGAGGATAAGGACCATGTGCTTCGTTCTGTGCACGAAAATATTGATGTGCGGTTGTTTTTGCCCGCACCGTACGATGTGGTCAAGTCGCGGCGCGAGAGTCGGAGCGGGTATGTGACGAGTGGGCCTGCGCCTGAGCCGACTTCTCTGCCGCAAAGAAGTTCGGTGTCAGATCATGGAAATGTGGATTTGGAGGGCGAAGATGATCGACCACCGCAGAACTTTTGGACGGATCCGCCGGGCTATGTCGACGATATTGTGTGGCCGCGATATGTTCAGGATCACGCATGGCTGCTCCTGCCTGAAGGGGACTCCTATCAGAGGAGTACCCTAAGTGCAGATAGCCCCGAGTTGATCAAGAAAGTGGGACAAGGGGTTAACCTGAGAACAAATACTGGTGTCGTTGTCGCTCCCGGTCAGGGGTCCAAGCCTATGGCGGATATCCTGAAGTGGGCAGTTGAGGAGGTGATGAAGTACGTAGAGACAGCATTGCAACGGCAGTAGCCGAGTTTTTTAATGGAAGATAAATGAAAGAAAAAAAGATCATATTTATGCATTTCCTGTGAAATCTGATCCATAGAATAGAAATATCCCATTCCATTCTCATCAATTTTGTCATCATTTCTCTACCTGCCCAATTTGTCATGCCGCGTGTTCAACGGGCCCTTTCCATCCCAGAAGATAATCGATCTTATCTCTCAAGGCGAATTCTTTACCTAACACTGGACTCAATTCCGCTCCTGGTGCATCAACTGTCTGTGCGCTCTGGTCTTCCGCCGCCACTTGCTCTTCAAGTTCCTTGCAGCTTTCTACGACACCGACCGGTTCCTGGTCATTCGAGACTACATTGTCACTAGTATCATCACCCTTGAATCGCAGCGCGCTGCCAATGCTGCCCGGGGTTTGTTTGAAAAGATGTTCAACAAAGTTGCATTCGAGGCCCGGCTCACCGCCGCCCAGAATTTGCCCATCTATTTCCGATTCATCAAGTAAGTGAAGATTTCTTTGAGTGGTTGCATTCCAAGGGTAATGAAGAACTTTAGAATATGCATGGCTGAGTATGAGGAATCCTAGCGTGCCACAGACCGTAAAGGAAACACCAAGGATGAGAAACAGCAATCCTTTTTGTGATGTTATCCAGGTTGGGAAAGAATCAGTGACTGACGTCCACACGACTCCTAATGCCTCTGGTATTTCGTTGACTGATGGAATCTTATGCTGAGAGTGAGACGGCTGTTCGGGGCGTTCAGATTCATCACAGTCAACCCATGCTTCGACAGTTTGTGGACCAACTTCATCTTTTCCTTCAAGTGTCGGAATGATACATCGGTAGCCTTCTTCTTTAGTGACCACGTCGACATGCATTCTAGCAAATGTAGCTCGAAGTTGGCTTCTACTTCGTTCTTTTGCATTAGAGGTGGTTCCCGGGTGAACTCGTGGCAACCAGTGATTTGCTGTGAAAGAGATGTTGACTAGCCAAGTGATGCAGAACACCCCGAAATCTCTTGGTGAACATATGATTCGTAGGCGAGAAACACCGATAGAAGATGAGCCGCCATTTGCAGGCAAGGTGATCATCTGTATGCCCACATTATGGGGTTGAAGTCGGCACTGGAAATAACCTTCTGGCCCACCGTCTAGTTTGAGAAAGAAGCAGCATTTCTCAGCCCAGAAACAACGTTGCTGCAATCTCAGGGAGCATATTGCGTGGTACCTCACCGACAGGCCTGGCTGTGTAGAGGTATTTCCATCTATAATGGAGTTCAATAAAGGACTGGCCTTAATTTCATGGTCCAAAACAAAATCCTTGACAATGCCATAATTCAGCTGGTCGAAAGATCGCATAGGTACCACAAGGTCCCCTTTATGTATAAACTCAGCAAACAAGCAATCTTCTATCATCTTATATCTGCGAAGATTTGTCGTGCGAAATTCGACCCCATATTTCTCGGGAATAAGGAAGAGGATGAAACCACTCTCTCCGGTCGTCATGTCAGGCAGGCCTGGTATGACTAGGTCGTACCATCCACCTGGTGCCTCTCCGAGCAGAAAAATAGATACGATGATGGCAATCTTGTAAATGCCAGCGCGGACATTGGCCGGGTTCTGAACGAGAAGGACGCCATCAATAACCTTAATCTCGGGCTTGCTTGCACAAAACTCGCAGTCGTCGTGTTTGTGAGTATCACCGGAATAATGATTATGATCCTCTAAAGGACCCAGTTCAAACGTATCGGCCTCGGAGCCTGCGCCTTGCTCCATGTCTAGCAACGAAGTCTGTCCGATTGAGAGGTTGGGTTCCAGGTCAGTTTCAGGTTTTCCTGCTGGCGTAGTATCGGAGCTAGGGGACATTTGTTGGCTAGTAGTCACGCTCCCACAATCAGAGTTAAACCGAGCGTGTCCCGTTAGGTCTAGCACTGTTGCATGTTCATTGACGTTTATTTCTTGGAGCTTACCCGGGTTCTTAGTTGTCGATGTGGAGCGGAAAGTTTGTTCCCCTTGTGCGTAGGTCGTGCTGGCAACCATCGTCTCGGATTGATTATCTAGATTTTCCATGTAATATGTACAGGTAAGGCATCCTTCTGAGCTGGATCGCTGTTGTATATCCGCAGCTGTCTCCAACAATGCGGTCGGTTTGCTAGCTTTGCCTTGGGAAGAGCATGGTCGCGGGTGGTTTGCTGCGTCAAGCTGTACTAAGTTCGATTGGATACATAGATGGCGGTCTGAGATATTGGATTTGTGGATGGCGTCCTTAGGTGGAGTTTTTTGGCCAGGTTGGTCGCCCTCTTCATCTGTTGCAGCATCTGATAGGCAAGCATCTGTAGCACTTCTTTTCCCGAGATTTAGCATTCTGGTATGATCATCACGTTTAGTAAAGTTAGGGCACAGGTCAGGGAAGCGTTCTGTAGGCCAGAAGGATACCTCCCTGGTGGCTATATTCTCATGGACTGGAATGGGTGGGAGAGATGAAGAGCTCATTTCGTCACAAGCTTCAGGTAATGAATGTTCATTGGCGGTGTCAAGCAACCTAGAAAATCCCTTGGGACTCATGGGAGCCGCTTCACTCTCAGGATTGATCGACTCAAAAAGTTCAGAGAGAGAGCTTCGATGAGAACACCCGCTGGGCTGGCTGTTCTGACCCGATTCAGATTGAAAATGACCAGAGGCTGAGTCAAAGAGAACACTAGCGGGCCTGGTATCTAAGACTTGTATTTGAGTGTTTGGGATACAATGAACCTGTATACTGTCACTAAATAATGATAACAATAAAGCGACTTATGAAGCTGGATGTGGCAGCTTACCTCGAGTGAAATCCTGAGCCGTGCTGGCCCACTGACCTCACCATCCCAGGTTCCTCGAATCTCCAGATTGCGGACCTGGGGAAAGGCCTGGGATCCGGGCTCTTTCCCGTGGGTTGACATGGTCCTTGTCCTGTATTGTATGGAGGGGCAGGAGAAGGAGTGGCTAAAACAGGGGTCGATTCGCAGTAGATTTTAGTTGTTGGGGAAAAAGGAGGCGTGGAAAGCAAGGAAGAAAGCAGATAAGGGAGTGAGAATCGAGAGTGTGTGTGTGAGAGAGTGAATAGACAGATGGAGGGGAAAGATCAACACTGCCTAGATAGGAAGGCTCTACCTTGAACTTACTTAACTTACAACAATCTCTAGTCAGTGTTCGTGGTTTTGTGATCTAGGATTAATAATGGTATGGATTCCAGAATCCTATCAAGCAAGCGAGCTTCAGGGCGCCCAGCTCACTTCCCATGCTGATAGCGTTTCGAACAAATATGTACAGAGGAAGTCGAAAACGTCTCCTTATCCAGAAATCAAAGTGAAAGAGGAAAGAAAGAGAAAGGCAAGGATAAAAGTAAGTAAAAGACAAGGGAGCAAGATCGTAACACAAACCATGAAAAGAATTCCCCGCCAATACGGTTTCCTTTTTTTTTATGTCCCCAAGCGCCTTGTATCTCCCGGAAGCCACCCATTCTGTTCCAATAAAACGACAAACACCGGCCCGACAGTCTATCCGGAAAGAAAATCCAAGGTACTCGAATCCCAACGTACCTCGCGGCGTATCATTATTCCCAAAAGCAATCACGAAAGAAAGAGAAAAAAACACAAAAAGCCTAGCCCTACCAATACCGACATAACAAGCCCGAAGCCTGATAAAATTCATCGAGGTGTTCCATTAGACGACCCGGGGTGTTCGAAAGGCGCCTGCCCAGTCGCTGAACCGTATCGATCTGCTTCATTTGTACCAAGCGGCTGTGAGGGGAGGATGGGTGTTGCTGCCTGAGAAGTTTGGTCAAAGTACCCTCGTGCCGTCGCGCCGTTAGTCCCTTGCGCAAAATTGCGACTCCGTTGCAAAGGAGGAAGAATTGTAGAACTTGTTTGGTACTGTGGTCGTGCATATCCTTGCGGCATCATCGCTCCCGTTGAATCCGCCGTCTGTTCAAGGATGTTGCTAGTCAGCTTCTCGTCTAAGGGTGCAATGATTATGGTGCCCATACAGGTGTGCCCGGCGGGTTTACCATCCCCAGAGACTGCATCGTCGCCTGTTGACTAGATCGACTATGGGCTCCCGGGTCTTGCATCTGAGGAACCTGAGCGGAGGGTGGAATACCATATGCCATCTGGATGAAGTGTAAGTTAAATGCTACGTTCAAGGATTCCCGGCTTCGAACCATCACTCCCGCCGTGGTAGAACTCTGTCGACGGAGGTGACGTCGGAGCCAGTATAGGTGATTTCTGACTAACCGCGTAATCGGGAACCCCCGCATGCCCTGTGGCATAACCTTGCATAATCGGAGTCGGATAAGCCCCTGGCTGATTCGCATACATAGCCGCGGTTTGCGGATACGCTTCCATCTGGCGCATCCGTCCATCGGCGTCATACATGCTTCGGTTACCAAAGTCAATTGACGTGCGCTGCCGCTTGACCGGGCCCGTGTAATAAGGGTAGTCTCTACTTGTGGTTGCTGCTGCTGCTGGATACCCTCCGAAAGCATTTCCAGGCATCTGCATTGAGGAACGGTCTGGAGATCGAGGAACCGGCTGGGGATAATCCTCCGGTCGAGGAACTGACCGTTTTCTAAGGCTCGAGTTAGCCTAAGAGACTCGGTAGTGATAGAGACCACGGTCTCTCGTGTGTAAGTTCGACACTCACATCAACGTCCGCGGCTCTTTACGGATTCTCAGTTTTACACCCTGGTCTGCAAATGACCTGGACAAGAAAGTCGATTCTGCCATTCCAGGGAAACTCTTTGGGGGCGACACTGCGGCTCGTCAGTGTCATTGATCCAAGCAAAGAAAAAGACTCTGGGCAATCTTACCGGTGAAGCGGTCTGAGATGATAGATTTCAGATGAGTGACAACATCCCTGCGTGCACGAGTCAGCTCCGACACTGATTTCCCTAGTTCCTCCACATGTCCAAATCCCACTCCGCGGTCCCCAATGGAGAACTCTCAGGGCATTCTTACTTTCGCATTTCGAAGAGTGTGAACTTCAGCCGGAATTCTCCCTCGATTTTCACAGACAGATCTCCAAAGACAAAGAACCCCCCGTCTGAACCAGTCAGGTCAGCCAAGTTCTCCGTCTTGACACGGATCAACGTACCACTGTTGTCCACGTCCTTCAACCGGTGAAGTGACGAAACTAGAGTGCCGGTTAAAGCCGTGGATGGCGGCACGGTAACTGGGACGTCATCTGCGGGATCGAACAGGCTGCAGCACATAAAATAGTAGGGACTCTGCAGATAGTGCCTGCGAACTCGTGTGAGTGAACGTATGCTTACGAGCTTTAAATTCCCACCTATGCTACTTACTGCGCGAGATAAGTTCCTTCCTCTTTTACCCGGATCTGGACTATCGGTGGGGGATCGACTGGCTTGCGTTCTGTGTGTAGCAACCCCTCCGGTCAATATCCGCTCGTTGCCGGTCCTGGAAGACTGGCGGATTCACATACCTTTCTCCTTCCCACCGGCCACGCGCGCCCGGGTGGGCTGCTGGCGAATGATTAATTCAAAGTCAGAACTGGGGGATAACATGGTCAGCGGGAAACCCTGGGCAGCTGAATAAGAGTTGTAAGTCAGTAGGGACACCTGGGAAGCTCGAACACACACACCTCTGAGGATCGCGAGTAAGAGAAGCGTCCGGGAACGTCGACGCACTCATCAAGGCGAGATATTCAAGCGAGACGAACCAGAAATGGGAGAGAGCGTGCCAAAGGGTCCAGGTCGGGATATCCGTTCAGAAGATTGCAGGGAACCACGAATGAAATGAGTGGGATACTCAGGGGAAGAACAAGTTGAAGGAAAGGGTAGGGAGAGAGCCTGTGGTTTTACAAGGCAAAAAAAAATTGGAAAAAAAAAGAAGAAAAGCCACGGGACTCTGGAACCTCGAGCCGGAAACTTGTGGTTCGACGAAGCACTAGAAGAAAGAATGATACACAGTGGGGAGAGAGGGGAATGGGGGGAGGGTCTTGTTAATGATGGACACCACGGTATGATTAGTTAGTAGTTAGAGCTTCGACTAGGACCTAACAGGCCCAGGGTGGAGACCAAGGTGGAAGTCAATCGACGTTGCCGCTTCGTTGCAGTAGCTGAAACTGACAATTGCTCTTGCGAGATAGAGGAACTGGTTACGAAAACGGCGCAGAGGTTGAAAAAGACGATGGTGTCGTCAGAATGCAAGCGGCAAGAGCCAACCGAGCACGGTTCCAGACAAACCTTAACTCGGGCAGGTGGAGGGCAAGCAACTCTCTCTCTTCTCGTGCTCTTGCTCTTGTCTCTCTCTCTCCCTTAAATTTTTTTTCTGGTCTCCCTCCTTCTCACTCTTTTTTTTTTCTTTTTTTTTTATTATTTTTGGTTTTCCTCGAACCGGATCAAATGATGAAAATGTAACCTTCCAAATTCACCTTTTTCGAGGTCAAAAATAAAAAATAAAAAAATTTCAAATCCCAATACTCTTCCTCCGACCGTGCTCTTTGGCTCGTCCAATAGACGTTGATCTAGATGTTGAAAAAAAAATTATGCAAGGCAAGAAAAAAAGTACAAATATAGAACTGGTTAAAACAAAAAAAGAATAATGAATAAAATAAAATAAGGCGAGCTGCGAGTGGCGCGGGATTGAGCACCGCCTAATTGATAGACTGTAGCTGAACGATGGGTCAATAAAAAATCGCCTCTTGGAAGTTGGGTCCTGACAGGCCTCTGACGCGCACACAACAAATTAATGGGGGTAAAATATGAAGGAGGAATAAATTTTAGGGTGAAAATTTATTGACTGGAATCAGAAGACAACCAAGCTGAACCAGACAAATGAGTGGTGGTGGAGCAGTACCAAAAGCAAAAGAGCAACATCGGCCACCTTTCGGCCGTCACGTCCCAAGTGGTGTTGCTGCCAGTGGAAGGGTCGACCACGGTTGAGAGAGCGGGCTAAGGTGTTGTATCAGTCTCTACGATCCGACAGGAACCGTAGCGACAGAGGGATGATGCGCACATTCGCAACTTCCTATAAAGGATAATAACAGGGTAATCAAAAGTGAGCCTCACGTCGGCCACCTGCGCAAGTCCAAAGTCTACCTTCGCCTAGGCCAACTCGATCAACGATTGATTGGGCTAAGCATGAAGTCCACCGCGTTTGCGGCAACCCAACTCTCGCTTCCCCGAGCAAACCCCAACCCACAGGCGTAACGGTTTGGCCTCGTGCCAGCGGAGATGGTGCCGGCTATGCAGGTGATCTGACCCGTATCTAGGCGCCACGCAGGGTCTCCGATTCAATTTTTGACGACAGGGCAAGATTTTTTGGTGGTCGGTGCGCGCGCCTAAGCATTCCAGTGAGAGTCTGGTCGCCCTTTTATTGAGTATCTTCAGATCAACTCTGTACTGTACTTAAACTCTAAGTCTGCCCGTCCGCGTGTCGGGATAAGACTTTCATCTGTAGATCGCGCCTTTTCTTTTCTTGGGCACCTTTTCCCCCTCTTCTAGCGCTTTAGGCTTCAAATACGAATCTCACGTTCCCCCTGACGACTAAAATTCACGTCACTTATTCCATATAATTATGACAACCTCAAACCGGTTCAAGTCAAATATCAGATAGCAACCCACCTAGGTCTTTCTTTTCTTATGTCATCCGAAGCTTGGTTCCGCGTTTCAAGCAAAGCGATCCGAGGAAGGGAGCGACGGTCAACAGAGGATTATTCCAGGGCTCCTCAAGCCCACTCAATGTCGGTTTGGGTTTGACTTTTAAGGGATAATTAATAAACCAGACTCTGTCACAAAACATTTCTTTATTTCTCCTGCTTGGAAATACCTTCTTAGTGCAAGTCGCTGTGTAATGCTCGCCGTCTGGAAAGCTCGGAGGTGGTCGAGAGAGCACATCAATTGCTTGACGTGATGGATAACGTGAGTTGTGTCACGAGATACCACGACTGTGCTGTTTCCTTTCTTTTCTCACGACAGGGCGACAATTAGCCGACTTGTGGTTCTTTCTTTTACCACCACGTCAATTAAGCGGTTTCCGTCGTGTGTGCGCGCAACGAACAGGGCTCTCCTCCAGAAGTCTTTCGAATGCCCGGATTTTCCCGAGTGTTGATGAGTTCCGAGAAAGCGTAGGACCTAATGGAACTAGTCGTGAGTAATCACGTTACTCCGACAGAGGGTGGTTAGCATACAACGAGGTTTGCAACAATTCCAGGGAAAAAATGGCTGTGGGAGTGGGCCTCTTTTCAACGTGCGGTTGTGGAGGGATAATCGGGCTCGAAACTCAGCTCTATTAGCTGCTGCATTTCTAATGATCTAGTTTAGTGGATGCATCACATTCCCTGTGTTGATATGCAGATCGCAGAGTCCGCGGGCACCCCACACATCCAGACCGTTTTGCAGCGAGGATGATTGGATCTCCGTGGGAATACCACCTCAATAAGGCCAGGTCCATCAGAGATCGGATTAATTGCTTGATGCGGCAGAGAGGTGCCCTAGCCTGCACGATCTACCTTTGCTCTAGGGCAAATGGGTTCTTTCTCACTGGTCTAGACAAAGCTCAGCAGCAAAAAGCTAGCCTTACTTAAAGCAACATTGGTCTTTGTGGACTACACTGCCTCCCATGCATAATCTGGAGATCCCTGATCTGCACTCGTGTAAAGCCGCGGCTGAGGATTACGCTTTCTTCATTTTCCTATCGCAGCTTTGGTCATCCTTCCACATGCGCTGCGCTGCATCTCCGACGCATACTGACCATGGAACTTAATAGGTGGCATCTGCATCTAGCCGCATCAGCTGCAAAGCTACTAGCGTCAGAAGTCCGCCTTTTTTTTCCTCCTCCATTCAAAGTTTCCAAGCAAACATTGGGCGACAGTTTTAGGAAGCTTCGTTATTATTATGCATTCTCAATGGTGCCTTTCTTCATGTCGATAATGCGTCAATCGAAAATAAGGAATATCAGCAAGAAGGCTATCTGCGCAAATAGGATCAACAAGAAGCGAGTGATGAGAGGCTAGATATTAGGGATAGCCACGCAAGGGTCTCTTTCAGGGCCAAATCCCGGATTCGTGAGGACCGGGAATTGGGCGACTCACGGCGGCGAAACTTTCTATCGTACAGATCAATACCTGCATCCCAGCAGAATTTTTTTTTCTTTTTCAATCTCAATTTGCTGAAGATACCGAAAAATAAGAGGAAGAGGAAGGCGGGTTTCTGAGTGGCCGGTATTGGCCAGGAAATTGAGTCAATTGTGCAGTACTAGTGACCGAACCTATGCGAAAAGGAGGGAGATTGTGATACCGAAAAAAAGAAAATCAAAGGCGAGCAAGACGGATCAGTCACGGATTTCGTGTTTATTTGCTAGGCTCGATCGACGCCATCCCGGTGGTCTGTCAGCAAGTCGTCGGATGTTACCATGATTGGAACCGGTTAAGAAAATCTCCTGCACCGTCATCTATCAGTAATGCCACGTTTCGGTGGCTAATAATGTCGGAGTCACTCAGTCAAATGGGCGGCCCTTTGCTGATCGACGGGATGCTGAAAGTACCTGTCAATCGTACACAACATCGGGAACCCACTCCACTTAGGGTCTGCCAAACGAGCGTTGAAGCGAATTGTGGAGTTTGTCGAAAGAGAACTTAGAATTCTTACTGCCGCGGCCTTTCCTACTCAAATTAGAGAAGGAATGGTTTCTAACAGAAAGAGGGGTATAAGAGAGAATGAGGGGGGAAACGGAGAAGAAAGCAGAAGTACCTATTGAGGTGAGGAGTACGAAAAAAAAAAAGAGTTTTTTTTGCCCTTTTTTTTCCCTTGTCTTTATACTGGAGCATCTCTTTTTTGTCTCCGTACATGAATTGGTGGGGTTCAACAAGATGCACGATGAAGTGTTCGCGGGCCTTAGTGGTTGCCTTTTGTGTCTAACAATTGAAACATCAAAGTGAACTTGTCTTGACAGCGGCAGTCTCCATCATGAACCATACTTCCACAAGCGCTTATTCTACGCTACAAATATGCTTATTCTAGACCTGGAGATGGGTTCTGGGTCTGACAATCCCAGACCCATGGATATACGAATTTCGGTTTATATTCTGAGTTTAGGGGTTCTTGGACTCCATGCCGATCCTGCTGACAGCCACCAAGCTGGTTCAGTATGAACAGCACGGCTTAAAACTTATGGGTCCATTTGTGCACCCATTAACAGGGGCTGTGGAAGCCTTCGTTTCAGCTCTGTTGAATAATTTGCCATCAATTATATTTTCTGTGTTACATCCTCGGCTTCTGGAAGTTGTGTGTCCCTGTGTGTGTGTGTGTGTGTGTGTGTGTGTGTATCTATTCATAGAGATCGAACGGGGATCCACATTGAGTGAAATTCCTGAGCAACTCAAAAAAGAAAAAGAAAAAAAAAAAAGCCTCCGTCAATTGTCACCTTCGACCTAAAAAGTAGCAAGAAAAAAAATAAAAGCAAGACATAACAATGGCCAGATTGAAGGAAACAAATCTTCTTGACAGATCATATTCTTATTCAGGATGCGGCGATCATTTTACTACTTTGCAGACACCCAACGATGATCCTTTTCTTCTTCTTGACCCTCTTTGCTTGCATTTTTCTTTTTAAATCAAATCAATGAACCCTTTACTATGCCCCCTTATTCAAACTAGTCGTCATCCATCCAAACTGCTGCACCAATCCCTCTGAAATCCAACTACCACGCAGCTTGATTGATTCGACCAACGTCTCTGACCGCCAGAAAGCCCAGAAAGAACGAAGCCTTTCGGGGCAAAAAAAATAACTATCTTCCCTTCCCAAACCGGCAGAAAAGCACATACCTCTCGTACAGCAGACCCAAAACGGAGTCTATCCGAACAGAACCGTCGCCACAGATGTATGTATATGTACAGAGTACGTACTGCGCACATTAATAATGCCCAAAAGAACGCCACATCTGGTCTATCTCATCATCGTGGCTCCACTAATCATATTCTGCTCCGTACCTGCATACATAAGGTATCTACATGGGAAACCTTGGAGACTACTAGAAAGATAGTCGGTCAGAGAATCCCGGAAGTTCCCTCCACTCACCTTGTATCTGTAGTGTGTACTACTGCATGCATCGCGATCTCAACACATCCACCTCATTTCCTGGTTTTCGTATCTGCAGCTAGTCGATCTAATTCATTCTATTTCCTACTCATAGAAGATATGATCACACCTACGGAGTAAGCTAGAATGTGAATCCGGAGGAGATCATCCCCAGCTCAGCCACTAGTAAGTAGTAATTCTTGTGGCGAGACTGCGATTTCTGACGTAGGATGCATCACCGAGAAAATCGACACATCCATAACCGTTCCAACTCGAACCCGGGATTTGATCGTCAGCGGACGGTGATGCAAGGGCAATCCATATATCATTCTCATTGAATAAATATGCAATCCTGATGTTGCAAGATAGAAAATACTAAATAATAAAAGAAAGAAAAAGAAAAAAGAAAACAAAAATATGACTAAAAAAGAGACGAGCGACTTACTCTGCGCGTCACCATTTGTTTTTGTTTTTGTTTCTCTGTCCCTCACGTGCCCAACTGAAACCTAAATGTCAGCAACAAACCACGAAACATACATGCTTTTCTGTCGCGCTTTTGACTCTTTACCAAGGTGAAAATAGTAAGACTACGTAGATATGTTTGAAAGGTCAGGGGGTCAATGATGACTCTTTCATCCGCTTGTAGCAGGCTCTCCATAATGGATATTTAGTCATGCTTAATACAAAGGCGCGCGGTCAAAAGACGGATGTATGCGCCGACACAGTCCGGAATTACATTAGGGCTGCAACGGAGAATTGAGAAAGGGAAGGAGAAGCAAGTTCCTCTAGACCAAGACCGTAGAAAGAAGAGGAGGAGGAGGAGAGGAAGAAAAATAGAACGTTTTCATTTCATGACAAGAACGGGAAGGAAATATATCGCTGAGGGAAACCCATAGGTCGGAGAATCAGAGCGCAATTCGTGATAATAGTGAATCGAATGATAGCCACAACTCCAAATTCCTTGCCCACTCCTTGCTTTGTAAAAACAGCGCAAACAGAAAGATCAGTTGCCAAGCCAAGTCATGAAACTTATCCCTTCGAGGGATAAAAATGAAAACAAAAATTTCCCTGCAAAGCCACAAGATAACGCCTCGTTTAAATGCTTCGCCATTCAGGCACTACTCTTCCCAGATCTGTTCAGAAATCATGTATCCATGATCGCATCGCCATCTTTATCAATTCCGTTGGGCCCATCTTGATGCTCGTCCACCGCATGATGATTCATAGTGCCATGGTCTTCTGCTGGTAAAACAAATTCGAACTGTTCTACCACCGACTTTCGATTCATAGATCTGGTGAGTTTGGCTGAGCTCTCAGCACTTAATTCTTTGATAGGCGTTACTTGTTCCGGGACATGAAGCTCTGCGTTGGCGGTTTCCACGCCATTAGTACCGTTAAGCTGGCCCACCCCTTCGTGGTCCCTGATATGATTAGCTTTGGCTGCTGTCTCCAGTGGTCCGTCGAGCTGAGAAGTAGAGTCTTGTTCCCCACCGTTGGTATTCTCATGACTTGGGAGCTGGTCATGCTCGATACCGTTGGTCTCAGCACTGGATGATTCAACTGCAGGTGAGTCTATCAACTTTGCACTCCGACCGCGCCGGACGCTAGACACATTTGCATTAGGCGTCCCCAAGGCTAGTGCAGATGATCTTCTAGGGGTGCTGCGACCGCTAGTGCGAGAAGTAGTCGGCGTAACAGATACCTTGTTATACGTAGTCTTGCTGCCAAAAGGTCGACCCGGGCGTCGTTTCACAACGGGCGCTTGAACAGGGGGGTAAACCTCAAAACGCCAGGCTGGTATATCTGGAATTGGGACTGCTTCTGTGAGGCTGGTGTCGGCAACAGCTTGCGTCTGATGACGGAAGCCATTAACATTAGTCAGAAGCTCAGTCGAAGGAGGTCCGGCAGGTTTAGCTAGAGGCTCCTCAGACTCTGCGTGCGCGACACCATTGGTGGTCGGCTGGGATTTATCTCCATTGGCCCTGTCCATGTCTCCTGATAACTGCTCTTCTTCCTCGTTCCCAGAATATTTCATGTCTTCGACCTCCTCGTCTTCCAGACCCTCTCTTGGAGCAACAGCGTGTAGTGGAGCCCGATCGAATTGCGACTGATTGCTTCGACCCATTATGTACGGTGTCCACACAAGAGCATCGGGATTAAGCTGGACGTAGCCTTTGCTCTCCCAACTGCGAATGCATTCTTCAAAGTATTTATAGTCAAGTCGTAATGCATAAGTCTTTGTCACTGGATCTCGGACAAGTGCGCGCAAGGCTTCAAGGCCTGAAACGATATCGTCTGCTGTCATGCCTGTCCGCTCCGAAAGTTCCACAATGCTAAGTGGCGTCTTTTGTTTGTGAAGCTGATATGATAGAATAAGCCTCCAGTAATTCCGATAAGATACTAGACCCATATCTGAGAGTGGCTTCTCGGGCGATCCCGTTTTCCCTTCGATGCGCGTGAGCAGGTATGAAAAGTCAATAAGAAGGTTCCCGTATCCTTTTCGCTGGTGAATGGGCAAAGTGAGGATACAAGAAACATTGTTTGCGGAGCTGGGCCTTTTTTCTTTACTGAAATAGCCAACAAAATGGCAGCCCAAGTCGTCAAATTCAGTCATGATGTAGAAAAGAAACGGCTCAACGTCGTAATACAGAGTCTTCGACCCAAGAAATAGCTTTGCGAGTAAGCAGAGGTTCTGGCAATATACCGGATTCTTTCGTCCATCAACTTCAAAGATCGAAATCGAGCCGTCTCGGTAGATTTCGTCCCCAGGTGGGTGCTTTGCCGGGCACTTGAGTTTGTGGCGCCACGCGACATAGTCCGAGTTCATGTACTTCAAGCAGAATTCGCAGATATGAAGCACGCGATTGCGGCTGTATTCCTCCGGATACGGCGCTGCGTACCAGGTCTCAATCTCATAGCCACCAAAATTGATATATTTTATCCTGGAGGGTGGACCTGAGACCTTCTGTGCTGCATGTTGCACCGGCTCCCCGCCACTCTCGGCCTCCATAATTCGTTTTTGCCACACTTCTTCAGCCTTTTGCCGCGCCATCTCAAATCTCTCGCGATCATATTGTGTCGGAAGAGTCTTGGTGGTGTCTGCATCCGCCTCTGACAGAATACCACCGTACGGTTTAGACTTAGATTCATCCATTTCGCGGTCATTGAAGGAATAGAAAGGGGACACATATGACACGGGAGTTATAGGGGCAAAGTGTGCGGGAGCTTCGTGCGCCACTGGGGGTGGCTTAGGGGTTCTTCGGCTTTTATGTTGTGGCCGACTGCGAGAATTAAGGATTTTAGATAGCTTGGCCTCGTTGAGTCGAAATGCTAATACAAGCCTTCCAAATTGCCTCAAAACCACGCGGCAATTTTCCTTTTCATTCCCCCGCACACGACGAGAACGGGTTCGTACCGGAGACAGGGCGTCTGAAGGATCACCGAAGTGGTCTCCCGACTCAGCCCGCTCGGAGCGCAGCGAGGTCTGTCTTTGTCGTTTTCGAAGCACGGGTGTATGTTCCTGTATATCTGCAGACAAAGTTTTCCTCTTTCGCAGCGATCGCGAGCTGTTCAATAAGTTATCATCGTCAATACGTACAGTATTGAATATTGAGTGAAACCCAGAGCCCTCTTCACCGGTATGTGCCGGCAAGAGCTCTTTCCGCATGTTTTTCGGGCCGAGCCTTCGATGGGATGTACTATTGCCCTCATTGTTGCTTGGCTCTAGCTTCTCCCGAACGCATGTAGGACATCTCCATGAGCGGGCATCTAGACAGAGTGAGCCCCTCATTGTCTATTAACAAATTAAGTTTGAAACTAGACATACCTTCGGCATCATTTAATGCACTTTGTTCGCGGGCACATTGCCGGTGAGCTGTCGGGCAGCCGAGTCAGTAACGATCGCCGAAAGCTTTGGGGTTGGTATGTTTTTTATGGGGCCGCAAATCCACATACAGTGATCGCCACAAACTGCGCATGTAAGATACTCCTCAAAGTCTTCACTCGGATCATGATCTTCATCTTGTCCACAAAAACTATTGGATTTGTCAGTATATCAAACATATGAATAACATCCAATACGAAATAGTGCAGAGATCGCAGTAAGAAAAAGAAAAGAAAAGATAACATGGAAAAGCATAACTCACATGCAGTTACCGCGGACCGTAGTATTATCCACCTCTACGTCATCCTGGTCATTACTCTCACCTTCCCACTCCTCATCATCTTCGTCTTCGTCGTCGGAGTGCCGACTGTTTGAACTAGAGCTAGAGGCGTCCTGATCGCTATCACTCTGGTTATCGAAAGCAGGATCGCCCTCTGCATCGGCTGCATCCTCGTTGTCCGGAGAAGATTTACCCTTTGGTAGCTTCACAGCTCCCACTGGTTCGGTCTCATCATTCTCGCCATTAGAATCCGGCTCTCCTTCCGCATCCTTATCTTCCTCGCGGCCAGCACTGTCGACTTCTTCTGCAACTTCTCCTGAGTATGCCCTATGTACAGCATCCTGAAGTTGTTGATCCATCTGATACAAATCGGTTTCCTCCTCCCCCTCCGCATCCTGATCGCTGTCCACCACATCCGGGGGCGGTCTCATCTCGGTGTCATCGTCGGCCGGCGGCGCAGTTGCCGGCATGGTGTATGACACTGCGGTCGCCAGTTTGAGCAGCTCTTGCTTTTCTCCAGTAAGAGGGTTTGGAATCAAAGATAGCCCGGAGGTTGAGGCTATTCACTCGCCGCAAGAGTAGACAATCATCTGGTGCTGCATCTAATGGGCATCGGGAACAGAAACGAACGACCTTGGATAAGAAGAATCCAGCTAAGCAACAAGCTCAAGAGTATCTGTATGGAAGCGCAAGCGATAACCCCTGAACACAGGGCAACCGAGGCGACAGTCAGTTAAGGAGCTAAACGAACGACTCCGCTAATGGCAAACAGCGCGTAGAAAGATGCAATGGAAACCATACCGCACAGACCAGGAGGTCAGAAACCCCAAGTAGAGAAGAACCAAACGCGTATATCAGCAGCGGATACGCTGTCCGAAGGCCTATCTAGCATCCAGAGCACTCAGCTGCGGCCTCTCGCCCCTTCTCCTGCCCGTGAGGTTGATGGATGTGCTGACTCAGCCAGTTGGACCCCGTCCCACGCTAAGCCACTTTGGGCCCACCTCCAGACCTCGACATCGGCGGATTCCCGCGGCCACAAGAAACGACGACTATACCACTCGGTCTTTTTGGCGTGTCAATCCTCATTCCTCTGGGTGTCTTTCAACTCTCGAATTCTTCACTACTTCAATTGCACAGCATGGGTGTCCCTTTTGAGGCTCTGATCCCTTATGGGATCATCGTCGGCGTACGTCAAGCGTTTTCTCAGTCACTTTCGATCGGCCCACTGATGATGCTATAACAGATGTTTGGCGTGACCGGCGTTGGTCTCACTGCCGTCAAGTGGCTCTCGAACGATGGAAAGAAGGCCCGCTGGAACCGGGATCTTTGGGACAGAGTAAGTACCCTCCAGACCTATGTGATGTGATCGAACCATGTCGGCTAACACCCGCTCAGCAAAGTATGTGACCTACCCAGCAACTGGCGATTGAATACTATACAAAAGCCCCAACCACCCCAGCGGAAGGATAGCCTGGAAGCTAACCAGTGAACAATTGTTTAATAGTGATGGAAAGAGATTTGAGAATCACAGGAAGCTTGCGAGGCCAATCAAGCAATGCCGAAGCCCCGAAGGGATTCGAGCTCAGCAACACATGGAAGGTATGTTACATCTCGGGTTCTTCGTTTGAAGAGAAAACTAATCAGTTTTGCAGCTGGAAAAACGGATCTTCTAAGCCATACTGATTTGTCTCCACCTATGCCCTTCACATTGTCTCTTTGTTCGCCTGCACTTTTTCAATAAATATCCATGCAATGATTAGAAGAAGCCTTCTTGTACCATATTACCAGGCCAGCAAATAAAAGCTGCAGGGTAGTTCCAACCGTCAAAATCTTATTCGACCGTTCTAGCTTCTATTTAATCGCAGACACTAAGCCCCGAATCCCTTCAGTTTCGTACTCAAGAAAGTGCATATCAAACCACTTGGCCAAGGCATTGACCCTATCCTCTTCTTTTTCGAATGTCTCCACGACCTCTGTCTCCCCATGTAGTCTCCTCTTCACCTCCTTCCCGGCCAGGATATAGATGCCTATCGGCTCCGTTCCTGCGGCGTCCAAAATCGCCCGCGTACACACCAAAGCCTGCACGAACCAGCTAGTCGGCCGATGACTAGTAGAATAGTTCAGGGTGACGAAGTCCTGCGGTAAAAACTCGACCTCCGAAAACGAGTACTGCGGTATCCAGTTGCTTTCGGGATTATGTCTGATCTGATAGATCCAAAGCTTCTGGCTTCTGTCGGTGAACTCGAGGGGCGTACCTTTGGCCACACGCATTTCAGCCGGCGCCATGCATACAGCGACAGTGTCGTCTTCTTTCAGCGGCAATGGTCTCGTAGGGCCAAAGTTGCCAAACCCCACGTCAACCTGTTAATTTCCCCATTAGACTTCGCCGACATGGACAAGGTCTTTGGGTAGAGATTACCATGTATTTCTGACCATCGATAATCACAATGAGAATCATATGTCCTCTACATCACGTCGTTAGCCGCAATCTCCTATTTCTAGCCATGCATCCGGATGTACCTACAACCCCATATAGAGTTCACTACCAGGAGTCTGGTTCCCACCCGCCACAGCATGGCTCACTCGTCCACCAGTCGGGTAAACACAATACCCAAGAGAACGTAGCACGATATAGAACAAGTTGGTATTCTCCATACAATAACCATCTAGACGTCGCACTACCAGTTTCTCGAACACAGCTGTGGGATGAACAGAAATAGATCGGTGCTGCGAGTAATGCAATGCCGAGTTTCCCCATGGGATTGAGCCCAGATGTCTTCGTTGTAACTCTGTTAGGGTCGCCAGGCGGTCCTTTTGGCTTGACTGTAGGGCATGGTGAAGTCTGCCCGTGGTGGCCCCAGTAGCGCTGGTCGAGTCGGCATACCCGATGCGTTCCAGATAGCGTTCCAGTTGATCAGGGTCGTATGTTTGTATTTGAGTAGCCATAGTAAATTGCGATATATACAAAGCCCTAAATGCGGATACAGGGTTTAAGGTTCAAAGTTATCTATTTTGCGGGGAAGATTTATACTGATATATAAATACTTTGTTGGTCGGTTAGAGTGTCGGCATTTCTAAAGGAATTTTATGGAACCAAAGCACTGACCAATTGCATTTCCTTTGATAGTAACCTAATGAGGGAGAACGATACGAGATGCTTTAGCCAAGGATCGGTCAGCAAGGGTCGATTGAGCCTCGGGAAGCCGTTGATACACTTTTTAGATATTACATATTTATACCTTGAACTAGTACCAACATCTGTTTGCCGTATGCAACTAGAGGTGACCAATCTTATGTATGACGGGGAATAGACTATTCAAGCCAAGAACTTAGACTGCATAAACAAATAGATGTATAGCATTACTAGTAGAGTATGTCTATTATTATTATTATTATTATTTACTCGGCAGATGATGTCAGTCTCTCCGATCCTCGGTTATTTAAATGGTAGTTAACGATCACGAGATTCGATGGCTATCTGATCAAAAGTAAGTCTAGCCTGATCATATCAATCAATCAACTTTCCTCCATAGAAACTCGAACCCTCTACCACTCTCATTGGTAGCAAGCTGCAGCTATCTAACAACATCGAGTTCACCTTCTTCCTATTACCTTCGATCAACCTAACCCCTATCTACCTATATATACCAACATCGAATGGGCTCCATCCCCAGGATCCTCTCCAGATCCATCCCCCACCTCAGAAACACTACACGACGTCCCCGGGGAGCATTAACTCCTCCGCTTATCTCAATTACCAAACGTACCATGTCAACATCAATAGAACAAAAGCTGAACGTTCTCCGGAACTACTCAGCCTGCGATGTATGCCCAAGACATCCATCTACCATCCACAACACCCAAATAACCAACCCCAGGTCTCAGATGCCCTACTGAAACTACAGAACACCCCCGAAGGAACCCCAGCTCGCGCCGGCCACCTAGCAGACTTCAGTAAGTCATCACCCAAAGCAATCTCAGTCCCACTGCTTTGCGCAATACTACCCCTCCCGACATATGCCTCCCTAATTAACAACATCCCAAGTCCCCTTCTCCCCAACCACCGACCGAAACTCAAACACCCCCAAAATCATCGCCCCGGCATCAACATTCAAATTCATCCCCAAGTCAGATCCCTTCCCGTACACCGACTCGGTAGAAGCCCATGGTTTTCCGACAGGAACGCATTGGGTCGACTTCGCAGAGCCGGGAACCATAACCGTGATCGAGCAGCCCGCGGGCCAGCATTGCGCAGTCCTGGGCGGGATCATGGCGGTTCGGATGAAGTATCTTGGGGTCAAAGGGGCGCTGGTGAATGGGCGCGTGCGAGATTTGAGTGAGATCAGGGAATGCCAGCTTCCGGTGAGTTCAGATCGGATTTTGCTGTCTTTTTTTTTGTTAGTAAAGTCCGATATTGACGTGTCTTGGTTAGGTTTGGGCTCGTGCTACGTCTACGGTTGGGACTGCTGCCGAGGCGAAACCGGGGCTTCGAAATGTGCCTATTTCTTTGGGGGGTGTGACTGTGGCTCCGGTATGTGATTTTTTGGGGTTTTCTTTTTCTCTTCAGGGTTCTGGTGGTCGCTATGACGTGGCGCTGATTCTGTGTTGCGTGTAGGGTGATATTATTTTTTGTGATCCGTTGGAAGGCGTGGTTGCTATCCCGCGCGAGCTTCTTGATCAGGTGCTTGAGCTGATGCCTGAATTGGTCGCGATGGATGACAAAGTTAAGGAAGCTGTGATGCAGGGGTCGAATGTCTTTGATGCCTTTAAGAAATTTAGGACTAAGATTTAGAGAAACATTCTGGGTTGTTAGGAGGCTATTCTACATTGCATTGGTCTCCAAAAGGTATGATAAGCTCCATAGTACATATATCCGTATTGGAATCACGACCTATTATCCATTCGGAAAACGAATCTTCATGCTTGGTATTCTGTTAAATATGCGTACATATCAAAAATCATCATGTGTATATAATCGCTGTACAGGAAGAGAATTTAGAGAAAAGTGACAAAAAAGACAATTTTAGAGCCAGCTCATTTATTCGCGAACCCAGACAGCAGCCATACCCATACCAGTACCAACACACATGCTGGTGACACCGATCTTCTTGTCAGTGCGCTTCAGCTCCGTCAGCAAGGTGCTGACCTGGCGGGATCCGGTGCAGCCGAGAGGGTGTCCAAACGCAATCGCGCCTCCTTTAGGGTTGACCTTCTCCAGAGGCAGCCCAAGCTCATTGACACACCACACGCACTGGGAGGCGAAAGCCTCGTTGATCTCGTAGATGTCGACATCATCCTTGGTGATACCGGCCTTCTCAAGAGCCACGGGGATGGCCGCCCAGGGGCCAATGCCCATGAGGAGGGGCTTGACACCCACAACGCTAGCTGCGACGTACTTGCCGATGATCTTCTGACCCAGGCGCTCAGCAGTGGAGCGCTTCATCAACAAAACAGCAGCGGCACCGTCAGAGATCTGAGAGGCATTGCCAGCGTGAATGGAGCCATCCTTGGCGAATGCTGGGCGGATCTTGCCCAGAGATTCGGCGGTGATGCCGTCACGGATGCCATCGTCGGCCTTCACAGTAATGGTCTTCTCTTCACCAGACTTAGGGTCGGTCCACTTGACCTGGAGGGGGTAGATCTCTTCATCAAAGAGGCCCGCCTTCTGAGCTTTGACAGCCTTTTGGTAAGACGAAGCAGCGAAGGCATCTTGGACAGAACGGGAAATTTTACGGTCCTTTGCCATATTCTCCGACAGAACACCCATAGGAACCTTGCAGTTGGCAGACTCAGTGTGATTCTCGAGGAGATCAGAGAACTCGGTGACTGCGCCAGGACTGTGATCGTTAGTATGTGAAGGAACTGGACAAATAGTCGTAGATTAGCCACGCTTACCCGTACTGAGAGGACATGCTCTCCACACCGGCACCAATACCAACTTCAATCATCCCCGACTTGATAGCGTTGGCAATGTCAACAATGGCCTGAAGACCACTGGAGCACTGACGGTTCAAGCTCTTGACAGCAGCAGTCTCGGGGAAACCAGCAACCAGGGCAGCAGCACGGAACTCAGTGGCACCGCCACCGGGGGCAAGGACGGAGCCAACAGCAATATCCTCAACAACCTTAGGGTCAATACCACTCTTTTCAATGACACCCTTGAAGATACCAGCCAGGATATCAGCACCCGCAGTATCCTTGAAGCCACCCTTTCCACCCTTTGTGAGGGCAGAACGAAGGGCACAGGTTATGACAATATCATCAGGGTGCTTCTCGGTGATGGCGGCGACACCCTTCTTACCACCAGGGGTGAAGTGGGAAGCCACTTGGGTAAGACGCTGCTGAGCTAGAAAAGGTACACACGTTAGGTTATGCTTGTTAAAGCTGATTTAATAGCTAACAGGTATATCACTCCTTACTTACCAGAAGACATTATGACGTCAGTAGGATTTAAAGAAGTAGGATTAAGAGGTATCAAAGAATGAAAAGACGGTATGATAGTCTAGAGAGGAGAAAAAAAGCGGCAAGATCTCTCTTTATAACATGAACCTGGGGGACACAAACGTGGAGTAGAATCCACTTAGTCGGTCGTGTTGCCTTTTTGTATGCTCTTCCCCGGTCCTGTGAAAGTACCGAGGTCCATCCGCGTCATCGTTGTTCCGGGGGGATCACAGTCACGGGATTTCCGGGGCAACTTGAGGCTTTCATGTGAAGACTAAGGTCCCGAATGATCTTCCTTGCCATGCATTTGATCTTGTGACAATGATGATTATTAGGAGAGCCGAGCTTCATTAATTCACACATCCACGAATCCAGTGGAGAGGATGGGTGTTTTTGGGTTTGGCTCTATAAATTGTCTACTACTAGTAGTAGTAGTAGTAGTAGTAGTAGTAGTAGTAAGAAGTTGTACGTACTATTAGTCTGTGCAACTTGAGTAGTATATATCTCATCGGCGCATTGCTGCAGACTTTTCCTGGATTTAAGATATACTATATTGTAATGACTGAAACAACTTCCACCTAGTTCGCATTGAACAATTCCATATGAATGATATCTTACTGCATAGTTACTCAGAAGAGACATCGACTAGATACAGACAGTACTGTATTGATATATCCAATGGTATACCTACTGCCTCAATAGGCAATACTGAAAATTTGGAGCCTGAGGTTACATGCATGTGTGCTCCGTACCTGAAGCCGGACCGGACTTTACAAGAAGCTCCACCATTAAGCCCGAGAGTGGAAGGAAACTCAGCGGCGGAATTACAGCCACCTTTTTTTTCTTTCTCCACGTTATGTGTCGTCCACTCTATCTAATCTAACAGTCTATCACTGCAATAAGCTTACACTGATATCCCACATGGCTTCAACCTTCCTCATACGCCGACTCCCGGCACCGATACCATCCCCTCGAACCATCCCATCATGCACCCACAGTCTCTTCAACCGACTCCGACCCTCACCTCATGTACTCCAAACCCAGCCATACCACGCCAAACCAAGAAGCAAAGCTAACCCAACCTCCAACAATTCCTAGAACACCCCACTACCAACACAGAACCGACCATTCTCGCAAACATGCCCAACACTCTCCTCTCCTTTCCGCCTATCCTCAAACAAGAACCCAGCCGCCAAAAATGACCACCCCCCATCTCCCGACGAATACCCCAACGGCGAGCCCATGCCGTACTACAGTCCCTACAAACCCAAGCGCCAATGGCCGCCGGACATGTCCAAGCTCTCCCCGAAGCATCAATTCCGGCTCGAGCGCAAATATCGTCGGCGCGCGGCACTCAAGTTTGCTCGACCGAAGTGGGTGAGGGCAACGAAGTTGGTTCAGTGGGGTGTTATTGGATGTAAGTGGCTCTGGCCGAGAGTGCCGGGTTTATTCATGGGAAGGTATGGACTGACGGGTTCTGGAAGTTGTGCTTGTATATGCGGTGCTTTTTATGGAGTGGGATGACAGGGGAAGTCCTTTTGATGAGGTAAGCGTCCTACCTGATGGTGTTCATCGACTCTTGATTAGTGGACATGTACTAACGGAGCGGTGTTTCATTCAGTTCCGGAGGGCTTTCTTTGCTGGTGTTAAGGGGGCGTTTTCTGCCCCTCCACCTCCAGGACCGGCTAAGAGGTCAGATGATAACTGAGTGGATATAGAAGGCAAGTGTAAGCGCTGTCCCTGCGGGCTCACTTGAAAGATCGCCCTGTGAGGTTATGTAATCTAAAAACTGATGCGTGATCCCACCATGAGATGTGTGGGAACCATCTTGCATACGTTCGCGCTCCGTTTACGACATACTGTATATTACTCTACATATTGAAGACTTCCTGGATAGTTGAAAAAACAACAGGTGATTGAATACTGTTGGAGATATATCAAAGGACATCAATTCATCCAACTGTCGTACCAAAATGTTCTGAGCTATAACATGTTTGTGCAAAGCAATGAAAAGAAAAGAAAGGGTTTCGCCTTACAAGCACTTGCGCGGGAACGTCAAACTCATCATGTTATGGCTCCGTTCATTAAATCGTTTCGCCGTGGCCGTTATTCAACAGAAAATGCACCGAAAACTCCCAAGAAATGCCAACGCCGTCCTGTCCAAAGACTCCATAACTGTGAGAGAGAAGTAAGCAATAAAAAGAAAAAAGAAATAATCCAAAAGTCAACAAGGTAAACGGAACACGAGAAAAGCGAAATAGCAGTTGCTACACGGGGTAATTGACAGGCACAGCAGTGGAGGCCAAAAAGCAGCAGATACAATCGGCCAATGGATACTCTGCAAATATCCCTCATAACCAATTTCCAAGGCCTTCATTCTTCGGAGGCACTCGGTTGTTAGCAGGACCATCCAATGCAAGCTCCAACCGCGGAGGCCTCTCGTCCAAAAGACCCTTTCTAGGACTGCCACCAGCAGCTTTGATTGGGGATTTGGTAGGTGACCCGGGCTCAGGCCGTGGCGGACCTTCACGAACAGCTGTATATGGCCACCCGTCTTCAATAGCGGCAGCAACCCATGTCCGCAAGCAGTCGTGGACAGAGGAGTAAAATTTTTCTTTACAAGTCCTCAAATTGCCACCCATGACCTTCTCGAACCCAGAAGCTCGGAATTCTGCTCGTAGTCTGTTGCGCTCCTCTGTCGATGGCATTGACGCCACAAGTCCGTTCATGAGATCCAGATGCGCAGCTAGGTAGTTGGTCGCGTCCCACTCAACTCCACCTACATAGGGGGCGGCAGGGACCGGAGGCCTGGGGGCTGGGAAATGCCTCTCTCGAAAATCCTCCAAACTCGTCTTCTCGCTCTTCACAATGGGTATCACGTTCAAGTGATGCAAGAAGATCCAGAATACTTCTTTGGTCACATTGGAAATTTCCTTACACCAGACACGGTACGGGCGTGACTGGTATATGTTGGCAATGAACGAAAGCGGCTGGTTTTCTTCAGGTGGTGTGGGGTCTCGTAAGTACGACAGGATCCGAGCAGCACGCAATGCGGCATCTTCAGCTGATGATGCTGTAGAAAGCTGCGTGAAAAGAAGGTTAATAATGATACTACGCGTCGTGTACTCGCTCGGTCCTTTCTTTTCCTCGTCAAAGAGCATTTTCAAGAGCGCTGGGAAGATTTCCCCTTCAATAGCCGTAAGACGCTGCAATGCGACGGAAGTCGTACAGAGCGCTTTCAAACACAGAAGGGTTTCATGGAGCAAATTATCCTCATGTTCTTCCCTGTAGAAGTGTAAGCTTACATGTCCAGATTAGCGTAAGGTTGAAACTGCATACCTCCACTCAACCTTCATGATCCTGTAAAGCAACTGTACAATCTCGTCCATACCGCCATCGGTAATGAAAGTGTCGACCCAGCTAACAGTTTCATTCCGCAAGAGAAGCCTGAGCTTGTGAATCTTGCCTATCTCTATCATTTCCGGTTTCTGAATTTCCCTCAAATAATGAACAAAGTCTGAGGGGTCGGCCGCAGTATCCTGACAAGCTGTTGCAGAGAGAGATGTCGTAGAAGTCGATGGCGTTAATATCTTCGATAGCCCTGGCTGTGAAAATTCAGCAGACTTTGGGCGTCTATATGAACTTCCACTCTCTGGCCGTTTCTTTGTCGGCGAGGAACCCTTGGAAAAGCTGAACCCGCGACTTCTGGATCGCGACTGAGAACCTTTACTGTCTTGGGGTTGCCTTTCCTCTTTTTGTTCCTTTCTGCGACCCCGGCGGCCTGTGCTATCATTAGTGTGCACACTAGCACTAGCACTATGTGCGCTTTCTGCTTTATCCTTTTGGATAAAGTCAGCCTTAATATTAGTGTCCAAGGACCTCATTTTCTCTCTCATATTATGAGGGATGTTCCTTGCGTCCTGGAAGTTCGTTAGTTCTACACGATCTTTCCTTTTCGAGAGCCGTGTACGATGTACTGACCAAAAGCTTCTCAAATTCGCTTTCAAGATCCTTTGCATTTAAGTGTCTTTGTAGTTCCGCTTCGCGTTCCTTGGCATTGAAGGCAGATATAGCTGCTTGGACACGAGACACCTTTTTCGGGCTTTCTGGCTGCTGTTCAGCACCCTGCCGCGGCTCGGGTTTTGACAGTGCTCGAGGCCGGCCCTTTCCTTTAGAGGGGGACGAGGGTTCTTGGGTGTCCGATAGCGGAGGCTTTTCTGAGGACACGCTCTGGGGTGACCCGAATAGCTCTCTCACCTTGCGGTTCCCCGAAAGAAATTCTGATTTTGGACGAGGCTTGGGGTCCGTACGGTTCGTGAGAGACGGCTGATGGTAATCCCAGAAATTGCGCTGCTGGGACGGCCCATAGCCTTTAGGAGTGTAGAGCGATACTTCTTCTTGGAAAGTTCTGCGCTTGGAGGGAGAGGGTGGCACCCCGATTTGACCATAGCATGGCCCAGGCGCATACTGGCTCCATGTAGGAGATGGCATGTTGTCAACTAGGTCCGTTGGGCTTCGATTTTCCTTGTCTCGACCACTCTTCGAGCTTTCAGCTTTTCTCCCGCGCTGCGACCGCTTCAAAATTGCCGAAAGACTGTTGGCTGATTTGGCCTTTTTGGGCTTCAGGTCTTCGGAATCGACTTCGGGCGATTCTGATCGGTTGTCCTTACGCTCCATGTAGCCCCTTAGAGACTTCAGGGACACGGCACTTTTCGTCTTCTTGTGCAAGGTATTCTTTTCCTGTTTTGCAGGCGATCTCTGCCGGGGTGAGCCATAATCCGCTGCGTCTCGATTCAGGGCAATTTCCGTTAGGGGTTGTTGGTCTAGAGTGGCATATGCTTGCTCCACTGGAGACGCGTATGAATTGCAAAAGGGCTGGCTTTGGTAGGGTGGTTTGCAAGAGGCGGCATCATCTGCCGAGGGGTTCCTCTTGTGAGTTCTGGACGACAATATTCCTCGGAAGACGGATGGTTTGGTCGGGAGACGGGTAGCATCGTCGAAAATATTGGGACCTTGCAAGTTGGGAGCCATGTCTGATCGCCTTTAACCCGAAACTGCTGGGGTTAGCATGTTGAAATCCGACACAATCTGATGATTTCGAGAATGGATTGGATAGGAGGACTAGAAGAAGACTTACGGTGACAGCACTCCAATGCAACCAGGGAAATACAAGATATTTATAGAGGGAAGAAGAAGAAGCGGATACAAAAAGTTATTAAGTGGAGCAGAGAAGGGCAAGAGTATGTATCAAACAGAAAGTAAAGGCATTGGAGAATCCGAATCAAAAGCAAGAAGGCAACCAAGAAGAGAAAACGCCCGCGAGAATAGAATTAACGGCAACAACGATGACTGCCGTGGACAACAGGTGGGCAGACCGGGAATTTGAAGTCTTCCGGAGGAAAGTAACGGGCCTGATCATCCTTCCCCCAGGCTAAACTAATCCGTCAATGGCGTTCAGGCAAACGGCTAGAGCTGCAGTGCAGAGAAAGCGGAGGATGTAAACACGCTCGTCATCGGGGTTGCCGGGCAACCAGCCACCTGACTTGAATTTTGGTGAGTGGCGGGTGCTTATCAATTTATCAATCAGTCGATTTGCATTGATCTTTTGTGATGTATACCAGCATGTTGGAAGTAGATGAGTGGATAAGAATCCCCTCATTACTTGTCATCATCATCATACATTTGTTGAAGATACCTAAAATCTGATCCTCCAACTTTTCTTTTGTTCTTTTCTTCTTTTCTTTCTTGCTTTCTTTTCCCCCTCTCCCTAGATCTTGTTCGAAATCGGACCTAGCAATGCAAGATGAGTACCTCGGTGTCTCCACTTGGACATGGCGAGATGGATAATATGACTCCGCCGAAAACAAAAACAAGGAAGATAGGAGTCACTCCTCAACTACTTATTGAATATCTAGGTATCAATAATTGGAAGCGCGTACAGTATAATCCTACATGAGAAATTGTGCAAGGGGAGAGAGAAATGGGATGTATTAGATAAGCTGTCCAGTCACGGGACACCCACATTCCTGCCAAGGCAGACCCGTCGTTCTTGGAAAAGTCTTGGAGTCCCGGTAACACATCTGAAACTGTGCTTCGAGATCTATATAAAATGGACTTCCTCAGTGAATGTAGTTAAACTGAACGTAGCAGAACATAGTATCTTGAGTTCTTTCGGTCTACCTTTTTAAATAAGCCAAACAAGCCAGACTCCATAGTGAAACTCTTTACTCCCGAGAATTTACCGAAAGTCAAGATGCCGTCATGGCCACCAAATTCACCTCGTTGTCCTCCTTGCTGTCCGCTAAGGTCCTTCCTCTTATACTGTCTGCCCAATCCTCAAAGCACTTAATTCCATTCAATTGCAGAGTGACCACCTAGGTTAATCCGATGGACAGTCTTCTGCAGGTGCCCACTTTGTAGTGGATGTATCGCACTGGAACTTCCGTAGCCGGGCATTTTCGGGTTTTCGTTTCCGCACGTTACTCTCTCTGACTTGGCTGCCGACGTGGTAGTTACGATCTAGAATACATCACATCACAAAACCCTCACGGAGATATTTGTTCTGCACTGGACCACGGTACTCACCCCTCTATAACTTACACGAGTATCCGGTGCATCACCACGATGAATTGCCCCTCGCGAACTGATGACACTTTGGAACACCCGGGTTGGAATCAAAACCCACCTGAGTTAAATGCAGACACAACCACTCGCAACGACTTCAACGGTATTGCCAATTCCAAAGTGCATAGAAAGCATGCGTCCGGAGCGGGAGCAGCGACGGGGGAAGGCATCACAGCTCTAGACCCTCAACCACATGACCTGGATCGAAAAGTCTCTGAGTCCGAGAAGAAAGTGCCTGGCGAAGTGATCGCTGCATCCTCTGGGTATCAAACACCTGAGAGGAACAGTGGATCACCTCGCCGCTTTTCTAGTATCCCCATCCCACCTTATATTCTCCGCATTGCTCAAAGTATCGTGAAATTTGCTCGCTTCGTGGGCCCTGGCTTTCTGATTGCGGTGGCTTACATTGACCCGGGAAATTATGCGACTGATGTCGCTGCCGGTGCGGAGTATCGATATTCCCTCTTGTTCATCGTTCTTCTTTCCAATCTCTTTGCCATTTTTCTGCAATCGTTGTGCATCAAGCTTGGTACCGTAACCGGCTTGAATCTAGCCGAAAACTGCAGAGAGCACCTTCCTCGGTGGCTGGTGTACATCCTCTACTTTTTTGCCGAGGCGGCTATTGTCGCAACGGATATTGCAGAGGTATGTTCCTCTAGAGTCGATTTACGATTCTGATGTAGCACTAACAGAATCCGGTAGGTGGTTGGATCCGCAATTGCACTCAACCTTCTGTTGAAGATCCCCTTGGTGGCTGGATGCGCGATCACGCTTGCCGATGTGCTATTCATTCTCATTTTCTACAGGCCTAATGGAAATATGTTGGGGTTACGCTTGTTTGAAATCTTCGTCATGGCTTTGGTGTTAGGCGTCGTTGTTTGCTTTTGCATACAACTCTCGCTTATAAGGGGCCAGTCGGTTGGCGATGTTTTCAAGGGCTATTTGCCATCATCGGCCATAGTAGAGTCCACAGGGTGAGTCTCTATGGTTGTCTGCCCTATGATGCGCTTGACTAAGGGGGTCGCAACAGTTTATACCAAAGCTGTGGAATTCTCGGTGCCACAGTCATGCCTCATTCAATGTTTCTTGGTAGTGGTGTTGTCCAATCGCGCCTTAAAGAGTTTGATGTTACTGCAGGCTATGTCAACTCATCCGTTTGTTTAGGAAGTACAAACGGGGAGGTTGAGTATAGACCTTCTCTCCATGCGATCCGAGGTTGCTTGAAGTACTCCATTGTAGAACTTGCATTGTCACTCTTCACATTTGCTCTTTTCGTCAACAGCTCTATCTTGATCGTTGCAGGTGCTGCCCTCTATGGAAACCCAGATGTTGGCGAAGCTGACCTTTGGGGTATCCATGATTTGCTTTCTACCTCTATCGCTCCCGCCGCAGGCTTGGTCTTTGGGCTGGCCTTACTTCTCTCTGGAATTTCGGCCGGGATTGTGTGTACGATGGCGGGGCAGATGGTGAGTGAAGGCATGTTAAATTGGAGCTTGAGACCCTGGCTTCGCAGATTGATCACTCGGTCAATCAGCATCGTTCCCAGTATCATTGTTGCAGGTGCTGTTGGCAGGAAAGGTCTGGACAAGACTCTTACTGCTAGTCAAGTTGTGCTGAGTGTGATTCTTCCTTTCGTGAGTGCCCCCTTGGTCTACTTTACCTGCCGCAACCGGTACATGACCGTCGCAGCCGATCGGATCAGCTACGGCGAGGGCCAGGCTCAAACGGAAGGAGTTAAGATGAAAAATAATCTCATTACTTCTGCCGTTGCAGTCGTGATATGGTTGATTATTGCGGTAATGAATGTGGCTTTGCTCGTCTTAGTTGGTCTCGGTAAAGCCTAGAAGAATAATTCCGCGTGCATATGTTGAGAAATCAAAGAATAGGCTGCAGGAGGGAAACACTTATGTGCGTTGCGATTATGGGGATTTCAAAAGTAGAACAGGTAGTTCAGATAGACGCCGAAACCCAATCAATCTACAGATGAATACTTAAAGATCCTAACTCCCATGCTCCCATGATGAACTCCATGATCTTGTATCCCCGTAAGCACTACTAGCCTAGACCGCTGGCAGGCTCCTTGACCTTAGTCTGTTCGGGAGGCTCGTCGATAAACTGAGGTGGTGCCACCTCATCCTGCAGGAAACTAGGCATTGCGCTTTCACCCATCGAGCTCTCGAACATTGTCTCTTCGCCCAGCGCCTCCAATTCCGCATCAAGCTCCGCTTCGTCCACGTCTTCAGGGATGTCGTACGCACGCGATATACTTTCCTGGATCTCGTTCCCAATATCCATCAAATCAGCCATCTCATCCTGCATCCGCTCAATCTGGTCCACGTCGATCTTGCCGTATTGCTTCTTGAGGGTCTTGGTGGTCGACTTCATTGCGTCCACGGTTGTCATCACGTTCTTCAAGTTATCTTGCATCATTCCGGCTTGTTCCATATTCCATGATTGTTGGGATAGCTGATCCCGTTGGGCTTCGTATTGCTTCCGGCGCTGCAGCACTTTGAGAGCCTTTTGTCGGAGTGCATTTTTGCCAGGTCCATCGCGCATCTTGGCGATTTTTGATTGATAGGTGGAGAGTTCTGAATTGAGGGCTGCCAATTTGATGTCTATACTCGCAACACGGTTGTCCACCTGTTAAAGAGCGGGGATGTTAATCATGCGGGGCGGGGGAAGATAGGGTAGTACAAGGTAACAGCAAATGACACTTACATTTGCGATAGCCCCGTCAAGAGTGGGTTTGGGAGCGTTGCTCTTAGCTCCAAAAAGGCGATTCATCTTGGTGGTCGTATGGAAGGTAAGAATAGCTAAGTTGCATAAAGGTCCTTTGGGGATTCAGCTTGCGGATGTGACTATCTCAAAAGTAGTTGGAATGAAGCTAGTTGCAGTGGCGGGTCTGTCGCTGCCTTAAGGCAACAATGATTGTTGACTGATTAAGCAAATGACCTGTTTCAAATGATTTCTGACTAAAGTCTTAAGGGTTCCCATCACCTGATGCAGATTCGGGCATATTAGGCAGACGAAATAGCACGTGTTGACGGCAGGAGATCCTGGGCTTAATTGGTCAAGGGAATTTGGAAGAAATAAATCGGTGAAGACTACAAGACATACAAGCATAGATACAGCTATCCTTACCCATCGGTATCTAATTTGGGTATGGTAGGAATGGAGGTACCTGGTACTTACTGTACCCACGGGCAACCATGGCAAATGCGGTACCGGATACCCATATTTGATTACTTGATACAAGGTCTTACTGCAGCAATGTTAACAATAAAAGAGTCTCGTGTGTTTGCAGATGAATAATTACTACTTCGATCCACCTCAAAAGGCATGAATTGAAGACGTCAGGGACCTGGGAAGAATAAGAAACAATCCTGAACGTTGTAATATCCGGTAGATAATAATAATATTAATGATAGGATTTATTAATAAGTTTAAAAATAAGACCCAGATCTCGACTTGTTTTTCGTCTTACTATAGTATTTAATTTCCCCTCCTCTCGCGTATTAAATGTGAATTTCCCCGCCGCCGCTTGTCGGGCTCGTTGGGTACTTTCGCCCTGCCTTTGATTCAGCGAACTTCCAGGGATCAAAGTTGCCGGCCGATCCAGACGCAGCCGCCAGCGCACCACATCCAACGTGACTCCCCAGCGTCAGCCCGTCATCTTCATCTTACTGTTTTGACTGACTGACTGACTGATTGATTGATCGTTCCGATTGATTGAATTGATTGACGGATGGAGTGACCCGGTTCCTCCACCTTTTACTTCCCCCAAACCTGACGGACTGGTTTCGCCTGCGCACATCATTCACTGTTTGTGGCTTTGACGAACTTAATTAGTCTGGCACTCTTCCACCCCTCTAAACAAGGAGGCTGTGGACTACTTCCCTTCATAGTCACTCCCTTCGGTCCTGAAGGTATGATCTTGATTGATTTATGTCCTCTTCACGCATCTGGCGATTACGTATCGACTGTTCCTGTTCTCCCCTGATTTGTTATTGTTGCTTCTTCCTCCCTTCCCTAGCGACCGTGACGTTGTCGGACCCCTTATGGTTCTAGTCGCTGGAAGCCATGAGCATTCGACCGCGTCGTTAACGTTGTTAGCACCAATGAGATACGATTACTAACTGGTCTCTTCTGCACGTTATAGCGCTTGGTCGCTCCGACCGTATTTGTTTTGCCTACTATTTCCCTCCTTTTCTGTTCTGAGACGACTTGCTTATTACGATCTGAACATCTTTGACAACGATCGATATACAGACATTGCGCCGTGTATTTCCGCATCATTGCGCCCCGCACGAGGATTCTAAATCGCCCTAGTTGCGTCCGCGGTTCTGTACCATATAGATCTCCGTCACGACACGGCGAAGAATAGCCGCCTTAAAAGTGCTTGCGATACGTTTCTTTCCATGAATCTTTCCATCCAGTTATATAATCCATCATGTTTTGGCGCTTTGGTGGATATGCAAGTATCTCCTCGATCGATACCCTTCTTGACAAGTCCGATGTCAGCCTGGAAGAGTTACTGGATGAGTCGGAATTGATCCAGGAGCTTAAACAACATAATACGAAGCTCATAGAATATTTACGAGATGATAATGTCTTGAAACGCCTTATGGACCATGTGATCGCCCCTAGCCTAGTGAACGAAGATGATGATGAGGATGATATCAATGACACTAATGGGAGTAAGGATGCTACCGCGGCGGAGAAGCGCGCGGACCCGCTGAAGGATATTTTAGACCCTGAAGACTTAGACAGGGCGGAAAAAGAACGCCTCAAGCGCGCCTACGTCGCGTGCGAGATTCTCTCAGCTGAAGTATGGTCGATATTAGACTCTATCATGCTTAACCGGGATCATCTCAAAGACTTTTGGGCTTTTCTATGGAGAGCACCCCCTCTAGATTCCCTCCAGGCGAGTTATTTCACGAAAGTGAATGAGACGCTTTTTGACAGGAAAACTAGCGAGATGCTGGATTTTCTCAAGTCTTTGGAAGGAATTGTTCCGGCCTTCCTCCAGCATATCGATAACCCCATGGTTATGGACCTGCTGCTGAAGATCGTCAGTCTCGAAAAAGTAGAAGGGGGCCAAGGTACTGTCGAAGTAAGTCTATAGCGATGACACTTTCCCTCAGCCTGACCCGCGCTGACATGCAGTTCCTAGTGGCTAAAATCGCAAGACTTGATACCTAAACTTCTTTCATTCTTATCATCGGATTGGTCGGCCGCAGTTCAGACTTCGGCTGGTGATTTTCTCAAAGCGATCATCACCATATCTGCGAACGCAACACAGAACGATCAAACCTGTATTGGCCCTAACAGTCTGACACGTCAGTTAGTTTCCGGGCCTTGCGTGGAAAATCTCATTAAGGCTATGTCACAAGGCGGTAACCCTTTAACTGTGGGCGTCGGTATTGTCATTGAGGTCATCCGCAAGAACAACTCTGATTATGATCCGCCGGATGCTGTTAATAGCCCTGATTCGTTACCCAACACTTACGACCCTATCTATCTCGGAAACCTTCTTCGGCTTTTCGCCAAGCATATTCCCGACTTTATGAATTTAATCAAGAGCACGAAGCATACTGTTGAGGACGGAGGGAAAGTGAAGAGTGTAGATAGGGGCAAATTAAGCTCAGCTTGGGGTGCCAAAATTGAACCATTGGGTTTCGACAGATTCAAGACCTGTGAATTGATGGCTGAGCTGTTACATTGCAGTAATATGGCTCTCTTGAATCAATCCGGAAGCGAGGAGTATGTGCAACAGCGGGATGCTGAACGCGAGAGGTTGGTGCGAGAGGGCGCTTTTAACCCAAACAGAGAAGAGACTTCCGTATTTGATGGCAATGACTCTACGGTGGATTTTGTCAATGGTTCAATGGTTGGTTATGGTTCTCCGGAGGACTCCAGGGTTCTTGAAGTTGCGAATACAGGCGAGGATGGATTTGAAGACGTTAGCTCATCAGGTGTCCTTGTCGATAAGGAGAAAGATACTGCCGAAGCCAAAGACACCTTCGGTCAAGAAGCGCAACCCCAGCACACGCCGCAGGCCTCCACACCGATAGAAGAACGGGGTTCGGATGAAGCACCAATACACGGAAGCGAGGATCAGAAAAACGCAAGAAACGATACGACCGCCCAAACACACACGCCTTCCTCAGATCCAACGTCTCCTACTGCATCGGGAATAACTGAGCGGGTTAGAGAGGTGACTCTGGACACTAACCAGGGCCCGAACGACAACAAATTATCTACAGAAGTAATGTTTGCGGAATCACCAGTTGCTTTAGATGGTGACCAAACACAGACATCTACTCCAACGCCTTCTGTGCCCGAGGCGGTCCCTCCCCCTCTCTTTGCCTCAAAACAAGAGAATCAGCAAATAAGTTCCCAAGACCCTGACACTGCTGGACAGATCGGTGAAGGCTCAGGGTCCACGGACTCTCCTGCGGAAGCTCGACGCACTGAGGGAGAATCACAACAATGCATGCATCCCGACATTCAGCTTGACCCCAACGGTCAACCTGTTGTAGGTGACTATCTCAAGGTTATGTTCGTGGAGAACCGAGTTGTACCTACTATTCTGGTAAGCATCTATGCTAATAAATTAAACCACTCCCCTTTGATCACTAACTTTGCATACCAGGATTTCTTCTTCCGATTCCCGTGGAACAACTTCCTTCATAATGTTGTATATGATGTCATACAACAAGTGTTCAATGGGCCTATGGAACGTGGCTATAATCGGGTTTTGGCCGTTGATGTCTTCGAGACTGGTCGGATAACTCAGGAGATTGTAGAGGGACAGAAACGGAGTGATGAAACACAGCGGACCAAACAAATTAGGCTTGGATACATGGGTCATTTAACACTGATCGCAGAGGAGGTTGTCAAGTTCAGTGAGCGACACCCGCCCGAGTTACTTTCTCCAACGGTCATGGAGAACGTTTTGAACCCCGAGTGGATAGACTATGTCGAGCAAACTCTTTCCGAGACTAGAGAGCGCGATAATGCCATACTTGGTGGGGTGCGCCCAGACATGTCTATCGGACACCGCCAGGGTATGCTTAACTCCGGCCAAAGTATGACTGGCTCGTCGGCTCTTGCAGAGGCTGGGTTGAATGGAGCGGCTGGAGGATCCGGTTTTCAGGGCTTTGATATGATGAACCAAGGAAGTGTCTCTGGAGGGGCTTTCGGTCTCAGCGGCGGAGGCAGTACTCTCCTGAGCGGATTTGCAAGCTCAAGCGATGACGACGAGGATGAAGACATGGAGGATCAAGATGACAGGAACCTTGCTGATCAATCCGCAGAAGGCAGTTCTGAAAATGTAGGTGACGATTTCTTTAGTGATGTCGATATGCGAGATTACTAAGTCTTGAAATTGGTCTTCCTCCTTCCCCTTAATTCCCTTCATGTATACATTTGTTGCATCTGTTTTGCCTTGCTTTTAACTGATTTATTTGTCTCACCTTCCCCCCTTAACCCACCGAAGGGGGTTTTAACATATGATGGATGACGGGAGTAGTGACGGTTATATGAGGGCCATGCACATAAGATGCTTGGGCTGGAGCGCCTCATTTATGTATGAAGTCATTCAAGAAAACCCCCAACTCCTGGAGGTCGTGTGGCGTTCACTTTGATGCCAAACAGTTTCTGCGAGTCATAGTAGACCTCTAGCTTTCGGCTTAGAAGTTGACTCCTTCGGTCTTTTGTACATTGCGATTGCCCCTTTCTGCGCAGTATCCCTATGCTTTGTATAGTTCTTGCATTACCCAATGTATGGTTGACTGTTGCGGTTCCACTAACTCGGACTCAAATATAGGCATCCGCTTATTCCACGAGCCAGCCTATTCCGATTCTTCCTCCGCCTCCAGCTCCTCTAAGTCTCGGTCCGTCTCGGGCACGTCGGCAGTTAGCTGCGCGGCTTGCCCTTCAGAAGCAGCAGGCGGCTGAAAACGCAGGAGACAATGGCGAGAAAAGGGCAGAGACGAACGCGCATGAGAGTTCTCAGTGGCCTTCCAATCCGTTTGTGGTTGCTGGTGTAGATGATGATGGCGATGGTGGAAGCTCCCCTTCCAATGCTTTTCCGTCCTCGGATTTCCCATCAGCAAACAAGGACCAGCCTTTCTCGTCACCTACATTTCCAGAATCAGGTTTCAGCCCTCCTGACTCCTTTTCAACCAATTCCTCGGAGGACGACGGTGAAGGTAGAAGTGAGGGGTTGAGACGCAAAGAGCGCATCCCCCTCGAAGTTGATGATGACGACGACATGGGCGAGATGGTGGGGCCATCGGTTGGGTCAGACATGATGGACACCGACGAAGAAGACGAAGCTATTATGAACGAATCATTAGGCTATCCTGATCTTGGACCTGGACGATATAAGAGCTTCCGAAGATCACGCTTCGGGGTATCCCCTTTCGGTGACGATGACGACCAAAATGACAGCAGTGACGGTGAAGATGATGGACTGGTCGAGATCCTGGCCCCAGGAAAGAAGCCTTGAATGGCTGTGTCAATACGACGAAATCAAATCCTCTGAATAATGTACACTACTGACTGAATAGCACTTACAAATGCTCTGGTACAGGGAGAAGGTCTGCGTTTGTTAGACTGATATGGCTCCTGGATGAAGCATTGGAATATGATCCTAGAACGTTGGGCAGTATTGGATTTTTCTGTCCTGCATGGTTGGAATGGTTGTTTTCTGAGAAAGGAGGTATTGGTCTTATGGATTGGTTTTTTATTAGTGATTTCCTTTCCTTTTCTTCCTTTTCTCTGCATGATTTCGTTGGCGCTTTGTTTGTTGTTTGACATCTATCTGCGTTTATCTTTTGGTTGAAGAATCCACTGTACGATATTGAGTTAGAAGCATTGAATTCATTCCCAGCGGTCTTGGTTATAGTAGTTATATGAAAAGGAGCGAAAAAATGAAGCCTGACAGCTTTTCGCGCGCGCATTCGGATGTCCTCTCGAGTTTATACTGCAAGATTTAATGTATCGGGTAAAAGTGGGACACCGCATTCAATAAATTCAATTGTCGAACTGCCCCTCAAATCTATTATTCACTTCATCCTCCAGCAGCATAACATTTATTGACTGCCTGTATTCCCAAAAAAAAAAAAAACGATTATGGCTGATACGTCAGCCATCAATCCAGTTGTCAAAGGGTAAGCTATTTCTTTTTTGCCTTTTTGCCCTCTTCCCTTGGAAATCAATGTCATTGAGTTCAAGTAAAAGTGGCGTGAGATTGACTTCAACCAAGACCTGCGTTGTCTACCTATCTTAATTTTCTCTCAAGTTCTGCAAAACCAAGTGGCTACTGTCATATCTCGTTTCCCTCCCTGCTGCCTGTTAATTCCCCAGCACGTAAATGGCCAACTTTCTGGGTAGTTGAGCATTGAGTTGACTGCATACAGGCCGAGCGATGACAGCAGCCTGGAACTTTACACCGCACTGCTAGATTGGATGGTCAACAATGGTGGCGAGCTCCATGAAAGCGTTGAAATAGCAAAGGATGAACGGCGCGGTGTGCATCTTCAAGTCAAGGAAGGCTGGAAGGATGGAGTTCCTAGTAACACACATATCATCAAAACGCCCCTGACTGCCACAATGTCGTACTTCAATGTTATCGGCCATAGATTTAACATTGATGATGGAGGTACCGTTTCATTCCCTGAGCATGGTGTCCATCTCCCTCGTAGCTTTACGGGAGCAGTGGGACAGGAAGACTCATCGATTTTCTTCTTGATTGGCCAGTATCTCCGTGGAAAGGAGAGCTTTTGGTACCCGTATATCAGGGCGCTTCCTCAGCCTGGTGCGTTGACGACCCCTCTGTACTATGAGGGTGATGACCTGGCATGGTTGGAGGGCACAAGTTTATCCCCAGCGAGGGAGCAGAAAGCCAAGTTATTGAAGGAGAAGTACCACAATGCACATACTGACCTTCGTAAGTCTGGGTTTGAAGGGGCGGAGAAGTACACCTGGTAAGTGTTTCTCTCTACTTGCGTTTGCTCATGCTTAAGAACACGGAATTTACAAGTTTTCATATAGGGATCTTTATCTCTGGGCATCGACTGTCTTTGTCTCGCGTGCATTTTCTGCCAAGGTCCTTTCTGACGTGATTCCTGATACTCAGCTTCCTGAGGAAGATGTTTCTGTGTTACTTCCCTTCATTGATATTCTGAATCATCGGCCGCTTGCAAAGGTAGAATGGCGTGCTGGAAAAGACAACGTCGTATTTCTAGTGCTGGAAGACGTCGCTGCTGGCCAGGAGGTTTCGAACAATTATGGGCCCCGAAATAATGAGCAATGTAGGTATGGTATTCAGGATAGCATTGTGAAGTGACTAACCCTTTGCTAGTAATGATGAACTATGGTTTCTGCCTTCCTGACAATCCTTGTGACTATCGAATTGTCAGCTTACGAGCACCACCTGGTAGTCCACTCCAGATGGCAAAATCTCAACAGCTACAGATGTTTCCTGGGCTAGCCAAAGGGACAGACGATCACTACTACGTATTCAATGTCTTTTATCCGCTTCTTGCTCCTCATACCCCCATGGAGCATTCGATATTTTCCCCAGCACTCTTCAACGCGGTCTCAATTTTGGCTGCAAACAACCGAGAATTAGAGACTCTTGAGATCACAGAGCAAGACATCCGAATCCCAGACGTTTACGGGAACTCGCGCACTATTATTGCCGCCCTTAGCCAGATCATCATTGAGCTGATTACACACATTGTGAAATTGAAGTCTTCAGCAGCCGACCTACAAACCCCTGGCAACCTCAAACAGACCCATGCAAAGATTTATCGCGACAGCCAAATCATGCTGTCCGAAACAGCTCTTATCATCGCGGCATGGACCCTTAACCGGGCACGAGAGCATGAATATGGAAGAAGCTGGGAGGACACAAAACTCCTTCTCGGTTCTCATATGGCCCGGGTACCCCGTGGGAAATTCCCAGAGGAAGTACAGTCCCGGATGCAGGTGCGGATTCTAGAGCGCCAGTCGCTTCTTGCAAACAATGGAGAACTGTTCTTGTTGGATGACTTGATCGAAATACTTCCCACTGAGATGAAACACCCCTGTAAGGTGTGCTTCCTGGGCGTTACTCAGAGTGCTGAAAAGTCTATCCCAATGCTGAAGGGAAGCTCCGAGACATCCACCTTTGCGTTCCCGATGTTCCTTTGCTTTATCAGAGCGGCCCACGCCGCTGGAGAACCTAATCAGGGGACCGCTTTGCTTCCATCTCGTCTAAGCAAATGGGTTAGATGCCTTCTAGAGAATTATCCAGCCCCTCCTAACAATGTGCTATGGGCACTCGAGGATGAGGATGACGAACACCTATTGGATATGCTTGATAATACTCTCGAGGCGATGAAAACCCAGAGTGGAAGTATCTTCTCTAACCTGGAGAAGTTTACAGGAGAATGGGAGAAAGACGACTGGTGGCTTTCTCCCAACTGGCTGCGATGGGCATGGATGATTACAGAGCAAGAGAGTGTGCAGGTGCCCGAGGAACCGTTAGGGTTGTTGGCTGCGGGACAAGGGCAAGTGATGCTATCTACGGCGTCGTGTTTGTACATTCCGCAGGAGTAGGGGAGGAAAGAGAGAGAGAGAAGAATTCAACGATTACTACTAGTACAACTGATCGTATATCTAAATACATAATAAAATTGCTGGACGATGAGTGGATGACGAGGGCGTCTGACTAAACACAACTCACGTGATTAATATAAGCCAATCAACGATGGCCAAAAGGCAGATATTCAGCAAGCGCAGGAATTGCCGCGCCCGTGAAGCTCAACGACAGCGAATCTCCATCATTGAACCCTTTCCGCTCCTCTCCTTTCCCCCTCATCTCCCCGCAGCCATTGGGCCAGCTATCACAATGCTATCTCGAGCGGCGGCTCCCTCGTCTTCCTCCCTCGCCAACTTTTCCTCCCGCTCCCTCCGAGTCCAGGGCCAGGCTGCCCGCACCTTCGCGACCGTCCAGGACAACGCTCCCCCCGTACGGCATCATGGCGGTCTGCAGGATCAGGACCGGATCTTCACAAACCTCTACGGACATCATGGCGCCGATCTGAAGTCAGCGATGAAGTATGGTGATTGGCATAGGACCAAGGATATTGTTCTCAAGGGTCATGACTGGGTAGGCATTCTACCATGTATCATGGACAATCATGCTCTGGCGTGTTATGTCTCGGGCGGGCTCAATGCTAACGCAGGCTCATTGTAAAACTACAGCTTATCTCGGAGCTTAAGGCCTCTGGTCTTCGTGGTCGTGGTGGTGCCGGTTTCCCCTCGGGGTTGAAATACGTAAGTGCTGACGGATCGACGATTCCGGGCCCCTAGCGTCTAACCTATAATGGCTGTATAGTCTTTCATGAACTTCAAGGATTGGGAGAAGGACTCCAGACCCCGTTATCTGGTCGTCAATGCCGATGAGGGTGAGCCTGGAACCTGCAAGGATCGTGAGATCATGCGGAAAGACCCCCAGAAGCTCATTGAGGGCTGTCTCGTCGTTGGCCGTGCAATGAATGCCAACGCCGCCTACATTTACATCCGTGGCGAGTTCTACCACGAAGCCACCGTCCTCCAACGGGCCATCAACGAGGCCTACGAGGCTGGTCTGATCGGCAAGAATGCCTGTGGAACCGGCTATGACTTCGACGTCTACATCCACCGTGGTATGGGTGCTTATATCTGTGGCGAGGAAACCTCCCTCATTGAGTCCATTGAGGGTAAGGCTGGCAAGCCTCGTCTTAAGCCCCCATTCCCTGCTGCTGTGGGTCTGTTCGGCTGCCCTAGTACCGTCACCAACGTCGAGACCGTCGCTGTGACCCCCACTATCATGCGTCGTGGTGCTAGCTGGTTCTCCTCCTTCGGTCGTGAGCGCAACGCCGGTACCAAGCTGTTCTGTATTTCTGGCCACGTCAACAACCCCGTTACCGTTGAGGAGGAGATGTCCATCCCTCTCCGTGAGCTGATTGACCGTCACTGTGGGGGCGTACGCGGTGGTTGGGATAACCTCCTCGCTATTATTCCTGGTGGCTCCTCAACCCCCGTCATCCCCAAGAACGTCTGCGATGACCAACTCATGGACTTCGACGCTCTTAAGGACAGCCAGACTGGTCTCGGTACCGCCGCCGTGATCGTCATGGACAAGTCCACCGACATCGTCCGCGCTATCTCGCGTCTGTCGGCCTTCTACAGGCACGAGAGTTGCGGTCAGTGCACTCCCTGCCGTGAGGGTAGCAAGTGGACCATGCAAATGATGCAGCGTATGGAGACTGGCCAGGCCCGTGAGCGTGAAATCGACATGCTCCAAGAGCTGACCAAGCAGGTCGAGGGTCACACCATTTGCGCTCTGGGTGAGGCCTTCGCCTGGCCTATCCAGGGTCTCATCCGTCATTTCCGCCCCGAACTCGAAGCTAGAATCAAGGAGCATGCTCAGCAGCTCGGACAGGCCCCCTATGCCGGTGGCTGGCACCCTAACAGCAGGGCTGAAGGCAAGCTGATTTCCCCGGGCATGTAAACTATCATTCCGTTTATTGTAGACTGATGATAGGATGAATGGGGGTGAAAATAATCAACCTGTTTCTCTAGATAAAGATGTTCGAGCTGGAGTATATCTCTTTTTTTCATGTTCAGTTTAGGCTTTTTTTCCCCATCATGTACAGTTCCTGGTAGCAATCATACTATTTCTTATGTTAAAATCCAAAACCACATCATGGAAACCTTACAAATTCGAAAATGTAAAATAAAGCACTCAATAGAACTCGTCCTCTATAATACGGGGCACATCCCTCTAGACAAGATGGTCATTATCGGAAACTCAATTGCCCGCATGAGAGGGCAAGGGGCCGCCCTCAATCCCCCGGGCAGAATAATTTGAACACTTCTCAACCAAAGTCCTCAAAAACTGTGTCTTTTGCACCCCCAGAACACATGCTCACCATACCACCAACTACAGAATTTTCCCTTTGAAAAGGTTACTTGTAGTTCACCCAAATTTACTCTTGATTTTAGACATTTTCCCAAACCAAGCAGGACCGAATTGGTAGAGATAGCGGTGGTCCACTATACCAATAAACGGCTTATTTCTGACCTCCGAGGTTCTCTGAGGTCAGAAGTGCCGCCTTCTTGAATAGGTTTAGATTGGGAATATCTTTGACTAGTTTGCACTGTCACCTGATCTGACTTTTAGTGGCATCTTTCCCATAATGTACAATGCAACAATGTCTGTCTAAATATACTGGGTTCATTTCCGGATGTTGAAAGGGAGATTGTGCAGGCATGAGAAGCGTCATCAAAGACGTGTTTCTAGGAGACAGATCTTGTAATGACGTGAAGGATATTTTGAAGACTTATTAAGTGCATTTCACATACTAAGACAACAGTCGTAAGGTAACCTAACTAACACAGAAATCATGAAGCACCAGGAAAGGGCTGAAGATGAAGAACGTGAAATCCAAGGAGGATTACAACAGGGGGAAATCTACACTAGGATACAGGGATGACACCAAAGTAACATGACAAAAAGGAAAAGAAACGCTTAATAGGCACCTGCCATGATGACACTGTAATACCGTCGACTCATCTCTGCGGTTTGCATGATTCGCGCTTCACCCGTCAAAGGCAAACTAAGCACACCTGAAAACTCGACCGCCTGTGAACGGGTTAGTCGACTTGCAAAGAACGTCGGAGGTAAAGAAAATATAAAAGGAACTCACCTTGCCATCCTCATGGGCCGTCCAACTAGCAATCGCTCGGCTCATTTCCTTGAAGGCCACCCGTTCCTCTAATCCCTCGACGCCCGATCCTTGACTGATCTGAGTGCCCATCGCAACCAACGCATTCACCAAGCGGTTCAACCTAGTGGCATCCCGCTTTCCGCTTTTGGCGGTCGCTAAGCGCAGGAAGTCCTCGTAGACACCGCCGCCATTAGCCCATCCTTGGACTTTGCGGTCGGGGGCATCGCCAAAGCCTGACAGTAGTGTCTCCAATGTCGCGTAATCGCGTTCAATAACAGCGGTTGGGCCGACAATGCGGCAGAAAGTGGCGTGCGCATCGTTCCAGTTCTTACCACGAACAAGACAATCCACCTCACGAGGGGCATCCCCGGCATCACGAGCGGAAAGGGCCTTAGCAACCCAAATCCATGCTTCGGGAATTTGCAGGTCTCTAGTGAGATGCTGCCAGGTGGTATCAGGCGCCCCTTCAGAGTTGACTTGATCAGGCAGCCGCGCCGCAAACCTCGCTATAGTCTCTTTCAAGGCACGCTCACGATCCTCAGCTCGGGAAAGATGGAGTAAGACAAATAAAGCTCGGTCGAGCTGGTCACCACAGCTAAGCTCCCAAGCATAGTCCCAGACCAATTGATCCACATGGAAAGTATCAACCTTGAAACCATCATGCCGGCCGACAGCGGCGGTGAGGAGCTGATATAGTTGGAAGGAGAGTCGGTTCGACAGTTTATCACCACTGACGGATTCCGGAAGTAAAGCAGCTGGGAAGTCAATTGCTGGTATATCCTTGGCCGCTCCAAGAGTCATTGAATAGACCTTAAGCAAAACCCACAAAGGCGACTCTTGCCCAAGTGTATCGGACACTGCATGCGACGTTTCCCGGGCGCTCTCCTTGTGGAAAGGGTACGGGAAAGCGGGCTCGTCACCGGTATTGAGGTCGTTCAAAAATTTGCAAACGGCAGCCTCGATAGGCTCATCGTCGGTGATTCCATACCACAGGCGGAGACCAAAAGCTTGGATCCAATCGAGCCCGAAACGTTCGGTGAGAGTGAACGTAGATACGCGATCCTCAAGTGCACCACCTGATTTACCTTCGCTGCGGAGGGCGTTGCCAGCCAGGAGTTCGTACAAGGCTCGAATAGGCTCAGTCATTTCCGAATAAACGTTGTGCTGTCGCCACATCTCAATTTGTTTCGCCATGTCGCAACGGCTGGTGGGGTCTCGGCCAATTTGCGCAATGAGGGTGGCTAGATGAAGATTTTGACTGGCTATCAAGACGTTGCAGGCCTCCTCAACCCGGTGCGAACAAAGCAGGAAGATAGCTTGTTCCTCGGCTGAATCAGCTTTACCTAGCGTATGTGCGTGTCTTTCTCTAACAACCCCTTCCCACAGGCGACTCAGACGATCCTTCTTGATGCGGTGGATGAACTTTGCTCGAAGCTGGGGTGGCACGCCAGCGGAGATATCATCTTCGATATCGTCGTTGAACAGGATGTTGGCCAACTGCCACAGCAATCTCTCTTGGTCAGAGCCCGCCATACTGGACGATGTTTGTGCGAATTGTTGGAAATCAGCTTTGGCTAAACGAGCAAAAGGAACATCATCAACACAGCTTATTATAGTCTGCTTCTTCTGGGCATCCAGCATCACATTCAAATCCGGCGCCTTGTTGAGAGCCAGGAGAATAATATCCCTCTCTTCGCTTGTGATAGAAAACTTCTGTTCCCAGCGGTGATCGCCGGAATGAACGCCTCCCATCCCGTCCTTGACGCATAGGATAGAGTCTGCTGGGCCCCAGCGCGGTTTGAATGAGTGGTGAAAAGCAAGGTCGTCTTGGCTGAGTTCATTAGAGTCACTAGCAAACGTCTTCGGCTTCTTGTTATAGGGCCACTGTGATAATGAGTTAGAGAATCGGTTTACCATCTCAATACATCTCACATAGCAACAACACTAGGATTGGAGGATATTAATTATGAAAGCAAAGACCACAAATGAAAAAGGGATCAAACCTCGAAACCTTTAGGCTGCACATTGCATGGCTTGGAAGGAGATTGCGTCGGATGTTTCTGCGGTTGTTGGAACAATGAATTCATCAAGTCGATACTAGTCGCGAAACCTTTTTGCCTAGTATCGGCAACAGGCTCTTCCGTGTCATCCTCGTGGAGAGGCCTATCTATGAAGGCGTTCGCCTGAATTTCGCGCAGCGCATCGCGGTTTTGCTTCCTGGGACTAATGGTTCGCTGCAGCTGCTCAGCCCAGTCACCGCTAAGATCAAGACGAGCCTTTGGAGGAGTACCCCATGGTCTTAAAGACGGCCGAGTGTTTTCGTAGCTACCGGTGCTTTTGGTGTCATCACGCTCCACGGTATGATGAAGGGAAGGAAAGGTACCCGCCATATCCATTTCCTCATCCTCATCTAATTCAACTTCTGATTCGCCAGACTGCTGGCATTCAGTGACATCGTCACCTTCTTGCTCAGTAGTTGAACCCGTGGAGCCTTCCCCTAAAAAAGACTCCTCATCTTCTCCGAAGTTCGAGTGCTCATCTTCCATTATCTCCATTGCTTGGTTGCCAAACGACCCTGGAACTAATTTACGCTTTTTGAAATCAAATGTGTCATCGTCGACCCCAGCCACCGAACCGAGAAAGGAATCATCTGTCGAAAAGGTGGACATCTGCTCCGAGGCTACAGTATTATCGAGATTGGTGGGAGTATGAGCCTTCGGAGTCGGTGTGTCAGGAGCAGCACTCAAAGTGCTTTGGTTGAGGCTCTCACCTTCATCATCATCGCTATCATAATCAAGGCCATATGTAGTATAATGAGGCACCTTGAAAACCCATGTGCCCGTTTCCGTTTCGTAATCAATAAAATCGGTATTGTGGACTTTTCTTAGGCGATCAACATGCTTTTCAAAGAGTGGTCCACTGGTAAGAGGCGACGGGGACTTCTTGTCTCTTCCTCGTGGCCAGGAATTTTCGATTCGAAGGATAGATGGGACATTGAGTCCTTTACCCCTAGGAGGTTTGATTGCTTCATCTGGATACACTGTTATTTTCCGCACACCGATATCGACAAGGCCTCCGAAAATTTGGTCAAGGTCAATATTCGTCAAGTCAACGGGCTCATTGAACGTCACTTGACCACACCGTTGCCGACCGACAGTAAAGCCCACAACATGCTTGAGCTGATCACGGCTCAGCTTATTCAGCTCAGCCCTGGTAGGCTTCATCCAATATTCGCCAGGCTGTGGGTCTCCGCCGGGAACAAAGGCCAGCCGTGATATGCCATCAGTGGTCGCGGTCTGTTCAAAGTCCTCAGGAACGACCGGGAGGTCCTTTTCACGAATAGATTCCATTTCCGGCCGAGTACCATTCTCTTTAAGACCGTTGATTCCATTAATAGTGTTACTCTTGCGAATCGAACGGAGGAAGCCCAACTCTTCTGGAGTGGGCTCCGGAGTTTGACACTGCACCGGCACAATTTCACTACCAGTGGTAGAATCCGAGGTAGCTTCAAAGCTGACCTTCTTCTTGGTCCTGTCCGTTGGCTGGGCGGTGTCCTCACCATTTGTGATTGTAGCCGCAGGTGTACTGGCTGGACGTGAGAACAGATCATTTCGTAGGCTGCGATCAATGGTGAGACGCTTCAGGTTACCACTGGACAGACGAGAGGAGCCAGAAGAAAGGGCTCCTGGGGACAGAACACTGTCGGTCTCCGGGTCAAACGACTTGCGAAGGTTGCTAGTAGAGAAACTCTTGCTGAAGCTAGCACGCCCGAGGCTGCCGTTGACACTTCCACGCAGGCTGCCGCCTAGCAGGCTACCACCGAGCCCGCCTGGAGTACCAGCAGAGCTGGAGGGTGAGGCGTAGGTCGAGTAAGAGAATCCGTACCCTTGGCGTTTTGGCGGTGTGACGAGACGATTAGCAGCATTTGGCGTAATCTTGTAAACAGGTAATGGAGTACGCTGCTTTTGCTTAATAGAGGAAGAAAGCGGCGTCGCCAATGGGCCAGGGCTAGGAGCACTTGGTGCAGGCAAACCAGAGAAGATAGACTGGTTCCCGTAAGGGTTTGGGTCGAGGAGAGACGCCTGCAGACTACCAGGCACTGGCTGCTGGGGTTGCTGCTGCTGAGATTGTGCCTGCTGTGTGTTACCAAAGAGACTAGAGGTACCCAGTCCGAGACCTCCACTCTGCTGCTGCTGCTGGCCTTGAGTATTGCCAAAGAGCGAGGAGCCTGTATTCTGGGCTGCTGCAGTAGAGCCTCCAAACAAGGAACCACCAGTGGCTGTGCTTCCGCCAAACAGACCGCCTGGCTTCTGTTGTTGTTGGTTTTGAGTATTACCGAAGAGGCCACCAGTTCCCGTCTGCTGGTTTTGAGTATTGCCAAATCCTCCGAAGGCGCTGGTGGCGGTTCCTGGGGCAGTCGTGCCAGACCCAAACAGACTCTTTTGGCCTTGCTGCTGGGTATTACCGCCAAATAGAGACCCGCTCCCGGATTGCTGGTTGTTACCTCCGAACAAAGAACCACCGGTCGATTGTTGCTGCTGGCTATTCTGACCAAAGAGGGAAGAACCCCCTGTGGTACCAGTACCACCTCCAAATAAACTAGGTGTCGAGGACTGTTGCTGTTGGGTATTCTGCCCAAAGCCGCCGCCGCCGCCAAACAATCCCTTGTTTTGAGTCTGGGTCTGGTTCTGTTGATTCTGTTGACCGAAGCCGCCGAATGCTCCTCCCCCAGTCTGCTGTTGCTGGCCGCCGCCGAATGGAGATGAAGTAGCAGCAGTACCGCCAAACGGTGTGGACGTACTCGTGTTTTGCTGGCCGAAACCACCGAAGCCACCTGTCCCGGCAGACGTATTACCGCCAAACAAGGGCTTGTTTTGTTGTTGCTGCGCCTGCTGAGTGGTATTATTGTTGCCGAACAGAGAGCCACCAGACCCGAAGCCAGTTCCAGTTCCGGTGTTGGCTGTACTGCCGAAGCCGCCCGAAGTTGCCGTAGTCCCACCGAATAGGCCGGGCTGCGACGTTCCTGTAGATGTTCCTCCTCCAAACAAAGATGTCGCTGGCTTGGCCCCGAACAAGGGGTTACTAGTGGTAGAGGTAGACCCGAACCCACCAGTGGTCTGTGTCTGACCGAAAGCAGAAGGGGCGCTGGTACCACCGAAGGGGGAAGAAGTGCTTCCAAACCCAGTGGACTGTTGCTGCTGCTGCTGGCCAAAGCCACTTCCTCCGAAGGCCGAAGTACCAAAGGCACCGGCCTGTCCACTTCCGTTTCCAAATCTACGGCCTTGTTGATAGTCACCGAGACGCAGTTCCTCAAAACAGTATTTGCTGTACGGTTGCATGAAGGAAATACTCTGGTAGTGGTTGGTCACATTGGTGCTGCCATCCTTCTCCGTGAAAGGACTGAATGGTGTGCTACCAGTACCTTCTGAGGGAGGAACAGCCTGCTGGAAAGCAGTTCCTGTTCCACTACCAAAACCAGTAGTGCCGCTTCCAAAGCCTCCGCCACTCGTGCCAAAGCCGCCTGTAGTACCAGTTGAGCTGCCAAAGCCGGTGCCAGCAGTCTTGTTGCCAAAGAGGCCACCACCGGTGGCATTATTAGAGCTTCCGAAGCCTCCAGTATTCGTAGTGTTGGCAGTGTTTCCAGTTGATCCGAAACCACCAAAACCTGCACCAGTTGGTGTGCCTCCTGTGCCACCCCCAAAGAGACTGCCACCGGATGTTGTTCCAGCCCCAGCTCCAGTCCCAAAGCCGCCGGTCCGGTTTTGGTTTCCAAAGAGCGAATTTGACTGATTCGGTGTACCTGATCCAAATCCTAAACAGATCAAAACCGCGTTAGTTTAGCTGTAGCGAGCGATTTGTGATTAACAAAAAAAGAATGAGAATAGAAAAGCAAAAGCAAAAGACAAAAGGCAAAATGAAAGGGAAAAAAGCTCGTCCTCGAACACAGGTCCTCGATGGCCAGGTAAGAGAGTTCGTTCATTTGTTTGTTTTTCTCTCTACGAGAATGGTGCCGCGCGACATTCATTCGCAAGCAAGTCGCAGCATTGTTGTAGGGCCTGAATTCCCCAGGATGGCCGCAAAGGTGAGGCCGGAAGTTCCGTGCGAAGCGTGAGCAGGAAAGAGAAAGGATCGCCAAGCTCATGAAAACATTGTCATTGGACACGTACCTCCTCCAGAACCAAAGCTACTGGAAGTATTCCCAAATAGGCCACCGCCGGATGTGTTACCGCCAGCAAATGGAGACGAGGTAGATCCAAAGCCTAGATGACGGGGGAAGATGCTGTCAGAGACTGTAATCAAGATGCGATCCCTTCTCTTGCGGCGCCAACTGTGTCGCCCAGAGTCGAGAACATCCGCGGAGCGTTGGTATTTCGAAAGTCAAGTGGAACCATCGCGGGTCGACATCCAGGAACACCAGCCAGGAGCGATTGTAGAGCCGGTGGAAATCCCAAGAAGATGGAAGGAAGAAAATTTTACAGGTCCCAGGGCAAAGAAAATCGCAGCGACGTGATGGATTCTGAACCTACCTCCTCCAGAACTCGTCCCTCCGAAGCCAGAGCCAGCTCCAAATCCGGTGCTCTGGTTGTTTTGGCCAAAGCCTCCGAATCCGAAAGACATGATGTTCGGTATATGTTGATACTTATGGGTTCATTCGTTCGAGGTCGTCCGGAGACCGAAAATTTGTTAGGACTTTGCGAAAGGTGACTATAAAACTTATATCAATAATTAACAATAGGCGAAACACTCGGTCGCAGTGCGCTTCCACGAAGTAGAGGCAAGCGTGTGTTATTCAAGAGAGCTCGACGCGGTGGAAGCGAAGCAGAGAAAATCTGTTTTGATTTCTCGACAAACTCAAAAGGACCCACACCAGCTTCAGACGGGCATTCACCGTCTGCTGTAGGATGTGCACAGGTCCCAGATCAAGGTTATCGGAATCGACGGGGAAGGAGATGGAAGGGTGGGAGAAATGAAAAAGTGGACACACGCGACGGTGAAGGGAAGAGCTGCAGAGAGAGAGGATGGGCGAGAGAGAATTAGTTGTAAAGTTACCGTTGCCTCCTTCGCTTACGCCGGCGGGACACTGCGATCGACACTTCCCTTATGGTCAACGCTGGTAATACTGGTACTGTACTGTCATTCTCGGAGCATAGTCACGTGGATAAATTGATGCCTGAACTGAACCGACGTTGACTACCTTCACTTACTTTTCCTTCACCTTGGACAAGCTGAGGAATCAATCCTGCCTGATCCGTAACGCATAACCGCATTCAGACCTTTAATGAAACCTACAAATCAATGGTCCTATCTACACTTTTCTCTATGCTCATGCTACTCGATCAGTCAGAAAAGATTGGAAGGCTTAAATCCCCTGTCTTACAATATGTTCTTTTTCCGAATTAAGTATTTAGGCTCCAGCGTCAGGATTCAACTAATACCGACAGAAAAATTGTCGAATAATATCTGATCCCCAAGGCTCCCGTCAACATCTATCCTTGATGTAAGACATCAACTAGCCTCAGTGGCTCGCCGTGGCCGCTATTAGTGCATCCTGGATTCTCGCAATCAGGAGGTCTTCTCTCTCTAGCCCAACGCTGATTCTGACTATATGCTTGTCGATTCCGCCCTCGGTTTCTGCCCAGTCCTGTTCACGGAAGTGCGCCAACAGGCTATAGGGGATCGCCAGGGAGAAGTTAGTCCCAACGCTGGGGCCTTTGTAAAGGTCCAGCGCATCGTAAAAGAGCACGGCAGTCTCTGATTTATGAAAAACAATGCTAAGCAAATATCCGTAGCCACCGTCCTTGCGCCGCACCTGATCGTAGAACTGTCGCGATGGTACTAGGCTGGGGTAGTACACCTGGGCAATTGAAGGATGCGTCGCGAGTAGATTAGCAATTGCGAGAGCATTAACATTACATTGTTTGACTCGCTGTTCAAAGTCGGAGGCGTTTTGGGCCATTATTATGGCTTCGAGAGGAAAGTAGATATCTTCGTACAGAGCTGTGAGGGCGGAGTGGATGGTGGTGTAGTGGGACGATTGGGGGTTCACCACGACGCTGCCAGGCGGTTCTATCAGACTGTGGTTCGGAAGTTATTAGAGTAACAGAGCGCTTACCTTCCCCCCATCACATTGCACAGGCCGCTAAAGACCTTCGTTAAGCTGGTCATAATCACATCAACATAGGGTAAAACGTCGATATTGACGAAGGTACCGAGTGTGTCATCGACCGCGACAATGAAATCATATTGCGCAGCCAGGGCATGAATCCGACGCAGATCAGGAGTCCGCAATTGTGGATTGGAGGGAACCTCGCAGAACAAGATTTGAATGCGACGACCGGCAGCAAGGGAGGACTCCAGCTCGTCAAGCTCTTCTTTACTTCCAGCACTGAGTAGGGTAGATCGTTTGTAATCACTCTCTTTAACGCAAAGTGGAGTTTCGGCATATGGCCATCTAGATTCGTCATCAGCTTAGTGGCAATTAACAATGCGAACCTATCTGGGGATTATACATACCCATAAACCACCGCTTCAGAGCGATCGATGGCTAGAGGCACTAAAGCCCTGGCCACTGCCGCAATGGCACACATTCCTTTTGGGTAGAGGAAGATGTCGTGACTGCTGAGAGGGTGACAACCCGGTTGGTCGGAAGTAACCAAACGTGCGATCAATCTTCGGATGGACTCTTTTTCATCTTCAGCCGAGTTGATCCATTGAGTATCCCGCTTTGGGAAATCCCTGCACGGAGCTGGAGTTGCAAGTGCAGGGTCCTCCGCGTGAGAATCCATCGAGGGAAGCGCTTCGAGGCAATACTCCGCATGACGACCGGCAATTCCGTCCCCGAACACTTTCCAGAAATGCATAGCTGAGGGGACACATGTCTGGCTAAAGAGGATGACAACGAAAGGGGCCCATCGCAAAGCTTCTCTGCCTGCTGACGGGTGCGGTGAAAATTTGGCTATTTGAACAGTTTCGTCGGGATGTTCAATTGCTAATTTGGCTTTACACCTTGTTGCGGCATCTGCCGAAGGAAAGATCAGACAGCTCACATTTTTGGGGAGGCAAAGCCGGGTGCATACGGCATCCATCAGTGTGTGTACAGATGGATGCATGCCAAACCTATACGGTCTGAGCCTAGAATGTGAGATCGCAGGAAAGTGTTGCTAACCGTGGATAGCATGTTTGCATCGAATCCAACAACCATTGCTCTCGACGACCCCATGCAGCGACGGACTCCCATGTCGGTAAGGACACGCTTACAGACTATGGCTCTAGCTCATCAGTACTGTTCCAAGTGTGTCTCGTCCAAACCTGAGTTTCAACTCACATGCTTTTCATTGGGTGGGTTGCACTCTCCCACCGGGAGCATGTGCGGTAAAGATGACTTCATATCTCTGCGGTTCAGGGGAGGGCGGAAACTATAGTAAAGAGGGAGGAAAACTGAATTTGCAGAAGTGTCTATAGTAGACATTTATTTATAAAGCCGGATGTCACAAACCAGGCATGCAAGCTTGATGCAGATCAGGGATGACGAGAGAGTATCTTGTGGCGGTCCCTAATTGGAGAGAGCCAGAGGCAGCACCCCTTCCTCAACCCAGCCAGTGTTGCATTTCTCATGCATCCATGATGCCTTAGGCCCCATCTTGAAGTCAAGGTATTGAATGGTATTATTGGTCCAATTAAATTGAGTGAGTGAACTAGTCGTAGTTTTCTGCGAGTCCCCGCCGCCACTTTTGATGAGGGCAGCAGGCGCCACTCACTAGTTGCGCATTAAACACGCACCATTGTCTATGTAGAACTATAGTTGATAGTGTGTTCACACACGCTCAGATGGGCAAAGGGCAGTTGACCCGTTCGCTGCCCCTAGCAATCGGAGAGTTATCCCTATCTGTTGCCCCAGAGAGACTCTGACGTGACCTCACCACCCATTAAAGCTCTGTATGAACTCAGGAGTCAGGATGTCGGAGCAGCATGTGTTGGCCCACCTACCACCGTGGCTTAGCCACTGGCTCATCGTACAGCTGCCCCCCCTCCCTCATGCCTCTGCCCAAGTATCAAACCTGGTTCTATTCCTTCATCGTCACCTACTGCGGCCTGTCTGTCTTGCAGGCCATCCTCAATTACTCTTCCTTCTTCCTCGGCTGCGGAGTACCTGGCATCAATGCCTCCTATGTCCGTAATCCCCCCTTCATATCTCCCTTCACTCCCTGAGGTAAATCCTAACCCTAACTTGAATAAATCCATGATAGGGAGCTTCGGCCGTTTTGATCTACGGCGCCAATGAATCTCCACTTGCTCAGCCCTATGCCCTAATCCTTTGCCACTTTCTGAGCGCATTAAGCGGTGTATGTATCACCAAGTTGTTCAGCTTAATGCCGAATGAGGCGCAATTCCACTCTCTGTGCTGGCTGGCCGCCTCGCTCTCATCTGCTGTGACCATCATGCTTATGCAGGTCACCGAAACCACCCATCCCCGGCAGGTGCGACAGCTCTGCTCCCAGCCACGTGTGACGGACACCGTCTGGGAAATGTCCTGGTATTACCTGCCTATCGTCGTGCTGTCTTCAACCTGGATCTTAGCGGTGGCTCCCGTGGTCAATTATATCTAACGTCGCTATCCCCTCTTTTGGATTGCACCGTCTAGGCTAAACCCCGTTGTTCCCTTGCCTAGTAGTCCTGGATTATGAAAAGCTTCTGTCGGATGTCGCTCTAAGAAGATAATGACAACCCTACCGAAAAGCCTAAGATTCGGGAAGATTTCCCTAACATTAGAAAGAAGAACATAGAGGAAGTAGATTAGCCTGAGGAGGGGATATCTTTTTTTGTCCAAGCGTTTGATTGTAATTTCAGGCCCTTCTTTTAGCCAAATTCTACTCAGAGACATCTATCTACACTTGCAGGGCAAACATTAATATTGCCATAGAACACTTGTGGTAGTTTGCGTATAAGTGGTGGAGCTTGGATGGATAGAAGAATATATATATATATATACCATCCGATGTGGCAAGGAGAGACATGTAGACTCGACCCCAACGCTGGCCGCCATTCTCTTTTGTATGTGAGTGATTATGTGCTAGGGAACATATCAATCAAGAGCTTTTCACTGCCAGGTGAAGATATTAAATCAACAGACGATGTTTATGTATGTGGGGCCATTGAATTACTGCCGATAGGCCTTTGGTATGCTGCTGCTCGGCTGAAAACGAAGAGAAGCTCTTTCTGGCTCCTCATTTTTAGGGTGCCGAGATCACTCAGGACACGCACCTTTGTGCTCACCCCACGCTCAGCGAGCAAAAAGAAGCAGCGCCAATGGTGGGGGTTGCGATCTGAGCAAATGCTTGACCTCCACTGGCCCACCAGTAGTATTGATTGAGTACATACTACTTACGTAGCACTAATCTTCAGTTGAAGGCTGTGGGTGTTCAGCCCAAAATTTACCGTACCTCATGGGAAGAAGTCCACTTGTTCAAATGGAAAATAAGGTGAGTATATATATTGAAAATTCGGAAATGATACACAAATCAAAACAGAATGACATCACCTCTTCGGATGACAGGGCATGGGAATCACAAAACAAAGCCAAAGCAAATGCGCGTATATGAAAATAACTCAGCCTTTACAAGTTCAGTGAGAAGGAACTAATATCATCATATCATAGTATTGCTGGTTTTAATCATTTTTTTCCCTCTTCTTTCTTTTGTATTATTATTTCTTCGTCAGTCATTCATTGTCCGTCTATTTGCTCCGGGAGATATGAACGGTTTCAATGATCCTGTCCACCACCGAGGGATCGGACAGAGTAGAGGTATCACCCAGACTGTCCTCCTCGCCACTCAATATCTTCCGCAGAATACGGCGCATAATCTTGCCGCTGCGGGTCTTGGGGAGATCATCGACGACGAAGACGGCCTTGGGAGCAGCGAATGGTCCAATCGACTTGCGAACCTGCATAACAAGATCTTTACGGACTTGGTCGGTAGTCTCATTGCCCTCTTTCAGAGCCACAAACGCGTTGACGGCCTGACCAGTGAGTTCGTCAGCGATACCGACCACGGCGGCTTCAGCAACCATATCTGTCACGGGATATTAGCATCAAGCGTCCACGAGTCCCAATCTTGTGTCACTTACGGTGCTCGAGCAGAGCGGCTTCGATTTCGGCGGTGGACAGCCGGTGACCGGACACGTTAACCACGTCGTCAACACGGCCACGGATCCAGTAGTATCCATCGTGATCACGACCTGCACCATCTCCAGTGAACTTTATCACCAGTTAGTTACGGTTCACCAAAGTGGAACCGGGTATTTTCTTACATAATAGCCCTTATAGACATTTAGATAGGTATCCATGTAGCGTTTATGGGCACCCCACACGGTGCGGGCCATGCTAGGCCAAGGCTGCTTAAAGGCAAGCACACCCTCCACGTCGTTACCAGAGATTTCCTCCCCGGAGACGGGGTCAATGATGGCAGGCTCAATTCCGAAGAACGGCAATGACGCACTACCAGGTTTGGTAGGGGTAATTCCACCCAAAGGTGTGATGACGTTCGAACCGGTTTCGGTTTGCCAGTAGGTCTAAGAAACCATGGTTAGTACTGCGTCAAGGCTTCGGCGAAAAGAAAAAGGGCGGGGGAAGGTTTCTTACATCGCAAATGTGAGCCTCTTCCTTTCCGACTTTCTCAAAGTACCACTTCCAAACCTCCGCTGCGATAGGCTCACCAACAGAGCCCAGGATACGTAAATGGGCCATCTTGTGTCGAATATGCTCATCTCCAGCCCGCTTCAACAACCGCAGCGCGGTGGGGGCGACATAGAACTGGGTCACCTGGTGCTTCTCAATGACATCCCAGTAGCGGGAGAAGTTGGGATACGCTGGGGTACTCTCAAAGACGACAGTGGAGCATCCCAGGAGCAAAGGAGCATACACCACATAGGTATGGCCAGTGATCCAACCTACATCACCACCGCAGAAGAAGCGATCGTTGTCGTGGATATCGAAGACGTACTTGCCAGTCATAGCGGCACCCACGAGGTACCCAGCGGTGGTGTGCATAACACCCTTAGGCTTTCCGGTGGAACCGGAGGTATAGAGCAAGAAAAGGGGGTCTTCAGAGCTAACAGACTCGGGAGGGAAGTAGTTGGGGTACTTTTCCAACTCCTCGTGCCACCAGACATCACGACCCTGGGTCCAAGGGACCTCGGTACCGGTACGCTTGTATACAAGCACACTCGTGACCTCGGGGCACTGCTTCAAGGCCTCATCAACAATACGCTTAGTGCCAATTACCTTGCCGCCACGTTTACCCTCATCGGTGGTAATGACGACCTTAGACCCAGCGTCCAGGACACGGTCACGGAGTGAGTCTGAAGAGAATCCTGCGAACACCACGGAATGGACAGCACCAATACGGGCACAGGCTAGGAAAGCAACAATGGCCTCCGGAATCATAGGAAGATAGATAGCCACGGTATCACCCTTCTTCACGCCTTGCTGTTTCAACACCCAAGCAACCCGAGATACTTCGCGCAGCAGCTCTCCGTAGGTAATATTCCGGCCCTCATTGGGCTCATCGGCCTCATAGATGATGGCGACCTTGTCGGGGTTCTTCAGAGCATGGCGGTCCACACAGTTGAAGGCAGCGTTTAAGCGGCCTTCAACAAACCAGGCACTGTCGCCATTCTCCAGAGAGCCGGTGTGGGTAGTTTGGAAGTCTTTGTCGAAGGAAATAAGTTCACGAGCCATGCGGGCCCAGAAGGTGTGGGGTTGACGAATCGATTCTTCGTAAAGTGTCTTATATTCGTCCAAGTCCTTCAGGTGAGTGCCGGTCGGGTGTTTCTCGTAGAAAGCCTTGGGAACATGGAAGGTATCAACCTCGTGGGCTTCCAGCACCTGAATCCATGCGATTAGCTAGCAGTCCGGGAATAGAGGAACCTGGAATTGATCGCATACCACAGAGGGCTTGGGGGGCTTCACGTCGCCGTCAGCCATTATTGGGTTGGTTGCTCGATGGGGAGAATAACTTGAGCTGCACGAGAGAACACGAGATGCGACGGCCTGTCTTAAGAGGAGCTTGGGAGGAGGGGTAGTCAGTATGAGGGTGCCAATGCCAGTGAAGTGGCGGCAGCGAAGCATTTAAACTCACTGTCGAATACTAATTAAATATAGTAGTATCAGGGTATAATACGAATCCCTCCGAGATTGAGTGGGAGGCGCAATAGGAAAGAGAAGGGGGAAGGGGGGGGGGAGGGTTAATTGGGGAGGAGGGGAAAAGCAAATTGAAAACGGAAATGAAAAGATGAATGGAGAGAAATGCAATGGGAACCTTGTCTCAGGCTGGGGGGAGGAAAGGCCGTTATTTAATTGAATCCAACACAAACTAAAAAGGACCAACAGACAATGTTGAGGTCCCGCAGTCCGGCAGTCCGGTGGACGTTTCTCGGTCACCTTATATCTCTAGTCCTCCAACAATCACCATCCTTCCGGGCGACCGGTGCTGCTGCTTACCGGCGGTTCGATTGTTTTCTCTCTCTGTGGAGAGTAAGTACCCCAGAGAAAAGCAGCAATACTTCTGCCCTCATCTCTTTTTCGTTTCGTTCGAAATACCTCTACATGTCCATATACCTAGTTTCACGTATACGTAAAAAAAGAAGTAAAGAAAAAATTAATATATATATATATATATAATGGAGTAGATTTAGCTCATTACAGTATTTTTCCTTAGAACTATGGAGCATACTGAACCCTACAGAGTACTCCGGAGTACGATAAAAAAAAAAGATATTATTATTCCCTTGCAAACCAATAACAACTCTACGTAAGGTACACTAGTAAGTACTCGCACCGGTCCACGGTCCAAACGCGGCAAGTCGAAACTGGTTAGACTCGGCCATGCGGGGCTCGAGAGGCCTGACAGCTTCTCTTTCCGTTGCTCCGGGGAAAGAAATGTCCATCACGATTTATTGAAATCATTCTTCCTTGGGTACTAACATTTAGGGTCACTGGGTCGATCAGGGCAATCCATTCAACCTATTTAACTCGCATTCCGTACATGCTTGATTACCTTTTGTTGGTCGTCCAGCGCCCTGGGTCCATGCTCGAATCACCACGGGGCCAGACCAGGCATTAATTAGATCTGTTTAAATGCTACCCCAGGGAGACAGTTGAACAGCAGCCCCAGCGGATCGGGTTTGCTGCATGTCTGGTTATTGGTTGGGAAGTATCACAAGAACATGTGCCGAGCAATGGAGGTGGAGGGGTAATCTCGTAACTTATCATCACCTAGTGCGGGGTGGAAACTTTCTTGGTACCAAGTTGATCCTGCGGCTGTACTCCGTACTACTTTGGGCTTTAATTAAGGTAACATGGGGGGTTCCGGAGTTTAGACAGACCAAGAAGGGAGGTAAAAAGACAAGAAAAAAAAAGAAAAAAGACAAAAGAAAGAAAAAAAACCCCCCTCCCAAAAAAACCTGAGTTCGTCGTGACTCAATACCGTTTGCGGAAGCTTCTTAGCTCTCTGATTTAGGTATGAACTACCTATCCAATTGCAATACTGGCTTAGGGCAGTGAATGTGTATGTACTGTACAGTACCTATTCTATTACAAGCCATGTAAAATTAGCAGCGTATGGACGTGTCTAGATCTCACGTGGACAAAATTAACATTAATAATAATTCTTGATAAAAGAATAAACGCAAAATGTATGCAATGTAACAGAGGAGCCTGTCCGTTTGGTTACTGCAGCACTACTTGGGCATTCTAGAGTAAGGTTCTTAGACGACCATCACTTATCACAGGCAGTAAAAGCGCCAGCCGCTGACAGGTGAGAATTACTTAGGTTCATTTAGGCTTAGGTAGGCAGAGAGTACTTGGTTTTAATTACTCAATTTGGTATCTACGGAGTACTTAACAAGTATAGGAATCCATGCATGATATCTAGTATTGAAATACTGTACATAATGAAAATCCATCTTGTTAGAATCGGACATCCTTTCCTTGCCTGAGATAGTAGTAGTTCGTTATTTTCTTTCTGATCACCACGGAATCGACAGCTTCAACCAACAAATGACTTCTCTACCATGCCACCACAAAAGTCTTGTGAGGAGATTGTGGATAACACTGTGTCATAAACGAGAGAAGACAGTAGAATTCAAGCCCCTATCGGAGTCATCATGTTCAAGACGGGCAATGTGGAGACTTGGAACATCAGGTAGGCGACGATCACCACTCTCGGCTTCTGCGCTGCCTGGGTTTCCAGGCATCTACTTTACCGAGACGGCTGCACGGAAGCTCGGGCTTTTTCTGTTAACCGTGACGAACACCGAGGTTATGGCGATTCGGATCTGTTTATAAGGTTACCTTCCCTTCATCCTGTTCCTAATCAAGTTGCTATCTCATGTCCTGGCCTATACGTCGGGGAAATGGATCATTGCCTGTGGGCTGTTATGCGTGGGCCTCAGGCAGGCAGGCCACACTTTCTTACTACTTACTAGGCACATCTTTAGTGATGATTAGCCCCTTTCCGAGGATCATCTAACTCGTCCAAACTCACACCATCTAGTTCTTAGTGACTCCAGTCTCCAGTACAAACTACGAACCCACTCCTTTCTAAATTACCACTACCTACAAACTACAATACTCCGAGGTACTTGCGCTAGGAACTAGTTCCGTTTGCAATCCTGATGTATTCACCAAGTACCTTCTTCGCATACTACGTTCGAGTTGTGGGTACGAAGCATATTGGACCGGAGTACATTTATTCATTGTCACAGATTAGGGCACGGAGACTGAGTACATATGAACATACTTTGGTACAAGGTAGTGGCAATCCACATTGACTGTAACTCCAGGGTAACATGTTGCAATCTGTGGAGTGGCTCGACTGACTGGACTTGCTCAAACCAGCAAAGCCTGGCCGACTCTTCTGCCGCCCACGGTGGGCCTCAGTTTTATTCCACCGCTAATCTAGTGCACAAACCACTTGGCTGTGGATTCTGTTCAACTTGAACAGCTCATCCGCAACCAATAATCTCAAACTCATAATGTCGGACATACTCTTGTCTTCGAATTTACCCTAACTTGGGGCGTGTTTGATATCTTTGTTGGGAATCACTAGTGTCTTCGGATATCCCTTCTATTAACATTAATTGCTACTGTATATCCTAAAATCATACAGCGATACGACTCTATGTAGGCTAGTCCATAATCATAGCATTATGTTTTGCCTATGATTGTTTATCTATGGGTGATATCACGATAATTCCTGAAGTCAGCTGGCTGCTAACACTCGTGCCCTCCTTATCATCCTGATCTATACCCCCTCGCGGCTACATGGTGAGAGAACAGCAATTCTAGGCTCATACCTTAACAGACAACCTTATACATGATCAAGTATGCACTGTCTTATGGTTCCATTGATGACAGAGTCCCTGTCTGAGAGAATGCACCAGTGGAGAGTGGCTTTTAATCTCCCATCACAAGCGAGTAAGATGATCCTGCTCTACAATCTGCGGGACTAAAAGGTGGACAACTATGTCTCCTCATTTATAATTAGTGCCTTGTGGGCAGCTACCGCTATCCCTGCCACTAGTAGGTACAGGTGTGGCTTGAAGGCTAAAGCTAGTGCGTTGATGCCCCGGACTAGTACTTCAAGGATAATGTCTGACCTAGGTAGTCTCCTAGCCCAAGTTAAGCTAGGTCATTAGTAAAGGTAGAATCCGAGTAGCATGTGCCAGCCTATTGACGCAGCTCTCGATCTTTGCGGCACCTAGGATACAAATTATTTGGCGTGCCTACGCGACACCAAATGTTCGCCTTGATCTCCGAAAGTATTAGAACGATTGCTATGAAGAAGTGTTAACTAATTAGACTTCACTTTCATACCTCGTGATAATTGTCCTCTGTTACTGGTTGGTGTTGGTCGATACAACCTGTATGTGAATGTTGTATAACTATGTTATGACTAAAAGGGAGGCGGGGTTGTGTTTTGGAAACAAAATTTTCAAGTACATACCATTCAAACGACAATCATGATACATCTTAGGCAGATGGCCATTCTGGTGGATGAGTGAAAGTAAATATTCAATTACAGAACAGGTAATCATAGTTTCTGAGACATCGCTTTTCATGAGTAGCATCCGTACCGACCAACAATATCACTCATATTTCAATATGCCGTCCACTCATTAGTCCACCAAGCGCCCATCCCCAGCGCAAACACTACAAGGCTGCCATCACGAATTATCTCCTGGAACAGCTGAAACAACAACATTAGCCCGGCAGCTCCTCCGGTCCGGCCTTTGCTCATTAATCTCGCTCCAGTTAACACCATTTCACCCGTCGTAAAGTAAAGGAATGGATTCCGTGCGGTGGCCGGGGCCGGTGGCTGGCTACCGTATGTCGAAACGGATGTACTGATAAGCATGAGCAAGTAGATTCCGACCGCCATCGTGAACAGTGCATGAAGAGCTTTCCATGTCCGAATTTCCTTCTTTTCCTCATCGGTCTGTTTCCGAGTCACAGCCCCCAGCAGGTCTGAGACGAATGGAGGGAGTCCCAGGGCAGACGCGAGTTCGGCTTGCGACGGCCCACCGGCCGCCGCAACTTGACCTTGCCCATTCATTCCTGTCATCAGCGAATTGAGCATTTGCAGCGCAGGATCCTCCTCTTGAGGCCCCTGCTGAAAGGGCGATGGGCCACCTTGGCGGAGAAGAGCGCGGAATAACTCTTGTTGCGCTTGTAGGTTTTCGGGAGACTGGATTTCAGGAGTCACGATTTCAGGGTCCGGTGTTGACTGGGCTGGGGTTTCTTGCTCTTGAGACGGTTCCGTTTCCGTTACTGAAGATGCGGGTGCAGGAGGCTGGGGCGATAGGGACGGCGATGGAGACATCTCTTCGCGCACTACAGTATCGTATTTAGTTTTTGCTCTTCGACTGGTTTATCAGGAAGATAAAGGAGGAGAGGTTAGTTCGTACAGCTTGCGCATGTCCGCCCACTCAGACTAGTAATCTTATCCAGTCGTGCTGCACCACCTTCTTTGATTTTAGCTTCGCGACGTTCGCGTCGGAGGCGAGCTGCTCGCTGGGCTGGCGATTCTTCTGCGGAGGACATTATCGGAGGGTTGCGAATTAACTCTTTTGATAGACGTCGAAGTGGACTCGTAACTGCGGGAAATTTCAATCGATTATAGTAAAGTGTATAGTATGCGTACGATGTGTTGGTACCCCCTAGTGAGTTGGCATCGCCTTATAGGTATGATGTGGTTGAAGGTCTTTCGGCCACATGAATGCGATGTCAGGTAATCCTAGTCTTGGCGTTGCTGGAGCTATCCTTTGATAGGTACGTGGCTTTGGCTGATTTGATTAGTAATCGATTTTCAACCTGGAGTCCAGAGCGATTTACATTTACACCTATGTTCAAACATGTAACTATCGCGGAGCAGGATGATATAGTAGTGACATGTTTTAATTCTCGATGTTGGCAGCAATGAGCTGGTGGTAGTTAGCACCTCAACTTCAATTTTTCGGGATCTTGTGTATGATCTTTATTAGTAGCTCTTCATTGGATACCTCCACAAGAAGTAGTATATGGCCAAATTCTCATGGACATTCGTAGCCCCTGCTCAGCATCTCGACAGCCTTGCGTCGTCTTTGCTGGACTGTGTATTCAATGGACTCGAGCCAGTTTGATCTATGTCTAAATCTTTAACGTTATTCGAGACTCTAGATACAATAAAGCCCTGAAGATTGTATATAATCTATCTCATGCCATGTACGGAGACAGCTTGCGAAATTGTGTGTTTTTTACTCGATGGTTTCTTGGTGCTAGATCAAGGATGAGTATAACATAGGCACTGGTAGTAGGCACACGCAATCCAACAGATTAATTTAAGGCGGAGAGAAGCTTCAATGCCTGAATTGCAGGGTCCAAATATACAGTCACGGGAGGTGACATCATTACTCAAGGATCATCCCGCGCTTCAAGTTAACTCTCTACTGGCGACCAGTCGGGATGAAACCATTTCATGGCACCATTATTATCTAGAGAAGTCGCTGGATATACACTGATTCAGTCCCATAGTCCTACCACAGAATAAACTGCAAACCGAATGAACCGGGCTACAACTTCCATTGGCGACATCGACCAAAATCAATTTATCATGTCGCCAAGACCGCTGATGAAGAAGGATATCCACATGGCATTTGGAATCCTGGAACAAAGTTCGCCTTTGGGCGTTTCTGGACCACTAAATATCTAGTGCGACCCTTATTTCTTGATGACGGACCGCTCACACATCCCTTAACTCCACTGGATATTGGCTGACGTTGTGTATGGGCCCCCCGCAATGACGTAGTTCTTTTGCGGTAGGGCTGGCACAGTGCTATTACTACTTCACCTCTCACTCTCAGGGCTAGGACAATATCCTTTTCACTCTCGTTCCGATTAACTCAATTCCATGCCCTCCCCTGATCTCCGCTCTGCGCAGGGACCTAAAGCGTCCAATCTAGAATGAGAGTTCGGGTCCCCTCATAACGCTTGCACTCTTCTAGCTCCTACTACCTTTCAATTGATTTTCTAATTCTTCTCTCATAACTCCTTTATTCAGACTATCACTAGCATGGGACCCCACAAGGCCTCCGGGGTTGATTCCCCGAAACACCATAGGGTGGGAGAGCATTATGGCACACACAACCCGGTCCCCACTATCCAACGGTTCCTAGAGCATATGGAAAGGGATAAACAGGATCGTAAAGCTCACGAGGAGGCTGTGACAGCGAGGGAAAAGGAAGAAGAGGCCCGCGGAGAGGCAAGCCCTCATAAACCGCGAAAGAGGCCTGGCAAGGGAAAGACCCGTATGGTGACAGATCCAACGACTGGACGCGATATAGAGGTGGAGGATCAGGACTCAGATTCCATGGAAGTGGTGAAGAACCCAAAGGTATATACACCATGATACCCTATTTTACTTATGTGAAAATCGTACCGGTCGCTAAGTCTGGTGGTAGTTGGTAGTTCCTAATGTCAATCTTGGAAAACCCACGGTGAGTCCACAATCCACACGAGTAAAATTTCGCAAGACTGAGCTCACTCTTTATGCAAATCCAAAGGATGTTAGAACCTCTCCAAGCCAAAGCCTCAAGGACTACAAAGAGAACCAAGATATAACAGCACCCCCGGACCCTATCGCAGAGGGTACTACGTCCGATGTTCCCCTACACGGAGAAATCACCAACATCCTATTCCATCCAACCCCATCCATTTCCTATAAGCCGATGTATGATCAATTAGAAAGGAGAGGGACTGGACTGTGTATAGGGATTGTATTTGGCATTCTTTTCGTCGGTCGGATGTTTGGGGGCTCACTATGGGCTCTCCTCCCTTTGGCTGCTTGCATCGCAAGTGGTGTGTGGCTGTGGGTACAAGAAGTCATACGGAGTGGCCGGGAGATGGAATGGAGCAGTGAACAACTTAGAGGACAAATGGTAGGCCAACACCTTACCTTTGCTCTGATGTCATAACAACGCTCACAATTCGCATCTAGGCCATTGCTAATCTGCTACCTGAATCTGTCGAATGGGTGAATTCTTTCCTTGGCATTGTTTGGGGCTTGATTAACCCTGACATGCTGTCGCCGGTTGCCGATACCATCGAAGATATTATGCAGGCGTCTGCACCGAGTGTGGTTGAAAATGTTCGCATTGCTGAGATTGACCAAGGGAACAACCCATTGCGGATTCTGAGCCTACGAGCTCTTCCGGATGAACATGTGCAGCATCTTAAGGACAACGTCCGCGAAGAGAATCTCAAGAACAAAGACCCCGAAGAAGCCGCCGCCATGGAAGAGGGTGGTAGCTATTACAATATAGAAGCTTCCTTTGCGTACCACGCGAAGCCGAGCGGTCAGACTGCTTCGTCAAAAGCGCGCAACATGCATATGCAGCTAGTCTTTTATCTGGGTGTTAGAGGACTTTTTGGAGTTCCTTTCCCCGTTTTCGTGGAGTTGATCGAGATGGTCGGCACCGTTCGCATTAGATTTCAGCTGATGCCTGAAGCACCCTTTATGAAGGATATGACGTTCAGTCTAGTTGGAATTCCCCATATCAAAGCCGGATGCATGCCGATGGTGAAAGGTGGTGTTAATATCTTGAATCTCCCGCTCATCTCGAACTTTGTCAACTATGCCATTGGCACTGCGTGCGGTCTCTTCGCGGCACCTAAATCGATGACTATGGACCTCAGTATGATGCTTAAAGGCGATGACATTCTCAAGGAGACTCAGGCATTGGGTATCATGTGGATTCGTATCCATCGTGCGATCGGATTGAGCAAGCAGGATAGGCGGGGTAGCTATGGTGGCGGAAGCGACCCTTATATAAATCTTTCATTCTCGAAATACGGCAAACCCATGTATTGTACCAGGGTGATCACAGACGACTTGAATCCAGTCTGGGAAGAAACTGCAGCCCTACTTGTTAATCCGGAACTGATCAGTGCCGACGAGAGTCTAAGCGTTGAACTATGGGATTCAGATCGGAATACGGCAGATGACATCGTGGGAAAAGTAGAGCTGCCAATCCGTGACATGATCCAACATCCGGCTCGGATGTATCCCCAAGTATCGAAGCTACAGGGCCTTAACGAAGGCAGTGAGATGCCCGGTGAGCTACACTGGGAGGTTGGCTTCTTCGGGAAACCGAAATTGCGCCCGGAGCTCAGAACTGACGGTAAGAAGAAAGATTTACCGGAGAACCTCAGAGACAATCCTCAATTTCAAGATGAGAAAGGAGTTATCACAAATGAGGAGGAGGATGCTATAACACACACGCCGCCAGATCCGCTTTGGCCCAGTGGTATTATTAGTATCATAGTTCATCAAATAGTGAACCTGCAACTCGCTAATATCAAGGGAAGCCGGTATCGAAGAGGAAGAGAGTATGAGCCGGCGAAACCATATGGAGAGAACACAGAAGAGCAAGGAGGAGACCTGCCGACCAGCTATTGCAAGATTATCCTGAATGATCAGCTGGTAAACCCTGACTCCATCTGTCCTATTCAAGCTAAAGCTAACACTTCCTCTTAGGTTTACCGCACTCGACCAAAAGCCGTCAGCTCAAAACCCATATTCAACGCAGGCACCGAGCGATTTGTTCGAGACTGGCGTTCAGCCATCGTTACTGTGACGGTCAGGGACCAACGGTACCGAGAACATGATCCGATTCTGGGAGTGGTGCCTTTGAAACTATCAGACATCCTCCAAACGAGCTCGCAGGTTACCCGATGGTATCCTCTTGACGGCGGCATTGGATATGGACGAATTCGCATCTCACTCCTCTTCCGGCATGTTGAAACCAGACTACCACCAAACATGCTTGGATGGGACGTCGGTACATTCGAGTTCGCCTCGGATAAGATCGTCGCGAAGAACTTCAACCATCGAGCCAAGATCAAGCTGCGGACGGGAGGCAGCAGCGGCAAAATCCCACGATACGTATCCTCGATCGAAGGACAGGACATCTCTTTCAACCTGACTCAGGGATCACTTCACAAAAGCATACGACTCCCCGTAAAACACCGCTACAGATCTCCTGTTGTATTCGAATTCTACACGCCAGGGAAACACAGCCCCGCCGCCTACGCCATCCTCTGGCTCCAGCACCTAGTCGATAACGAAGACACCCCCATCAACATCCCGATCTGGTCAACGAAGAACGGCAAGCGCCTCACCCAGAACTACATCACCGAAGACAACTGGGAAGCCAAACGCGAACCGGGACTAGAAGACCTACAAATCATCGGCCGCCTCCAGTTTCATTGCCGTTTCACCCCGGGTATCGACGAGTCCCACGAACATTACGTCGTCGACAACCACTCCCGCGAGACGTACGAGACGTGGGAAGCGTGCATCGCAGAAGGCGTACGACCCCGTAGCATCTCCCTCGAAGTTCCCAAAGAAACGGAACAAATGCACGAAAGATCCCTAGTCGACGGCCGCGACGTCCTGAAGCACGCCGATCCCAAAGAACGACGCCAATGGATCGACAAACAAGGTCAAGATTGGAGCGGCGCGTTCGGCCACGATCCAAGCGCCTTCATGGATCACGACGGCCATGTAATCGCCGAGCCCGGCCGTGACAAGCCAGCGTACTCCCCCGCTGATGGCCACACCGTAGAGGCTGTACATCCCGAGGACGATGACGAGTCCTCTTCCGGCGAGTCCACATATGAAGGAGCCGAGCAACAACTGTCCACCTCCGATGGCGCCCAGTCGTCTTCTTACGTCACGGAGCCTTCCACCACCGAGGATAGTCTGGCTAGCCCAAGTAAAGAGGATAAGCAGACGAAAAAGGCCAATCGACGCAGTGAGCAGCGTCAGCAGCGCGGTCTGATGCAGTGGAAACCAGCTCGGAATGCGGTTTTTGCGCGTGATGAGGCGAAGTATGCGCTGCGAAAGGTGAGGAAAAGGTTCACTAGCGATCTGACGGGGCGGGAACCCGATATTGAGACTGAGACTGGCAATTGAGGTGTGTTTGCTGTATGTATAGCTGGCTCAAATGTTCTCATGATTGATGGTGCCGTTTTTGCATGGTGTATGGGGGGGTTTGTGGCGTTCTTTTGCTGTATATTAGGGCTTACACTACATGATTATGTGCAAATACATGAACTGCGTTTCTCGGCGCAACATGAAACAGACTATCTGTATACGATGGTGTGCGCATTCTTATATATTACCTGATCGGTGGAGCCCGAATACGGAATGTGGATTCTCAGGTCCACGCGTTTCTGACTTAATTAAATACGACTTGATCGACGGTCGTACTCGTGTTACACGAGGATCTCCATGGAGTTGTACAAAATTATCTGGAAAGGACAGCCGATGGTTACTCAGAAGAATTAGTCTGATTCCAACACATGATCCAGTATCAATGTAAAAATGTATTAGAATAATAATATATGTATGTATATGATCCGAGGTGTGTTGTATGTATATGAAATGATATCATGCCGCCTTGTTGGTAACAAACAAGGAACTCCCAATGTAAATATAATCAATCAATCAATCAATCATGCTCTGGAAACCTCAACCGAACTCAACTTGAAGGTATATATAAAATGGTGTATATTGAAATGAAGAGATGCGTGCTGAAAGGGTCATGGTTCCATGCCTTCTATATGCATAAATCATAATCGGAAATCTTAACTCATCAATGCATGCTTGATTTCCATTTCATCGCTCATCATTGAACTGAATTTGCGTGCGCTCGTTCAGCTTCGTGCGTCGTGTTACTCTTGCAATAATCACTGTCTTTGGCAAAATCTAGGGCGATGAAAGAACTGGGGCTAGGATTTTGCTCCGAGACGCTGGACAAAGAGGTGGCGTTCGAGACCCAGGATCTAGGGCTGTCGTTTTCATTGTCGGGTGATGTGGTTGCGGGATTAGAAGCAGGCGATATGCTCGGTGCCATCTCTGGATAAGATGCAGTCTTGTCTTCAGACTGACTATTCCCATTCCGTATTTCTAATGGTCCTAGAGTCCATCTCCATTCGCAACGACGTTTGGCACGATCCTGACATGGCGTTTGCGGAGTGGACGACCCATCTTTTTCGATACCATCCAGTAGAGCAACTGCCCGAATTTGCTTTTCCACACTCAAATGCTTCCGCTTTTTCCTTTCAAATGAATTAAGGGGGACTTTGTTCGACTTTACTTCTGCGTCATCGTCCGACGTGCTGGCATCAGACGGTTCTGCGCTAGCGGTTGAATCCGAATCCTCCTCGGAGCCAGCTTCGTTGGGTTCGGGATTCGGTTGATTTTTGAGATCGGAGTGTCGCGCAGTATAACGCACGGTTTGGATTTCCTCTTCCAGCGGCTGCCGATAGCTTACTTGCTTCTTGGCGGGGAAAAAGACACGGCGTGAGCCCGGTCCTCCATTGGGTCCGTTCGCGGCCACCGAGCCCCGACGCCTGCATGTCGGCTCTAACGGCGAGTTGCGAAGAATGCTCTTCACTCCAAGAGGAAGTTGATAAGGGCTATTTGTGGTATATGGCGAAGTTGGCTTGCTGAGCCGACTATTCGATGATCTTGAGGGGGATGAGGTAGCAGAGGATGGTGCTGCTACTTCATAGGCATTCTTGAAGGTGTTACGGACAGTGGGGGACGCTGTCGGTCCGGTCGCAAGCGACAGAGACAACCCCGTCGAAGAGGTACCAAATGTTCTTGGGAGAGATGTCGTTTGGAGGGTCAGTTTCGGCCTTACGGAAGGTCTCCGGTTGCCTGTCACATTGGACACTAGGCTATAAGATAGGTTTGAATGAGAGACTGTTGAAGGACATGACGAGGACTGAGGAGTGACAGTAGACATAGCTGTCTGCGAGGTCGTCCGACCGGTTTCGGAAATATAGTGTGACGTTGGCGGGTGCATGGGGGCAAGAAGCATGGCGATGAGGTCCTTCAGCAGCCGAGCTCAAGGGAAGCCGAGACGGAGGGAGGGAGGGAGGAAGAAAAGAAAAAGAAAGGAAGAAAATGGCGTCGATGAACAGAGACACAAACAAGGTGACTCCAGAGGCCGAATAACGAGGGTTCGCTGCGCCCCGCACTCAAACGACTTGATAAAGGCGGCGGGTGCAAGGTTGAGGTGATGTGAAAGACTGGTTGGTAGGTTATAAGAAGAAGACTAATGCAACCGACCCAGGATGATCACAGTGCAAGGTATAAGAGGAGTGGTGGATAATGATGGAGGAAAAGAGGAGACGTGGGCGCTTGTCCAATTGTCCGGAGAAAGAGTTTCCTAATTTAGGAAGAGGAGTACATCGGAGGGGTTCTTTTGGGGTTTGACGATCACTCAATCACCAACGGCGGTCCATCATGGCCCTTTGAGGGAATTGAAAAAAAAAATAGGATGATACCTTTTGCGAGTTGTTGTATATAATAAGAAGAATTTTTATTTCTTGAAAAGAAAAATAGAAGCTAGAGATCTCACGAGGAAGCTTAAAAAAATAAAATAAGAAAACTCTTCAACACCGCATTAGATAAGTTTTCCGGATTTAAGAAATTAATTTCGTAAAATGGAGATTATTGAACAGGCATATAATAATATAAAATATAATAATAATGTTGCGGTACTACACAGCGTTGTGACTCTTCTAATAATAAAATAGAACTATTGACGCCGCATCAGCAGTCGCTGTAACTATTCTCGTCGGGGACCCATTCACAGCGTTTAACAAGTTAAAGGATCCGCTGAAGTAGACAGACTAGAACAATGTGTTTTTTCCTCTCATAATAAAGATTACATGTTCTAATCTCCGTTCTTGAACGCGCGGCTGATCCATCTTGACGATCAAACCGATCCATTTCGGATCTCCTGATCTAGAATCATGGGGATGCGGATTCATTATTCTTCATATATCTACGACTATTTTTTGTGGAATGATTGAAGCCAAGTAAAAACCGGCGGCAATTAAGGATATTTATAGCATTCAGGTATTGTCACCAGACGGTACGCCAGCGATGCTATAAAAAGATCCCTGTCTGGACTCGGAACACGAGGCTATGTGGGGCACCTCGAGACCCAATGAGGACTAGCCCTCTGGATAAACTCATGTCCGGATTGGCTCAATCCCGTGATATGCACCTAAACGAAAAGTCCAGCCACATTCCCAGCCTTTCATGTCGAACCAATCATCTCGAACTCAAGCCGACTATCAATCGGCACTCATGCATGAATCCTGCATGACGCTATTATCTGCTGAAAATTTTGTTCACTTAACTGATGGGAGACTCTTACTCCCAGAATAAATGAATTATTATGAATTATTATAGAAATTAATATCATTATTATTACTCCGTCAACGCCCCCCAACATAACCCTTCCCTGTCACCCGCAGTTGAACTACTAGATGGCTCTGACTCCGCCCCGTGATGATCACCGAGTTATTATCCACTTTGTTAGTCGCTCTCAACATCGGTCTCCTCATTCATTTAATTAGATTCAAATTAATTAGATGTATATTGGACAACTAATATTTTGTTTGTTTCCACGACAGGACTATGACTGTTTCTACGCTTCTGTTTTTGAGGTTGAGCAACCGGTGCTCAAGACCCTCCCTCTAGCTGTCCAGCAGAAGCAGATCGTAGTGACATGTAACTATGAGGCTCGCAGGAGAGGATTACGCAAGCTGCAATTGATCAAGGAAGCCAAGCAAATCTGTCCAGATGTTGTCATCGTCCTGGGTGAAGATTTAACCAGGTTTCGTGATGCATCCAAGAACCTCTATCTTTTCCTTCGCGACTTCTGCTGGAGTGGAAGAGTGGAAAAACTGGGCTTTGATGAGGTGTGTTGATTTTGTTCTATTTTTTCCTCCCTCTAGTTCTTCGCGCACCCCCACGATTTGTGGATCTCTAAGCCTTATTCCCGTAACAGTTGTTTCTGGATGTCACGGCCATGATTACATACAATGTGGATCTTCTGAATCGAAATAATCTGGAACACTCGTTCTTTCACCTCGACCATCAAGATCCCACTCTCGGTTTCGCATTTGATGCCACCCAGTTCTGTGGTTCTACTTATCCCGCCGTGTCCAACGCTGCATCAGATTCTGCCTTGTCATTTGTTCCGGCGGAAAATGACCCCCATTCGCTACATCTCAAACTACTTGTTGCTTCCCATTTGGCTGCCTACCTACGTGGACAACTTGAAGACAAAATGGGCTACACTGCCACAGTGGGCATCTCTACCTCAAAGACTCTTGCTAAACTGGTTGGCAATACTCATAAGCCTGATAATCAGACAACCCTTCTTCCGCCTTATATTGCGGCGGAGCAAGGCGCACAAAGCAATGTTGTCAACTTCCTTGATGCCCATGACATAAGAAAAATACCCGGGATTGGCTCTAAACTCTCTCAGAAATTAACTTCCTACCTCGACTGCCATGCGCAGTCAAACCCAAACCAGCAGGTCTCTGACACAGTCACTATCCGAGACGTTCGCTTATTTCCTGGCATGGGCCCGGCGCTGTTGGATAAGATCCTCGGCGGCCCAGGGTCTCCAAAAGGGATTGGTACGAAAATTTGGGGTCTGATATATGGTGTAGATAATTCAGAGGTTCGTCTGGCTCGGGATCTCCCGACACAGATTAGTATTGAAGACTCGTATGGGTGCTTGAACACCTTCGAAGAAGTGCGACGAGAGCTGATTTCCCTGACGGCCAGCCTGATACGTCGAATGCGGGTGGATCTCACTGAGAAGGACCGCGATGTCGATTCAGTAAAGGGCTGGGGATCAAATGGTTCGTCTAATATGCGATGGATTGCTCGTCCAAGGACTCTTCGTTTGTCAACACGACCTCGACCGCCTTCTACCCAAAACGAGGCGCAGTCTCAAAGTTTTAACCGAATCTCACGCTCAGCACCGCTCCCCCAGTACATTTTCCAACTCGATGCGAGTGTTGATGCGCTGGCGGAGCAACTCGTGCACGAACTTGGGATCTCCATGTTCCGGAAACTTCACCCTGAAAAGGCTGGTTGGAACATCCGTCTATTGAATGTCGCCGTGACCAACATGGTTGATGCGGCTGGGGAGCGTAAGCAGAGCAGCGGGCGAGATATTGAGAAGATGTTCCAGCAACAGGAAATGGGACGCAGACCAGGCTCGTCCGTTCCAGTGACGGAACAGTTATCACCAGAAGCTGATGGATCCAAGGTCAGTGATCCCAACTCTAGTGGTTGTCCTGTAAATGTGGCGTATACCGACGGTGATGATACCTGGGAGGAAAGTGGCGAGGATGAGGATATGCATTGTGTAGCCTGCGTCAGTTGTGGAGCATTGATTCCACACTTTGCGCTTGTTGCGCATGAAGTGTATCATACAGCGCCGGACTAATAATGAGACATGTATTCGATCTATATTGGTATAGTATACGGTATTAATTAGATAGTATCCATGGGTCGGGTTCAATACCACCGCCTGTCTCAGGGAACGGAAAGAAGAAGTAGAAAAAAGAAACTTTGACCTTGGAGTTATTCTGAAGTCGTGGATGTCTCGGAAGTTCAATCCAAACCTCTAAGAGTAGGGCTGGCCCTTTAGAGTTTAGACCCGTTTTCCTCCCTGACCAGCCAAGACTTTCCTCTTCCCTAATCTCTCTCCGTTTCTTTCTTTATCCACTCGTTCCTGAATTCTCCGCAACCAGAAATCTACTGTTTCTATTAGGGGGCATCATCTCATCCAATAATTTGGAATGTCTTTATTTCCTCTGTACAACACTAGAAACTCCTTTATTTTCAAGGATATTACTTGTCAGCACTAAACGTAAGTGTCAATTCCCCGCCGATCAATTGATCCGTTCACTAATCAGCCTTTCCAGGGACCGTCTCGAATATCCACTCTTAGCCTAGTGAACCCCAAATTTCTTTCCTTCCCGCATACTGTTGACATCCGACCTCCGAAGGGTCATCTCTCTGGTTGATCTCCACGACAACCCTGTCGTCTCGAAATTTATCCCACTCACCCATTTCTCACCATAATCTTCACGCTTCTCCCCCTCATTTTTGATCTATATACCTCACTACGTTCTTTCACTTGAATCTCCTCAACGATAACAGCAAATCGTTTCATTCGCCAAGACCGCTGCGCCCCAGCCAAGCGCTTCGCTGTGGCGGCTCTAGTTGACCGATTGCTCGCTGCCTGGAGGTGCTTCCCTCTCCCTGTCGTTCGTTTGCATATAATTGTGTGCTTCTACTAGTTGCCGGGGCTTGTAGAGGGAGTCTTCCAAGTGTTAAACGCAGAAGTTACCCCGTAATATATCAAACTTTGGCCGTGGGACTGAAACGGCGGGTTTTTTTATTATTTTTATTGTTGTTGCCTGATGCCGTTCATGTTTCTCAGCTAAGGGGGCATCTAAACTTTTCTTCATTCTCTTATTCTTTACCCGTCGGCCGGAATCGATTAATTCCCTAGCCGTTGGCTATCACCGGCGGTCATGAGGCTATTTAAACAATCGCTATGGTTTGCTACCAGTGCGATCACTTTCCTCACAGCCCATGTAGAAGGTGGGTGTGCATCGGATTTTCTTCCGGCTGCTTAGCTCGTGTTAGTTTCTAACCTTCGACTCTCGTGCAGCTCGGTCGCAGGAGCCAAATGCCATCCTACGTGTTTCGACTCTAGATCACCCGAAGATTCATACACCCTCGCACCAAGTTGACCACCTTTCCCATTTCGATATCACATTCAATCTCCGCGATAAAAGCCAACGAATAAAGCTAGAACTAGAACCAAACCATGATATTCTTGCCGAGGATGCATATGTGCAGTACTTAGACCGATATGGAAACATACAACGCGAAGAGCCAATTGAGCGACACGAGCATAAGGTCTTCAAAGGCCGTGCTTCGGTTGGGAGAGGAAAGGGGATGTGGGATCCAGTGGGATGGGCCCGCATATACTTGAAAAACGATGGATCACAACCTCTTTTTGAGGGGGTATTCAGCATCCACGATGATAAACACCATGTCGAGCTAAAATCGACCTACCTGGAAAACAAACGAGAGCAAGATGTGGACATCCCAGACCGGAAAGGTGATTATATGGTGTTTTATCGTGATTCAGATATGATCCGGCAATTCCATACAGACCTGAAGCGTTCAGTCCCCGTTTCCTCGTCATGCCAAGCCGACAAGCTTAGGTTTAACTCCGACCCAAGTCACCCGATTCTTCAGGTCGACGAGGATATGAATGAATGGGGTGCCATGTCCTTAAATTCCCTATTCGGACTGAGCAAACGGCAATCTGATACTGGGGGTGTCTCGGGAAACAGTGGTGGCGTGAGCTTGAAGTCGACGATTGGTGATAAATCCGGTTGCCCAAACACGAAAAAAGTCGCATTAATCGGTATCGCTACGGACTGTGGGTTCACAGGCTCGTTCGACGATAAAGAAGCAGCCAAAAAGTGGATCATAAACACCGTCAACAGCGCATCCAATGTCTACGAAAAATCTTTTAATATTTCTATCGGGTTACGCAACCTGACCATCACTGAAAAGGAATGTCCCGATACGCCTCCCGCGTCAGCAGAGTGGAACATGCCTTGCTCCACGGGAAATATCTCTTCCCGACTGGACAAGTTTTCCTCGTGGCGTGGGCAGCAAAAAGATACTAATGCTTACTGGACCTTGATGAGCAACTGCCCCACAGGCAGTGAGGTTGGATTAGCATGGCTTGGACAGCTCTGTAATGCGGAAGTTGTGAAGGATACTACTAATGCGGTCAGCGGTACCAACGTTGTGGTCCGCACTTCAGGCGGTGGATGGCAGATCTTTGCTCACGAATCCGGTCACACTTTTGGAGCGGTTCATGATTGTGATACCCAGACTTGTGGACAGAACCTTGAGGCGTCATCGCAGTGCTGCCCTTTGACATCGTCCTCCTGTGATGCAAGGGGGCAGTATATCATGAACCCCACCACTGGCACGGATATCACAGAATTCTCCCAATGTACAATCGGGAACATCTGCTCAGCCTTGGGTCGCAACAGCGTCAAGTCCAGCTGTCTTTCTGACAATCGGGGGGTGACCACCTACACCGGCCATCAGTGCGGAAATGGTATTGTGGAGTCAGGCGAAGACTGCGACTGTGGCGGGGAAGAGTCCTGCGGGAACAACAGCTGCTGTGATGCCAAGACATGCAAGTTCAAGAGCGGCGCAGTATGTGACGATGCCAATGACAGCTGCTGTTCGAAGTGCCAATTCTCCCCTTCCGGAACCGTGTGTCGGGCCAGCCGTGGCGAATGCGACCAGGAAGAGACGTGCAGTGGCACTTCGAGTACCTGCCCTTCTGACGTCTTCAAGAAAGATGGAACAAAGTGTGGCAATTCCTCGTCTGGCTTAACGTGTGCCAGTGGACAGTGCACTAGTCGGGATTACCAATGCCGGTCCGTCATGGGCAGCCTGTTGCATAGCAACGAGACATATGCTTGTTCTGCATGGAGCTCATCTTGTGAGCTGGTCTGCTCTTCTAATACATTTGGTCAATGTTACGGTGTCAACCAGAACTTCTTGGATGGTACCCCTTGTGGAAGTGGTGGGCATTGCAAGAACGGAAAATGCGACGGTTCCAGTATCAAAGGCTGGATTGATGAGCACAAGAACCTGGTGATTGGCGTCGCGTGCGGTGTGGGGGGCCTACTTGTGTTGTCGATTTTATGGTGCTTGATCAACCGCTGTCGCCGGGCACGGCCGGGTCCAAAGCCGATGCCGCCACCTGCTGGCGCTTATGGACCCTGGGCTCGTCCAATGCAACAGCCGATCCCGATGAATCAGTGGTCCAACGGGCCACCGCGAGGATATCAAGGACTTGGGGACCCTCCTCCACCACCATATCCTCCACCATCGTATGGTAACGCACCTCGATATGCCTAATTGAGAACTTTTGTTGTTATATATCTATTTAAAGTTCATCTGACACGAGTTTTACATGACGAATCTACGGGTATTGCATTCTAGCATCCTTTTCTTATTTTGGCTCCGGCGCAACTAGAGTGATTTGTGGCACCTGTATGAAAGACCTTGGTGACATGTCTTGTTCGCTTTATACCTATTTCCCATGGCTACTTCTTGCTCGGCTCCAAGAAGTCTCGGGCTTTGGCGGTTCTTTTCCTTGATTCATAAATAGCGCGCCCCTTATATAATTGAGACCGGCACCGATGTGGTGTCCGGAATACAATACATATTGATTGCTCTCACACTTACGGCATTCTGTGTCAGAAAAACCAAGTAACTTTATAGGACAGGGTCTATGATGGCAGCGATTTCTCATTTACAAGATCCGACACATAACCCAATATGCACCAACACACAGTAACGCAAGACTCAATGGAATCGTATATAATTCATCCAGAGGGGAATCCCACAACCGATAGGCGCCCATCCAATGCCCAAGAGAAAACATCCAACGGGGACTCGAAATGCTGTCAAGAAAGAATAAAAATCTCACAATGCAGAATCAAAAGCACAGAATAAGACGATCAGAGTCCGCACAATCCTCAGGCCATAAGAAGCCCTTAGCCCGTACAATGAAAACATTTTAACCAATCCCCAGGATCTAGCCACAAATCCAAGAGGAAAAAAGAAGAGAAAAACTAGACTCTAGCAACAGTAAACAAAAAAATAAAAAAAGTAAAAATGAAAAACACAAGGATCAATAGCAATGTACACCTAAAACAAAAACCGATTTCACTGCCAACATATACTCACAAACGCGTCCCTAGAGACACCTCCCGTACCCTCTAAATCAAACTCCTCAATCATAGCCCTAAGCTCTTCCTCTTCGAGCCCCGTCTCGCCTAACTCCCGCGCAACCCGTCTCAAGTCCCCTAGATCGATGTACCCCTTACCGCCCTCGTCGAAGAGCTCGAATGCCCGCAGAATCTCGTCCCGGGGATCGCGCTCTAAGATCTTCACCGCCGTCACGGCTTGGAAGGCGGAAAGGGGCATGAGTAGATTCGACGGGTGCTGGGGGTTCGCGGCGGGGGCGGTCTTGGATTGCTGTTGTTGCTGGGTGGAGGACTGCTGCTGGACTTGGGGGCGGGGGACGCCGTAGGTAGTGAGGATGGCGATGAGTTCTTGTTTGGGAAGGGTGAAGCCTAGGGCGCGGAAGGCGACGCGGAGTTCATGGTAGTCTAGATGTTGGTCGCGGTCGAGGTCGAAGAGGGTGAACTGTTCGCTCGGACTCTTGTCAGCTTTGATTTATTTTTATTTTTGTTTGTTTTCAGGCTTATTTTCTTCTTGGATGGAGAGGAGACAGGTGGGGACATACGGCTTCGTTGATCTCCTCTCGTTGTTCTTCTGTTAATCGACTTAGGGGGTTTGAGTCCTGTGATGGGCCGTGGGGTTGTGAATGTGAGGGTGGTTGGGCCGCCTGCTGCGAGGATCTCGCTGCGTCAGCTCCTTGGTCGGCAGATCCGAGAGCTCCTAGCCGTTGGCGGGAGAAGGCGGACGCTGCGAAGGGGGTTGGATTGGCGTTCACAGATCGTTCAGGGAGTCTGGTCGAGGCGAATGAGCGTGAGCCGAACCCTTGCGACGCCATGGTGGTTGCGTAGTTTATGGGAGAGAACTCCCGCGGTGGGTGATCGCCGGTGAAAGGCACCAGGGTGGGCTCAAGTTGTCAGAGGGGAAGCGTTCTGGGTCGAAGTGACAATTGTTTTGATTGCACTGAATTAGGCCGGAGAATTAACTGTTCAGAGGAGAGTGAGTTGTGGGGGTTAGGTTGGAAGAATTGACTGCTTGTTTCGGGTTGTCAGGCTGCGGAGACGCGACCAACGCGGAGTCCAATTAAAGCGGTGGCCGTTTGTTTATTCTGCTCTATGTAAATTCAGTGCTGTTACACAACCTCTGGTAGATCAATTAATTCCAAGTGTTATCTATTCTTCTATCCTTTACATCTACGCATATTTTCATGTCCAGCTCGCTCGCGTAAGAACCATGCCTATAGCCTGGAAATCTCGAAGATGGATGATTTATAAAAAGATAAGGCTTCCGGTCAATTACGCCAACCATGGAGTAAGGAACGTATAGTCCTAAGATGACTGTCGTTTCGCGGTTTGAGGATGTACTTCTATCCTTCGGTGCCTCGTCGGGGCCAGGGTCGCCAGAATCGTTGAAGCGCCCTGTCCGTCAATGAACGTGTTAATGAAGAGCTTGGAAGTTTTTCACTGCCACGAGAATTTAGTCATAGGTGGCAGTTTGAGCTGTAAAACCAAAAATTTCGTAACTTAACAGCAAACAGCCAGCACTGGGGGCCTAAACTAGGCTGATGGGTATCAGATCCAAACATCCCCCCCCACAGACGGCGATGCCTAGATACCACGTTCATGTACATCATGTCAGCTGGAGAGGCCATGTAAGGGTTTCATCTCATGAAGATGCAGTTCTCAACGCTGGTCATTGAGGTCCGGATCAATTTGACGACCAAGATCGAGATCCTCAAGAAATTTCCGGCCTCGCAGTCCCTCAGGAAGATATTCCTGAACAACCTTGCCATTTAGATAGTGGGGATTGTACTTGTACTCCTTCCCATACCCGAGTTCCTTCATTAATCGTGTAGGCGCATTTCGCAGATGAATTGGAATCGGCAGCCCGGCAATGCCTGGCTCTCCCAATGCCGCAAACGCATTATTGAGACCTCTGTAGGATCGGGTGCTCTTCTTTGATAGAGCCATGGCTACGGTCGCGTGTGCAAGGTTTATCCGCGCTTCTGGGAGCCCGACTTTCTCGACGGCTGAATGGGTAGAGATAGCGAGAGTGAGCATACTGTTATCTGCCAAACCAATGTCTTCCGAGGCCACGACGATCAGACGCCGAGCGATATAGAGTGGGTCTTCTCCCGACTGAATCATGCGGGCGAGATAGTATAGGGCAGCATCTGGATCACTGCCACGGATGGACTTGTGAAAGGCGGAAATGGTGTCGTAATGCTGGTCCCCCGCACGATCATAGACGAGGGTTTTGGTCAGAGACCGTTTCAACTCTTCCTTGGTGAGCCCAGGACGCTTTGACAAATCCATGGCGAGTTCTAAAAGGTTGAGAGAGGTTCGAGCGTCCCCATCAGAAAATTTCGCGAGATAGGAAACCAACTCATCATCCACTAGCTCAGAGGGTGAGTAGTTCGGCCCCTCTACCCGCAAAGCTCGGTACAAGATGGACTTGACATCTTCATCGGTAAGTTTCGACAGCGTGAAAGTTCTACATCTTGACAGCAGAGCGGTTTGAACTTTGAAAGAGGGATTTTCTGTGGTAGCCCCAATAAGAGTAACCTGCCCACTTTCTACTGGCCCCAGAAAGACATCTTGTTGGGTCTTAGAAAAGCGATGGATCTCGTCACAGAAGATGATTGTCTTTCTGCCCGTAAGGCTAAGCTCGCTCTTGGCGTCAGAGAATATCTTCTTGCACTCTGAAACCCCGCTGCTGGTGCTGTTGATCTCCACAAATCTGCTCCCGACCATCGAAGCGATCACCCGCGCAATCGTTGTTTTACCAGTACCTGGACCACCCCATAGAATCATACTCGGAACACGATCATGTTCGATCAGCCCGCGAAGAACGCCTTGAGGGCCAACAAGGTCTTGACCGCAGACTTCATCAAGAGTCCGGGGTCGCATGCGTTCTGCTAACGGCGCAGCCTTCTGAAAGGCACTCACTTTCGGCCTCTTCGCAAACTGGTCAGCATCTTTTTTGGTCCTATTGTTGCTATCTGGCGCTACTTCAGCTTCAGACGCTGAGGGTCTCTTGCGACTTGCAATTTGGGAAGGGGACGAGTCGGGGTGTGGATTGGACGGGGCGGATGCTTTCCGAGCAGAGGTTGGCTGGAAAAAGCTGGGTACCTGCGCCTTTTGAGAGGATGTCAGGTCCCCAGTGCTGGACGTCGGCTCATCAATGTAGTTTTGGCAATTAGAATCAATATGGTCGTTGATCCTTCGAGGTGATACAGAATTTCCGCATATCGGACACGACACCATAGTGCTGTAATCATGGAGAATGTCCGACAAACAGAAGATTGTCAGGACTGGTTTGGTTAAGTTCGACGGACGCGTGACCTTACGCGTCCTGACCCATTCAAGAATTGTGGGGTTTCGTGTTCCCAGGGTTAGTAATCAGGGCCAGTGGCAAGCCCATTGTGCCTGAGTGCCTTAAGCAAGCACGCAATTACGCCCTATGCCATAACGCTCTCGCGGCCTTAGGCAGCCTATCATTTTGACCAGTTGCAGTCAAGCTTTAGGTTCCCTGTGATTAAGGAATATTAATTGACACCCTCCCCGCAACAGTTCAGACATCCGACTTTTCTTCCTTCCTTCTCACATCCTCTATGTTTCCCGGCTACCGTACCCCCATCTCTACAACACTCGCGAGATTCAAGGCCCCGTTTCATCCCTTGTTTTCTACACCTACGTCACCCCGCTGTCCCCGCGCCAGAGCGATGTCGGCCACTATGCCTCGTGCTGACCCTTTTCGGCCGGCTAAACGGGTCGCTGGTCAAAGACAGGATGTTTGGTATGGAAGTTGATCGTTGGAACAAACCCATTGTTGGATGGTTTGACTAATCGACTCCCAGGTCAATTGTCAATGAAGCTGCTGCGGCTTCCCCCGTTCAGCCCATTGTGAACATGGGGCAGGGATTCTTGTAAGTGAGACTTTTAGACGGGCAGGAATTTGGGCTGCCAATAATAATCCTTCCGTAGTGGATATAACCCTCCTAAGTTTGCGATTGATGCTGCAAAGGAGGCTCTTGACAGAGTTGAGTGTAACCAATACTCGCCGACCAAGGTATGAAAATGGTTTGAAGGGTTCTTAATATAACCGAGCACTCGCTCATTTTGGTATAGGGTCGCCCTCGCCTCAAGCAAGCCATTGCGGATGCGTATTCTCCATCATTTGGCCGAAAGCTTAACCCGGATACCGAAGTCACGATTAGCACTGGTGCAAATGAGGGTAACAACGATAATAGTATTTTGCGGGTTGAGCTCAACTGACTGACATTGGAAAGGAATGTTAAGTGCTTTTATGGGCTTCATTGAGCCTGGCGATGAGGTTATTATCTTCGAGCCTTTCTTTGATCAGTGAGTAAGCCATGGCACGACAACCGGCAGAAGCCTGACTCCCGAGAAAAGGTACATTAGCAACATTGAAATGCCCGGTGGCACCATTCGATATGTTCCTCTGCACCCTCCCAAGGATGGAGCTACAAGGACTTCCCCAGCTTCGGAATGGTCCATAGACTTTGAAGAGTTGGAGAATACTATTAACACCAAGACAAAAATGATTGTAAGCGAGTTTCCCCTATTCTCTATCGGAGACATTTCATCTGACTTATTAGGTTTTGAACTCCCCGTAAGCGTTGCTGCTCACCAAGTGACCGCGCCCTAGTATAGTACTAACGACCACAACAGTCATAACCCGGTAGGAAAGGTCTTCTCTCGCAATGAGCTTGAACGAATCGGCGAGCTCTGTATCAAGCACGATCTCATCATTCTTTCTGACGAGGTTTATGATCGTCTTTACTATGTACCCTTTACTAGAATAGCAACCCTGTCTCCTAAGCTTTACGAACGCACTATCACCGTGGGCTCAGCTGGGAAGGCCTTCTACGCAACTGGTTGGCGCGTTGGTTATCTTATTGGCCCGGAGCATCTAATCAAGTACGTGGCCGGTGCACACACACGAATTTGCTACAGCAGCGTCTCTCCTCTCCAGGAAGCTGCAGCTGTTGCCTTTGAGCAAGCTGACAAGGTCGGTTTCTGGGATGAGAGCCGCACTGAAATGAAGAGGAAGATGGAACGCTTCTGTCAAGTATTTGATGAGCTCAACATTCCGGTGTGTTTTAGCATGAAGATATCTACCCCCAAAATATCCAAAATACGATCTAACAAATGTCTCCAGTACTCTGATCCTGAGGGTGGATATTTCGTTCTCGCAAATATGTCTTCAGTGAAGCTACCGGAGAATTATCCATTCCCTCCTCATGTTGCAAACCGTCCTCGCGATTTCAAGCTTTGCTGGTTCCTCATTCATGAGGTTGGCGTAGCCGCGATCCCACCAACTGAGTTCTACACTGACGCTAATGCCCATATTGCGGAGGATTATCTCCGCTTTGCCGTATGCAAGAATGACGACGTGTTAGAAACTGCCAAGGAGAGACTCCGTGGATTGAAGAAGTATATTGTACAGTGAACTTGTTCTTAGAATGAGAGCTTCCTTGGTATCGAACAGAGAACCATAACTGCAAAAGCTATCCCTGCTAGACTTTTGATAATAGATTACATAGTGGAGTTCAACAGAGCTCTTTGGATAAGGTGGAACCAATAGACCTTTTTTCATGTTTACTGTTAACTTCTTTGCTCCGCTGTCTCAAAATCCTGATTTGGAAGGTCTGCATCAAGCAGTTCCTAAAAGACATTTTCTCCACTTCCCTCAACCCCTGGAAGCTGGCTGCCCGTTAACACTTCTAATATGTTATCAATAGGAAATCGATGCTAGAAGCATGAAAACAGACCACCAAAAACACAATAGGATCACGGCGTCAACTGCTCATAGCCAGGCTATTACAGCTACATCCAAAGTTCCAGAGTTCCAAACTCTGGAACACGACGTTGTGGATCAATCCATTTTATGAGTGAGAGCCCAGGTCAATCATCATTGATTCCCTCAATCTCCATCACACCAGTCCCAGCACCATCCCATCCTTCGCCCCGGCGGAATGCTTTTCTATCTTCTTTTGCGACGTCGCTGAAACCCTCTCCCCGCATACGTGCTTTGGCGTCGGTTACGCTGGGGTGGGTAGTTCTCACGGCTCGAAGAATCCAATAGCTACTTTCCAAGTGATTAATGAGCTGGCAATGACCCTTACTCCCAACAGATCCGAGCAAACGGCGATATTCAGCGCGACAGACATCATCGTGGCAGTTACGGCGGTTCCTTCCATCCCAATCCGTCACACATGCATGTCTCTCTCCTGTGATGTGTTGCTGTATGGTGACGCAGAATTCTTCGTGGAACTGGTACTTGAGCGCGGTTTCAAGATCAACGGGGGCGTCCTGTGACCGGAGTTTGTCCCGGATTAGCCGAAATAGATAATCGACCAATTCGGTAACCTCAATTGTCACTGGAAGAAAATTATATTAGTAAGTATAAAGGGAGGTCTCAAAATGAACATACTGAACAAGCAAGTCGCGAGAACTCGACGAAACCGATCCTTCTCACTTGCATCGTCGAACTGAACGGTATAGACGACCCGGCTCGAGCACCGCAAATCCAGGTTATTCTCTGGGAAACCAGCTTCTACCAGATCGGCCCAGTCTGAGAATATGAAATAATCCCCGTCCCAGATCTTAGCATTGAAATAAATGGCTTGACGATGACGTTCAGGTGTATCATAAGGGTGGAGACAAGGGACTAGAGGCGGTCCGTCTTTCACATCTCGAGGTATTGAAATCTCTCGGCAGGGGTGTTGAAAGGTCATCTGTCCGCAGTGCTGCCAATGCCACTTAATATTTTCGAGCAAGTGCTCTTTGCAACAATAGCGAATCTCCGAGAATGGCCCACACTGGGGGCAGATGACAGTTGCGCCATCCCATAAATTACAACGCTTCTCGCATCCTACCTTTGCGCAAGGAAAACCGTGGCTGTCGAGTTGCCAGAAAAACCCCTCTGGCTTTTGTGTCGCAATTGGCTTTTGTGCTGCTGCGGTGGGCTGGTCCACCTTTTCACAGCTTAGGGACAATGAAGGGTGTGCGTGACTGCCTTTATTTTGATCACTAGCAGTCCTCATGTCGAGAGAAATTCTTTGGTGCTCAGACCCTGTGACTCTAATCTCTGATGATTCAGTCTGTGGTGTGCCCTGGAGTTCAACACTTGTCCAACCTGTTGAGGTAGATTTTGAGGAATTCGGTGTGCATGGGAGGTGGCTTTGCGCCTCACCAGATATGCTACCTCGTTCAGAATAGTGAGAAGGTGATTCCTCATGAGGGTAACCCTGCATCACCTCACTTGATACTTCCTGTATAGGAGGCAGCTTATCCCTTAGGGGAGTCTTACTCTTGCGTGTAGAGTGACTAAGGCGCAATGGCTGGCCGTAAAGGGAGGATCTGGTGCTTGATTGCTCCTCCTCTTGACCTGAACAGGTCGAAAGACTTGTATCACGTGTATTGGTCTCAGCTGTTATATCTTCATTCAGATATGGCCACTCTTCAACTATAAGCAGGGTTGGGTGCGCATGGAGAGTTGCGTTGTACTCCACTGTCTCGTCCCTTGTGATCTGGTCTACGCCTGAGACTCGCTCCTTACCTTTGCTGTCCAAGGTACCTAGGAGTGCGTCCCGATATGTCTTCTCACGAGTGCCAGTTTTCTGCCCACGCTCCGTACAGCTTTCATGAACTTGCGCTGTGATTTTGTGTTTGTCTTGTGAGATTTTCTCACCCTGACATACACAAGGGCCGACACAACCCACGTTCTGGTTGGTATCAACTGAATTTTGGGCCTTGGAATTTGCATACTTGAAAATGGATGGGCTTAGCTCCAGAATATTCCCCTTTCGAGTAAAATATGATGGGCCGTTGCTAGAACCTACTCCTTCGTCTAAGGGCTGCACTCTGGGCACATTCTCACTTGGGCTGGGCTGATTATTGGAAGAGTCTATCTTTCCAATCTGAAAGGGCACCATCTTCTTAGATTTCTTGTTTTCCTTTTTCTGTTTCTTTGATATCTGGCCTGACTTCATCGCGATGGTATGTGTAGTACGCTGTTCAACGGGGGCCAGGGAAGGAATATCCAAGATGTCACTCTCGCTAGTTTGGCTTGACATGACTGCCTCCGACAATGCTTCCATCCGGGCCAAGCGAGCTTGAGTCTGAGCACGTATGAGAGCGATAGCTTCCGTGCGAATCTTCTTTTTCTCAAGGGCACTTGAATACTCGTCCTCTGCTTTATAAACCTCTGGTTAGCGCCTCTCTGTGAAAACAGCACCAGGGGTGCGAGACAAGCAAGGAACAAGAAGGCCAAGGTAAATAGACTCGCCAGAACAAAGAAACATCTCGCCTCTGAGAGAGAAAGCACTCATATCGGTAGGTTCCTGACTTGTGTTTGTGGCCATGTTCCGGACAGAATCAGTAGCAGTGAAGTAAGAAGACTCGTCAAGTTCCTGCACTGCAAATACCTTTCTGTCACTGATTCCTAGTTCGTCCAATTGCAGGTCTGTATTTTCCTCAAGCCCACTTGAAGTGATTGCTTCTACCGCTGAGCCTAGGTAGCTCATGGGCGGCCTTCTATCTGAAGCCTGATCTTGGTCTTCATTTCCCGCCTTAGGGCCGGGGGATTCAAATCGACCTGGAAATCTTGGGGATAGTTCCATTGGACAGGCTAGCTGTACGGCCTCAAGTTAAATGATTGTAAGTAATGGTAACGGTGGGGTTTCAAGATACTCAAGAGGTATTAAATGATCATTTCCATCAGCTTTTGTCAACTTTAAAGCTAAGTGTATATTAGAGAAGCGCTCTGTAGCTTGTTATGCGGTCTCAAAGCTGATAGATACCATGAAAGTCCCGTTGGTTCTCTTTCACATCGCCTTGGAACAGATGTTTGGGTAAGTGCTTGTTGTGGACAGTACCAGAATAGAAAGAAATTTTCTCTACGTGCTTCAACGTGCCCTGCGTCATGACTGTAGTGACTGTGGTGACTGTGTTTGTGTTGGCCAATCGGTTCCGGAACACTCTATATAGTCTCTGCTGTTCTCGCAAGCCACGGTTGTTAGATAACAAGGAGACAGTGATTAGGTCATGTATGGTCTACATTAACCATCCCATTAAAGTATAACATTGTTGTGCACAAGGTGATCATTGGAATATCAAATATAGTATAGAGTTAGGACCCCCTTATGATCATTTTAGAATCCTAGAGATGGACACTTAATATAGGGCTGCAATATAACCTCACGAGGATAGAGAGTTCTACATGGATCTTTTTGATTTAATCATTCATGTACTTACCTATATTCTACATTAAAATAAGTACAGCCTAAGCAGATTACATTGATCTCTCAATTTACTAGAGTAAAGAGGTGGAAGAGTTGTTCTTTCACTATATTTGATATTCTTCAGGATTCATGTTCCTCACGTGGTTTTATAGGCTAAATAAATGCCTTTTGATTTATTCACAGGAGTCACTTCCTCCTCAAGTTCTACTCACTTCCCTCAATTTTTATTTTTTAATGATGGTACCAAACCTCAATTTCTAATAAGCTAGGGCAACTGACTTTCTGCTATGCCCAGTCAAGATATAAACCACAGTTCAGTCTAATCACTGGCATACCAGCGCGAAATGGAACAAGAAGCGTCGCAAATGTCCAAGGCAACAAAAGAGTGAGCCTTTATTGCTCCACACAATGGGAGAAAGGACTGGGTCTTTTGTTATTATTATTAGAAAATAAAAGATTTCACATTGTTTGGCAACGGTTAATAGAGGATAAAGGATTGGTGGACAATGCCGGATTTTAAGCGCCCACTTGGGAGCGTCCCAAGGTCAGTTCAACCAGCGCTCTGCAGAAACCATTGAGAAGAGCCGCCTGGTAAGCCATACACTAGATGAAACAAAATCCTGCAATCCAGCACTGATTCCCTGTATCTGCAGACTTCTATTTTTGCGTCTATACCTTTTGAGTGGTCAGTATGCCACAACCCTGGCCCATTGCCGTCTGTTTACACCCAAAGACGGCTGTTCCTCCAGTCTATTCACTTATTTGCTTTGCTTGTTTCGTCAGGGTCGTGGGTGACTCTTCAATACTAATAATAAAGGGCAGATCCCCTCTTTATTGTTGAATCTATTATATTGAGCTACTGTCCCATTCTTTGCATAATACATACAACACATCTTCCCCGTCCCTTCATCTCACTCCTATATCGGCAATATATAAGGCTTTGTGATATGGCTTTCCAATAAATTGATACTGCGCACTGAAAAAAGCTGCTGCTGGCCGGCATTTTACCCTCTTTGGCATATGGTTATCACCTGTTCTTGATTACTAGAATTTTACGCCCCGGCCTGTCAGCACCACCAGTCAAACGTTTCTTATTCTACCTGACCCATTTGGGCGATATCATCCCTTTCCCAAAATCCACATCTATATTGTAACTCAACCCGTCGACATGGTATTCTCGAGGTCTGGTCGATCTATCTTTCCACTACTCCCGCCTTATGGCGCGCACGATCCAAATGGCGGTCCGGGACGTGCTGTCCCGCTGCACCCTGATGGCATTACACCATATTTAGGGTTGCGAGCTCGTTTATCACAAGTGTGGCTCAACCGTTGGACGATCTTACTCCTCCTTGTCCTGGCTAGGGTTTTGATAGCAGCAACTGGGATACAATCGGACATGGACGGTGCGAAGCGCGAAGCCCAATCCGCTTGCACTTCAGTGGAGTCGATGGGAAGCTCGATGGCTTCAATGCCCCATTATCTGTCACAGGGAGTGAATGAGCTTACCGCTTCTGGAGTTGAGGCGGCGGTTAATGGCCTCTTATCGATGCTGTTGCTCACGATCACTGGTATCGAGGCGCTGATAATCTTCTTCATAAAAGTTATGTACCAAACATACCTCTGCCTGTTCACGATGGTGGTCAGAGGTAGCACTCAAGCTGCGCTTCTTGTGATAAAAGATACCACCGAATTTTTGAACAAAACGGTCCAAGCTGTGGGAGACGACATCGGCAAAGCAGTCGAAACTTTCGAATCTGGCCTCAACAGTTTCGTGAAAGGGATCAACAAAGTCGGCAGTTTATTCAATGCAGGTGAAGTGCCGAAGCTTGATGTCTCAGGCGACGTCCAGAAGCTGAAGGACATCCATCTCCCGGGGTCGATCACAGAGGCCGTTGATAAGATCAACAGCTCAATCCCAACGTTTGCTGAAGTCGATAAATTTGTCACGGACGTCATGAAATTTCCATTTGAGGAAGTTAAGACTCTCATCAATGGGTCTTTGGGAAATTACACCTTCGACCGCTCAGCATTACCGGTTCCTGCGAAGGAGCGGCTGACATTCTGCGATGAAAACAACGGGATAAACTCATTCTTCAAGAAGGTCGCGGAAATCATCATAACGTCTCGCAAGATTTTCCTCGCTGTTCTCATCATCGCTGCAACATTTGCTTGTGTCCCAGTAGCCTGGCAGGAGCTGCGCCGCTGGCACACCATGAGAGAGCGCTCTCAGATCGTCCGAAAGGACGCGCATGATCCAATGGACGTTGTCTACATTGTTTCCCGCCCTCACACCGCTGGTGCAGGCATCAGAGCAGCAAGCAGATTCAGCAACAGCCGCAGACAGATCTTAGTGCGGTGGGTGATTGCCTACGCAACCTCGCCAGCCGCTCTATTCGTCCTGTGTCTCGCTCTTGCCGGACTCTTCTCTTGCCTCTGCCAATACTTGCTCCTGAAGGCTGTGGAGAGGACAGTGCCCGAGCTATCCAGCGAAGTGGGCGAATTTGCCGAGAAGGTGGTCACTTCATTACAGAACACGTCGGCCAAGTGGGCAAATGATACCAACGGGGTTATCGACGGCATGAACTCTGATATCAATAAAAACATTTTCGGCTGGGTAAACACCAGTACGACAGCTGTGAACAGTACACTAAATGCCTTCGTCGACAAAACGACAGGAGTCCTCAACGACACATTCGGAGGCACCATCCTCGCCGAGCCAATACAGGACGTCTTCAATTGCTTGATCGGTCTCAAGGTGGCGAGTGTCCAAAAAGGCCTCACGTGGGTTCATGATCATGCACATGTCGATTTCCCCCGTGTCCCCAATGATGTCCTCTCCCGCGGCGCCAACACCAGCATCAACAACAGCACAAGTGCACCTGACAGTTTCCTTGCCAACCCAGGCGACAAGACATCCGACAAGATTACGGAAGTCGTCATGCGGGTCCTCAACAAGATCAAGGAAGGCATCCGCACGGAAACCATCATATCGGCTTGCGTCCTGGGCATATGGGTCATCAACCTCCTCTTCGGCTTCATCCGCGCCCTGATCTTGTTCTGGGGCCGAGACAAAACCCGTGGTGAGGGTGGTGGAGCTCCTATGAACAACGGCCCAGATACCAATGGTTTTACCAATGTCCCGCTAACTGCTAATGTCAATTCACATCCTGCTCCACACTACGAAGCTGCTATGAGTGTCCCACCCATTGCCAGAATGAGCGGCCATTGGTACGATGACGAGAAGATGGGGTATGCTGGTCAGAGATCACTCAAGGTTGATGGGACGTCTGACCTGCGTGGAAGTACCTATGTGGAATACGGTATGGAGAAACGTTGATCTATGTGGTGGGGACTTGGGATGCAGTGCTAGTTGCTTTGTCTTGCTTTCAAACCTTTAGAGTGTTAAATTAGAGTACATGTTCGCATTGGATATACGGGTATATCCACGAATAACTCGAGTCTGTTCTTTTCATCCCTCTGTCTTGTTTGATAAGACCCTATAGATGCGCGGTGCTTGGCATGCTTTACCACTTCTCCATATACCGATGGAGATGGAAATCATTGATCTACTGTATTTTTGAGGGTTTAGTGGTCGTACAGCTATGGACAGCTCAGATATCTCGCTTCACGGATAGTTGAAAGTTTTATCACCCTGTACTGGACTATTATACGTTTCACCAAAAAAATGCTATATTATATGCGTAATAGACGATATAGTCCTTAAATATATTCTTGACAAGGGCGCCATTCCTAATCCTAATCAGTAACCTGATCATTACTTCGTAGATTCTCATGCCAAATGATTTGATGCCATCAATGCTCAAATTTCAACGAAGAAGCTCTTCTCCCCCTCTTTAGGCACTACTCTTGCCCGTTCGATAATTGGATCAGCACAACTGACCCGAATCCGTTCAGGAGTAGCCGGACTTCGTAAGCTAAGGACTTCACGAACGTTGTACTGCTTCCGCGCCGCTTTCAAAGCATCGCGAATAGCAAAGAACACAGCACTGCCCATGAACAGCGGCGGTTCTCCAACGCCACGAGAGCGTTGGACTGTACGGAGGTTTTCCCATTCAACATCTTTGAGCAGACTAACGTTGAATACCTGGGGGATGTCTCGGAAACCGGGAATCTTGTAGTTCCCAGGCCCCTTGGTGACAACCTGGCCCGAGGCACGGTGCCAGAGACTTTCTTCTGTCGTGAAGAGTCCTTGACCTTGGATGAAGGCGCCCTCTATCTGTCCATAATCGATAGATGGATTGATGGTGCGGCCGACATCCATTTTGACGTCCGCACGTAGCGGAGTCCAATCACCGGTAAGTGTATCGATTTCAACTTCGGCGGCTGTCACACCCTGAGTGAAGTAGAAAAACATTTGACCCCTATTCTCACCCCAGACATAGCCAATATCTGGAGTACGATAATACCCCTGAGCCGAAAGGTTGACTCGATCAAGGTAAGCTGCATGAGCGAGTTCCTTCAGCGGGGCACCCGGCATCTTTTCCCGATAAGGCTGAAGACGCTCGTTGAGTTGCTCACAGGCATTGAAAATGGCGTACCCATTGAGGTCGGAACTGGCTGACGCAGCTGTGGCTGAGGTATTCGCGACCGTGTTTGTAGCTGTCTCGGATATGAACACGTCTGACTGGGGAATGCCTAATGCCTCTGCTGCGATCATAGTCATTTTAGTATGCAGGCCCTGGCCCATTTCAACACCGCCATGGGCGACAAGAACGCTTCCATCATGGTAGATGTGAACGAGAGCCCCAGCTTGATTCAGGAACAAGGCCGTAAAGGAGATACCGAATTTTGTCGGAATGATGGCCATGCCACGTTTCGACCACTTGTGCTTCTTATTGTACTCTTCCACGGCTCTGCGACGTTCAACATACGAGCTTTCCTCCAAGACTTGGTTATACATCAAGGGAACGTGCCAATCTTTCAGCTCCTGGTTGAAGTGAGTCTTATCACCAGTTTTATACATGTTGTCCATTCGGAGTTTTTCAACTGGGATATCAAGGTGATCCGCAATCTCCGACATGAAGCTTTCGGCAAAGAACAGGCCCTGTGGACCACCAAAGCCACGGAATGCGGTGTTTGACACTGTATTCGTCTTGCAAATACGACCGCGAACATAGACATTCGGGATATTATACACCCCGTCGATATGTGATAGACTTCTGTCCACGACAGCGGCAGAGAGATCTTGTGTATGACCACCGTTGGCATAGACATCAGCGTCAAGGGCAAGGAGCTTCCCTTCCTTGGTCACACCAACCTTCCAACGGCAGTAAAACGGATGGCGCTGGCCAGATGTCGCAATATCTTCATCGCGGTTGAGCATGCATCGAACGGGTCGTTTCGTTTTTACTGCAGCCGTAGCACATAAGCAAGCTAACTGGACCGACCGGGTCTCTTTACCACCGAATCCACCGCCCAGGCGTTTAACTCTGGACACTATTTTGTTGGCTGCTACGCCAGTGACCTGGGCGACATATGTTTGACTATGACGAGATTAGTTTTAATTAAACTTGAAAATTTCGAGGACTCACGTCTCGGTAGGGTTTTGTGTCCCGCTCCAAATCTCCATTTCCCCGTCTTCAGGTTTGGGAATCGCAACGCAAGCCTGGGTTTCCAAATAAAAATGCTCTTGGCCTCCCATTCTCGACGCACCGATGAAAACATGATCAGCCTGCTTGAAAGCAGATTCCGGATCACCGTTCTTTATGTAGTGGTCATGTCCGAAGAATGATTCGGCTTCAATGGCCTCTTCGATAGTAAGAATGGCCGGCAATTCCTCATACTCGATCTTAACAGCCCTCGCACCCTCTTCTGCGATTTTGGCTGATTTTGCGAGGACCATACCAATAGGCTGTCCAGCAGTCGTAACCTTGTCTACCGCAAAGAATACCTCATCAGCCACAGGAGCACCCCACCAATTAGCCTCCGGACTGGGGAGGTCTCTGTGATCCACATAGTCATGAACGCCAGGGATATCCAGAGCGGGAGATGGATCAACACTGATTATTTTGGCATGTGCCTTGGTTGAAAGAACCATGCACCCAAACATCTCGTTCTGTTGGACGGGTATATCATCGGTATATTGCGCTTCTCCAGTGGCCTGTTTCAACGCTGAGACATGAGGTCCAGCCTTCCCTAATATCCGCTGTTGATATGCTGATGAAGCTTCATGGTCCTTTTCCCCGTAAGAGATAGCCCTTTCAATCTCAGCAATCACATCGTGATCAATATCTGTACTCTTGACCTCGGTACCCGACAAGACGTCGTGATAGAATCGGTAGAAGAATCCCAGGGCAAGAGACCGACGATAGCTAGCCATACCACCAGGCACTCCGTAATTTAGATTGAAGTCTTGCTCTAAAGCACTCATGGCGCCCTCAAGGGTTGCAGGATGCGTGAATTTCTTGCCAACTAGGAAACCTTCTGCCTTTCGTGCTGACACAGTCATTGGCGCCATACCTCCGAAGACGAGGCTCACGCTTGTCACATCATGTGATGGGGAAAGCGATACACGCAAGGCAGCGTTGACGATGGCGATGTCATCATCCTTTCTCTTGGACTGTTTGTAAGCTCGCAGATACTCTCCGCTCTCTGATGCAGTAGGGATGCGCAAACTTCCAATAATAGCATTTGGTGGAAGTGTAGTTTTCCTGTAACCCCTAAAGAATTCAGTCATGGGGATCTCAATATCCCCCCCTAGCAACTTAGCAACAAGTACGGTGTTTGTTGCCACGAAGACTGGGTTCAGATCTGAGATTGGGGACGCAGTAGCCAAATTCCCGGCGGGGGACGCCACGTTCCTGATCTGTCTCCCGGCAAAATAGCGAAGCTGTTTTTGGATAGCAGTAAAAGGCTGGCCCCGCACAGGTCCATATCTCTCCAGAGCTTGATCGCATATTGACTCCAAATCAGTCAAAGAGACATTAGCGCCGACCTCTAAGTGGTCATCTTGGAACGAGAATTGCCGAAGTTCGGGAATATCACCAACGTAAACAGAGGCACTATACCGCATCGCTTTGAACTTGGTTTCAATCTGAGTTTCAGTGCTGCCACCGATAACCTTCGCGTCCGGGTGCACATGCTTGATTTCCAAAAGCTGTTGCAGAGTAACAGGTCTGTACCATTTTTTTTTCTTATTGCCAAAAACCAAGGGCTGGTACTTATGCCTGTGGAGGGTTGGTGGGAAAATTAATTCTGTGTCTGGCCTGTAGTTTATGAAATCAGGTGCCGTGAGCTTTGGAGCATTGCCGTCTGTGACCGTCGTTTCGGATGAATCTTTGCAGCATCCTCCAGAACCATTCTGCTTGTCCATACAACAGCCAGTACCACCATTGGTAATGGACTTCCCACAACCAATGCTGGTTTTGAAGCTCTGGGCAGCATCCAATATAGGCCTGTATCCAGTGCAACGACACAAATTCCCGTCAAACGCTTCTTCCACGGCATGCTCGGACGGTTCAGGGTTATTACGTAGAAGGGCATAGAGGCTCTAAGATAGACTGAAGTTAGACATCACAGCCAATCCGTGCGAGTCATCAATGAAGCCATCAGTGGAACATACCATCACGATGCCTGGTGTACAGAAACCACACTGGCTGCCATTACCAACTGCAATCCGTTGTTGAACCGCATGGGGGTTCTTCACATTTCCGATGCCTTCAACTGTGATAACATGTTTGCCATCTACGCTTATGACAGGTGCAAGGCAAGCATTCACCGACGCATGATATAGCTTCTTCGTCGTAGGATTCACTTGCGAAACCACCTATCGAGATCAGTATCCTCCATACCCACGGTAAGTTGGCAACGCTACATACAACGGTGCAAGCGCCGCAGCCTCCCTCCGCACAGCCGAGTTTTGTTCCTGTCAACCCTATCCCCCTCAAGTATTCTAAGAGTGTGAGCTCTGGGTCCACGGAATCTAGCGTCACTTTCGTGCCGTTCAGGTAGAAGCGAATAGTATCATCCCACTCCTGCGTTAACTGAGCCAAAGAACCGGCCTTTAGGGTAAGCACTTCAGGCCCCGGCGATACTAATATGCCGGGCGCCATCGTGGATTATCTTGGATCGAAGATTGGAAGTTCCTGCCAAACGTGGTGCGGAGATAGTTAATCAAAATGCCAAGCCTGGAGTTTGGTGAGGGGAGAGTGAGTTTTAACAACAGATTCAAGAGAAGGATTGATTTAAAAAAAGAGAACGTGGCGAAAGAGGGAAGAAGTAAGGAGGCAAAAGGTAGCAATCATCACGTAGATAGATATGACGTTGGAAACGTGCCTGAACTTACTCTTTTATCTTTGTTGGGGGGAGGCGAAACCCCACAGCTTTGGTTATCGGACTCCCTTGCGCGGGGATCGCCACCATCCGACGCTTTAATCCACCCCCCGGGGCGGAAACCAGCGGCATTAACCTCCACTCATGTGATCTCTAATCTCCTCTTTGCTATTGGTGTCTGGTACTATGCTAGTACTACTAGGAGTAAGTAGTAAGTATCACCGTACGCTGAGCTATAACTCCATTTCCATATATGGCTGGTTTTTCCTTATAATATATATGTATATATGCCTGTACAACAGTGAACAGACCAAAACGCCCGCTCCAGATGCTTCAACCAGTGGTGCACAAACAAGATCAATCAAAAGAACTTACATCAAAACCACACTAAGAGAGAAGTAGGGTCGCATCGAGGAGATAAGACACTAGAGAGGCAGATAGCAGTAGCACGTCAAATCGATCATTGACGTAGGAACTCAATCCTGTAGTCTAGCACCAACAAAATCCTTCTCATCTTCTTGCCACTTCTTACGTTCAACAACACTTCGGGCCCTGAACACCATGTAGGCAATTAGCTCCATTCATCATGATTTGCCCCGTGAGAAATAGGAGAGTGAGGTTTTAGATTGGGAATACGAACCGGTAAGCTCTCACAAATCGCCATACTTCTGTATCTGCCAAGTTCCAGGCTTCCGCCACGTCTTTGATACCAATTCGATTGGTCTCCTTACTCTTCAAGATTTCCCGGGCCTGTTTCAGGATGTCGTACTCCTGTGCGACACCTTGTTGGCTAGGATTGGCAGACTGCACCGACTCCTTGGAATCCCCTTCATTCTTGGAATTCACCTTACCATCACGAGGAATCTGGAAACCAAATTGCCATTCGAATTCATCTAAAAGATCAGCGGGTAGGCCTTGACCGGCTACAGGCGGTAAAGACTCGACAGTCATCCACAAGGATGTGCCAACCGCGGCGTCATCGGCGACCACCTTCTTGAAAACTACGGAGCGTGCCGATCCCCCAATCTCAACGCCCAACTGTTCTCTAGTGACCTCGGTCAGCCATGGGTCACGCTCCGTCTCGCGACGGATGTGCCTAGTGGTGACTTCGGCCGTGTCTTGTTGCAAACTAATGAGGGTGTATGGGTGGGGGAGAGATCCGATGGTGAATACCTGGGTTGTGTTTCGGTAGGTGGCTGGCTGGCTAACCTGCATTGGCTTCCCTGCATCGCAAGGATGGCACTTTTGCAGGTTGGGAGGACAAGAAGATGGCACAGGAGATTTAGGACATTGAACAAGAGCTTTTGCGAGCCGCAAAGCTGGCTCTATTAGAGCCGTAGTGTGCTCAGTAAAAGGCTTCAAGACAGCTATGCCGGCCGGAAATGAATTCTGAAAGGTGCTATGTAAATGCGCGTTGATGAGCTCTGCCAACGCAAGCCGGCCCTCGGTCGATGACAATTTCTCTGCAATTGTCGGGTAGTGGTTGTGGATAGTAGCAGGGTCGTAGAAAGCTAGAGAAGTTGGCGGTGATTCATTTCTAAAGAACTCCGAAGGAACTAAATCCAGCATGGTGTTTGATGTATCCGATGCTTTCTTAACCGCTTCCTTGATCGCGTCATTGATTCGCGATTTCTCTCCTGCAAAAAGCGCACTGTCGATGCGGTCAAACCGGGTGATAACAGCTGGATCAGTTCCCCGTCGCAAAGAAGACAGCAGCGCATCGTCGTATCTCGCCATTGGGAAACAGTGCCAATCCGCAAGTAAGCCATCGCCCATGTGGCCCCAAGCTAGCCAGCGAAAAAGCTCCTTCTCCAGTTTAGAAGTGAGTTTCATAGGCTGCGCCAGTGAATAAAGTTCATTATTCATAGCCTCTGCGCGACCCAGGATGACAGGCCGAAACCCTTGTGCAAACCAAGCTCTGCGCCACGCGAGAAGAAGCTGAGCATCAGCATGTTCCGCGCCCTTGTCACCGCCTCCTTTGGTTGGTTCGTAGTATGTGTATATAAATGGTCGGTGTCGAAGAGGAGGGAGTACGGATCGGTTCTCATCAAGGGTTATGGAGGACGAAAATGGGTTGATCCAAGCCCAATTGCTAAACCACTTCGAATCGCCATTGGTACTGTTTGGTTGGGGCTCGGGCGGCGCATGGACCGTTGGATGGAAGGAAGGTAGATGAAGGTCGCTCAGTGAAGGCAACTTGGGTCGGGGCACATATCTAGCGGAGCCGGAGATCTCTCCAGAAGAGTCTAGACGTGGAGACGATGAGAATATCACCAAAAGCAGGGCAACGAATATGATTATTGTGAGAAGGGCGGTACTCCGGTGAGGAATCATTTTTTTTTCACCGGAGGTGTAATCTGCAGAGCTGACAAAGAGTTGGGTTATATAGGAAGCAATGGATAGGAGGTAGATAGCCTGATCCTCCACCCACCTCTATTGTCGCAGAAAATTAAGGCGTAGGCGGCTGGAGGGTTAGAGAAGTAGAAGTATAAGGAGCATTAATATCAATCACATTTGCAGATGAGAATAGAGACCGAACTATCTCGTCATTTCAAGTGAATGTACAACAAAGTGGAATTTTGTCGGGGGTGTAAAAGAGAAGAAAGGGAGAAGAGAATGAGGGTGAAGCAATTGTCGACATAGAGTTGCAGCAGGAGCAATAAACGGTACCTTGGGATTTAATATGGGGCCCTTGAAAAGGTCTCCTTTTACTACTTGGACGGACTAGGAAAGGTGCCAAAAAGCACTGACTTAGTTCCTCTGTCCGCGCACAGCCACTCTCTCATTCTTTCATTTCCTTTTCCTTTCCCATCGATGCCTTGCTGCCTTGCAGTTCTGGACCACTACCGAGATCGGCCTAGTGCGGTGTGAAAGGCGGTGAGGTCAATGATCTGAATGTGGGGTTCACTGTGAGTGGCTGCGAAATCGGCAATTTTGCCCTCTAGTGCCCCTCATTCGCCATTGACTCATCATCCCATATCTACCATACCTCTTTTTAATTTCCCACCGACGGCAGATTGACACTCTGAGGGCTTTGTCAACTGCAATCATGGGTGTTGAAACTGTCTCCCTACAGGATCGCCTTGAACGATGGGCTCAGAGGTTACAAAACCTCACTGTCAGTCCCCTTACTCGGGATTATCCCGATAATCAGAATCAGGATCTTCCCAAGAGAGTTATTGAGGCATTCGAAACCCTCAAGCTTTCTGAAGACACAGAGGGAAAATTACAAAAGCTTTCCGGCTCATCGTCGGGGTTTACCGTTTTCTTGACCGCGTTTGTCGTTCTTGTCGCTCGTCTCACAGGCGATGAAGATATCGCTATCGGAACCACCTCGGCCGAAGACGGCCGTCCATTCGTCCTCAGAGTCCCAATTGACGTCTCGGAAACCTTCCTCCAATTATATACTAAAGTGCAGAAGGTATAGCTGCAGCCCATACCTACTCATGAACCTTACCTAACGACTATGCTAGGCTTTCGACCAAGGGTCCTCCGACATCGTTCCTTTAGGTAGTTTACGATCTTACATCCAGGAAAAGTCCCAATCCGAACGGGCCCCAGTTCTTTTCCGCTTCGCGGTGTACGATGCACCTGCCGCATCCCAGGAATATCCCGCCAACACATTTGAGACTACGGACTTGGTCGTGAACGTTGCACCTGCAGCAGGCGGATCAACAACTCAAGCGGAGTTAGGCGCTTATTACAACCAAAGACTCTTCTCAAGCGCCAGGATTGCCACGATACTGAAGCAACTGGGCAAGATTGTTGAAAATGCGACTAGCAACCCAGAAGAGGCTATCGGGCGCCTTGACTTCATGACCGATGACCAGCGGGCTATCCTTCCCGACCCGACAGCTGACCTTAACTGGTCCAAGTTCCGAGGCGCCATCCATGACATCTTTGCGAAGAATGCCGAGAAATATCCAGAAAAGCTGTGTGTGGTGGAGACCAAGTCTGATCGATCTCCCCACCGCGAATTTACATACAGGCAAATCAATGAGGCCTCCAATACTCTAGCACACCACTTGGTTCAATCGGGCATTGAGAGAGGTGAGGTCGTCATGGTGTACGCTTATCGTGGTGTCGATCTTGTAGTAGCTGTTATGGGTATCCTCAAAGCTGGTGCAACCTTCTCCGTCATTGACCCCGCATACCCACCAGAGAGACAGTGCATCTATCTTGATGTCGCTCGCCCTCGGGCGCTCATTAATATCGAGAAAGCCACTAAGGATGCTGGCGAGCTTTCGGAGAAGGTCCGCTCTTTTATTAAGGAGAATCTCCAGCTACGGACAGAAGTCCCAGCGCTCGCACTTCGCGACGATGGCTCGCTCTTGGGAGGATCAATCAATGGCCAAGATGTTCTAGCCAACCAGGTGCCTTTTGGATCTAAGCCTGTCGGTGTCGTGGTTGGTCCTGACTCGATTCCTACTTTGTCCTTTACTTCCGGCTCGGAGGGAAGGCCCAAGGGTGTAAGGGGTCGTCATTTCTCATTGGCATATTATTTCGATTGGATGTCCGAGACGTTCAAGCTTAATCCCAATGACCGTTTCACAATGCTCAGCGGTATTGCTCATGATCCCATTCAACGAGATATCTTTACTCCCCTCTTCCTAGGAGCACAGCTGCTAGTGCCGGCGCGTGAAGACATTCAGAATGAGCGACTCGCTGAATGGATGCGGGAATACGGTGCTAGTGTCACCCATCTGACACCTGCTATGGGTCAGATCTTGGTTGGCGGTGCTTCGGCGCAATTCCCAGCTCTTCACCATGCTTTCTTCGTCGGCGATATCTTGATCAAGAGAGATTGCCGATCTCTGCAAGGACTAGCCCCAAATGTCAACATTGTGAACATGTATGGTACAACTGAAACCCAGCGTGCGGTCAGTTATTACGAAATTCCTAGTTACTCCAGCAATGAAGGGTTCCTGGACACTATGAAGGATGTGATCCCAGCCGGGCGGGGCATGGTTGATGTGCAGATGCTGGTTGTGAACCGATTTGAACCGAGCCGTATTTGCGCTATCGGAGAAGTGGGCGAGATCTATGTTCGCGCTGCTGGTTTGGCAGAAGGCTATTTGGGTTCTCCTGAGCTGAACGAGAAGAAGTTCCTCAAGAACTGGTTTGTGGACCCTCAAACATGGGTTGAGAAAGATCAAGTCGAATCGCAAGGTACCAACGAACCATGGAGAGAGTTTTACGTTGGACCTAGAGATCGCCTGTACCGCAGTGGCGACCTCGGCAGATACACCCCTACTGGTGAGGTTGAATGTTCCGGCCGTGCGGATGACCAAGTAAAGATTCGTGGTTTCCGTATCGAACTTGGCGAAATCGATACACACCTTTCCCGCCACCCACTTGTGAGGGAAAATGTCACTTTGGTGCGTCGAGACAAGTTTGAGGAACCAACTCTGGTTAGTTACTTCGTGCCAGACATGGGCAAGTGGGCTTCGTGGTTGCAAAGCAAGAGCCTCGAAGACGACGATTCCGCTGAAGGAATGGTTGGTATGCTCAGGCGATTTCGTCCTCTCCGTGACGATGCTCGAGAGCTTCTGCGTAGCAAGCTTCCGGCTTATGCTGTGCCAACAGTGTTTATCCCGCTCAAGCGAATGCCTCTGAACCCTAACGGCAAGATCGATAAGCCTGCATTGCCTTTCCCAGATACTGCGGAGCTTAGTGCTGCAGCCCCCAGGCGCAAGTCATCCGTGCTGCAAGCCCTGTCTGAGACAGAGCAAGCTTTGGCTCAGGTTTGGGCTAAGCGCATTCCAAATGTCACCTCTCGCATGATTGGCCCCGACGATTCTTTCTTTGACCTTGGAGGACACAGTATCCTGGCACAGCAGATGTTCTTCGATCTCCGGCGCAAGTGGCGAGGTGTTGATATCAGCATGAACGCAATTTTCCGCAGTCCTACTCTCAGAGGGTTTGCTACCGAGATTGACCGTTTGTTGAATCTTGAATCGTTCGCTGCCAACGACAGCAAGACAATTGCCGAAGCTCCAGATAGCTCTAGCGCACCTGATGATGAATACTCTAAGGATGCCCGTAAGCTAGTAGATGCTCTTCCCAAGATATTCCCCAAACGGACTGAGCCTATTCTTTCTGGGGAACCAACAATCTTCCTCACGGGTGCTACTGGATTCCTGGGCGCCCATATTCTTCGCGATCTGCTCACCCGCAAGTCGCCTTCCGCAAAGGTTGTGACTCTAGTTCGAGGAAAGACCGAAGAGCAAGCCCTAGAGCGTATCCGTTCTACCTGCCGGGCGTACGGTTTCTGGGATGACGCATGGACCAGCCGTCTTCAGTGTGTCTGCGGTAACCTAGGAGAGCCTCAACTCGGTCTCTCTCAGGCGCTGTGGGATGATTTGGCTACCCGCGTTGATGCGGTGATCCACAATGGAGCCCTTGTTCACTGGGTGTATCCTTACTCTACTCTCAAGCCTGCTAACGTTCTGGGCACCATCGATGCCCTGAAGCTTTGCGCCACTGGAAAGCCCAAGCAGTTCTCGTTTGTCAGTTCTACAAGCGTGCTTGACAGCGACCATTATGTCGAGGAGTCTGAACGGATCGTTGCAGCCGGTGGAGCAGGTATCAGTGAGGAGGATGACTTGGAGGGCAGCAGCGTAGGTCTTGGAACCGGTTACGGTCAGAGTAAATGGGCAGGAGAGTACCTTGTCAGGGAAGCGGGTAAGAGAGGATTGAAGGGAACCATTGTCCGTCCCGGATACGTGCTGGGCGACTCTCAAACCGGAAGTAAGTACCAGGGTTCACTACCCCCGTCATAGCTGAATATCTATATGTTGACCACATCTGTTACCAGCTACAAACACCGACGACTTCCTTATCCGAATGATCAAGGGATGTATCCAGCTTTCTGCTCGTCCTAACATCAACAATACTGTCAATATGGTCCCCGTCGATCATGTTGCCCGTGTTGTCATCGCCGGCGCCTTCCAGCCTCCATGCACGCCTATTAGCGTTGCGCAGGTGACTGGACACCCGCGCCTGCGCTTCAACCAGTTCCTCGGTGCTCTGCAGTTATATGGCTATGACGTCCCTCAGGTTGATTATGTCCCGTGGGCCCAGTCGCTCGAGCAATATGTCAATGATGGACAGCACGACGACCCAGAATCCCAACATGCACTGTAAGTTATTGTCGATATTGCGGTAATTTATTAATGTTCAAATGCTAATTGTCGGGTCTAGCATGCCCCTTTATCACTTTGTGACCGCCGACCTCCCATCTAACACCAAAGCACCCGAACTAGACGATGTTCATGCCGCTGCTTCCCTTCGCGCAGATGCAGCCTGGTCCGGCGTCGACGCCTCTGCCGGTGCCGGCGTGACCGAGGAGTTGGTTGGTCTTTACGTTTCCTATCTTATCGCTGTTGGTTTCTTGCCTTCGCCGCCTACTTCCTCGACGGGCCGGCCCTTACCCACGACTCAGCTCAGCGACGACCAGAAGCAGGCCTTGGCCAATGTTGGTGGCCGTGGAGGCAGCTCATGAATCTATTGAAACCTAGCGCTTTCTTTTTCTTTGTTTTGTTTCGATGATACATATTTCGTTTTCATTTTCAAAATTCTTTAGGGGTATAAAAGCTATGGATGCGGCATTTATGGAAAGCACCATGTATATATATAGAAGAGACAAGTAGGGGAGTGGGGGGAAAGCGACCTAGATTATTGTGTTCAGATGATTCCAGTTGGCTGTTTTGCATTCAGGTCAAACCCCACACATCATGGCCCACGTGGGAAAATGCCTCAGGGGGGGAATTTCACTGGATTAGTTAATAGTACCTTCGTTGGTTAGTATTACTCTAAATAGATGAAGTGATACGAAATCACTCGGTTGCAGTCAGGCAACGTAAATACAATGCATCGATAGGGGTGAGATAATGGGCGTTGGATCTGCCCACGGTTGTGCCGTATTTCCCGATCTGTGCCGCTCACCGGGCGTTTATAAAGTCGCATGTATTTTGCGTCCGCTGCCAAGATAGAACAGCGTTCTTCCCCAACAAAGACTCTTCTTCTTCTTTAACCGGAGTCCGTCCTCTGTTTCGGTTTTTAAACCCCCTCTTGCTTCGACGTTCGTTGTAAACCGTGAGCAAATCTTGTCGCCTTAAACCACCATGCCAGGTATGTCCACAAGTCATTCCTTTTCGTTTTCTTCTTGGCGTTCTCGGATATCGTCGCTCTCTGCGACGGTCCTCTTTTTCCGCCCATTTTCCCCTGCCCTTCTTTCATGTTCAATATCATTCCTGAAGCTGGGTATCTCGATTTCCTTGTCTTGTCGATTATTCTCAGGCGAGTAGTTGTAAAGAAGGGCTTGTTGGCAGCTCTGTTCTGGCCACCCCTAAACTTTTTTTTTTCGCTCTTTTTCTTTTTCCCCTTCGGGTTTGCCCCAACCCCTTCTTCCCGTTGAGCCCGTTGAGTCATTCGCTGCCCACCTATTTTGACGACCTGTTATTCCACCCTGCAACAACCTACCGGTACTATTCCTGCCACCATGATGAATATCGCAAGGCTCGTACCGCGGCCCCAATCATTTTCTCACCCCCTAGTGGCAGTATGGGAGTTCCCAGGTTACAGAGGAAGCGTTCATCTTCCCTCCGTCCGAGGCCGAGCGAACCCCGTTACCAGTCATCTTCAACGTCTTTCCCTGTCAACCTCTGCATCTTTATCGTGCGACAAACATACCATGTCGCAAGCGGAGACTAATTACTCCCCAGACCGATTCACCTCTGCGCTGCAGCAAAATAAGGAATGGGCTGCAAAAACCGCCCAGGAACACCCAGAGCTGTTCCCCACGCTTGCCAATGGTCAGCACCCCGAAATTCTCTGGATCGGCTGCTCTGATTCTCGATGCCCTGAGACTGTCGTTCTCGGGTTAAAGCCCGGTGACGTCTTCGTTCATCGTAATATCGCCAACATCTTGCACGCTGGCGACCTTAGCTCGGGCGCAGTCATCGAATATGCCGTCCGTCATCTGCGAGTCAACCACATCGTTCTCTCCGGCCACACCAAGTGCGGTGGTATTGCCGCTGCGCTGGGCAACAAACAACTCGGTATCTTGGACCCCTGGCTGCTGCCTCTGCGCCAAATCCGGGAGCAGAACCTTGCGCTGCTGCAAACGCTGACACCCGAGGATGCGACCGTGAAGATGGCGGAATTGAACGTCCGCGAAGGTGTCAAGCTTTTGAAGTCGAAGAGCGTCGTGCTCGAGGCGATGCAAGAGCGAGGACTTCAGGTACACGGTCTCATCTATGACGTTGCCTGTGGTGTCCTCCGGGATATTGACACCAAGGACTCGGAGGAAGAGATCAAGAGGCGGCTGGTAGCTTTCAAGACCGAGGCTTAGAGGGAAGGTCTCGGATCGGCATCTCTCCCATCATTGCTTTGGATAGTTTTTGGGTTGTTCGTTTCAGCGATTGTCCGGTGTATTTGTGTTTTCTTTTCGGAGGGTATTCCTGTGACTGGATGAGCGATTTAGCATCGTCTCAACGACTTTGCAGTAAATATTCTTAGACTTGTGAATCTCATAGATGTGGATTTCAGAACAAGCGTTGATTCCAAATCAGAACCAGAAGAAACGGGTCATATCGCAAACAGGGGAAATTGAGGAGTCACAATGACAGAAAACTGGTAAGTAGTAGTATGGGGGGAAGGAAAGGGAAGAAGGAGAAGGAGAAGAGACGGAGAGAGGGTAAGGGAAAAGAATGAATGAATGAAAGAGGGAGAGAGAGAGGGCGAACTAACTCGTAAGGCTAGTTTCACCCTCTGCAATCCCAGCAGTTCGACCAAAATCATTGCCGGATCCGGAAGCCAAGGGACCTTGCGGTTCCGCTTTCCCTTCCCCTTCCGGTATGGTCCCGGCCGAGGCGGAGATGCATCGGTGATTGATGCCTGATTATCTTTGTGAAGGCCTTTCATAAAATAAGGGAATCTGTCCTTGGAATTTTACTGAAATTTCACTGGAAATGACCACAGTTTCCAAGATAAGAATGTATCCATACTTCTTATCTTTTCATTCATCAATCTACTGCTTTATTCATTTGTTCAATAGCCCTCTCCTCATCATTGGCTAGCAAACCGTATCCACTAGTACTACTAGTACTACTACTCTTCCATATGTATCACTTAAATACTACCTTCCTTATAGATAGATAGTACCTAAAAATGAGATACTCCTAATCTTTGTCTCCCTGCTTTCAGCCACTGACCCTCTCTAAACAAGATCATAGCAATCTAACATTGATCAATTCGAGGCGTCACCCTACCACCTCCCCCAAAACGACTGGTTGGCATGATATCGCTATTTATTTGGCAACGTGGTCGGTAGGTGATCGCACCCTAGAGTATGCAGATCCATGAACAGTGGAGTATGTCCCGTCAACTCCCATCAAGACGTCAAAAAGAACACTCTTGAGGAGGCATTCGATGAAATCATGGAGTATTACAGTATCGAAAGGCTTCATGTTCCACGGATATGCTGAACGGTCAATACTCATGACTTGAGTTCTAATTCAACAGACAAACAATGTATATCTATAGGGTTACTAGACAAGGTATATACATTCCCTATCAAAATAACACAGCCATTTGCACAGTCAGTTTATAAGGCGGGGAATCGTGCAGAACTTATGGATCCATAAATATCTTTGTTCGGATCCACTCAGCTCTAAACCGTTCGTTTACGCGTGAAACGATTAAGATACCTCAGGATCATCCAAAAAATGAGGACTAAAAGGATTCGAGGAGAACACTGAAGGTATTAACATGATAAAGAGTATCACTCAGGGGAAGCGATTTTCTGTACATGCTTTTACTATAAACAATCGTTTACTCGTGTGTATAAATCATTTTGACACAGGTACATCCAAACAAATCAAAGAAGAAGAAAAAGAATAAGTAAAGAAAACCGGTTAAAACTCCTCCCGTTCATTCTTCTCGTCCATAGACTGCAATTTTCCCAATCCAGACAGTTTCGACCTACACGACCGACTCTAAATCGAACCATTAGTACGCACATATCCCAGAACCATAACTCAAAACCAGGATTAAAAATATACTCACCTTACACCAAAGTCTCTTATACCCTATCCAACAACCACTACCATATTCCTCACAGCATTGGCCCTGCAGCACCTTGTATTTGCACAACTCCGAGATAGAAAGTTCCTTTGTTGTGGACAGAAGCTGCCGTCCATCTTTATCGCAGTCACCGAGGCGAGCGTCGGTACTTCCGCATGCGGGGGCTGCTCCGACCCATTTGCAGCCATAGTAGTCATACTCGGGAATATCGTTCCGGGCCACTTCGCAGGAGAAGCCCAGGGAGGGCTTAACGAAAGTGGCGGTCATGAGAAGAACTATAGTGTTGAGTTTCATTTTGAGTAGCGACTTTTAAATGGTAGGTATTGATGTCTATGTGTAAATATGAGTATATATATAAACTACTAATAGTCGGAGAGGGGTATATTTGAGGTAGCTGGAGGAAGGGACAAGGGTAAATGGATACTATTGAGCAACTACTTATATGTAACGTCCCTATAGAAATTGATCTTGTATGACCTCACCACTTCGACAGGTTGCAACGTTAGGATCTAATATTCGACTGGGGAAGGATCTAAAGGTATTTGTGATACTAATCAATCACTATACATGTACAGATCTCGAGGAAATAGTGACTGTAATTTGAATGGCATACAGAATCATCTCCCAACAAACAAGGTGTGAGTATCAACACACACTTCAACAAGCAATAAATCCATAAACCGATAAACGTCACGGGAGCCGCACGTGCCCCTCCAAACGCATGAAATCACCCAAAAGCAACAAGCTTGAACTTGGAAAGCGATACCAATGATGCCGACAACGACCTCTGACGTGGCAATATTATCCAAGCAAACACCCGAACGAACCGCGGGGCAGTCGGTTGAGCATCGGTTGTCCCAGCGTATCGCTTCATACTTTCGGCAGATGGGGACAGAGTGGATCTGGGAAAGTTGATGCTGAGAAATCAAGGCGGAGCCATTCCTCTCCCTTATCAATCAATTTATCGGCGTCGTGTTCTTCTTTCCTCATGTCTTGATTGTTTTCAATATACTATTAACCCTCCAATTGTCGTGGTGAAGGTGTGAAGCCCTTAAATTCAATCTGCTTGTCACCGGTGGATCCCCACAGTGACGTATTGCATCATTAGCTGTGAAAACGAAGCTAACTAACAGTTAACATCGCAGACAACGTAAAAAGCAAATAAGGAAATAAACAAAAAAGACGCATACCATTCATGGCTAGCGAAATGGAATATACCCGGTGCGCCCACTGCTGCCGAGCTCCCAATGAGAGCATATCAGACAATTGTTGCATATGACCCGTTAACAAAAGTGAGTCACCAGACTCGGCAACTCCGGCCTCAAGATCTCCAAGATCATCCTGGGCGCGATGTCCTACGGGACCAAGCAATGGCAGGACTGGGTGCTAGACGAGAACGAGGCCCTCCCATTGATCGAGCACGCCTACAAGCGTGGAATCAATACTTGGGACACAGTGCGTACTCCATTACATAAATACCCAACCTTCTAACGAGACGCAAGCGAGCGTCACGCTAATACGCAAATCGTCCCTGAAACGCAATAGGCCGACGTCTACTCCCACGGTCGCTCGGAGGAAATTATTGGACAGGCACTGACCAAGTACAACATCCCTCGGAACCGGGTGGTCATCTTGACCAAGTGCTATTTCGGTGTGGACGACGAGGGCAACCAGCCTCCTATCTCTGCCTCGGGTCGGAATGATGGTGACTGGGTCAACCGCGTGGGTCTGTCTCGGAAGCACATCTTCGATGCCGTGGATGCCACCGTCAAGAGACTGGGCACGTACGTCGATGTGCTGCAGATCCACCGTTTGGATCGCGACACCCCCCGTGAAGAGATCATGAGGGCTCTCAACGATGTGATTGAGAGCGGGAAAGTGAGATACATCGGAGCTAGTACCGTAAGTCCTGTTGACTCACCGTTATTGGTTTTCATTACGCTATGCTAACTGCCACCTGAAGATGGCCGCATGGGAGTTCCAAACACTCCAGAACATCGCGGAACGGAACGGATGGCACAAGTTCATCTCCATGCAGAACTACCATAACCTCTTGGCTCGGGAGGAGGAGCGTGAGATGATCCCTTACTGTATTGATTCTGGTGTGGGTCTCATTCCTTGGTCTCCCATGGCCCGCGGTGTCCTGGCGCGGCCGTGGAATTCCCGCTCGACGACGCGTGAGTCCACCGATGCGGCGCTCAAGCTCCTTGTCCGAAGCCGAGAGTCCGAGGCCGATAAGGCAATTGTCGATCGCGTCGAGGAGATTGCCAAGAAGAAGGGCGTGAGCATGGCGCAGGTGTCCATTGCTTGGTCCTTGAGTCACGCCAATGAGAACCCCATTCTAGGATTAAACAGCAAGGAGCGCATTGATGAAGCTGTTGCCAGTATCAAGGTCAAGTTGACTGACGAGGAGATCAAGTATTTGGAGGAACCATATATACCCAAGGCTCTGTCTGCTCTTGAGCGATAAACGAAAACAAATCGTGTAGGGTATATTTGCTCATAATTCATAAAAAATGTATCTAAACCAATGAATAACCCCAATTGCCTCAGTATGGTCGGTCGTGGGTGTCTAATATTCTTAGGTACATGCATTCCGAAAATCAAAGTGTGCTTGATTAAAAGCCCTATATCTCAGATATATTTACCACTGGTCGTTGAGTTCTCTATATACAAGTCCAGATTTGATCGGAAACGAAGGGAACAGCCGCTCGATCGTGAATGATCATAGCGCTGCAAAGAGGTGAGAGTATTGCGTAAACACTGGAACCACAGAGACCCTATGCAAATTGATTTGATGACCCAAAATTCCATCATTTGATAGCACCTGGCCACTGGGAATGGAAAGATGTCCAAACGGGAACCCATTCGGGTTCTCTCTCTCACCTCTGCTAGAGGGAGTATAGAATAAAATTACATGCAACGTATCCACCAACTAACCTAGAAGCACCGGGCTTCCCTTAATGGTGCTTGCGAGCTAGGAAGTCAAAAATACTGCTCAGCCGCTGCCGGCATCTCCTCGTGGAGCTGCTGCGGTTGAGCTGTTTAGCCTTTTCGTCGGAGGGTTCAAGCTGGTGTAGTTGGTAACTCTCTACACCCGGGCTGTCCAATGGCTGATCTAACGGTGTGGAATGCCTATTCATTTCTTCTGTCGCGGCCTTGCTTTGACGAGGCCGCGTTGTGTGACTTCCACCGTTGCTTTCAGCCAGACCATTTCCATTATGATCCACCTCGCGAGGGCTCGAGCGCAAACTATGCCTTTTGGGTCGGCCATTGGTTCCAGCAGCATGTCGATTGGTTCGTTCCATAAAGGCTGCACCTGTTGAATTTGAGCGCTTGGAAAGACTGCCGTACGCCGTGGACCGGTCAGCCTCTGCGTTTGGCTGAGAAGACAAACTATTTGGCATCGACATGCGGTGCTTCGAACCATTTGATGCTAGCCTTTCCGAACGATTATCCCTTCCAGCGGGTATCGGGTCATTATCGGCTCTGACTGCACATGGAGATGACTGTCGAGACGGGGCAAGCGCTCCGTTAAAAGTCAAGACTGAATCGTCATAAGTAAAGTTATGCGACCAACCTTCCCGGAACGCAACCCATATACTGGTGATGATAATCAACGTGCGGAGATTATCATCCGTTGTAATAACATTCTTGTCCAAAGAGGCGTCCATTTCAGAATCGTCGCTTATTACAGACATCGCAGACGTTGGCGACATGGGAAGTCCTGACGCATTGGGTATCGCGTACTCATCAAATACTTCCAGATGGTTACGGGCCATGGTAGCGATGACGGGGTGACGCCGGGTATTGGGGTTGATAACGCTGAAAGTGAATCGCTTCGTGTCTGCCTGCGGTGTCGTTCCGGGGGGTGCAGAAACGCGACGATTCCGTGCTCCGCGAAGAACCCATCGTAGGATCTGAATACCATTTTCGGTGTTTGCCACGAACTCGTACGATCCGTTCGGAAGAGGCGTTGCTTCCCACACCGGTCCGTCTTTGAGGCAAATCTCAGCCTTCCCTTTAGACAACACATCCTCCTTGAGCAGTTGACATATTGTTGCGACGACCTCCTGATGATCGCCGTGCTCCTCGTCTGAGCTGAGATACTTGTCAGCAATGTCCCCACCGGCCCGTTCATAGAGATCGCTGGTCACGACGATTAAATCATTTGAGCCCAATCTCTTTTTGCCTCGGAAAATGGTGGGAAATTTGCGCGATAATCTCGGTAAAAATACGGTCGATGGCAATACATCGAGAACGGGCAAGGGACGGGTGGTTTGCGATACTCGTTGGAGCTGCAGAAGAAGCTTGGGTCGGAGCCTCAGTCGCTTATGACGTGCATGGGACGCGGGGTGAGCTAATTGGTAGGATATTTTAGGCCGCGACGAGTGCTTCCTAACTGCCTGCGGGCGGGTGTCCCGAGACTGGCCAAGGATTGTCCCAGCAGTTGAGTACTCTCCATCGCTCGAAACCACCGATGCTACCGGACTCGCAGACATTGCACGCAGGGGTCCTTTGTGGGATCGATCTACCTCTGAACCCTTATACCGGCCATAAAAACTTCCCAATCCCATAGTCGGCAATGTCGCAAATGAAACTGTCGGTGGAGAGGAATGGCGATTTAAACTCCCTGACGGGTGCGACGCGGGTTGGGGGCCAGTGTCGTTCTCGTGAGCTGCTGCTGCATCTGCTGTCAGGCCTAGATTGAACAGCATGTTTATTTCATACGATGCGAAACCCTCTGCGACCGTCCATCAAGGCGAGCATTGACAGTCAATAAACAATGGCGGACTAAACAAGGTTATATCTCACGGAGATCGCGGGCGCCTCCGGTCGATCACTTGTCCTTCAAGCTATATGCGCAATGCGGGCCGACAAGGGAAAAGAGGATAGGGAGTGTGTGAAAATAGAGCAAGGGACGAAAAGAGAGAGTAAGATAAAACGAAGTGAGATTTCTGGGGGGCGTGACCTGCACAACAATTGTTCTGAGTTGTAAAACAGAAGAAGGCTGAGGGAGGAGCGGAAGAAGTAGAAGATGAAGAGTATGGTTTGGTGTGAGCCTTTGAGGTAAGATGGACCAAGAGCCAAGAGTTTCTAACGTTGTACAACGGGAAGTAGATATCGTAATGCGCAACACAACTACCGAGGGGAAATATGCAAGGGAGAGTTGAAAAGTAGGGAAAGACGATGTATGTATGTAGACCGTGTGGGTGACCGAAGCCTTAATATTCAGGTACGGGTAAGTGGAAATGTAAAAACGAGTGGATGAAACGGAAGGTAAAATAATGAGAAAAAGAAAAAGAAAAAGAAAGAAAACTTGTGTGCATGTCAGGTTGAATGGAGTCAATATAGTAGCGGTCAAGTAATACGATCAATCATATCCCAAAATAAAAAGAAGAGTCATAATAATTTACCATTAGTTCCACTTTTGCTCAAGGATGAGAAATAAAAATACTAATCATCATATCTGCGTCTCGGAGAGGGTTTCCATGGAAGCTCCGCCGCCAGAGCTCCAGAGTTGAATGCATGTACCTCATCCTTGTACACAGAATGTACTGTAACCATCACTCCTACTAGCAAAAACCCGACAAATGCTAGATTTGCATGATACCCACAGTAGCGGAACTTACCTTTGAGGGGCGATCCATGGCAAATTCGTCTGTTCAACTCGTCTAGACGGCGATCTTCGGGACTAAACAACGCCCGAGGCTCCAGTACCGCTAGTAATCGTTTCCGAGTCCCGTAACTTTCGGTTCTTCCCTCTCGGTTCTTCCCTCTCCGTCATCCCATTTTCCAATAAATTATTGCTCTTTATTTTCTTTTCTTCCACCTACCTAGTACGGAGTAACAAATTCCATGCTAAGTAATACACCCTCGCAAACATTCCTGTAATGGAAGTGCTCACCAAGTACTATACTAGTTCTCCTTTCCTCGGGCGTCGGTCACTACCTTATACTACCCGCTTACTAAAGGCCTACTGACAGTTCGGTACTCCCGTGCTCCGGACTCCAGTTCCTACTTAGTTCCTACGGAGGTCCGAGTTTCCGACCTGCCGGCCAACCCAAATATAATACGATACGTCCATCCATGGATATGACTCTTGGCCTTAAGGCAACCGAACCTTACGCTTCCAACTCAGAGTCAAGGCAATCCTTCAGGAATTCAAATATCTTTTCTTCTGTTTCCCCAACAAGTGGTAAAGCTTACTTACCCCACCCCTGTACGGGATTGATAACGCCCCGGAGTTTCTTTTCTCCAAGTCTATGATGCTATACATAGAGTACACTTCCAACACGCGGGCTCTTCTTGGCCAAAAATGAAATTAACTGGCCTTGGCATAAGTCAGTTAGTTTGTATGGAAACACCACCCCACTACATATATTGGTGGTGCGCTCACTTCCAGACTCCTTTTTATTTTAGTGGGGTTGGGTTATTCTTCTCTTTCTTCTGAGCATTCGAATAATCAGAAGGGTCATCATAAGTATAAAAATGATCTGAACCCATGTGACAAAGCCCTATCACGATCTTCCCCACTGGGTTTGTAGGAACGTTGATGTATACGATCATATCATAAGATGCTATCGCCACCGACAAAGAAATCGGTCGGACTCTTGATATCAAAAAGGACACGCTTAATACATAGATGTAATGCTCAGTAACGGTACGTACGTATCGGTCATTGTGGGTGCCACATTTTGCACACGTGATCCAAAACGGGGGCGTGCAACGTTGTCTCGTCTGGTTTTCATGAGAATTTTAGTTTAGTATAGACTAGATTAGTTTCTAGCTGCACTGAAGATTTCTAGTCGCTATCCATCTGAGGGATATATTTCTTTACTAGGAGCTCCTCCGTACTCTCCTCGGAATCGGTCCGTCAACTCCGTCGGTCTCGGGATAGTTATCGTAATCATGGATAGGGTGAGTGATACTCATAGTCACTTTATTGCCTCCCCAAGAGTTGCGAAGTACTATCAGCTTCTAGATAGTTCAAGGATAGATTGAGGATAGTCCTAGAACTATCATCTTTCAGGCACTGATTTCTCACTTTGACAACTAATTCAGTTTCATGATTTTCCTTTTCGTTTCCTTTCTTTATTCTCGAGAGTTGGAGGGGTTATATTCCGGATCCGTCAGTGGAATGGGGCTTTTTTCGTAGGGCTGAATCGCGGGTTGATCCCAAGGTAGGGTTTGTTGTGCTACTAATTGGTTTCCAGAATTCCAGGACAAATCCATTGGAAAAAATGACAAAAAATTTTTTTCATTGAATTTCCTACTCATGTCACCTCTCAGAAAATGATGACATAGCCACGTACTTTTTTTTTTCTATATCAACTTAGTTACTCCCCTTTCTATTATTCAGCTCGTCATGATCCGTCATGGTGGCAACTGCAAGGGATTTCAACTAGTTGTCATTAGTTTGTTAATCTGTTACATTAGTTTAGTTATGCATCGGCATGCTGAAAAGTAATTAAGTATTAGTATGTATTACCTGCCGAAGAATCCGATTCCCCACTTACCGTTTCGACTTCAACATCATCATCAGTTACTAGACAAACTAGAGTGGCCAGTTCAAGCAGGTACCTCGGCCTATGACCCCGATCATTATTATCTATCATCGTATTTTATTCTGTTTTCATTTTACCTACCCTATTTGTGGACCCTTGATTCATGAGCGCAGAAAAACCCCGTAGAGAAATTTATGCATTGCATAAGATGGAATAAAGCAGTTCTAGCTTAATACTATTCCTTAGAGAGGGGTTTATTATCACCGATCCCCTCCGATCTTACCTGGTATGTATGGGTTCTAGACTGGCCTTATCCCGTCCAGGACTCTTGAATCCCAACGAGCCCATTTAGAGTCTATCCCTAGCCTTTAGGTTATGGAAGGTTCTTCTCTTCCTGGTTATTATTGCCTGTCCAGGACCCAGTTATGATACCTCAACGGGGCTAATTCCTTACCAAGAGCTCACGTCGCCTAGTGTCAAATCAAGCGTCACTAAGCATGTACCTTTCTCATTCCTTGTAAAGCTTGTTAGATGGGATTCTATCTTCTTTGTCCATATTGTTCAGGATGACTATGTTTTTGAACAGGAATGGGCCTTTGGCTATGGCTACACCAAATCCTTGCCTTCCTAACCTCTGTTATATGCCCCTCTCCTCTTTCTAGACTAAGCCGCTGCTAATTGCAGGCAAAGCCCTCCCTCGGTTGAATGGCTCGGGTGGGGTGACCAAAGTTGCCCTTGTTGCAATTGCCCTCTCCCATCTTACTCATTATCTTTCAGTCTTGGCCTTATACAGGCTTTCTATCAATGTATTTGATCATGGCAACACCTCAGGGAAATTGACCAGTTTCCTCTCCTCTTCCTTGCATATCATCTGCCCTGCAGGGGCGTTCCTTTCCGCACCCTATGGGGAATCCTTATTCTCCTTCCTCAACATTACTGGGTTTTATATATATTCATCCTCCCTGCTTGATCTCAAGAGTGGTAAGCGGATATCCGGTGGTGCTAAACTTTTGTCAGCTGCTGCGCTATTTTCAGTAGCTACAGCAGTCCGCAGCAATGGGATCCTCAGTGGAGTCTTGTTCATATATGATGCACTCCAACAGCTGCACAGAATTATCTCCCAGGGTGTATCTTGGGATACCTTGTTCCGTCTTAGTGTCATTGTGATCAATGTGAAGTCTGACCAGCCTTTGCGGCCATGGTGTGAACAGCTCATACCTAGTATCTATGGCTGGGTTCAGGTTCATTACTGGTCAGTGGCCACCTTACTGTGACCTAGGAGCGCTCGATTACTGACGTTTTCGCGGCAGGAATGTGGGATTTTTACGGTACTGGACGCTTGCGAATTTACCTCTTTTCATAATGGCTTTTCCTATGTTATATTTACTCTGTCACTCTTCTATCTGGGCAATTAACACGGCAACATTATCAGACACTGCAGCTTCGTTGTTGACACGACTTGCTGCGCCCAATGGATTACTTGCAGCGATGGCTTTTACTAGCTACCATGTCCAGATCATCAACCGGATATATTCAGGGTATCCTCTCTGGTATTGGTATCTTGTATGTCAAGCTTTGGGCTATGATAAACAGCCTGACATCAGTTTTAAACGCAGCCGGACCTTTTCAATTGCCGTACAAGGGATGGTAATCTATGCACTTGTCCAAGCGATCCTTTTCGGATCCTTTCTGCCTCCAGCTTAGTCAACCTGTACTATCTAGAAAGTTTAAATTGAATACGAGAATTAATTTCACATTCTATTCATGTTTCCCTAATACTAATGTATCCGTGAAGTGGCTATGCTTATGTGACTGCTTACGAATGGGATAATACTAGTCATTAGTTAATCTAGAGACTTACAGATTTATATATAATTTTAGGTGTTTTGGGTTGCGGGACGGAAATAGGTTAGTGTCTTTTTGCTGAAGTTAGGCTGCGGTGCAGTTACGTGGAATTATGTCATCAGTGATCGGACAAACTTATGGAACTTCATTCTCTCTCTATCAACTGTTACTCATGAGCTTCAACTGAATTATTTTCCCCCTCAAAACGTCCAAGGTAGTGAGATATTACACCACGGAGAGCTCTCGTGACGGATTGTATTGTCATCAAAGATCTTTCATATTATTTGTATTAGTTCTTTTCCTTCGTCCCGAAGCTGTTCACCCGGTCGTCCTACTAGCCAAGACCCTTGCTGTCGCCCATGCGAACATAATTGGTAGTAGGTCACTCTTTGTCATCGACCTTTACAGCTGGACTTTGGGCTACAATCTTCATGTCCAATGTAAGTATATTCAAAAAAATTTTCATGCCTGTCGACGTACCGCCATGGTTTACGTTCTGGAACGAATGTAATTAACTCCGAGTCCTTTAGAGCTCCTTAGAACCTTCCACTTCCCCCTACACCGGCACCATCGTGATCATCGATCACTTTGCTTGATTATGGATCAATCAGGCGCAAAAGCCATTCTAACATCGGAAAATTTTCATAATGCGCACGACTTATCGCGAGCCACCTCACCGGACGGGGACCCTGCAGGGTTGAACGGGAATGGCGAGGCCAAGGCACGAGTCCGCCCTCGCACTTACCCTTATTTCAAATATCTACCATATCCGCTCGAAGATGAAACTGAGAGGGAACGAAGCCTACGAGAGATATTAACTCAGCTTTACATTGCGGTGGAAGCGGGAGATTTCAATCCCGGTGCAGTGCACTGGACACGAGAGCTTAGAGGATGGCTATCACTCAAATTTGATCCTACCCGTAAGGATCGGATTAACCTTGTGAGGTTATACTATGAGCTCTCGCTTGCCCCAGGCATCGATCCCAATGTCTCGGAGCGATTCGCTAGCATGTTTATGCTCCTTACGAAGTGAGCGAGACTTCATTTTTAACGCCGACCATTGTTGATCGTGATGCTAATATGAACACAGACGCAAGCATTATCTGAGACCTGTGAAGGATCTGACTTTGGATTGGAAACCTCTTTACAGGGAACTGAAAGCGTTTGTGTTGCCCACAGAATCTGGTTTGGTACATTCGACGAATCTCAAGAGGAATGTCAAGACCTTGACGAAGCTCTGCGCGTTCGTCCAGTTGTACATTGACCCATGTGAGCTGCCAGCCATGTTGGAAGAGTTTCTTCCTCATTATACTACGTCTTTCTCGGAGGGTGCATTTGTCGTAGTAGGACTGATTAATTTACTACTCCCGACGTCACCTCCGCCCGAGACCAGGGAAGATCTCCTGCCACACCATTATCTGCCAACATACTTTCATCTTTGGTCTTTAGTCAGTCGGTCAAAGACATTCGATACTACCTTCCTTGACTTCCTTTCGCGGCTGGCTCGTGATTCATTACCCGCTCCGCACATAGCCTTCTCGGAGTTTGGACTTTTCACAAAGGAACAGTCGTCCCTCATCTTCACGGCTATCCTAAGATTGTTGGAGATCCCTGTTGGACAGTCAACTTCTCCTTACAGTGCACTTGTAGATATCTCGTCCGGGCTAGGCATCATGCTTGACCGGGATACAAGGAAGCATCCAGTGGCGCATCATATTGCCAGATGGGTCGTGATGTCGCTCTCTCCCGCATGCCTTGAAGCTGAAGAATCGATCCTGACTCAACTAGAGGGCCTTATACAGGCCGTGGAAACTTTCTTCCATCCATCTAATTCTGGCAGTTGGACGAAGACCTTGTCGCAGCTCGTCTACTACCTTGCCGACTTTTTTGTTATGCGTTGGAATCGAGAGCAAAGTGGAGAGATGGAAGTCCCAGCGGAGCGGAGACTAACAGAACCTCTGAAGCGTCGTTTTGTACTCTGTCTTCGTGACGTGATATTCATGGGTATCTATGCTAAAAGTGGTACGGCAATGAGCTTCTCTTTATCTACGCTGCAAAGTTTGGCCTTTTTGGAGCCGCACCTTATTCTTCCGGGAGCTTTGCAACGCATCTATCCATCCCTTCAAGGGTTAGTCGAAGTTCACCGCACGACATCTTCGCTCCGCGCCCTTCAGGTTCTTTCACGGATCATTTCACGCACGAAGGGATACCGGTGCCATATGACCACTCTCTTGGGACTTGCCTTACCTGGTGTTGATGCCAATGACCTCGAGAAATCTCTACATGCTTTGTCGTTCATCCAGTCTGCTTGTTATAATATACCATTGGCCGACCTAACACAAGGGAGGGAAGACGTGAATTGTAACATGCTGGCGATGCAGTGGATTACAGGTGAAATGGAGCGAATGGAAGAGGAGGGTGTTGAGGTGCAACTGAACTACGATCGAGATCTGGATGATGAGACGGAAGAGATGATTCTTCGTTCTTCAACCTGCGGCTTTGGTGACTTCATCATATCTTTTCTGGGACGAGTCTTTACCCTTCTAGAGAATCTACCAGACGTGAGTAGGGTTCGCAACGGTTCTCCCGAAGAGAACATTGTGAACACGCTTCCTGCCACGTTCATGCCGCTTTTGTCGTCCCTCTCCCCGGAGTTTTATGACATTGCCTTGTCCAAGGTTGTAGACTTTGTGTCCAACCACGTTATCCACCAAGCCCGGGATGCAATGGCCTTTATTTGTAACTCAATTTGCAAGGTCAATCCAGAGAAGGCTCTGAAGCGATTTATCCCGGTGTTGACGCAGGCCATTCGTACTGAAATTGACGACAATGGTGCAGGCTCCACCAGGACGACTGGAACAGATGTCCTTCCTCGAGACCGTGGCTTGGTTTGGAACGTCAGTATGCTGAGCATGTGCGTTGTCCATGTTGGGGATGCTGTACTGGCTCACAGGAAAGAGCTGTTTGACATTGCCGTGTATATGCAACAGAAGTGCAGGGGCATACCTACCGTTCATATCTCAAATTTTGTGCATCACCTTCTGCTAAACCTCACGGGCACTTATACTTCGGATTACTCTTTGTATGAGCCTGCTGTCGCTGCTCAGGGCGTGCAGCCCGAACTTTGGAGCTATCAGCCGGATCCGAATAACCTCACCGTAAAATGGCATGTGCCAAAACGCGAGGAACTTGGGTTTGCAGTTGATCTGTTCAAGAGCCAGGCCGATAATGCTTTGAAGCAACTGATGGATCTCACTAATGGGTCATCCAGCGTCAAGCGAGATGGTATTGGTAAGGAATGGTCGGATGACGTTACTAGGAACTTGGTTCTACTACGGCTTATCCTTTCTGGTATCTCTGTGCTGTTCGACCCCAAAGCTGCGTCACAAACGAAAGCAAAAGGAGTGAATGGGTCATCGAAATCGTCGAGTGATATTGATATGACTGACGGCGAAGACGCTTCGAGTGGTAATGACCTGCACGATGAAGACTCCGATTCATTACTTGACAGCTCGGATGATGCTACGGTCAGAGAAACATTTTCATACCCTACCGGCTATCCACTGCAGGAGACTGATTCAATGTACACTACCATCCATGAGATCCGGGAGAGAGCAGGCTGGGTTCTTCATGAAGTGCATAGGTTCTTGTCCGACAAGCAAGAAGATGATGTGCCCTGCTTCAGTGCTCTGTACTCAGCTTATCGATCATGGTTTGTCGATGTTGGTATTGAAAGGTCTGCTCATGTCCTGGACAGGGTTACGCGTCTCCTCGCTGCAGACATTCATCCTTACAAAATGAGTGGTATCCGCAAAGACTATCCTCGTCCACTGTTAGTCCGAAGAGCCAATGTCTACCATTTACAGCGCCTGAGGCACAATGCAGCACCCCGGCGACGATCTCAACTAGATGAGCTACTGCTTCTGGATATCGCTGAATCTTGCGTTTCCCTATACACGGAGACTCGGCGTAATGCTCAAAGTGCAGGGGAGTCCGCTCTCAAGGCTGTCTGGGGCTCTCGCCTTCTTGTTATCCCGCCATTAATCAAAGCCCTGCAGAAAGGCATTAGAGAAAACGATCATGCTCGGATTAAAGGCGCATTATTTTCTTTACTCCTGAGTAGCGTTGCGAAGACTGTGGGACGTCATTGGAAGTACGCCCCTACCTTGGTTAGAACTTTCATCGACGCAAGTGCAGTGGACAAACCCTCCGTACAAAGAATATGTTCGGGCGCAGTTTATCAGATCATGGAGTATGGCCGTGCGATGGAAAGGATGGCCATTCTTGACCGGAACATCGTTGAAACGATCGCTCCTAAAAAGGATGTTCAGGATGAAATTCTGCAAAAGCGCAAGGGTATCAACAGTAAGCGGGCCCTCATTGAGAAGAAGAAAGCCGACCTGGCCGAAGAATTGGTGAACCTAGCCAGAGTTTCGCATTGGAAAGTTGCCAGCCGGGCGGCCACCATCGTAATCACCATGGGTCTCAGATTTGATTACGTCGCAAGTGAGAACCTGATAGAGCTTGTAACTCAAGGATCTATCGATGATCATCCTGGATTGCGCGGCATGTATTCTCAAGCTCTCATCGCCTTGTTCACCATGGTAGATGTCAGGGCTATCTGCAACCATGAGTATAAAAATTATATTTTGGGCCATCAACACTTCCCTTCTAAGATCAACGTGGTTACCAAACGATATAGTGAGGGCTGGACCGAGGAGTATCTATCAAGTTTCGCCAAACCAGAGGCAGAATACTACGTTGATCATGATTTCCCAGGATGGCTTGTGTGGGCCGACAGCATGCCTGCATACAAGTCAAATGTCGAGCGTGACATCGAATATGACGAGACCGAGTGGAAAGTGCGTACTCACATGGGTAAACTGTTTGATCGAGCTTGGTTCAACAAGTTCTTCATGTACTTGAAGCAGGAACCACGGGACCCCAGCGCTGATAAGTTCCGTATGCCCTGCGCAATGATGCTCCTATACGCCTTTGAATTGATGCTCCGAGACGGACTTTCTGCTGCTACATTCAAGGACATCCAAGAAGAAATTGAAGCTGTTTTTGAAGATGGTAGCGATAAACACCAACACAGAGCCACTGCGGAGATTCTTGGTGCCCTTATAAGTTCTGTCGCTGATACAAGTGTGGAGAAACGGACACTTGTTTGGGAATACGCTTTCCCGATTGTGCGTAAGATTTTCACTGATGGATTGACTCCGGAAAACTCTGGTTACTGGACGACGTTTCTTCATATGATCCTTCAATGCCGTGATCCACGAAGAGCATGGCCTTTGGTTGATTGGCTCGCCAGCTTCCGGCTAGATATGTCGACGAATGCTGCTTTCAAGGAGAGCTCCAAGATCAATTTACTTCATCAATCTATCATAGATGCGGGGTGGCATTTTCAACTTGAAAAGCCTATAGTTAAAGACTTCCTCTCGCACCTTGACCATCCATACAAGGGTGTCCGCGAGGCAATGGGCCAAACAATCGCCACGATTTATCGCACACGGTATCATGAGTCATATACTGACGTCAAGAGCCTTCTTACAGCTCAGGAGGCAGCGTCATCTGTGGGTACATATCCGTATCAGCCGACTGAAGAATTCACCAAGACGATACACGGTATCTTTGGCCAGATTGAAAAATGGCGGCACGAAAGGACGCCAGGTCAGCAGACACCGTCATCCTATACTTCAGGGTGCAAGACAGTCCTCCTCTGGCTTGATTCCACTCTCTCGTCTTACGAGTGTACGCAGTTGGTGCCCTTCTTCCCAGATGTGTTCACAGGACAGCTTCTGCATATGATGGATGTAAAGGAAGATCCAGAGCTTCAGTCGCTAGCATATCACGTCTTCCGCCATCTACCCAACATTCCATACCCCGCTGAGCAGAACTCCGGATTTATTCAGTCGCTCATCCACATAGGAAAGACGTCCCCCTCATGGCATCAACGTCTGCGGGTTATGATCAACATTCAAATCATTTATTTCCGCCGGCTATTCCTCCTGTCTGTCGCTGATCGAGACAAGCTTTTCGAGTGTGTGGCAAACATGCTAGAAGATCCCCAGCATGAAGTGAGGGCTGGAGCATCTGCTACCTTGTCTGGGATGATTCGTTGCTCACCCGTGTCCTTACGCGAGGAAATGATCCGCCGGTTCATGCAGCGATTTTCGAAGATATTGATCAACAACCCTCTTCCAAAACGGCCCAAGATCCTTCGATCTGGCTTGTCAACCCCAGTCTCATCCGGGGCCGGCACGCCAACTCCTGAGCATGCTCGACTTATTATTACGAGACATGGTTCAGTTTTAGGCCTCGGTGCGCTAATCCAAGCATTCCCGTACAATAGTCCGCCGCCCACGTGGATGCCTGAAGCCCTGGCCACATTAAGCGTTCGGGCTGCAAACGATCCTGGCATTGTAGGCTCAAGCGTCAAATCCATTATTAGCGAGTTCAAGAAGACCAGACAAGATACTTGGCATATTGATGCGAAGGTTGGTGGCTATTCACGATGAAAAGGAAAAGTACTTTTATTGAGCTGACACTATCTAGGCTTTTACTTCGGACCAGCTCGAAGACCTCTCTGGAGTACTTTGGAAGAGCTATTTTGCTTAGACTTCAAGGAAGATGATAGGTCCCGTACAAGCATATAAGCACGATCCAGTCAAGACTTATGCCACGTATGTAGGAATGCTGCAAGATACTGGTCGTTCTCTGTGTGGCAGTATGTGAACTGAGAATCCCTAGAACATTTGGTATGGACAATGTACTGAGTTTGATGGAGGGGTAATTCTTAATGTAATGCTTCACTTTGTTGTTTGATGTAAAGTTTTGGGTGGTACTTTTTGACTTGGACACACATATACCATAGTGCACAGCGACATCCACTCGAAAAGCATTTCTGAATTTTATTGCTTTGCCTATTAATACATGATTTGCTGCGGAAGTTCCGACCGATTGCTGGACATGGGTGCCGCCGCTTTTATACTAAGGACAGACAGTATTATTGTCTATGGGGTCACCCTTGCCATAGGAGCAGGAAAACTGAGCTCGCGGATTGCAACATACCGGTACCCCGGTCAACAGCGGTAGAAACCCAAATTACCAAAGTAAATAGCAGTATCATTAGTTTAAGTTGACACTTGCTTTCACAAGATACTGTTCGCTAGTTTGTAGTCCAAGGTCTATAACAAACTTCAGTTAACGTTAGTTAACTAACTAGTTAAGTTAGTTAACGTAACCGGTAAGCGACCCGCACCTGTAAGCAACCCGCACCCCAACCGCGTTTTCTACGCGCCTCAATTTCTTAGGTGATTCAAACATCAGCCATACCACCAAAAATGCCTAAATCCTCAAAATCACGCGTTGAGCAGGAAGGCAGGATCCTACTGGCTATATCGGCTTTAAAAAATAATGAAATTTATGGCGTTAAGAAGACAGCTCAGACATTTAATATACCTTTTTCTACCCTACGTGATCGCCTAAAAGGAGTCTCTTTTAAAGGCGATACTCGTGTCAATACTCATAAATTGACTTCTAGTGAAGAGGAATCGCTTAAAGAATGGATTCTATCACTAGATAAACGTGGAGCATCTCCTCGGCCTACATATGTACGAGAAATGGCCAATATCCTGCTTTCAAAGCGTGATACTACTTCTCCCCCTACTACTGTAGGGGAGAAATGGGTATACAACTTTACCAGATGTACACCTGAGCTTAAAACCTGCTTTGCACGTCGCTATAACTATCAGCGTGCTAAAGTAGAGGATCCTAAGGTCCTAGGTGCTTGGTTTAAGCAGGTAAATGAGGCTATTCAGAAGTACGGCATAGCTTCTAATGATATATACAATTTCGATGAAACAGGCTTTGCAATGGGCCTAATTGCTGCAGCCAAAGTTATTACTAGGTCTGATGTGCCAGGCAAGCCATTTTTATTGCAGCCAGGGAACCGGGAATGGGTTACTGCCATAGAATGTATATGTTCTAATGAATGGGCTCTACCTCCCTGTATTATTTTTAAAGGCAAGGTACATATGGAGGCTTGGTATGAGGACAATAAGGTTCCTTCTAATTGGAGAATCGAGATTAGTCCTAATGGCTGGACAAGCAATGATATTGGCCTACGTTGGCTGCAGAATCATTTTATACCTCTTACTACCGGCCGATCTGTGGAAAAATACCGTCTACTTATTCTAGATGGCCACGATAGTCATCTAACGCCTCAATTTGATCAGATCTGCGCAGAAAATGATATTATACCAATCTGTATGCCTGCGCACGCTTCTCATAAGCTTCAACCGCTTGATATTACTGTTTTCTCGCCTTTAAAACGCGCGTACGGAGACCTAGTTCAATCTAAGATGCGCTGCGGACTTAATCATATTGATAAACTTGATTTCCTGAACGCATATCCTGAGGCCCATACAGAGGCCTTTACCAGCAGCAATATTTATAGTGCTTTTAGAGCTACTGGCCTAGTTCCTCTGTCTCCTGAGTGCGTTCTATCTCAGCTGACAGTTCAGCTTAAGACTCCTACACCTCCGGGTAGTAGACCCAGCAGCCAGGGCAGCTCAGCGCCTAAAACACCTCATACAGTCAAGCAGCTAGAGAAGTCGGAATCTAGCTTTAAAAAACTGCTTAAGAATCGGTATTGCAGTCCTGATTCGCCTATTAAAACTTGCCTAAATCAAATAATAAAAGGCGCTGAACAAGCTTTCCATGATGCAACGATATTGAAGCACCAACTTGAGCAAAGTCAGGCTGAAAATGAAAGACAGATTAAAAAGCGAAAGCGCTCTACTAAACAGATTACTTTTGAGGAAGGTATATCAGTATCTGAAGCCCGAATTCTTATAGAGCGCCGAAATCAGGCAGATGAAGCTATACAGGCAGATAGGGCTCTGCCTACTGAATCGACTCCTAGGCGCGCCCCACCTAAATGTTCTGGCTGTGGTGTACAGGGTCATAAAATCACTCACTGCCCGAATCGATAGAAATACTTATTTTTATATAGAAGTCTAAATTCATGGTGTTTTGGTCATTTTAATATTTTATGTGGCGGTTGGGGTGCGGGTTGCTTACAGGTGCGGGTCGCTTACCGGTTACGTTACAGAATCAGATTAGGTAAGCAAATCCCGAGTAATCACGTGAATCAACAGCCACTCGGCTCCCGCAACAAGCTCACCGTCATCCGACCTAAAGGGGCGTCTGTGGTATAGGCGCTTTTATCCAACTGCTTCCACGCACGTCCCTGGCGTTCTTATCATTATCTTAGCATCCCAGCGCTTACTTAAACACGGCGCTTTTGCGCTCTCCTTGTCCCTGTGGTGAAAAGAACCTGCTCCAAGCAGCCTCCTCACTATGGCTCCGAAGGACACCTTCTTCCGCTCGTCTGATATGAGCTTGACCCAGCTCTATATCGCCAATGAAATCGGACGAGAAGTTGTCAGTGCTCTGGGGGAACTTGGTCAGGTCCAGTTCAGAGATGTAAGTCGATAGTCGAAATCCGGCACAAGGCAGCGACACAGGAGCCTGGGCTGACATGAATCGACCTGCAACTAGCTGAACCCCGACACCAATGCTTTTCAACGCACCTTTACGAAAGAGATCCGTCGCTTGGATAATGTGGAACGGCAGCTGCGTATGGCTACCTCTATGGTGTACCATTGAATCGAAAGGCAACTAATCTCGTGTTCTTTCCTCTACAGGTTATTTCCACTCTCAGATGGACAAGGCAGGCATCCCGATGCGATCTTCGTCCGAATTCTCCGATACATTAGCTGCCCCCTTAGCATCAGAGATCGACGAGCTTGCCGAACGCAGCGAGAGCTTGGAGCAGAGGATTGCTTCACTCAACGATAGTTACGAGACACTCAAGAAACGTGAGGTGGAGCTCACCGAATGGCGTTGGGTTTTGAGGGAAGCCGGTGGCTTTTTCGACCGCGCACACACGCATACGGAAGAAATACGCCAATCGTTTGACAACGACGAGGCTCCTCTCCTCCGGGACGTGGAACAGCAGTCCCACCGGGGTCAGAACGGCGCGGCCCAGGGTCAACAATCCTTCCTGGAGATGAACATCGGATTTGTGGCAGGTGTCATTCCACGGGACCGTATTGGGGCCTTCGAGCGTATTCTTTGGCGAACTCTGCGTGGTAACTTGTACATGAACCAGTCCGAGATCCCTGAGGCCATCATTGATCCGACAACCAACGAGGAGTCTCACAAGAATGTGTTTGTTATTTTCGCCCACGGAAAGAATATCATCGCGAAGATCAGGAAGATTTCCGAATCTCTCGGTGCCTCACTGTACGGTGTTGATGAAAACAGTGAGCTGAGACGCGATCAGATCCACGAGGTGAACACACGATTGAGTGACGTTGGTAACGTTTTGCGTAACACTAAGAATACCCTCGATGCGGAACTCACTCAGATTGCCCGCTCACTTGCGGCATGGATGATCATTGTCCGGAAGGAGAAGGCCGTTTACGATACACTCAACAAATTCTCTTACGATCAAGCGAGAAAAACACTCATTGCGGAGGCTTGGTGTCCAACAAACTCGCTGCCATTGATCAAGTCGACATTACAGGATGTAAACGACCGTGCCGGCCTAAGTGTGCCAACCATTGTTAATCAGATCCGAACAAACAAAACGCCCCCTACCTATGTACGAACAAACAAATTCACTGAGGCCTTCCAGACTATCGTCAATGCATATGGTATCCCCAAGTATTCGGAGGTCAACCCTGGATTGTATACGATTGTTACTTTTCCTTTCCTGTTTGCCGTCATGTTTGGTGATTTCGGCCATGGTGCTCTCATGTTTCTGTGTGCTTGTGCCATGATTTTCTGGGAGAGAAAGTTGCTGAAGACCAAGTTGGACGAACTTACCTATATGGCTTTCTATGGCCGTTATATCATGCTGATGATGGGTCTTTTCTCGATGTATACTGGTCTCATTTATAATGATATCTTCTCCAAGTCCTTCACGATCTTCTCGAGTCAATGGAAGTGGCCTGAGGTCATCCATCCAGGACAGGCAGTCGAGGCTTCGCTAAAGGACAATTATCGCTTCCCCTTTGGACTTGACTGGAACTGGCATGAGGCTGAAAACTCCTTGCTATTCACGAACAGTTTGAAGATGAAAATGAGTATCTTGCTGGGCTGGTCTCACGTAAGCCCTTGCAGCATTTATTTAGTTCTTCCAACGCGGAGGCTAACCAGTTCATAGATGACTTATGCTCTTTGCTTGCAGTATGTCAACGCTCGCCATTTCAAGTCCAAGGTCGATGTCATTGGCAACTTCATCCCAGGAATGATTTTCTTCCAATCTATTTTTGGCTATCTTGTCCTTACTGTCGTCTACAAGTGGTCGGTAGACTGGGCAGCCAGAGGCCAGTCACCTCCAGGTCTGCTTAACATGCTCATTTTCATGTTCCTTTCTCCTGGCACTCTCGAAGAGCAACTCTATCCAGGCCAAGCCACTGTCCAGATTATTCTATTGCTTCTTGCCGTCGTACAAGTACCTATTATGCTCCTCTTCAAGCCGCTCTATCTCCGATGGGAGCATAACCGTGCTCGTGCTCATGGATACAGAGGTCTTGGAGAGCAATCAAGGGTTAGCGCGCTCGAGGATGATGGGGATCTGAATGGCGGACTTAATGGTGGCCGTGACAGCATGGCCAGCGAGGGTGAAGGTGTTGCCATGATTGCCGAGGATCTTGGAGAGGAGCACGAAGAATTTGACTTCGCTGAGATCATGATCCATCAGGTTATTCACACCATTGAATTCTGCCTGAATTGTATCTCTCACACCGCTTCTTACCTGCGTCTGTGGGCTCTTTCCCTGGCCCATCAGCAGCTTTCTATCGTTTTGTGGACTATGACTCTTGGCGGTGCCTTCGAGCAGGAGTCTCCTACCCTTCGTGTCATTATGATTGTCATCACTTTCTACTTGTGGTTCACTCTGACAGTCGTTATTCTCTGCGTCATGGAGGGAACTAGTGCTATGCTCCATTCGCTTCGTCTACACTGGGTCGAGGCTATGAGCAAGCATTTCATGGGCGAGGGTATACCATTCGCTCCCTTTAGCTTCAAGACGCTCCTTGAAGAGGATCCCGTTGATTGAGTTTTAAATTAGCGAGTTTCTATTTTTCCTTCCCTTCTTTCTGGATTATATGTACTGTAGTTTCCTGTGGGAATCCATTAGATATCTAGATATCATGGTATTGGCTTGTCTATATCTGATGCAGTCTTCATTTCTGTGCTATTTGTACATCTCAGGGCAACTCTATCGCCTTTTCCATTTAGAAGTATATTCTATGTATGAAGCGTTGTCCTACGTACTATCTGCAGCTTAAGTCTCCAGGAGTTTAAGTCCCTTGATAAGATTGTGCCTTCTATGAGGCGGGTTTAATTTGGTACATGTTATCCGCATTCCGTGTCCGGTCGAGAAAACCATTCCGGCGCTCAACAAAGCATTAGTAACGTAAACTCAAGACAATGCAGTTTTGTTTGTTTTCAAATGTTTATTTGACTATCTAGTTAAACATGTTTTTTACTTTTTTCATACATTAAGTACACATGACAATGCTCATTAAAATACCATCCAGTGGTGAATCACCAGACCGCTCAGCTTATTTCTTGTACTTGTTATATGTGTCGATGATCTTCTGCACCTCATCCTTCGAGCCGAGGAAGACACCACTCTTGTCATGGATGTGCTCAGGCTGAACGCTCAGAAGGCGCTCCATGCGAGAGTTCACAGCAAGACCGCCGGCATTCTCAAACAGCATGGCCATAGGCGCACACTCATACAGAATACGCAGCTTACCCTTGGGGGACTTCGAGTCGGCCGGATAAGCGAAGACACCACCGTAGAGCAGAGTCCGATAAGCATCAGCAACCATGCTACCGATGTAACGCGCGCTGTAAGGCTTCTGGCCTTCGGGAGGGAACTTTAGCGAATGGAAATAGGCGTTGGTCCACTCCTCCCAGTACGAGCTGTTACCCTCGTTGACGGAGTAGATGGCGCGCTTGGCGGGGAGTCTCATGTTAGGGTGGGTGAGGATGAACTCGCCCAGGGAGTTTTCCAGTGTGAAGCCGTTGACGCCGCCATCCTGCATGGTGATCACCAGCTGTGCGGAGGCACCGTACATGGTGAAGCCGGAGGCGACCATCTCAGTACCGGGACGGAGGAGGTCCTTGGGGGAGACCTTGTTCTCGGGACCCAGGACGGAGTCGGGCAGCTTGAAGATGCCAAAGATGGTTCCGACTGAGACGCCTGCGTCAAGGTTGGAAGATCCATCGATGGGGTCGCAGACGACTGCGTAACGGGCGTAGGGGTGCTCGTCGAACACGATGACTTCTTCTTCTTCCTCGGAGACGAGGATGCGGCATTTTCCTGAGCCGCGCATGGCTGAGATGAAGATGTCATTACCGATTACGTCGAGCTTCTTCTGGTCATCGCCTGTGGTGTTGGAAGACCCTGCCAGTCCAGTCAGATTGATTAATGATGCACGGCGGATGTAGTAGGCGATGGACTTGAAAGCGAATTGAAGAGCGTGACAGAGGAGTCTGTTCAAAGAAGAGGTTAGTCTATACTCTTTGGAGTATCATCTGAGCTCGAGAACATACGTGAAGTCACCAGTCGCTTCTGGTACTTTGGCTTGTTCTTCGGTCAGGAATCTTGTGAGGGTGACAATGTCTGTGTTGATGTTTTCCTGTCCCACGGGGGGAGCACCGTTGTTGTCGTGTGTGGACATTATGATGTGATTCGAGATTATCTAGTCGGGAAGGGATGTGCGCAAGTTGTTCAAGAGGGAGGAAAAGTGGTTTGAGGGAACAATTGGACCGGTTTAAAGTAATGCGCAACCTCGGTTCAACGGAGAAAGCAGGAAGACTCAGGCACCAATGGATGGCGAGATAAGTGGTAACTGAGAGAAGAGGAGAGGAGGGGTATACTTTTTGTGTAGTAATGGAGTACGTAAGAAATATATATAGTAGGTAATGAATTGAGAAGAAGAAGAATTGAATTGGAAGAAAAGGGAGGAAGATTAGGAGTATAAGTAAGTGAGTGTTCAGTACGATGAACTGACAATAGAGTGCCTCCTTGAGATGCTTACGATTTTGCGGGTGGAGAAAAGGAACGTCAGTCGGGATCACTTGACGCAATGCTTTCTCTCTCTCTCTTCTGTTCCCCCGCAGCCCCCGCCCTCATCGCCTTCTCCCGGCTTTTCCCTGTTTTCTTTAATCCGCGTCCGACTCTCCCCGCAGCACTATTGGCCTTACCGTACTATTCAGTACTCCATACTACTACCAGGTTCATGCCTGCCTATGATATCAATACTGTCCAAGGAATCTTAGTTAGGGTACATAGACGTAGTCTGTACCTATGATTACTTATCAGCTTCACAATCCCATGTTATCTCACCCGGGAATGCCGCATCTGATAGCTCTAGTTTGAGTTATCTACCCTCATGCGCAAATTAAAAATTTCATAACCAGGGCCCGGAGTGGATATCTCCTGGTCAGCAGACGCGACAATTTTTGGTCGCCTACGTCGAACTATTTTCGGACTATTCGAGTCTCGGCCGTTCTGTCTAGCAAAGCTTTGTTTCATTTTCGGGTTTCTTTCCTCCGTCGATCGCACCCTTTTTCCCAGGTCAGCTGACCTGCACAAAAGAAAAGGATCACCTAAGCTGAAGGTCACCACCCTTTCGCGCTAACCGGATTAGGTCTCGGTAAAATTAGCTCCGGTGCGTGAGGAGCTTGAAAAACTTCGAGCACGCTTTTTCTTTTCCTTCTTGGAATCTTTCTCTTTCCCACACAGCAATGGCTCAGGCCAGGAACGATCAACATCCATCATGCTGGACGCAAATAAACATTGCTCAACGATCTTAGGTGCTCATCCTGGTTTTTGACTAACCATTAGCGATTGTGCATCACAGCATACTCTGTTTGGTAAGTTCCTAACGATCTTTTTTATTCTCATCTTTCATCCGAACCACCCTTCATGATGCAACCTACAACCATATACAAACTAGAGTCTTTGACCTTATCGGAATGAAAACTCGGTTTTTGCACGTCAGTCTGATGTATTTGCAAAGAACGCTCTCGTTCACCTTCATCTGAATGCGATCGGCCTTTGGCTAACTCAGCCCTAACAGGACTAACACTTGTATTGCCATGCGCACAGCAAAAGATACACTCTCTTAACTTGGATTAATGGTATGTACTGTTATTCTTTATCATCTCTATCGAATCTTTTAGCATGATGCTTCATACATAATATACGCTGGAAATTACCGACTGAGACCTTCGGGTTGTTGGCGACACTCTTATGGCACATTTCTGATCTGCTATCCCTTCTCTGTTTGATCACTCATCTGCATATGTGGAACCGTATGCTGACGATCAAAAGAATTTCAGCAGGTATCCAATGCACGTTGAATGCTGTTATTTACATGTACATGTACTGTAAATGGTAAGATTCTCGATTGTCTCTATCTGCCTACACCTTGCAAAGATGAAACGGCACTGGGCTCCGACGGCGTCAAACAGACGACCGGTCTTGACGGATATGCCTCATTTGCGGCAGGCCTAGAAAACCTCGCCCACTGAGAAACACATCTATCAAACATTCATCATTCAAAGCTTCGGCCTGAGGCTAATGGTAATGGATAGTATCACATTAGTGCGGCTTTGTAATATTGCTCCAGTGTGTTTGAAAAGGTATATATTTCCTTGTTTTATCACCCCTCAGCCTACTATGATGATTTCCTAGATGACGAGTCTTATACGAGTTATCGATGCAGACACCATCTTTTTTAATACCATTCATGCTTATCTGAATCGCATCCTTTACATGATTGCAATGGAGATTTCCTGGACTTTGCTAACTCGATTGCCAACCACAGACAGTGAATACTGTTTATCCTTAAAGCCAGACCTCTGGTCGTGCGACACAAGAGACCAGATACCTGTTTGTATGTAGGCACCTAGCCCCGGATCCAGTTTCCTTCCGACATCCTGATGAATCGACATTAAAAAATGACAAGCATATGTCCAAGTCCGCTTTGCTGGCCAGGACGACAACTGTCGGGACTGATCAGTCCAAACAATTCATCTTCGTCTGTCACGACCTTAAAGTGATCGAAGCTGATTGTACGCGCAGATTTTGTAGATCGCGTACATTAAATACTTAGCCCTTGCCAGCACCTGTTGGTGGGGCACGAAGCCACTAATGTAAGTTCTATCTCCTTGGGTTACCCCTTGATGTCTTTCTTTTCTTCAATGATGATTTCCTTTTTATTTTAATCACGACGGTCAACATAATCAAATACATTGATGACCACCGCCTGTGACAGGGCATTTATCTGAAATCCCTTGTATCAATTTGAATTCTCAGAACTCAGCAAATGCGTATTTCAGTGCTGACTCTGGTTTTAGTGACTCTAGGTGTCTCGGTGTCAAGCTTTCATGGTTCCTCGATGAAGGGCTAAGGTGAGCTGAGACTTCTGGTATGAGTGCTCATACGTGCATTCACAAGATTTAGGATGTACAGTAGTTGAAGTTTAGCGATTCCCCCCAAATCAGAATAAATACCAAAATGTTTCCGACCACTTTGACTCCAATCTCAGTATCGTATCCGTCCCTTGTAGGCTCTGGTGACCAACGCCATGGCTTCCTAGTCCGAAGTTACCTTGCCTTAAATAATTAATCCAAAACATTCTGTTTGCCCCTGTCAACCCAACGGGGCGTCGAACTACTGCAAGATTACTTCTAAATATGGGACAAAATCAGATGTGATGAGGGTTTTAGTTTGCTTGAGTGGCATGGGGGTTTGACCAGTGAGCGGGCGAGGATCCCGTGCCCTAAGCGCCAACAAGACGCCGGCTGTGATGAACTTCCCAGACTGCAGCTCACTAACTACATCCATGCTCTTCTCGTGTCTGAAGAGTCTTGTCTCATCCTGTTTCTAACCGTGTGGCCCCAGACGGCCAAGTCTTGGGCGTGTTATTTTTATCTCAGGTGGATCCATCGCGTTATCCCACGTCAAACCGTTGATTTGTCTTGGGAGACGCAGGTCTCCGCCGCCACTGGTTGGCCTACGGACGTGTTGCAAAGAATAGAAATCGACGTTCCTCTCGGTCCTTCTCGTTGACCTGTCGCGTCTGGTAGGCTCCTGATCCTAATCTTATTGCTGCGCGCCGCTTCCAGCCATGGCTTCACGTCCGGTTGGTTCTTAATCTCTTCGGCAGTATGAATAGGTGCGCGGGCCCCTCATACCCACGAGATTGTCCCTCTTTCCTGAAGTGATCTGCTTTGAGCGTCTCGCGATACTGATTGCGGGTTGTGAGTAGCTGGTGGCCCCCAAATAACGTTGGCAACGAGCCACCGTCCAGTACATATCCTGTCAACGGCTGGCCAACGCCTCATGTTAGTAATAGCAATCAGCCATCTCCCAGCCGTCGAGAACATGCTCTGCAGCCGCCGCCTTTGACAACGGCTTTGAGTGGTCCTCAATTTCATGGCTTAGGTGTCGCGCTGGGTGCAAGCTACTCGTCGACACCGCTGTCAACGACCTCTCTTTCCAGTCCGTTTACACAAAGCCAATCTCCTGCGGCTACTACTCCGGGGGGTATAGGAGTTGGGTCATCATCGATGGCTTCCAGACAATACAATGTCCCTTACAATCCTCAGGATTGGGGTCCGGTGGGCGGCTCGGGACAATCCGCTTATGTGCAACCAAATAACATGCTTCGAATCATTCCACAAGCGCGACAAGCCGGGTCTCATTCAGGTCTGTCGTAGTTCCTTTTTCTTTGCTCTATTCTCTTCCGGTGGAACATCTCAGGGTGTCAACATGAACAGCTGCATCTCTGCCCCGAACTCAAAATGCTTTCTCCCGGACTGGTTTAACCTAGATGTAAACAGACATGACTCTCTCGCCGCCTCCACCTCCATACTCTCCCCCAAGTCAGCCTCAGCAGCAACATCAACCCAGGGAAAATGTCAACCATGGTACCTCAGGGCGAGGCTCAGCATCTCCAGGGGCTATTTCTTCGTATAATGGAGCAATACATAATAATGCTGACGCTTCCACGGAGTACCGGCAGCGTCCTCTTCCCCGTACCCGCCCGCTGTCTATGGTTCATATGGGTGACGCAGGCCAGAATAGACATGTATCGCTTCCACCGCCCCCTCCCCCGTTATCACGAGGCGTATCATCTTCAAGGTCGTCATCTCAACAAAGACCTGATACATATCGGGAACCACACTCGTTGAATACAGGGTCACGGCCCTATATCATGGTTTCACAACAGGAGAATCTACCCCCATCACAGTCGAGTAGCCATGGTCATATGGCGGCTGCTCCCCAGTCCGATAATCTCACTCGACCCCCAACCTCCAGGCGAGCCGTTTCGGCCGGCCCCGTTGTGAATAGTGCGAGTACGTCAAGAGCTACAAGCCAGTCTCGGAGTCGGTCACCGCCAGGGCGTAGCTGGGAACCAGGGATGCCTCTCCCACCACCTCCTCCCGGCCCTCCTCCTACTACAAGATCACAGAGCGTCAGTGGCCTATCTGATACAACTTCCTTGCGTAACTCGCAAACTCAGCCAAGGGCCGCCAGGACTCGGCCACCTCCAGTGTTGGGAACAGGCTTGGACAGCATTCCCCCGACTCCAGCTGGCTGGGTGGATGAGGGGCCTACAGTGACGAAACACAGAGACAGAACACCCCTTGCTATTGACACGGTGAATACTACAATGTCTTGCACCGAGGCTGATAGGTCTGGATCTCATGGGCCCCAAAGTTCCACTAGCAATGGCCTGTTTCGCAGTCCAGCTCTTCGGGACCCAAACGCCAAAGGGATTAGAGAAAGGCGGATCGAACGCAGGAATAGACAGAGCCAGGTTCTTGATGACTTCAGTGCTGTATCGACGAGTAGCAATCCATGGGCCGATGCGTTGGACCAAGTAAAACCATCGAATTTGGTTCTCGAAGATACTAACGCCGTTGCTGATAATACTGGACATCAGCAATCAACGAGAGTGACTCCGAGCACCAGCCACAGTCTTGGATCTGATGGACAGCAAATTGCCTCCCGGCCCAGAGCCTCCTCAACTGGGTTATTTTCAAATCGGTCCTCTTTCTCGACTCCCAGAGGCGAACCCAGCCCTCTTGGGCCGAACCGGGGGTTTGCGCATACTCCGCCATTTTCCCCGGGTGGTGAGAAATCATCCACGAATGCCCCACAAGTGCTGCCTCCAAGAGCCCTTCCGACCCCCCCATTGCAATCTGGACAAGATACGAGGCCGCCTTCTAGGCCTAGCTCTAGAGAGGACCGGCCGGTATCCCATCTACTACATTTGCCTAATGAAGCTCTACCTACGGTCTCAGCATTATCCCCACGCCGAGTTCCATCACAAAAAGGCCCATCATTAGATTCCGTCGTCAACCAAGATATGGAGTTCGTTCAGAATGCCATACAAAGACACAAAACATTCATAGACAAGGAAGCCGGTGCCGCAGATGAAGCGGAAGCTCTAAATATTTTCACGGAGTTCATTATCTCAGAATCTCAGATAAGGCGTGAAAGGTACGCAAAAGTGTGGGACTCTAGCTCTTTCAATGTCGAAAATGTGCGTCACAGGCTATTCGAGATGCCGCCAAAGCCGCAAGCCGCGCCTGCAACCCTCTCTAGGCGGCCGTCCAGGAGTGCACCGAGGCTCAGCATACCCCAATCCCGGCCTGAATCTGCTTGGTGGAACAACTATCAGCCTTGCTTGTCACCAATAGCGAGCCTTAGTATGAGCAATGATGAAATGAGTTCCCGAGGTCGCGCCCCAAGCCGTTGGTGGGAGTCGAAGTCTAGCAGCGAGGGGGGCGCAAGGAGAATCGAGCGATCAAGACGTGAATCTAAATATATGGGCTTGCCTCGCGAATCTCTACAATGGCCCCAGGGGCGGGAACTTACCGAAGGTAGAGGTACGAGCGATGCATTTGAATCAACCGACGAATACGGAGCGTACGGCCCGGATGAATACCCGCCTGAAAAGGTCGGATGGCACGAGGAGCCAGCTTCCTCGGATTACTCAAGTACGGTAGGGCACAACAACCGCGGGCATAGTCGAGAGGCCCGGAAAATGGATGTTTCTCGGCTCATTACTCTGCCGCCACCTTACCCACGGCACCATCCAGCTGTCAACAACAGCCACCCAGATCTCGTCAACTATCGAACTTTGGTTCGATCGATCAGTGATCTCTCTGTGATCAAGTCTACCAGACAACGTCATAAATCTGAAATTGAGAGTCTATCACAAAGCCATCAGGAGAGAATGCAGGAGGGCCGCCGGTGTTTCAAAGCCAATATTCAGAGCCAGATCCAACAGGGTAGCATTAGCTTTGCAGAGGCTGCAGAAGCGGAGGCTGCACTGATCATGGAAGAGAATAAGCTTGCGAGAGAGCTGGCAAAACAGGAGCTGGATAGCTACCAAGAATCAGTGCTAAAGCCGATGCACGAAATTCTCACAGAACGAGTCAACAAGGCCACTGCTTCTATTGATGAGCTGCGTAGCAAGTTGTTCGATGATGCTCAGAACGAGACCCCCGACCAGACCCAAGAAGAAGGAGACGAAAAGCCAGAACTGCTAGAGAAACTCACGCAGCTCAAATGGCTGTTTGAAGCTCGGGAGCAGCTCCACCGTGAAATGTATGAGTTAGTCAGTGACCGGGATGAAAAATACAAGACTGTGGTCTTGTTACCGTACAAACAGAAGGCGAACGAGGAGAAAGTGCGTGAAACGAACGCCTTCTTCGCTAAAGATGCTCTGGACCGCCGTGTGAACCGCGAAGCGAATGCACTGGCTCGGCTTGAATCATTTTTGGCTGTGATCGAAGAGAACGTGGTTCGAGGGGTAGAGATACAGCTATCCGCCTTCTGGGATATCGCGCCATCTCTTCTCGCTCTGGTTCAGCAGATTCCGGGGGATCTTGCTGGCTTTCAGCTTCAGATTCCTGCCAATGAGTATGAGGAGAATCCCAGTTACCAGAACCATCCGTTGCAATATCTCTATACGCTGCTGTCCCATGCGGAAAAGTCTAGTTACCAGTACATCGAATCCCAGACCAACCTCTTTTGCCTCCTACACGAGGTTAAGTCTGCTGTCATGAGAGCCAATTGCAAGCTTATGGAAGCCGAACGGGTCCGCCTGGGAGAGGTTGAAGACAACGTGCGGCGGGAGATGCAAGCAACCCGTGCGGAGGAAGAGCGGTCTTTGACCAACGATCTCAAGGATAAAGTTGCTACAGTGGAAGGGCAATGGGCCGAAGCCCTGGGGAGTGCAGTACAGGGCTTACGAGAGCGTGTAAAGGAGCAGCTCGTTGATGAAGATGGATGGGAGGAGCTTGAACAGCTGGAGGAGTGAGGACCCCTGGATGAATTATGTTTGATGACGATGTTTGGCTTTTGATGGAGAAAATTTAGTCCACGGGCTGTTTCGATCTGCGTTTGTTTTACTTTGCCGAAGATACCCAAACTATCCGTTCGTTACTTGTGTTATAGTTATATGTGGCCCTCGAAGGATGTATGTGCATACGAGTACCTGTAAGTACTACTATACTAGTAGTAGTACCATAGGTTACTTAGGGCTATTCTGCAATGGGTTGGGCCAATGAGTGCCTTTCTAACCACTAGCGCATACACGTGACCCCTACCTTCTAGAGCTTTCCTTCCACGTCCGTTTCTTCTCTCTTCTCGCCTTCACTTCGCCGGAGGGGATCCCCTGTATTTAAGTAACCCCCCTTCGCTTGCTCCCTTCTCAACCCATTGGACCTGATTGACCTACTATTGCAGCGTCTTTGACTCAAGGCGTCCTTCTGTGATACTGTGAGTGACCCCAATTTCTTCTTTTTCTTCCCTTTCCCACCAGTGCAGATTTTTTTTCTGTCTCCTTCCAACTACCCCTCCGTTGGATGGAATCTGCCCCTTCCCCCTCGATGATGAGATTATAGCTGGCACCAGTCAGAGTAAAGATGGGCTTTGATTCATCTTTTGTGTTGACATAGCTCGCGATCCGGGAACGCTACCTGTGATCCTGAGAACTTCCCTATATCATGTTTTGCATCCGTCAATTGATTTTCCAGGCTCGATCGACTGACCCATGATTATAGAACCTAGCATTGGACAAGTCTTGAAAAACAGACAGACCGTCCTTCATCCATCTTGTTTTGGGTGCTTTTTGTCAGCCCTGCAATAGAGAAGATTTTTTTTTCTTTACATCAAGACCCACTAGCAGTTCATAATAAATTTTTTTTTTAAAATACCAACATCATGGTTCTGCACAACCCCAACAACTGGCACTGGGTGAATAAGGATGCCTCCGGATGGGCCAAGGATTACCTGAAGGAGAAGCTTCTCACCATTACCGCTGAGGAAGATGGTGTCACCGCAAATGTCTCCAACCTCCTGTCTATGGATGGCGACGTAGACGTCAGCCAGAGAAAGGGCAAGGTCATCACCTTGTTCGATGTCAAAGTACAGCTAGAGTATCAAGGTTCGTGAACGTATTGTGCTTCCCTTGTCCGGGGCACAACTAAATTTCCTTTAACAGGTAAGACCAAGGATGAGGAGTCTGTTAGTGGTACTATCACCATCCCCGAGGTTGCCCATGACACAGGGGAAGATGAGTATGTTGTACGTTCCCTTTATCCCTCTCCGAGACAGCCAGCTGGGGATGGTAGTGCTGACCCTTCCTGTCCGCGATAGTTTGAAATTGAGATCTACTCTGAATCCTCTTCCAAGCAGCCCGTGAAGGAACTCGTGCGGTCGAAGCTTGTCCCACAGCTCAGGCAGGAGTTGGCTAAACTCGCACCTGCCCTGATCAGCGAACATGGCAAGGATATCCAACATGCTCCTGGTGAAAACCCGTCTAAGGGTTTCACCGCACCAACCTATCACCCTCAGACCAAGAAGGATACTTCGGTTTCCAACTCAACCACGACTATTACTACTGGCGGCAAGATTGCTGTCAATACTACTACCGTGACCGCCTCAGATGAGTTCCGCACTACCGCGGAGGAATTATACAACACTTTCACAGACCCACAGCGTATTGCCGCTTTCACCCGTGGAGCCCCTCGTCAGTTCGACGGTGCTTATACTGGTGGAAAGTTTGCTATCTTTGATGGCAACGTGAGCGGAGAATATACTAAGCTGGAGAAGCCCACTCAGGTTGTGCAGAAGTGGCGTTTGGCCCAGTGGCCCCAGGGTCACTTCAGTACACTTGAGATCAACTTTGATCAGAACGATGTCGACGGTGTGACCCAGATGCGTGTATGTTGGACTGGAGTCCCAGTGGGCCAGGAAGATGTCACTAGACAGAACTGGGACATGTACTACGTTCGTAGCATCAAGCAAACTTTCGGGTATGTTCCCCTCTTTGCCTTCTCTCCTAGCCAAATCTTCCTTACCATGGCTTCCAGTTCTCGTTCACTTTCTTGGAGGCAGCTACTGATCTCTATATTCGTACTTCTTGGTATAGGTTTGGCACTATCCTCTGATCTTGTGCGTCCGTATTTGAAAGCTTGATGATTCAAACGCCGCTTGAAATACAGATGATCTGGTTTTAACGGCAATCCACGCGTCCTGTAGGGGCGGACGTTCATTATGTTTTGGACAGTGTTCTTGGGAGGCAGACACTATACCTCACATGGGTGCCTTTTTTTGGTTTGACATACAATCCCCTCGTTTCCACATCTATGAGGGTATGGCTCGACGATTCCACGATAGAAGTTCCATGATTAGAACAATGTAAAATGAATAAATAACGAAGACCTATGATACATGTCTACAATAAATAAATTTTGTATTCCTTTCTCCTTTAATTTTAATCCCCAGAATATTTTCTAACCCTTTATAAACATTTTAAATCGTTAAGCAGTCCAGTCGTAATTTAAGCCTGAACGAAAGCAAGTTTACGGAGTGTTTACAGAGTCTTTTCAATCATCTCAATGCCGTAGTCATCCTTAAGGGTCTTGAGGAGAGGAGCGCAGATATCCCAGGTCATGGGAGCAAGGACACCCTAATCAAAAGCCGTTAGTTTCGCCGTTGACGAAATTAGGGTAGAAATAAAACGACTTACCCTCTTGTTGATAGTACCATCAAGAACCAGCTTCACGGCAACACCGCAGGGGACACCGACGGTCTTAGCCATGGCAGAGTAACCGCCGGGAACACCGTACTCGCACATTGTGCTGGTGCGGGTCTCTTTGGAGCCGTCCTTGTGCTCAATCTCGAACTTGTGCTGCAGCATGACCATGTCACGCTCCTCTGGGGCGTACTGCATCTTCTTCTCGAGGGTGGCACAGAGGGTATCAAGGGGGTTACTGCGGGGAGTGATCTGCTCATCGGAGAAGAGGCCAATCCAGCGTAGACCGGAAATGATGCGGTTGCGCTCGTCATTGTCAGCGAAGGAAGTCTTGGAGGCAATGGCCCACTCGAGGTCTTTCTCGGACGCCGACGTGGCGCCTAGGATCTGCTTGGTGGCGTCCTTCCAGGCGATGGGTGAGTTGAGGAAATCGCGGGCCTCATCGCTCAAGAAGCCGATGTCGACCAGCACCTTGATCATCTCAGGGAAGCCCTGGTAGCGGAGAGTGCCACGAATGATGGTCTGGGCTTCGGGGATGTTGTATCGCTCGTTGTAAGGGGTCGAGTCGCGGTTGGGGTATGCGACAAATGCGAAGCCGGGGTAGATATAGTAGGGTTTAGCAGTGGCCATGAGGTCAGGTCCAGCGACGCTGACTTCCTGACCATCCTTGTAGAACTTGGCGGCGTTGCGAAGAGCAAGGAGAACACCACGGCTGGACCAGGAGAACTTGTATCCCAGAGGGTTATCGGAACACTCGGGGGCGGGGAGACCACCGCAGTAGGAGAGAAAGGAGGTGATCTTACCACCCTCCTTGTGGACCTGTTAATTTAACATGTTAGCTGCATATCATGGCGGTCATCATAGCATGGCTTAATGAAACTTACCTCGTCGATAGTCTTGACGGCATACAGGTGGTCAATACCCTAGATCAATGTTAGTTAAGAATGTAACCTATTGCGGGGATAGTACTCATTACGAATGACGTACGGGGTCCAAGCCAATCTCGTTCATGACCGTGATGCCGGCCTTCTTGCACTCCTCGTCCAATTCAAGCATAGCGGGAGAAACATAAGAAGTTGTCACAACATGCTTCTTAGTCCGGATAGCCGACTTGATCACGAGGGCATGGAAAGTATAAGGGATTAAGGAGATGGCAAGGTCGACCTGCTCGAGGGCCTTGTCGAGAGCGTCGGCATCGCTGACGTCTAAGGCAATGGCCTTCGCGTTCTTGAAGCCCTCGGCAAGATTTTGGGCACTTTCAAGGGTACGACAGGCTGTTATTCAATGGAGAAGCCACGTATTAGATACCATATACTTTCTTGGGATATTAGTTGGGCTATAGGGATAAAAAGGATGCTCTCCCTCCCCCGCCGACGCAACAATTGGGGGAGTTAATCGACACACTGGCGGGAGAAAATAGATTGGACCCAGGCTAGTGGAACATACCGACCGTGACATGAACATCTGCCTTGCTTAGAACCTCAACGGTGGGCTTGGTAACTACAGATCAGTTAGTCATTGAGCTCCATTGCGGGGTTCCCTCATAGTTTGAAATGAGGTGTATGGAAGTTTGGAAAGGGATCGAGAGACGAACCGAAACCAGAGCCCAAAAGGAGAACCTTGGAACCAGCGACCTGACCAGCCATTGTGAGGATTGGAGAGCAATTGAGGAATAATCAATAGTATGCGAGAAGCAAGAGGAGGAAGAGCATCTGGGCTTCCCCGCCGGCAGATGTGAGTGAGTCACGTGGGTCCACCCGGAGGGCGGTATCGGAGGAGGTGGATCGATGGTGATTAAGAGTCTTATATCAAGTTATCTATTCTTATCGATAGATGGATGTCCTTTATGTGGTCTAATAATGTTGATTTAAACTGCACCTATAAATATAAATATACATACAGACACTCTAAGGTTAATGTTGCTGCAGGTAATGAATAACAAAAGATGGATATAAGTCAGGTTAACACTAGGGAAAAAAAAAAAAGAAACTCCTTATACCCCTATGCTTCTATGCCTCAAGTGGTATGATTAGTGAATTACAAGCCTTGGACCTTTGTCTTTTCCGACGACTCGGCGACATCGCCATCGTAATCACCTTCCGCATCTGGATTCTTCCGTGACTTTGAAATCCTTCTCTGCCATCCCAGGAGAACTGGAATGAAATGCCACAAGTCAAATTCGGGCCAGAGGACATCCAGAAAAACAATCTCCGTGTCCTCATCGCATTGCCAAAGCATGAAGTCGCTGAGACGCTCCACTCCAGACGTGCGGACCAGCAAATCTAGAGGAGGGTTGTCTTTAGTGTGTAAATGATCGGATAATGTTTGCCGCGTGATGGTCTCTGGTGACATGAAAGTAGGGGTCTCCGACTCGGCACTAGCGCCCTGCGCTATCTTTTTCGCATTTGCAATATCCTGATGACCAGCGAGATCAAGGGTTGTGGACGACGAAAAGGAAGAACCAGACTCGTACACCTTATTCGCACGGTCATGTTTGGCACCTCCTTCTTCACCATGTGCCGAGGATTCGGAAGTAGATTCAATATCGCTATTTGCATCCTCAGTCTTTGTATTCTGGTTCTGTGCTTGGATGTTAAGCGCAATGTGACTTTCAGAAAACGGTGTTCGTTGGGAGGAGGAGCGCGATCTCAACGGTTGGCTGTAATCAGCGACAGTATCACGGATAGCGCTGGTGATTTCGTCGCGCGATGTATATGGGAAACATATGTTGAGGACCCGGTCGCCGTTGGCACTTGTCATCTCCATCGCCCTGTTCACCGCTTTAAGGACATCAGGCCTAAGCAAGTCCAAGCGACCCAACACTCGGACCTTAGCTCCATATCGGTCAAGGATTTCTCCATGCTGGGCCATCTGAGACAACTTCACCCTAGCCATTTCCATCAGAGCATCCACTTCGAACTTAGAGCGTTTGAAATTTTCGATACTAAATGCATAGATCGTAACAACTTTCACTCCACTTCTGTAGCAGACCTCAAGGATCTGATTGCGCATGTCATTAGCATTTGTCCTGTGCACCTGGAGTGAGACCGTTTGTTCGGAGGGTGCAGAAAACGCCTCTTTATAAAGGCCCAGCTAGACAATAGCTGACCCCAAAAGAGTAAAAGGAGTAGAAAGCTTACCCTTGCCAGCGCCTCAAACCCAAGGTTGTGTCCCTCCACCGTCTCAATCCCATGCGTCCTAGCAAACCGTCGGTTTCCATCCATCACGAATGCGATATGCTGTGGAACTGGCCCCTGTTTGATTGCTCCGATCAACAGTTCGCGGAGTTTCGATATAGCAAGCTCGATGGGCGGAGACGCAAGGAACCATTTCCGGAGCTTTGACAGATGCATTGATGTCGCCATTTTGTGTAATAATGATATGAAAAACCAGCTACCAAGGATCTTGAAACGCTATGAGGCGAACGGAGGGCCGTATGTGGTGAGAGTCGGTGGTGCAAAGAGCGAAATCGACGGTTGTTCAAGGGTCAAAACTGAACAGTCAAAGCAGTAATATAGGTCATGAGCTTATGACAGGTCTCCTATGTTGTAAAATCCACCGGTTGACTAAAGGCGGCGCGGAATGGAGATCCTCTGGTGTAAGGCTGTGTCCATCAGGCTACACAGTTTCCTTTTTACACATGCAAAGTGATCTAATTTTGGACGTCAAAAGCAGATGGTGCGTGAACACAGGAAACTGAGTGGCAACTGTCCGGGCCAAGGAATTGGGAAATCAATTGAACGAAACAGAGGCCTTCTTAAACATCGAGCAAGAAAGGATACTTCACAAGCTGTGATTTGGGAGACGTAACCTCTAAAGCATGCAGGTGGGTCGGGAATCACGTCTCCGTCAATCTCTGGCCCATGTGTAAAATTACATGGAATCTTACCGTACCAAAACGTTCCCGTGACCAGTGGTGGGTATGAAGTATCATACCAGAATACAGAAGTACGTAGAAGATCATATATTAAATCTGGAGAAATCCATCACTAGATCAATTCCTAATTCAAGGAAAAAACTTTCATCCAACTACTTATATCTACATCTCAACTCACCGGGTATTCCGCTAATATCCTTGCCTTTCCCCTTTTCATGAACGCGCAAAGCGGACAAGATAACACAACGCCAAACGCCGCCGCTAACTACTGTACGGTAAACTTGATAGATTAGACATGTCTGCAACTTTAGATGTCCTTCCGGTTCTCCTCATTTGGAGGGGTCCCGGTACCAGAGCTAGCCATGTCCCAGCTACTGCTGTCTTCACTGTGCCGGCGTCGGCGCTGTTCACCGCGTTGCCGCATGGAGTCACGAATCTTGGAACTAACGTGATCAAGGCCATCGCTTGAAGTAATCTGGCTAAGCGGCTTTAATTGCTGCCCTGATGATCCAGGGCGGCCTCCAAATGAGCTACTGCGACTTCGGCTACGGCTCGAAGGCCGGGTAGAAAAGAAGCCGATATTTGCAAGATTCTGGAACGACTCGTTCCGCGGAAGAGGCTCTTGTGAAATAGAGCCTCGTTCGAAGTCCGTAGTGGTAGTTCTGATCACTGGGATAGGAGTCGGTTCGCCGGCGGCCTTTTCAGCCGGCTTGTAGATCTCACAGAAAGGATCGGTGACAATCCTCGCAGCATCAAAGTCGGGGAACAGTTCCGGACCCAATGTGTTGATGGCATCTGTAACTTGTTGGGCAAGTGATGCGCGCTTCTGGCGAAGTTTCACCAGAGAGTTGGCAGAAGACGGGTTCAAGGATAACACGAGTGGCCTCAAAGACTTCAGAATATCCATGCCAACCTCTCCAATGCGAAGGGCCGCAAAGGTGATAGTGGGGAACAAAACTATGCCTATGGGCACAATAAGCCACAACGGCATCCATCCCGGAAGAATTCCTTGAATCCGGTTATGGTAGGCCCACATTGTGAAAGCCGCCGTATAGAACGCGTAGAGAGCTGGGGCAAACGCAAGAGCAACGAGGAGCTTCCACGTTGCCATGACATCTCGCCCCTGTAGCTTGACTGTAGAGGCAGCCAATGCCTCCCGCGACTTCTTTTTCGAGATGACCTTCGTGGTGATAAAGACAGGGGTGAAGAGAAGAAAGCCTGGCAATGTCCCGATCGTAAGGAGAGATAACTTGATGAGACGAGAGATCAAAGTAAAGATAACTTTGATGAAAGAAAATTTGGCATAATCAACCTGGTGATCGCGGATTCCCAGAAGGCGTAGCTCACGGTTATACTCTGCAATTGACTTTCGTAGATGCACAATTCGTGGGTCGTCTTTAAAGTGTGTATAACCTTTCACAAGACGTCGATTGAGTTCAACAACCATCGGGAGCGGAAGCTTCTTTCCCTTAGTATTATACAGGCGACGGGCAGCTTGGATAACCTGGGAGTCCATTAGCGCGGCAGATCTCATAATTTAATAACCGGATCACCTACCATTAACGTCTCGTAGTCCGGGCTCGTCACAGTGACCGCAACAAGACCTTGGTATATGGTGTCCAAGAGAGCACCAACAGATTCTCTCCTCTCTCCTCTTTTGAATTGCTCTACCAACTCCCTCGGTATTTCTATGGGGGTTCCGAACTCAATGACTGCGCGTGAGCGGAACTTGTGGGCGTGGAAGTAATTCATTCCACAAGGCACAATCTTCAAGCCACAGTCTGGGTTTTCTGCCAGCGTACCCAGGGCCATCAGAGCAACACCAGCTATGCAAAGTTAGCCGAAGACCGTAGAAATAAAGGGGCACGCAAGGGCGAATAGAAGGTGGGTACCTTTCAAAGGAAGTAAGTTTGTACGGTCATGACTACCGCCTTCTGGGAAAATACCAACACATCCACCAGCATTTAGTCTAGCAAATACCGCTTCGTAAACTGCTGTTTGGTCCACATGGGGGGAAACTTTGAACTTTGAGCCCTTGAATTCAGGATCTTTATCCGACGCATCTCCGGTGAATTTTCCATCATCCGTGATATTTTTCCTTCCAGTGAGCTGGTAGAGCGGGTCTCTGGCCTTGAATGGCTTTTTTATGATTAACTCCTCCGGGCTGCGGATTTCAGCAATAGTGGCATTATGCGAAGTGCCATTGATAGTGGGGAGAGCGATAGTTCCATCCTTTTCGTAACCAGGTCCTTCAAAGTTGGTGTCTATTCCACGGATCAATGTGGGTTGGTCGATCGGGTCGGGCATATAAATTATGCCTTGGCCCGGCTTCATATTATCCATTGCTCTGGCCACAGGTACGGAGCCTATAGACCTAGCCAACAAACCGATAAACTTGCGCCGGAATGATTTTTCTGCAATAAGCCATGAGATGCGACGACGAGCTTCGCTGCGTATTACACGCATAAGGATCAACGAATCGACAAACTATAGGTACCCGGTGATTAGTATGCTTGCGCATGGACGATTGAAATGAAATCGATCAGATAATCATACTTGGTTAGCATGAGGGGCCGCAACTATGATCAATGGGCCCTTCCTCGGAATCTTCCAGGAGCCACGCGGATGCACCTCCCGAAAGAAGAAATCCACTAGAACGGAGAACAGCCATAGGACTAGATCATATAGCCATCCAATCAATGGGGGGATGCGCGGTTGCTTTGCCATGATGCCGTGAGGGATTTGCCAATACCCCAACCTGCTGGGCGAAAAAGAGAAAAGGAATAGAAATTAATCGATCCTCCAGTCGGAGCAGAAGCAGGAAGTAGAGGTCAGGCTGCTATAGTGCAGTGGCGTTTATTTTTGACGAAATGGCGAGCACGCGCTGGGTGCGACGTAACGAGACATGAACTGCCACCAGCCTGTATGATCGGGAACACAGTTAAGTTAGTTTTCAAGCGATCTAGAGCAATCAGAAGACCGAGTGGATATACCTGGGGAATTTCACAGTGTAATTATTCCTTCAGACTGATTGCGATTTGTGTTAAGTGATGGGTATGTACATGTAATCTTTATTATGTTTTATTTTTAATGAGAGGGGGGAAGAAGAGGGATATACCTAGTAGAAAGTTCAAGAGCGAGAGCCATGTGACAAGAGGATGACATGGGAAATCGCTGTGGGGGAAAGTGAGGTAACCATAGCTAATCCGGACCAGTCAGAAGATGTAACGGTAAACTTACTTATGTCATTTGTGCTCTAGACTAGAATCACGATAGCTAGTTACCTAGTAGTACATATATAGGAAGATAGGATATGCAAGGATGTATGTACCTCTCCAAAGAGGACAGGTTTTATCTTAATTTTATTTTGTTTCTATTTTATCACAAGTACAAATGGGATAGTTATCCATACACCAAATATGAATTTAATGAAAATTCTGTGGGGATAGGATCAAGGCCTTTTGAAGTCTGTGCTCTTCCCCATTCTTGATAGTTCTAGATACTAATACTACTACTATCTTCTGTACTCCCTCTAAACATTGGTGTTACCTAGACTTGTTTGGTCTACATACACGTAGCCAGCATTCAGTGGATATCAATCACCTTGGTAAAAATGATGAAAGAGGAGCTCTCACTCAAAGTTGATTGTTTATTAACTCATTTAAATATATGGAGTATATATTATTTATTCCCATTATAAACGCAAGAGTAAATTTCATTTCCCCAATGGTGTACTACAACATGTATGCACCCGCCATACCTACGTACGGTATACTTCGGTACACTGCAGTACCCAGCCTAGAACGTTCTGTTTTCCAGTTCCGTCCAATTAAAAACAATTACATACATATACTATACTCTAGCCAGAATACACGAAAGGTACTAGCAAAGTTAGGTACTGGAGAAGGTCCCGTTTGGCCTTTTTTCTTCCTTTTTTTCTCTTTTTTTCCCTTTTTCTTTGAAGCATCAATCGGATTGATTGGAAAGTGCATTGGCTTGAATAGGATAAATCATAAGGTTACGGAAAATCGCATGACAGAGCCTGCAATAGACTTAGTAGTAAGTTCCCCTTTCACTGATACTACGTGGTTTTGAAAATTGAACTGTTGTACGGGGTTCAAAAAAGAAAAAATTATGCTGTTATTGCGTTATGTTCCGAGAGTCCTTTTTTTCCCTCTTTTCCTTGGGTTCTCCGCCTGACAATCAGCCCCGCGGAGGTTTGCAAAAAAAAAGTGACCCCAACTGTTCTCCTCACCATTTATCACCGTCACTAGTATCTATCCCAAGTCTAAAGTGAAACTATATTCAACTGACTGCCTTTCCCGGCATTTTGCCGTGATTCCTTTGACTGACTTCTGGTGATCCACTTTCCCATCCATACATCCTCCGCCCCACGTTGCACCGTGGCAAATACCTACATTAAGCGGGTCTAACCCACATCCGAGTACCTGAGTTTGATACACCCTTACGAGTAGGGTCTACGGCTTGACTACGACTACTAGTATATTATCTCCCTGGTCACCTTGTTCACCAATCAGTATCAACCTGTCCGCCTCTACTGGCCTTTCCTACCTTACTGGTTGAAAGTTTCAAACGATATCTCAGTTGCGATTGGCAGGTACCCTGTCTTGACCTAGGTTCCTAGCCTAATCCGCGATCTTAAATTGCGAACGGGATCAATCATAGTCGGTGACGATCGATCGATCTCCTGTAACTTGCACGGCCTTTCTTAGTCAAGGGGGAAAAAGTCTACTTGTCACACATATTGCACTGGCTAGCGGATTGGAAAAGATGTCAATCAAGTATGTGAATGACCCCTCACTACTCCAACTTTGCAATACCTTGATCAGTGTCGGTGCATACTGCTCGCTTTTCAGGTATAAGTTTTTTGCTTTAGGCGTGCATATGACACGGGTCCTCCCTTAGTTCTCTATTCCTTCTTTTCCTTCCATCCTCCTTTTAGCCCCCGCTCTTTTGTTCCTATGGACATAGTATATCTTTTATATCGCTCCTACTTGGGTTCGAGTAGAGAAAGAGAAAGATATGATATTTGATTGACTGGTTCTAACCTACTTTACCGAGCAGCTGGGTGATGCTACATGAACATGAAGGCTTTGTCCGTCTTCCTCATGAGCACTTGATATACACCTCCCCACCTCGCACTAGCCTCTCTTTGCAACCCCTCGGCTCATATAAAGGCAAGGATGCTTTATCAATCCAAAGTGGTTCAGGCCGAATATATCTTACAAACCAGCGGGTACTTCTCCCCTCTTATCGGCCTCTCATTTTAGCTTTTCCTTATCTCTTTGCACGTCTTTTCTTGAGCTCACAAAATAAAACCTCCAGGTCGTTTACATACCTGTCCAGAAATCCAATGAATTTCAATCATTTTCTGCACCACTTCTTCACATACATGATACCCATGTATCAGCTCCCTTCTTTGGCCCAAATGTGTGGCAGTCTCTGGTCCAGCCGGTGTCTGGTGGAGGGATACCCCCATCGCTGCCAGCGGTACAGTTGAAGGTGACTTTCAAAGAGGGAGGAGCATTTGATTATCACAACCACTTTGAACGGATTAAAGAACGCCTACAACAGGCCGTCGAGGTTTCCCAAGAGAGCAATCGAGGAGCAAGGGAGGTTGACTTGTCTACTATCCATCTGGACGAACTGCCTGCTTACTCCGGCCCACTACATGATTCGACTGGCGCTACTCACAGTACTCAGCACGCCCCGTCAAACTCGCAGGATAACTGTGCTACTTCGGTGTCATGTCCTGAGCCCATGGAACCGCCACCAGGCTACGAAGAAGTTCAACAACAGAGTATTGCTAATGCCCTCGAAGAAAGGTTACGTCGTGCCAGTTGAGGGAAGATATTAATTGGTCTTGGGCCATAATTAGACTTTTTAATAGGAGCATGTCTCAAGCTCTTTGCTTCTCTTTTAGCGAGCCATATTGCATCCGTTCCTGTACAGTACTTTCACTGCTTGCTCTAATTCAAGGATCGATTTGGTACCTAATGTGTTCAGACGTCATTATGTGTTCTAAAGAAAGAAAAAAAGATTAGACTCCTATTGTTGAGATATATCCAGTAATTTAGCGTTATAAACTCAACATATGTGTGTTTAACAATTGGCAACTCGCAATATCAGATCGTTACGTTGAATAAACAGGATCACTACATTGGTCAATCCCCGTACCGAAGCGTCAGCCAATCACGTGTGCGATAATTGAGCATTCGCCGGCGGCCGGGCTGTTCCGATTTTCCTGGACGGCAGAGCCAAAGCTTCGTAAAACCATCAACCTCATCAACTTCGCTCGTCACTGCCGCTTACACCCCCCACATTCTGGAATCCCGGCCCTCCAATCCCTTCAATTGATACTCCCACACAGTCCGAAATGGGTATTTCCGACTTTTTCTCCGACATTATGTCCTCCTTCAGCCTCCCCGAGGCTCAGGCTGAGGCTCCCGCCGAGAACGTCGAGCAGTCCAGCAGTCAGGAGACCGAGACCGAAGAGAAGTCTGCTGTTACCGAGGAGTCGACCAGCGAAGAGAAGCCCGAGGAGTCTGCTGAGGAGACTCCTGAAGAGTCTGCCGAGGAGGAGCCCGAGCAGGAGGAGGAAGAAGAGGAAGAGGAAGAGGAAGAGGAAGAGGAAGAGGAGCCTGAGGATCTCAAACCCAAGCTCGAGGAGGGTGAGTCGCTTATGTTGATCATTTACTTGCGTCTTCCTCTTTTCGCGTCATTGGACTGTCAGGTTGCGCGGCAATGGCACGATCCAACCAACATGCAACCGATTTCCATTTGTCCGCTTGGCACATGCCCATTGACACAAGACCATCTCTTGTCATCTTGCTATTACCACTCGTATTTGCCGTTACTGATGTTTTTATCATAGAATGTGCCAACTCCGCTCAGTGCGCCCCATACAAGCACCACTACGATGAGTGCGTTGAGCGTGTCACTCAGCAGCAGGAGGACGCCGACTACAAGGGTCCCAAGGAGGACTGTGTTGAGGAGTGTAGGTGGCGCCCACTTTATTCTCCATTAGTCTTGAATCACTTGTTTGGCGGTTGTGTCGCTTCACATACCGTGTATCTCGACAACCATTTTTGATATTTCTAACATTTCTTACTTCAGTCTTCCACCTCGCCCACTGCGCCACCCAGTGCGCCGCCCCCAAGCTCTGGAAGTCCCTCAACTAAGTGTCTCATCTCGAGACAATTTCTGCCATGTTTCTCTTATGGTTCAATAGCAACGAGATTTAACGATGGCGCACCATGTATTGACCATCTAGATAAGATACGAAGGGAACTGTGGAAGGGACTCACAGAAAGAAAGCTAAAAGCGTCATGATGGCTGGCATGTTTCCGCTTGTCGCCCTCGCATAGAATGGGATAGACTCCCCTCTAATGTGGGATTTGTGTTAAAAGTGGAGGATGGGGGAATACATCCTTCGCTGTGTATGTACAGATAGCTGGGGTTTTGCCTGTTTGTGAACTGTGCTTCTTAATTTCCTTGTGTTTAGAACGAATGGCATTTGTCTCTTAGACTTGCTGTTTCCGTCAGTTTCGACTGGATTTTGCCAGACTGGCCTGCACTGCGTTTCATACGACGCGTACTTCTTCTTTACCAATGAATTTTCTGAACGCTGGGTTTTAGAACTGCTTCTTGTTTGGTCAGGATTACTATCACTCTGCACCATATAAACACATGCATGAGAATTATAGACGCATCCGCAACGGCAGAACAATGACAACCACTAACACAAAAGAACTAGTTCAACTCCACGAGCTAACACCCTGCTAACTACTACTTCTCTACCAAAATTTCAGACTAAATTTCGACTCAGTCCCCGGCGTAAGGGTGTCGTCCCCCGCAAGACCGGTATCAGTATATTCACGACCCTCCAGATCAACCCCCCGATCAATATCCAATCTCCGACGTCTAACATCTCTCCCAAACAACCCAATCGAGATGGGGAACGGCACCACAACGGCAGCAATAACGGCCGAGAAGATCAGTGCATTCCTCATATTCTCCGGTGGATCGGCATCGCGATCTGCCTTGAGCGCGTCCTGGGCCAGAATGAACGCCGCACCGAGGAGCTGACCGCCCGTCCAGCAGATCGTGCTCCCGATCTCCGGAGAGAATGGATACGTGATCTCTACGAGATACTCTAAGACGACGGGGAGAAGGGCAAAGGACGAGGCGCCCAGGAGAGCGCAGACGACGAAAGATGGAGCGATCCCCGCCGGACTGGATGGGGCGAAGATCAGGGCGATGTAGCAGACTGCGACGATGGGGATTAGGACGCGGATGGTGCCGAGGTAGTGCTTGAAGCGGTCTGTGATTGGGGAGATGATGGCAGAACTGATTAGACCGACGACGATGAGGATGCCTCCTGCTACTCCGGCTTCGGTTTCGGTGAAGGCGTAGGGGGAAAGGATTTGATTTAGGAGGGAGGAGACACTGTTGAAGAAGCCGACGTAGACCGAGAAGGGGATGAGGATAAACCAGAATTCTAGTGTCTTGAAGAGTTGGGCTATTGCTGGGAGGAGGGGCATTCGGGTTGTTGCAGAGGATGCGCTCGGTGGTGTTGGGGGTTGTGAAGGGAGGATGAAGGACGGGAGGGCAGCTATCGTCGCCTGTGGTTTACATTATCCTTGATTAGATGAAAAAGACTTTCTCGAGAGCTTTCGGTTTTCGTGGTCCCTTTGTCTGTCCTTGGGGTCACACTTACAATGACGGAGATATACAAAACCATATCGGGGATCTCGCTGGGCTCCGTCGCCCAGAATGAATCGATTACCTGGCCTAGGGCTGCCCCCAACGGATTGGCCAAGGTGGCTACGGCTGTGGCACTGGTGCGCCCTTTGTCTGAGAACCACATGTCGCTGTACCGGGTTGGAGCACTGAGACAGAACGGTTGGGCCAGACCGATGAGGATCTGGCCGAACATGGCGACGCCAAACATGCCTCCGCGGGCTTTAGTGCCAGCATATCGAACCCAATTGCCTACCAACAGGAGAGTGGAAGTGGTGATAATGGCTGGTTTGGGCCCGCCTTTATTGAGAGTGAAGATGACAACACTGGCATATATGGTCTCATCAGTGACATGCAATGGTTGGATGCAGATAAGGAAACCTCACGGGCTGGCAGCACAAAAGGCAAAGAGATACCCTGTACTCATCCAGTTGATAGCGCTTTCAGAGACGCCGAAATGCTGAGAGGCTGTGGTGGATATGGATGAGAAGGTCAACCACTGTGATATCGAGGCAATAATTTTAGCTCAACAATGTCCACCTCTGTTCTACTGGAAACGATATAGTTGTACCAGTCATTCTGAAATCGCTAAGTTGCAGGATCACATACATCCCAACTGACCACTATGTTCAATAGCACCAACTGCGCTAGCCCCCAGAAGCGACGCTTGTAGACCTTGTAGACAGGCCCTGAAGGAGGGAGACCCGATGGACTTGCGGCATCTTGTGAGTTAAAGGCCATGATGGGAGGTCAACCAAATCTCGTCTACCAACATGACTGCTCTATGAATAGAAGAGAGGGTCTTCCGCGATTAAAATAAGCCAGTGTATCTTGCTGACCTTTGAGAAGTGAGCGATGCGACGGCGGTTACAACACACGTGTGGCACAGTCCAGCCATGCGTTGAGATACCTAGGTAAAGGCTCTGGGGTAGGACCAAATAATAGTACTAGTTTGTCAGTCTCCTCCATTATTGGGTCCAATGCACCCGAGGCGCGATGATCGACTGCGGGGTTGGGCCATCCATTAAATTAAATATCCCCGCTGATTGGAATGTCGAGGATTGAATAAGTGTATAGTTGCAGTACAGGAAGAAGCAGAATGTAACCTTTTCTTCTTCCTATTGAGAATAAATTAGGAGGATGTCAATCACATGATGGCAGACCATATGATTTGGTTTTATTTGATTGTATTGTATTGTTTGATTGAACGAATTGATTATGTTTTCTAAATAACATCGACACTTAGTTTAGTTCTTCTATTCAGAGACAATTAATGTCTCGAACGACATGGTGTTTCCTTCCTGCCCTCCAATCATCGTCCCGTGCCTACCTACAATGATTGTTTCACAATCTGTGGTTCATCACAGATCAAGAAACAAACTAAAGAACTATTTTTACCATCTCTGTCTGGGATCAAAGAATGGAGTACGGAGTACTTCCATCCATGAACTATGGATGATTCCCCCATAACTCCGACAGATATCATACCTCACCTTCTCAACACCAAACCACAGCGGATAGGTCAGATTGCCTTGAACGATCTCTATCAACTTTGTTCCATACTTCCGATAGTCATCGTGCCATGGTTCCTATTCAGGAGCACCGACCATCGTTCGTGGTCTTGAAGCATATACAAACAAAAGAAAATGAGAGGAAAATCAGACCAGAATGTAAGAAAACATGGTCTGCTCCTGGGATGAATCATTATCCAAAAACAATATTTAATGTCCATTGCATTGCCGGTGGTTAAAAATGGTGGTAGTTGAAAGGCGATCATCGTCCTCAGTCTACCGATCTTGATCATTCTCGCTCTTTATCGATTCTCTTGGGACATGATTTTTATTGTTTTATACTGTTGACTCCTGATAATATCTTCCTGACTCATCTGTTCCGATGCTGACACATTCCATCGGATCTATCGAAATTGCTTTTTCTCTCTTTTCCTTTCTCTCCCTTGGCTAGTGGCGCTGGGGATTTTCAAAAGTATCCTCATGGTTAGTGCCCACTGGCTGGGCGGCTGAGCATCGACACTTTAAACTGCAGATCGTCTCGACTTCGTCCTCGCTTTCAACTTTGTCCCCCAACCTATTTCTTCCTTTCCTCCCTTTATTGTTCCACTGGTTCGTCTTGTTTTATTTTCATTTTCCCTCTCACTGCGATTTCTCCTCCAACTAGAAACTGTGTTTCGCCTCGCCTTCCCTTGCCGCTGAGCGCATAATTGTCTGGCCCCCTCCTGCAACGATAAACACGGAGTATCCCCTTTCAGGATGTATGCGGCCTAGTATTACTTCGGCGACGATTCTCTATTACTAGTTCACCCTGCACATCCTTCCTCGCCAGACTTTATCCTTCTATATTCACAATGAGCGGTTTTGATCTACGGTCCAGTCTGTCGTCTTATGGCGATCCGAGGCACTTTTCCGGCGCCTCCTTTGGCGCTCCGCAACCACCCCCGACGAAGGTTCTCATGGACGGATATCACGGCGCCCCAAAGCTGACGAATGTGGAAACCCCGCGGTACAATCCAGTAGGTGGCTGTCGAGTCCCATGGACCACTTACAATTGCTGACGTCTTTTGTTCTCCTGCAGCTGAACACGACGCACCCACGAAGCTCGGCGTTGCTCAACGGCAATGATCCTGTGACCATGTATTTGTTGACCGAGACCGCTATAGGAGACAGCGCGCACTACGAGGTCCTGTCGCTAGAGGAAGTTGAAGGGCTGAAGAAAGAATTCAAGTTCCTTTCAGGTCGCTTGGAGGCGGCCAAACGGAAACTAGCTTTGGAGGCGAAACTGCGCGATGCAGCCATGTCCCTCAGCCGGCTATATAACTCTAAGAGTCCCAGATCGAGCGAGGAATATGATATGGGAGACTCCCCGAAATCAAACCGGAGTCGCAGGAGCATATTTGGCCACGACGGCGGTTCTAGTACGCTCGACAAGACGGACGCTGAGCTAGCTGTGAGCACGCGGAAATGCGAGGAGCTCTCGCAGGAGGTCTGGAACCTAGAGAGTCGGGTTCAGCTGGTTCAACGACGATTACTGGAGCATACTGCTGGTGTTTTACAGATGACGCATAAGGGGTTGAAGAAATATCCGAAGAACAATGTTCCTCATACGCCTGAGAGCCTTTCCAGCCATAACCCCCGTGGTAGCATAGATGAATTTGACGACAGAAGCCTATACAAAACATCGGATCATCTCAATGAACTCAGTGAGCATGGGCCTCAAGGGTCGAGTACTTTGACTCTTTTAAGTCAGCAGGCAGCTGGCCTCAATGCGATCCAAAATACAGAGAAAAGACTAGAGCTGTTAAGCGGACGAATACGCGACATGATTTTACAAATCAATCCCGACAATGACTTTGCTCCTGTTCCACAATCTTTGGAGACGGGTGATGCAATCAACCATACGGCAACTGTGGAAGCCTACATAGCATATATTGAAAACGGTCTAGGCGCCCTCATGGCTCACCCCAGTAGCACTTCTGGCACTAGAAGTACGGATCATGTAACCGACAAGCAGCTAGGGGAGGTCAACGATCGACTATATCATATCGTGAACGAGATAGGCTTGCCACGCTCGCGGACACTTCCACCGCCTCCTGGAGCATCTAGCGGGAACCTGCAGGAGCACCTCTCGTACCTGAACGAGGGCATCGATGGCCTTCATGAGCGGCTGGGAGGCCTCCTTGAGCAAAAGAGTATTCTTACCACTCAAATTCAACAACAGCGGGAATTAAACTCCAAGTCGGATGCGGAAAGGGATGCGCATATCGCCGACTTGATCGAGAAGCTAGCCCATGCACGGAAAGAGCTCGAGTTGGCTGAGCGTGAAGGGGAGCAGTCCAAAGATCAGCTGAACCTAACGATGGAACATTTGGAAGCTGCGCATCGGGAACTATCAGATCATCAGCTTCGAGCTATCCCAGAGGACAACTCGGAGGCTATTAAATCTGAAAAAGAAGCTCGCGCGCGGGCAGAAGCCGACGTGTCCCGTCTACAGACCACTGTGCAAGAGCTCCAACACGAGAAGGAAGCCCTCGCTGAAGCTCATGAAGCACGTCTTCGTGCTGACGTCGAGATTACCCGCCTGCAAGCCGTTGTGCAAGAGCACCAGCGAGAGAAAGATGCTCACAGCGAAACTCAAGAAGCACGCCTTCGCGCGGAAAGTGAAATTGCGCGTTTACAAACTGTCGTGCAGGAGCTCCAGCACGAGAAAGACTCTTACGCTGAAGTCCACGAAGCGCGCCTTCGTGCGGAGGCCGAAATTGCTCGCTTGCAGCCCACCATTCTAGACCATCAACGCGAGAAAGACGCTCACGCCGAAACCCATGAAGCACGCCTCCGCGCCGAAGCTGAAATAACCCGTTTGCAGAGTGTCATGCAAGACCTACAACACGAGAAAGAGGGCCAAACCAAGGCACATGAGGCACGGCTCTTCGCCGAGAGTGAAGTTGCCCGCTTGGAAGCCGAACTCGAGCAGGTTCGATCCGAGACCAACGGCCATACAGAACAACTTTCTGCGGTTCGCTCTCAGGCAGATGGGGAGATTGCGCGCTTACAAGAGGCGATCGATCAACTTCGCAAGGAGGCTGATACAAGGGCAGAGGAGGCTAAGGAGGCTGATACAAGGGCAGAGGAGGCTAAGGAGTCACGCGAACAAGCAGAAAAGCAGATTTCTAATCTGAAAGCGAGCATTCAGCAGATTCGTATTGACGCTGACGCTCGCCTAAAGGAAGCCACGGACTCGCGCAGACAAGCCGAAAGTGAAATTGCTCAGCTGCAGGCTCTAATAGATCAAATACGTTCCGATGTGGAGTCTCAGCTCAGTGAGGCAAGCAAAGGTCGAACACAAGCTGAAGAGAGAGCGGCGCGCTTACAGGCGGAATTAACCGAGCTCGAAGGCGAAGTTGTAAGGGTTCGAACTGAACTTACAATGGCTCAGGCTGAGCTCGATGGCGCTTACGGTAGCCGATCTCAACGGGCAGCCGCTGTCGATCCTGCCCTTCAAAAGGAACTCGAGGTGTTGACCACTCGGAACATCGAGCTAGCAACGGAGCTTGCCACTTTCAAGGCTGGCAAGCCTGCAAATAGCGATGCGCAGCGACGAGTTGAGACGCTGGAGAGGGAGCTGCGCGAGACGATTGACGACTACGAAGTCATGACTAAGGCTAGCATTGAGTTTGAGAGAGAGCGCGAGAAGTTTGAGAGCCTCATTGACGGGCTTCGGGATCACTGCGAGCAACTGGAGACGCAACTGAATGAGGAGCGGATCACCTGGATGGGCATGCAAACAGCGTCCATGGGGCGAGATGGAACCACATATGAGACCACATCAACTATGGTCCTTAAGAACGAATTCAAGAAGATGATGCGAGACACGCGGGCTGAAAATATGAAGATTCTGAAGGTGGGTACAACGTTTTCTTCCTTTACACAGGGCCATCGAGCTAACTTGAGAATACAGGCGGAACAGGAGGAACGTCGGAGACTAGAGGCTTTGCTCAGGAATGTCAAAAAGGAGCAGGCAAGCAAAGCCAGTCCAAACCAGACAGTCGCGGCTTTATGATGACGATAATATCCGAAACTTCTCGTTGAACCTCAACCAACCCGATTTCGGTTGCGGTTACTTCATCTATTACTAATATTCTATTCATCGTACATATTACTGTTTATTTACTCTGGGTATATATTGGTTTGGTCATGTTCCCTTGTGTTGGTCATATTATAAGGAAGATGATCTATGTATTTCTACTGTGCAAAATAGATTCGACTATCCTGTGATAGATCACACTCTCTTGGTGTTGTCAACTGCAACTGGCCACGATGTCAATTAATATTCTGAGAACCCTTGGAGCATACCGGGCAAGATTCAGTGCATACTGGGCCTGTATATATATGCCCGTCGAATGGCGGTTCTTTCCCTTCGGTTCCTTTGCTTGAGCGATGCACCTTCTCACTTGAAACGTAGTGAACTCGGAAAGTACGACGATGACACCTCAATACCATGCATATGACTACATTTCTCTTGTGGACTACACTCTGCTCATTCCTATGCCAGCCACATCTCTTTGTCTCAGAATGGCTCTACGGGACCGCTCTCTGGCCAGTCCGGACTCTACTCTACAGCGAAAAAGAGCGACACACCATACCGCTTCGACCAGAGAGTCATTCGAATCGAGTCCAAGCGATGCAAGTTCGATTTATAACGCCCTGAGGGCAAGCTCGGGGCTAGAAGATCTTGTCCTCAAGTCTAATGGTACCCTGGGCAGCAGAATGGCAGCAAACATGGCAATGTTCGTCTCTCCGTCGTCCGAGTATACGACTACCAAACCACCGAAGCCAGATATAGAACACAAGGCAAAACGCCCCTGGTGGCACACGTATTTGCTATCAGATAGTCATATATTGTCGCCGAAAGATGATAGGCAACGAGTAAAGATACCGATGCCAGAGCTGTCGCCGAAAGCGGACCAACATCGCAAAGCGGCAAGCGTCAATGATGCAGACGCAAGATTAAGAGCTCCCAAATGGCTGGCGAGTCTGGCATCCCCTGCGAGTCCGGTTCTTCCCACATATCCACCACCAGTGAGGTCGCCCACACCTCCGGGACTACCATCTTTCGGTACCGAAGAAGCACTCCGTTACTCTGCGCGATTCCCTGTCGACTCAGGATTGGCTAATGGACAATCCCATCAGCGAAGCACTCACGGCAGCGCTGGTAAAGGCAATAGAGTTGAATCCTACGGCGAGGCGTTGCGAAGGTTCTTTGGTATCTCGTCATCATCTGCTTTCCGGCCTAACGGGCGGGGATGCACTGTTGTGAGAGCAGCCGATGGTACTGTGGTCCAAGGGCGCCTCCCTCATCGGCAGAGCTCCCATGGCGTTGGTGCGGGCGGTAGATTAGTTGACCATCCATTCCATCGAAGGAATCTTTCTACGACACAGTTTGATAGCGTCGGTGAGAATGGTGGTGCTGTTGTCCATACCCAGCCATTGGACACAGGAAATTATTCCAACATGAGGCGGAAAAACTCACTTCACTCTGGCATAGCCCGCCCTCCTATCTCTCGCCTACAGATATCTTCAAGCAATCTCTCACCTGGGCCGAACCACTCTGCGATCCCTCCATCACGGGCAACCCTTACTCATCCTGTGAGTAGATGTGAATCTCGCCTCGCATGTGTCTCACAGCAAGAGGCAACAACGACACCCATTGTAGGCATATCTCCCATACCAGATCCTGAACCTCCAGGCTGTTCCCCCACGCGGACACGATCAACAGCAGAACCTTCGATTCAAGAAGGATGTGTCATGCTTGAGGCTCAACATGGCCTTCGGCTACCTGCCTCAAGAATTGCCAACTCCTGTTTTCGCTGTTGTTTGGGAACTAGGAATGAACAGAGCACGGCCACCTACTCGAATACTTCTTCCAATGATACATATACAACCGCAAGGAGCCGGATCTCAGATGATAGCTCGGGTCAACATTCGCACGCCAACAATAACAAGAAGGGACCGGTCCAAGAACTTGGGCAGTACTGTTCGAATATGTGGGTGTCGTTTCGAACTTTCATCTCCTCTCATAGTTATGGGTCCTCTGCTTGGTTGGACCAGACTCGGGAACCTTTTTAACGACTGACACAATTCGCAGGTTTTGGATATCAGGCGTTTGTGTAAAACTAAAGTCTTGCTTCGCCCAAGCATCTATTTCACTGCAACATAAGCACAGCCGGATATTGGATATTCAGTATACGCTAGTCCGTACCCATCAGGAGCTGTTATTGTTATCCTGGTTCAAATAATGGCCACCCAAATGTTATCGTTAGCTTTTTCATACAAAAGGGACACTTCTTTTCCTAAATATATATTGTTAACTACAATTCATGGCTAAAGGCTGATCAAACGAGTTTTCATATCTGATATTGCAAAGGCATGAACCAGTCAACTCCGTTGCTCCTCCATGCAAGTGATGCTCGAAACTGGTGGGCGTTATATAGTAAACAATTAGTGCAGCAAAGTCATTCAATATGACGCTCATAATGAGTTCAGAAAGTTTCCGCAGCGATTGTAGACCCTAATATCCACATGCAATAATGAACATCGGTAAGAATATCCAAATGAGGCCATAAAATGATAAAAATGGTGGGAGTAGGGAGAATGAAGAATGGGGGGAAAGCGGAGGCTAATACGAACGAAGAATTAAAACCAAAAGGACCGATGTCATCTCCATAAACGGCATATTCAAAAGGGAGAAAGAGAAAATAAAGAAGAGAAGAAGAAAAAATCAAATAAGGTCAGAGAGGCATGTGTGAATATGGATGCAGATGTGTTGATTCTAAAGCCCCATAAAGAATTGAGAGGCTTCTTTAATCTCTTCGTCGTTATTCGCGAAGTCCCATACCATTATCCTTGGGTCCTGAGTGGCGCAGATAATCTTTCGGGCATCGAACTGCACTTTGAAGACCCTAGAGGATGGTGGGCTAGGGCCGTTGTTATTGTTATTTCCATGGGCTTGCTGGTTTCGGTTATTGTGATGATGGTGATGCGCCACTGCAGGTGCGACTGGTGGGCCGGCCGCTGCATGCTGTCCCTGGTTTGGTAGTCGAGCTCGCTGAGCTCGCTGAGCAAAAGCGTTTCGCGTGCCACGAATATTACCATGTTCATCCACACCGTTGATTTCCTTCAAAGCCTGCAAATGAGACAGAGACTGACCGACAACCCACGCGCCGTCTCTGTCTTTCTTCCAAACCACCACGAGCTCGTCATATGAGCCAGAAACAATTCTAGCCCATTTACTTCCACCTCCTCCCGGCGGGATATGCGCGCCCAAAGCCTTGATATCCCTCGGGTTTCTGGATCCGGCAGTGTTTTGGTGATGCCCTGCACGTCGGAGAGCTCTCGGACCGTAGTCTACAGTCTCATCAGAGTGCCGAGCATCCAAGAACTCGTTGTCAACAGCTAGGGCTTCCAGTTTCATCGCCTCTTCGGCTCCTGGTGGGTCGCCAAAACCGGCTTGAACGGTCCTTACTAAGTCTCCGTGACCTGACATACAAGCAACCTCTGCACCAGAGCGGTGATCAAAAATGCGGACGGAGTCATCATTGCTTCCACTGATGATTCGCCGACCATCAAACTGAACGCACGCAATACCTTTCGCGTGGCCTACAAGTGACTTCTTGCAGAGACCACTGCGGAGGTCCCAAATCTTGATTAATCGGTCGCCTGAAGCGGAAACAATCTCATCCTCGCTAACCTGAATGGCGTTAACTGCAGCCCCATGTCCTGCTATTGTCATCAACAAGGTATACGGAGATAAGCTTCGGATATGACGCCTAGCCAACTCTGTCTCTGTAATTGGGGATGGGAGTTCGTTTGTATCAACAATGTAGGATGGATACATCGCTCCAGATCCATGGTGAATAACAGGATACTCTTTGTCACCGGGCATGAGTTCACGCCGATTCCAAACTTTGATCAACCTATCCTTGGAGCATGTGACAAGATAACGCTCATCGAATCTGAGGTTTAACACAGAGTCGCGGTGAGCTGGTGTAATCTCCCTAAGCTTCTCGCCGGTAGAGAAGCGCCACATAATGACACTCTTATCGCTGCTCCCAGTCATGATGATGTCTTCAGTCGGGCGGGGATCAAATTGGAGACAGAGCACCGATTTGGTGTGACCCACAAGAGGGCGATACCGCAGTCTCTGCGTATCTATATTCCATACTCGGACAGTCCTATCTCGGCTACCACTCACCAGCCAATTCCCCCAGAACTGGATTGAATAGATACATTCCTGATGACACTCCGCCATGTGCTCAGGATGCGGGATTTGAAACTTCGTGACGCGACCTCTATTCCAATTATCTTCCAGTCGTCTACGTTGCTTATAAAGATGAAGCCAGTTGATTTTAGCACCGCCGTTCGGCATCCGAGTCAGGATAGATGACCTAGGAGACGAGTAGGTTGATGGGGACTTGCGTCCATGCGGTATGGTGCGAGCGAGGTCTGTCTGAGATTCCGGGGCGTTGTTCGAGCTCAATAACTGATGCTCCGAGGAAGCTGCCCCACTCTGGTCATTGGAGACATCGCTCATGAGATGATCACCTTCAGTGTCTGCTTCCGTAAAAGTTTGCTGTCCATCTTGCCGCCCGATCATGTAACTACCCAGGTGTCCTGTCGTTCGCGAGTCTAGCCAGCTTGGGGGTACGCGTTTCTTTTGCTTCGGTTCTCCGATATCTGTGTCGGAATTTCTTAACCGCGATTTACGAAGATAGGGGGATGAAAGCCCAGATTGTCTCTCCTCGAACGCACGGATTGCATCAATGTCAACACGCCAGCCTTCGTCAATGTACTTCCCTCGCCAAAGACGAGAATCGATTATACGACCCCGCCAGGCGCGGGATGCCAATGAGGCTGTCAAAAGAGTCTGAGGGTCAAGATAGGAAAAGATCTCAGAGGTTATCTCGGGAGGAAGTTTGACGACGGGATCCATGTGCAACACAGGCGCAAGACGGTCAACAACCGCGGCCACAGTGGAAGTAGGTAGTGTGCGCAATAGACTGTAGGCAATCTCTATATACGATGGATAGTCAGCATTGACGAAGGAGGAAGAACGTATGTATCGACCAGGTCGTCCAACCACGCGAACTGCGCTAGCTGGCGGGAGGGTTCAACGCACCAGCCCTATCTGTTTCGCTATTAGACATAAGCCAATCAGGGAGAGGCATTACATCATCTGAAGGCAGGTTCGCGAGTTCCTTATCCGACTGACTTCTTGTCTCGTCCGAGTAACCCTCGTCCAGTCTGTAAGGTGTAGATAATGAGGGGGCGGTGAAGTCGGAATAATTGGCGGCGGCGTGGAGCCGAAGGAGACGAGGGGTTGTACCTTCGGGGGCGGTGGTCTCACCAGCCATGAGTCCTTTTTTTCTCCGTCGCTGCAAAAAGAGGACCGAGGTGCAGCAGTTAGATACAGGTTTCCTTGAACTGACACCGCGGAGGGGGAGCGATGGTCAAAGCCGCTGCTCACCCGGCGGCGTGAAGCTTAGCGATGGTGCTTTGTCGTACTTTCCTAGAAAAGCAGACGAGTTTCGAACCGCCTGTTCCCCTGTAAGTGGACGTTTCGCGTTTTCTAGAAGAAGCATGAAAAAAGACAGTTAGGAATGTAAACAAGGATTAAAGAAAGGGTGTTAAAGATAGTGAACGAAGTTTGGGGGTGGAGGGATTGTCGTCAGTGATGGATTGACTGATTATCGATACCCAACAGGGTTTAGTCATACTTTAACATGTTTTGCTTTCCAAATCTAAGTATTTAGAATGGTACAAGTCACGTCAGTAGTGCCTCTTATTTTCTTGTTTGCTTCCTGGTTTTAATTTTTCTATTGACTCTTCAACATAACTTTCCGCTTTGGATACTGAGGATTTTTTTTGTGCAAATTCTTTTCTTACTTATTTATGTATTAAAGTTATACTCTTGGTGTATTCCATCCAGGTACTTCTATACATATCAGTCAATCAATCATGACTCAATTGCGGGATTACATGATCTTTAAGAAGCCCCACATACATATTGGACGTACAAACCTGCATGGTTCAACAATGCCTATGACTGTCATCGAAGATGTCCGGTCATTATAGACCTGTTCAACCTTAATCGAGAACTGGAATCAGTTCGTTCAGCACCATAGTCACTGTCAAGAATGGGATAACGTCGTGAATTGGTTTTTTAGGAGCCATAGTGCAATCTCAGATTTGGTCCATAGCCGGTGTAGAAGTGACTCGGACTATCGTTACTTGAGGTTCTTTGAGACTAGTGTGTCTCTCTCCTTCTGGGGTTCTTGACGAGAGCCATAGATACTTGGTACTTGTATGAAGGAAGGAAAAAGAAAGAGTCGCTAATGGTTATATGGATAGTATGCCGATTGACAGGGCCAAGGGCAAAAATATAGGGTTGAATCAGCCTAATCCATTGACCCTCGTATACCACACTTCACTCTTGTACAGCTCTCAATCTACTACTAGTAGGTGAATAACTCAAGTCAAGTGCCCGACTACCTCCCGCTTTCTTTGTCTCCGCCTATTGGGAAAATTGGCGTGAAGTATATACTAGTAGTAGGTCTCTCGGGGAGAGGGGAGAACGGCCATCATTGATTGTTCTAGAGTATGAGATATTGCTGTTTCTGTGTAGCATTTCATACCTCCTTCCAATTACCGACCAAGAGTCCATACCTTAGTTGGCTCCCTGGATAGGTAATTTGAAGCGAGTTTCGGTACTGTACCTAGATAATTTGCTGGTTGGGTGGTCAATATAGCCAATATCCGTACAGTAGTAGATAATAAGATATGGAAGGGCAAGCGAAATGGTCACATGATTTCCGAGTCGGAGCTGAAACAATAGGTGCTGCATCGCTTCGGACCGAAAGGAATACTATACTTTGATCTTCTTTTCCCCTTCTTCTCTATTCAATAGGGAACAATTAAAAGATAAAAGGAGCAGAGAAAGGGAAAGGAAAACATACAAAAAGCGCGAATGGAAAAAGACATATCATGATACTATAACCAAGTTGTTTCTTTTGACAGCGGCTCAGAAGTCTTGTTTACTGGTCCCCACTTCTTAATTAAAAAACCAAAAAATGATCCCAAAGTTGAAGATGCTTCGGCAGGGGAATGATAATTTCTGACCCGCGCCGAGAAGAGTGACGCACTAGTTTAGACTAGTCGGAATCTCAAACGCTCCATGTAAGAGATGAGTCTTCATGCGACTCGATGTGCATTCGAGATTCATGCCCAGCCCCTGTAGTATGGAAACTTTCAGTCAGGGAATCTTCAGCCCAACCCCAGTTTTTTTTTTTTTTTTTTTTGCCTCTGGTGAAGGAAGTGACTGGATTCCCTCCTTCGGTCCAATTTGGAAAGGCCGTCAGGTTTCTATTTGAGCTACACTAAACATATTTTTTTTTCTTTTTCTTTTATAGCTTCATGTTCTATAATTAATTCATTTCCTGCATATGATCAAGGGGATGACTAGGACATTGACATATAATAAATAGTAATATAGTATATATATATATGCACGAGATATTCGATACATACCTAACCATCCAGTAGTATATAGTAGTGATACCTAAGTTATTTACATACTTCCCGTGGGACAACACTAAACTGCCTTAGGCACTAGACTCGATATACCCTTGAGCCTTGGAGCCCTCTCCACCCCCCTGATGCCCCCTTTCAAACCATTCACCAGCCAACTTGACGCGCGCTACCCCCGATTGAGGAGAGGAACCACTTCACTTCCCTTACTGGCTGGCCTGGACTCTCTCTTCCTCTCTTCCCTCCTTTCCCTCTCCCTCCTTCCCTCCTTCCCTCTCTCTCTCTCTCTCGCCATCCTGCAGAGTGCTCAATCTTGATGCTTCTTTCTTTTCCCTTTCCCTTCGCCTCTTCTCCTTGCACTCCTTGTTACCTTCTTTGCCAACCAACTATTTAACTACAAGCCCTACACCCAGAGGACGGATCTTGTTCCTTTCCCTTTGGTCCTCCAATACGCTTGCCTGGTTGCAGCGGCAAACCCCACACCCACACTTCCTATCTTTGAACCCGCCTAAGTTTCCCTGTCCTTGAGGCTGTTTGCCAGCAAGGGCCAGAGATTTTGTCCTCCGGCGCGAAAAGAAAATAGAAGGTTAGAAAAAGCGCCAAACCTCCCCCCCCCCCCCCAAAAAAAAAAAAAAAAAAGAAAACTTGAGATTTGATTTCCCATCATGA